ATCAAGAGAGGAAATGGATATCAAGAGAGGAAATGGATATCAAGAGAGGAAATGGATATCAAGAGAGGAAATGGATATCAAGAGAGGAAATGGATCTCTTTATGCACTTGTCGGCGTTGGTATCTGGTTCTCACCTTGTTTCTGGTCAGGCTGAGCCGAGAACAGCATCACTATGGTTCGTGAGTGGCCTGCAGGTGAGGCGATTCAACGTCCGTCACTTCAAGGGAGATTCCGGCAGAGAAAGAAGGAAGTGAGAGAATGAGGTGAATCACAAACTACTGCCACTTGGGAAGATTCGGGAGGACTTGGTGTTGCTGACCACGATGTGTTTGTTATACTTCTAACATGTGGATACCTAGTCAGGTATCATACCTCGCCTTGAGGATCGACTTCTAGACTCTAGTCTTTGCCACGCTCTTATTTCCCGGTCCTGGAATCCCAATGCCGGGAACTCTTGGTCAAGTATGCAAAGTCCCGTCCTCCGGAGTTCGCTGCCTCGCGATCCCTCGCAGCTTGGTCATTCGTCCTAGGTCCATGGTTGCGCGAACTCTCGTGACGTGGATCTTTGCTCGAGTAGGCGAAATCTCGGCCGGAGGACATGGACGCCTCTCGGTCTCGCGCGGCTCTGTCGTTCGAATATGAAGGGTGGGCATGGTACTTGCCCGTATTGGAGTCGAATTCAGTGCGGCTTGGGTAGTGGTAGGTCTTGTCGGGATGCTTGTTGATGGGATAGCCCAGAGAGTCCCATTTCTTTGAGTCCTCTGGTGTCTTTGAGTTGGAGGACATTTGCAGAAGTGGTGATAGTTTCGATGGAACTTCGGATGGATGCTTTTGGTGGAGATCTTTTCATGCGTCCTTGAGTATGATACGTGGACCAAGTAAGAGTGCGATCGGAGGGCTGCTCATATAGGACATTTCCCATGTCACTTTCCCGCCCCGTTTGTATGGCTGTCGTGTACGCTGCCACTGCCATTGTCGTGAAGCAGACAGTAGTTTCCATCACCATTTACTCGGAACTCATAGTATCGTCTTTCACCTTGCTGCCTGCGATGGACCGGTGATCCACGTAGCGACTATGTGCCGGGACGGTGACACAAGCAGCCTGTGTATCGTACTGAGCGTCACAAGCCATGGACAAAATCGGCGCTGCCTCAACATGACTATCGTTGTCGAGACTCGGTCCGAGCTGGCCAAAAGGAGCTGCTCAGAAATGTCTCCCAAGGCACTTGCTTGGATGGTCATGCCGAAAATCATGGCAGTAGAAGCTGCACTGTAGAGCGTCGCCGGCACATGGTAGGATTTTCGTCTGCACCTCGACTGAGCTTCAGCCGTGTTTCTGACATCTTGCGCAGCATCCCACTGGTAGAACAATCGCAAAGTCGCGCGCCTTCACCCCGGCTTCTTCACGTTCCTGGGCTGCCCGCTCGTTGACAGCTGTAAAGGATTTCTTCTGCTGTTCGAGGCCAGGTGCCGACTTGGCCACCTCCATACGCTTCTGCACAAGCGCATCTTCTTCTGCTGGATCCGACCCGGGCGATGGATACAGGTCCTTGTAGATTGCTTGCATATTGGAAGTTTTGTACTGCGAGTAGAAGTCCTCGATTGGTGCCGGGTTGTCCATTGCGGAAGAACGCGATTTCTGGTGGCGGCGCAATCTATCATGCAGAAATTGTCTCATGGTGCTTCCAGACATCGTAAATAATGACTGCTTTGGAGAAGTTGTGAACCGAAATGTTTGGATATCAGTTCAGGCACGCCTGAGCATTGATAGGCTGCATACATAGCTGCCACCAGCCGTTTTCAGCCCCCAAAAGATAACGCCTAGAGTAGTGCCACGAACTTCGCTTACGAGACTCGAGACGGAGGCGATAAGGACCGAGGTATTCTAGGATGAAACAGTATTGATTACTACTCCGTGCAAACTGCCATCAGGTCTTCGAAGTTGAAAATTCTTCCCCTTCGCGTGAACCAATGCCGGTTGGACAGCCCGCAGGAACAAGGCTTTACCGGAAAAGGGGTCGGCAAAGGCTGGATTGTGCAGCAACAAGAGCATGATCCTGGACACTTGAGCTAGCTTGCCGCATGCACCTCAGAGTATGGTGCTGCATGAAGTCATTTACAGATGTTGAGTCGGGGGCACCCTTGGAAGGAATCGGTAGTATGGAAATGATATATGGGTGAGGGCAAGCGAACGAAAGTCGTAGACTAGCGGTCGTCAACCAGCGGAGCCAACACCTGTGGTTTCCGGGAGTCCCTAAGACATTTCGTAAAGCAAGAAGAATGGAAGGTCCACACAGCGGCTAATGGTGTCCGTGGAAAGACCATTTGCCTAATGCACACCATAGTCGAGCCTCTGGGCTCTTTGATACCTTTAGACAATTTCGAGTTGCGTGAATTGCCGACACGGGAGACGGCGTACGCGTTGGACGGCGCGTTCCACAACGACAGGGAGGGAAGGTCGGGCGAGCGATTTTCGGAGTTGGAGGGGCACCAGTGGCAGCCATGCAATTACATAGCGATCTAAAATCTTTGGAGGCACAATCAGAAGCCGCAGTGACCAACATGTATCATGGCGCTTTCCGATACGCGGAACTACGTGCACGCAGTCGAAAGCGACAAGCAAGAGGCCGCCAGGATCGCCAAAGCAACAGCCCACAGTAAGCCTGCGAAGCCTGCACATGAACTCGAGGACTGACGAGAAAGAACTCGAGACCCGCGAGACGACGTTGATCGAGCTTGTCCAGTCGCTGGGCGAATACATCAACGATGACGACGAGAAGATCCGCGCCCGCGCGGTGTCGTACCTAGTCGCCGTTGTTGCAGCCCTCCCTCCGAAGTACCTTTCTCGTCAACAGATCCAAGTTCTGTGCCAGTTCTTGTGTGATCGCATTGAAGATGGAGGAGCAATCGAGGGCCTATCTAAGCTCCAGAGCTTGGACCGGTTCACTGCAGAGATGGCTCAAACAGTTGTGAGAGCGTGAGTGCGGACCACCACGCGACAGCTGTCCAGGGACTTGCCCGCATATGGCTCAAGGTTGTCTGGCAGCAGGGCATGAGCTTGGACATGGCTGATTCCAACCAGGATCTTCGAACACTTTTCCGACTTGCAGTCTCGCAATCAGGCTGGCAGATATCGCATTCTACAACTGTTGAATGAGCTTCTGGATCATCATCGTAAAGGTAGGTCTGCTCCGATAACCACGCAGACGTGCCGCTGATTTGCACAGCCATCAGGGAAATGAAGGATGAATCCCTCACTGGAATCACCGACCTAGTCGCCGGGGAGAAAGACCCTCGAAATCTGATGCTGATCTTCTCCATGCTCAGAGTTCTGATGGTCGAGTGGGATATTCAGGGTCACGAGCAGACCATGTTCGACTCTGTGTATGCCTATTTTCCCATCACATTCAGGCCTCCTCCAAACGACCCCTATGGTATCACCGCTCAAGACCTGAAAGATCGTCTGCGGGAGTGTCTGGCATCTACCGGAGCGCTGGCTCCGTACACGTTCCCTAACATGTTGGACCGGCTTGATTCCACTTCTACCACTGTAAAAAGGGATTGCTTGCAGGTCTTGTCTGCATGCGCCAATAACTACGACCCTGAAACACTTAGCCAATTCTCCATACCACTCTGGGACGCGGTCAAGTTCGAAGTGCTACAGGCTCAAGAGCCCGAATTGGCTGAGGAAGCATTGCGTGTTCTCAACGCCATCGCAGCGTGCTTGAGCAAGAGTCCCAAGAGCATGCACAACGCTCCTTCTTCGCCTCTCCTCCAGTATCTGAAGCCTGTGAACAAAGAATGCCTGGAGCACCTGCAGGAGCCTGCAGCACGCCAGGCAAAAGCGTCCGGGGATATTCTCAAGGCCGTATCATCAGCAACAATACAGTCCTTTAGAATCGTGATTGAGTCTATTGGGCCCTCGCTTCTCACCATCTATCAGTCTTCGCAAGGTCTTGTCCAGCAGCGGGCAATCCTTGAAATTGCAAACCAGTTATTCGAGGCTTCAATCGAGGTGTATGGGTCATGGTCCTCCCCCAGTCAGAAAAACCCCGAGGGACGTGAGAATCTGGTGGGCCAATTCAAGGACAGCTTTGTGGCTCTGTACAGCCAAGCCCTGATGGGAACGGTCAAAGAAGAGGTGTCATTTCGACTGACTGCGGCCAATGGGCTGCTCCTAGTCTCAAAGATGAACTCGGTGCTCTCGGACGACGAAATTGGACTGGTTGTTCAATACTTTGATGACATCGTTCTCAAAGAGGAATCGTACGGGCGAGACGAATTGAAAAAGAAGGCCATGGCGGCACTGGCTGAGATATCTCAGTTCAAGCCTGTCCTGATCTCCGACGTCACATTCCCTGCCTTCATGGCGCGATTGCCAGATTCAGAAAATGAAGCACGCTCAGGCGATTATCGCTCTGTTCTCGAAGGGCTGGCCGAGATCAGCCTCGAAAGACAGTTGTTGGAAACGCTAATGAGGCGTCTGCTCAACAAGCTAGAACTCCTTTTTGGCACCAGCCAGCCGCCACCGTTTCCCTACACCTGCGCTATGCTCGGTGCAGTTCTGTATGTCCTTAATCGGACTGTGTCAAAGCAAAATGTGAATCTGGAGGCATACTTTGACCGCATGGTGGTCCGCATCTCCCAAAGAATATCACACACAACAACAGGACCTCTTGTCGACGATAGTGTCCTCGATCTCCTAGGTCGAATCATGAACTTGATCGTCCGACACTCTTCAGCCGAGTTCATTCAGAAGACGGCTGACAACTTTTACTCTTTATTCGCTAAAACATCAGGCGACCCTGAGCACGAAAGGCTCGTAAAAGTGATCGAACAGCCGCAGAGGGCGATTTTGACGACATGGCTGCTGGCCGCCTTACCCAGAACCACGCAGTCGTCGATACTGGCAAAAGACCAAGTACCTAGAAACATAAACGAACTGATATCATTCGCGGCAACGTCCCAGAGCCCTGCAGTAACACAGACTCTGCTCACTCAGGTTGCTCTATATGTCAACAAGCATATACAGACACCTGATCTTGGATTTGTTGAAGATATCCTGTCACAAAAACTGTCCGCCCTTAGGGACGATACGATGGACGAAGCCGACCCACGCGACTTGGACATCCGGCTGGTTTTTGTGCTGTTCAAAGCACTTATATTGCGGCTTTCTCCGAAGACGAACGAATACCTCGGTCGGCTCGTTGAGCTTCTCAGTCCAAGTCAATACCCTCTCTCGGTCTCGCAAAAGGCAGCGCTGGGATTTGCAACCATCTTATCACCAGACGATATTCTGTCGAAGGAAAATGGGGCCCAGATCCGGCTGCTCGTCCCGCAGCGTGTTTTTCAGACTTTGACCCCCTTGGTCGCTGAGAAGTTCAGAACGTCGGAGTCCCCGCTTGAAAAGGAGAACTACTTGATAGCTTTAAGTGGAATCTTGGCGTCTGTTCCATCCGAGATCGTCATGCCAGAGCTGCCTACCCTACTACCTCTCCTGTTACAATCCCTAGACATCGCAGATCAAACGGTCAAGATAGCGACACTGGAGACGCTTGCTGTGGTTATATCCAACAATCCTTCAGCATTGATAGAGAGCGGTCACATTCCTTCTCTCGTCAAACGACTTATCGCTGTCGCAACCGCGAAGAAGAGCAAGGCCAGCAAGGCAGCTACAGAGAAAGGAGGATCGCCCACGATACAGGAAAATCACCCCAGGAGTCGTCGGCTCGCAACGCGATGTCTCACATTAATGCCCAAGTACATCTCTACCAGCGGCTCACGAGCCAACCCTCTTCTCCCTTTGAAAACGGAGGTCTTGCACGGTCTGAGAAATATATTGGACGACACGAAGCGTGATGTGAGGAAAGAAGCTGTCGATGCGAGAGCGGCATGGATAAGAGGCGTTGATGATGTAAATGACGACGATGAATAGATGTGATGTCTACCTCGGGAATGGACCGGTAGGATTTAAGCTACAGTACCATTGCCAATAGAAGTACAAGCATCTGGATTTACAATCTCTGAGCAACTCCAACGACCGTCCATGGATCGTCCCAATTGACCCAGGCTGGCCTCAGCCTCGTCACGCTCGTAGCCTTGCCGCTTACGTAACCAAGCGTCCCCTCAAGTCGGCGCTCAATCGGTGCGGAGAAACTTTTGGGCTTTTCAGTCGCAGACGACAGTCTCAATGTTAAGGAACTCGTTTCCGACAGTGATTAAATTATGAGACCTTTCAATACTTCGAACCATAGTCTCTGATCCCGGACTCCGAGCGCCGTCAAGCAGGGAAGGCCGCTGCGCAGCCCTGAGTGTCAGGTGAATTTCCAGTCCCACGCATAACCACCCACCCTTCCTCAACATGTCTGAACAGTCCAGCGAACCACGAATAAAGTCGCACAAGAGGAACGCCGCGCACCGTCGACGCCGCGGTGACGACGATTTCGAAGACCGCTGGGGCGATGAAGAGGTTGCCGAGGACGACGACACCGCGAACGGGGACGCGCAGGCTGATTTCCCGGAGTCCTCGTCAAAACGGGTGAAACTGTCTGATGGCTCGGCATCGCATCGGGCGCGAAATCCCACACCTACACCACCTCCAGAAACAGAAGAAGAGAGAGCCCAGAGGGACCGCGAACGCGATGCGAAAGAGCGAGACGAATTCGCCAAGCGGCTGGCCAAAAAGGATGAAGAGCGGGCGAAGAAGATCGTGGAAGACAGGTCCGCGGCCAAGGACAGTGCCACGGCGCAGCGGCGGGCGCTGGCAGACGATGCGTCCGCGAGGGATGCCGCCATGCCGGACTTGAGACTCCGTTCGCGCCAGGACTACCTCAAGAAGCGGGAAGCCGAGAGGTTGGCGCTACTGCGCAAACAGGTCGCGGAGGAGCAGCAGGAGCTGAGGGATAACCCGGACCTGTCGCGGCGGGAAAAGGAGGAGTTCGCGCGCAACAAGGAGGTCCTGCGGCTCGCGGAGGAGAGGCTGGCCATTGACGATCACCTGGACGGCTACGCCTTGCCGGAAGACTACATTACCGAGAAAGGCAAAATCGACAAGCGGAAGAAAGAACAAGCGCTCTATCAACGTTATGTCGATCGTGACGAGGCCGGCCGGGAACGCTATATCACCGAGCACGAAGAATGGGAGAGAGAGCAGACCAAGCGAGCCGAGGCGCAGATCAAGAAGTCCGAATTCGTCGACGAAGGCGACTACGGCTACGTGTTTGACGAAAGCCAGCAGATGAAGTTCATCCTGGCGGACAAGCTGGAGGGCGACAAGGGCATGACTAAAGAACGGAGAGAGATGGAACAGCGGCTCAACGCGGCGGAAGCAAAAGCCAAGAGCATCGAAGAGACGAGGAAGAGTCTACCCATTTACCAGTTCCGAGACGAGATCATCCAGGCCGTGAAAGACCACCAGGTCCTGATCATTGTTGGCGAGACTGGCAGCGGGAAGACCACCCAGTTGCCACAGTATCTGCACGAAGCGGGCTTCACAAAAGGTGGCATGAAGATCGGGTGTACGCAACCGCGAAGAGTGGCCGCCATGTCCGTCGCAGCCAGAGTAGCAGAAGAGATGGGCAAGCGGCTAGGCAACGAAGTGGGCTACGCCATCCGCTTCGAAGACAACACCAGCGACAAGACCGTCCTGAAATACATGACCGACGGGATGCTGCTGCGAGAACTCCTCACCGACCCGGAACTCTCGCAATACTCGGCCCTTATGATCGACGAGGCCCACGAGCGCACCGTCTCCACCGACATAGCGTGCGGCCTGCTCAAGGACATCGCCCGCGCCAGACCGGACCTCAAGCTCCTCATCTCCTCTGCGACCATGGATGCCCGCAAATTCCAGAAGTACTTCGACGACGCCCCCATCTTCAATATCCCGGGACGGAGATACGCGGTCGACGTGCATTACACAGCCCAACCGGAGGCGAACTACCTGGCCGCGGCGATCACGACGGTGTTTCAGATCCACATCACGCAAGGACCAGGCGACATCCTCGTGTTCCTGACGGGCCAAGAGGAGATCGAAGCCATGGAAGCCAGTCTGCAAGAGACGGCCCGCAAACTCGGCAGCAAGGTCAAAGAGATGATCATCTGTCCCATTTACGCCAACCTCCCAACCGACCTGCAGGCCAAGATCTTCGAGCCGACGCCCGCCGGCGCCCGAAAAGTCGTCCTCGCCACTAACATCGCAGAGACGTCCCTGACCATCGACGGAATCGTCTACGTAATCGACCCGGGCTTCGTCAAGGAGAACCAATACAACCCGCGCACGGGGATGGAATCGCTCGTCGTGGTGCCGTGCTCACGCGCCTCGGCGGGCCAACGAGCAGGTCGTGCGGGTCGCGTCGGCCCAGGCAAGTGTTTCCGCCTGTACACGTCGCAGGCGTACAAGAACGAACTGGACGAGAACACGACGCCCGAAATCCAGCGGACGAATCTGTCGGGCGTGATCCTGCTGCTCAAGTCGCTGGGCATCAACGACCTGCTCGACTTTGACTTTATGGACCCGCCGTCGACGGACACGATCGTCCGCGCCGTCGAACAGCTGTACGCGCTCGGCGCGCTCAACAACGCCGGCGAGCTGACCAAGGTCGGGCGGCAGATGGCCGAGTTCCCGACGGACCCGATGCTGGCGCGCGCGATCCTCGCCGCGGACAAGTATGGGTGCGTGGACGAGGTGCTGTCCATCATCGCCATGCTGGGCGAGGCGTCGGCGCTGTTCTTCCGGCCCAAGGACAAGAAGATCCACGCCGACAGCGCGCGCGCCCGCTTCACCAACAAGGACGGCGGCGACCACTTGTCCTTGCTCAACATCTTCAACGAGTGGGTCGACAGCGACTACAGCTTCGTGTGGGCCAAGGAGAACTTCCTGCAACAGCGCAGCCTGACCCGCGCGCGCGACGTGCGCGACCAACTCGCCCGCCTGTGCGACCGCGTCGAGGTCGACGCGGGCAAGTCGTGCGGTAGGGCCGGGGCCAGCAACATCGAGCCCATCCAGAAGGCCATCACGGCCGGGTTCTTCCCTCATTCCGCGCGTCTCCAGCGCGACGGGCAGAGCTATCGCACCGTCAAGAACGGGCAGGTCGTCTACATCCACCCGTCGGGCGTGCTGATCGAGGCGCGGCCCAAGTGGGTCATTTACCACGAATTGGTGCTCACCAGCAAAGAGTACATGCGCAGTTGCATGCCGTTGAAACCCGAGTGGCTGATCGAGGTGGCGCCGCATTATTACAAAAAGAAGGATCTGGAGAGCCTGGGCGTGGAGAGGAAGGTGCCGAGAGGGGAAGGTAAGGGGCAGAGTAAGATTTGAGAAGGGCGTGTGCACATCAGCGGTGTCGGAATACCCGCGGAAACCTACCTGCCTATATACACAATACCAGCCTACCTATCTACCTACACATTGCCCCGTCCCGTGCTCTCGTTTCCAACTGTTGGTGTTCGTCACTTGTCATGGCCTCGTGCAAGGCGTGTATCTCATCATCAAGTGGAGACCCCTTTCTTGTGGTTCAGAAATGGCAGCCCGCCACGTGAGGACGCCTTCCCATCTCTCTTCGACGGCGGTCGCGACGACGGAGATGCGTCCAAGATAATCGCTCAGACGATCCGAGACATTGCTCATGGACCGGGCTTTCGGGTAGAGATCTGACAGCAGCGTGGTGAAGCGTTTTCGTTCTGGCTGGCGCCTGCTGGAAACGGCACTGCGCACCAAGACGTGGAACAGTGTGCCGGGGCAGGACTCCCTCGTGGATACAGGATCTACCTGGGACAGCCTTGAATGAAGACTTTGCAGCGCAGCCGGGATCTAGCGTGAGGCCGTATCAATTTGAAGTAGAAGTGCAGATTCGAATTGCTCTCTTGGTAGAATTCCATGCTTGACGGTGTGGATGGGACGAGGAAGGAAGAACCAAGAGCGGGGATCTAGGAGCTGCGGGAGCTGGATGTGCACATTGGGTGGTACCTTTCTTGCGGACAAGTCGCCAGGGCTTAGAAAGTTTCGCTGGGAGAAGGCACGTCCTCTCCCTGGCTGTATCGGTTGTGCCGTCCAGCAGAAGCCAAAGATCCTTCGAACTTGGTTTTTCCAGGGGACTAGAACGTCGCTCGTAAACCGCCGGCAGATGACAGATATCGAGTGTCCGAAGTTTTTCTTGCCTCATCTCACTTCTCATCATAATCACGGTTGCATCGCCGTGTGCTGACTGCCTCACGTCAAAATTGCTCTGGTCGTCGAGTCGAGGGTCAAAGTCCCTGTTCGGGATGTCGATATCATCGCCTCGCCAACTCGGTGTCTCCAACTCTTCTGCGCGAGGCAGTAGTGGATGGCAGTACCACTGTTGCAACTGACTCGGCTGCCCGCGAGAAAGGCCCTCCGGTCGAAGAGGCCCTCTCCCTCTGTGTGTAACTTGCATTATCAACCAAAAGCTGTCACTCCGGCTGGGATTTCACCGTGTCCACCCCTTGTCGCGCTGACTGGTCATCAATGAACCCGAGGTGTTTCTGCTTTGGGATAGCTCGTGCTCATGCAGGCATATGCACGAGACGGGTCTGCCGGACTTCTCTAACTTCTTACACATCACCCGGTCTCGTGCAAGCTTCCGGTCGACTTGCTGTCGCGTTCTGATGGCGCCAGTCTTGGCCGGACCCAGCTCCAGCGCCGACCGTGTTCCTACCAGTCCGAGCAGCATATCTGCAGTATGCTGTTCCCTTTTCCCCATGTTCCCAATGGGCTCGACCGGACCGAGCGACTGTTTGGGACTAGGGTCCCATTGCTGCGAGCAGAATCTCGGGCGCCCACAGAGCCAAGAGATGCCACTCACACCCACGCAGTCGTCGCCATCGTCTTAGGCTTCGGCAATATTCCCCCATCAAGCGAGACTTGAGGAGAGGAAGTGGTACGCTCAGAGTACCTTCTCCGCCGCAGTCACACGGGACGGGACAATCCTCCTTCCTGACTGACCGCCGGCCGAGATTGGCCTTGTTTCCGCAGTGAACCGAACTAATGCACTATTCTAGCCAGACTCTATATTATTCACATGCCAAGAGCGACCGGACTGTCTATCAGTCGCCCTGCACCAGTGGAGTTCTGCGTGTGTCTGGCACAAATGGTACTCTACATGGTCATTTCCTAACGGTCGCTCCGATCGCCATGTACATTCCCTTGGCGGAATGCTAGCGACAGATCCATCCAGCACCGGGCGCTGGTGTCGTCGGTGGGGATGATATGTCTAGACGAAGGATCGTTACCTTCCTCTTCCAGAGCGGTATCCACGACCGCTCGAGTCCCACCATCGCAGGTCCAACCCACCGTGAGGACTGGCCGACTCATACGGCGGATACACCGATCAAAGTGACGTTAGGGATTACGTTCAAGCGACTGGCTAGAGCATCGTCAGGTATTAGCATACCGTACCACGATGCTTCTCGGAGGACAGATGTGAACCCAGAAGCCTCAAATCCCCGAGGCGCCACCGCATGACGTACGGTTCATATTTTGCAAGGCGCGAGGCGCGGTGATGGACCATCTGCGCAAGATGAGGACCCGCCGGAGCGTTCACCAAGACAATGACCTGAAAAAGCTTAAACAGCTCGCAAGCACTGGCTGGAAGAATTATTCGCTTTGCCAGCCTATAGGCTGATCGAAGAATCCCTTGAACAAGGTCCGCTTGGCCAGCCTGAGTCCTGACGAAGCAGTTGAAGGAGTTCGCGTAACATTTGGCCAAATTCTTATGCTTCTTGTACAGGCATAGTGCATACGAGTGTCAGTCTCACGAGGTTCCGACAGGGCAGAAACCACCCACAGTTTTACAACTTGACGAAGCACTGCTGACTTAGCCCACACTCCCGCCAATATCTTCTTCGGGGTAGGCCGCTTCAAGCGACTGGCCGGCCGAGCCGTTCGTGTTTGTGTCATGTAGCTCGTACACCGACAGGAACAAGATGAGAGCCGCCGCCAGTACCTAATTACACGGACAGACTCAGGTTGTTGGCCCAACCAGCGCATCGCATGTGAGGCGTAAGGAGGAAGGACAAGCCACTTGTGCTGGCCCTGTCAAAGCTTGTGCGTGCCAGCCTCAGGATGGGTAACAAGCATCCAGCGAGCGAGCGAGGCACCGCTTGATTTGGGAGCCTTCGTCGCAGCTACAGTAGTGGCACTAGGAATTGCCCGATCGGGAAAATGGGTCCTCTGGGTCCCTTGTCTCCAAGACCAGACACGCCCATGATCCACGATAATTACTGACACAACGTATCAACCAATCTTAGAGTGCTTGTCTCTTCAGCCAGTCGATCTCAGAGTGTATCCCAGCCGGCGGCGGGGGGCGCCTTCCAGAAGAAACCTGCATGCCACACAGGGTCTCATGGCGGGGCGACCGAAGCATTCTGGCCCTTGCCTAACCACTAGCCGCAGGTTAGGTATGAGTAAGTCAGTACGCACAATCGAGCCCGACGTGATCTACTGCACGAACCACAGTCCCAGGATACCGCACTCGTACCCCGTACCGTACCAGTCCCTCCGGGCAGTGGTGAAACATCCAGGACTTTGGTAAGCGACCTAGCGTCGGCGATCCCGAACATGTTTCATTATTCATGCTTCGCGCCCCGTGCTTCACAGTACCTCGCTGCCTCATGCCTCGTTTTCGGCGCACAAATCCGGAGTCTAGAATGGTCCAGCTCATGTGGGATGGCGGGTCTCGTGACTTTGAGGTGGTCGACGACGACGTCAACATCAATATCAACACCGATATCAACGCCAAAATAGATCCCAACTGAAACTTCTGCCCCGATCTGTAGCGGAGGCCAATGTTTCGAAAGCCTGCCTTCGCCCTTCCATTTGTATGAGTATACTCTTCCCGAAGGAACACAAGCAAGGACCCGACTTCCGTCTATAGGGCCACAACACCCAGCAACCTCATCGTCAACGCCGCGTTTTGTGAACGCGTGCGCGAGGCTGAATAGGTTACCGCGAGACGCCGTGGAAGCCGCGGAAGCCGCGAGGCTCGCTCGAAAGGTCCAATGACAGGTACATAATTATGTCCACGTATAAAGACAAGACGACTTGGCGACACCGGTGGCAGACATGCGGCTGAAAAGTACTAAGTCCAGGGTCAGGATAGCACTGTCTGGTTAGTGTACGCTGAGGGCTGTCTCTTTGCATTGGAGGGGCCGACTGTGTCTGCATCACTGCAGCTGTAGCAGGTACAGTATTTGCGGGAATTTGCTTCGGCCGTCGTTGCTGGCCGCGGGCTGCCCAACCGCGACACAGCACTCGTAGCGGAACTACATCACCTACGAGCTACACAGTAATTAGCCACTTACTCGGATGAGACTGCTGGTAATCATGATGTTTCAACGGGTTCATGCCAAGCTGCCGCATTCCAAATATGCCCGGCGGTCGCTTGCGACGTGGTGTGCCCTGCATGAAATTTAACCCCCCCGACGTTGCGGCACGATATCAAGCTATGCCGCATGCAGAATTGCACAGCTCCGTCGTGATTCGTGCTCGCGCCGGCCAAGAACTGGCGGGCAGCTCGTGTCAACCGCCGCCTCTAGCACGCATGTGGCTTGCAGGGATGCGCTGGGTGCCTGGGCAGCAACTACTGGTAATACCGCGGGATGGACATCGTGTACCACAGTAGTACGACGATTTTCGACGGCACCAGAAACTCTATACTTTACCTCCACAAGAGGCAGGACACTGGTGGTTATGTAAAGCGCAAATCAGCCATGCATTCCGAGCCGATATCAAAGCATTTTCCGATCTTCAAAAGCCTCGCATTGAGCTCAGCAATCGACCGATCAGTCCTGTGCTAAGACCCAGGGATACGCGATCTGTACTGTCTCAATCAGAATGAGCGTCCCACTTGTTGATAACACCCTGGATGGATCCCTCTTTGACACGTCGGGCATGTACTTTGAGGAGGACATGGCTCAGTTCGACGACTTCCACGTAAGTCGGTCGGCGTGGCAATGTTGTCAAGATGGGCCCGTGCTGACGGCGAGTGCCAGCTCGAGGAGGATTTTCAGCACGATAGTATGCCTGGCTCGTTCTCCCATGCCATGAGCCTGGCCGGCAGCAACTCTGCGGAGGGATCTATATTCGACGATGTCATCACGTCTCCCGCCGACCAGCCTGTAGCATCGACTTCGACAGATTCGGAACGGTCGGCACAATCACACACCAAAATGGTAAGTTTGGCGTCTCATCGCTCAAGTGTCAGATTTGGGCTAACTCAGGCCTGGATCTAGCGACGACGTGCACAGAATCGCGCCTCTCAACGTGCATTTCGCGAGCGCAAAGAACGACACCTCCGCAGCCTCAAGGCAACACTGGAGACCATCGGCGACAAGCATCGCAAGCTGCTCGAGTCGTATTCTCAGCAGTCCGAAGCGGTGATGAAGCTGAAAGGCCGGATTGCTGAGCTCAACGCACAAATCGCTGCGTATTCCACTCAACCCGACCGGGGGCCTGACAGACTCGACCTTTCACCAAACACGGGTTATCAGGCAGGATTCGACCAATTTGATGCTTTTTCCTTCTCCTTGAAGCCATCCAGCAATCCAAATACCATGTTTTGGGAGAATCAGAATCAGAATCCCGAACCCTTCCGAGTCAACATGTTGCAGTTGCCAGCATGCGAGAATCTTCCCGGGTTCGAAGATTTGCTCAATGTGCCGTGAGCTGAGGTGTGGCAGGCTCTGCAAGCGGCATCCAGTTCCCGTCCGGTCATGAATGACGAATTTGGCTGCAAGTCAAGCATATGTATTATATGATGAAAGGAGTTGGACGGCAATCTGCAGCATCTTGTGGTTTCTTGGAACGAGGAGAGCCCTTGCCTTGTTTTCGACGAGAGGAGGTCCTTGAAGGTGTTTGACGATGAGTTCGCCAAGGTTTGTCTCTGGAGTGCAGCCCACATGAGAAAAGCGATAATCTGTTGTGAGAGGCAAAGATACTGTTCAGTCTCTTGACTGCGTAGTTGAACACTCGCGTCTAGGTTTTCCCGTAAACCATGCTGACCGAGAGTGTATCGATCGCATCCATGCATATTGCATTGTCTTTCTGCGCGTGATGAGCCAGCTTCGGGAGTGTGTTCTTCCAGTGGCGTGCCATCCCTGGAATGGTGGCTTTGGGCCGCTTAGAAGCATGTCCTCCTTCTAGAAGACTTACCTCATATGCCAAAGCCTTGACCACAGAATCTTCGACGGAAGGACCGGATACATAAGTACCTGCAGTGGCCGGTGACTAAGCTATCCCCTTGGCCCTCCTCTTTGATGGTTGGATGTGGCCGAGTCCCAGTGCCACATCGACTTGCTGCAGCCCTAAGTCGCCTCTTCTAATCCAGCTGATCGTGTCCGCTCGTCCGCGCTGCACTGTTTTAGGGTGTGAGATGCCGCTTTTCGACTTCCGAGACAGACAAGCCGCTCCGTGCCATGTCGTCTCGTACTTGGCGTTGAGCGCCAGAAAGCGACTGATGTTGGTCGCTCGGAATAGACTCGTCTGGGTAGTGCAATGCATTCGCTCGTGCAAGGTTGTGACGGTCCGCAACCTCGCGAGTCTTCGACAATTTTCTCCCAGGGACCGCCGCTCGAGGCCGCAACAAAGACTCTCCGAGCTCGGTTGCACACAACGGCACAGACTGAGCATGATCAGGTGTCAAGGCTGCAACTTACGAAGCCGCCCCATTCATCGTTGTCGCCGATGTATCCGTAGGCGCATGTAGAAGCTCCTTTTGCGTTTGTGTTTTCGCGTTTAGTAGTGGGGAAGACATCCCATGAGACGTATCTCGACCCTGGGATTGCTGCTCCTGTTCAACTTGCAGTTGTGCCTGCCGATTCTGCACAACGCGAAGTAGATTGCGCAGCAACACGACGATGGTGACTTTGCCGATGGCGGGGACGTAGATGGATGCTCTTTCCTTGACTTCAGGGGGGAAGTTCTAGACAAGAAATCAGCTCAGTCAGAAAGGGTTCGGCGAACAAGCACTAGCGAACGAGACAAGACGGGCGCCAAGACACGAGGTGATGATTCGTACCTTCTCACTCGAAAAGTTGATACACACGGCCCCCTCCTTCAAAAGGTGGCACGGAAACTTATACGCCTCGCCAGGGACGCCCGTGATCACAACATCACATAGGGGCGCGCAGTCTTCGATGGTCCAGCCTTCCTTGTCGACGACCTCATGTTTGCGTTTCCGAATGCCCTCGCCGCGCGTGAACTGCTGCACGCCAGACACGTCGACGCTGTAGACACAGGCACCGTCGTTGGCGAGCAGCGCCGCGAGAGGCCGCCCGACGACCTCGGACCGATTGACCACGCAGATGGTGCGGCCGAAGAGGCGGTTCCCGTAGGGGAGGATCGGGTTGTAGATGTGGAGATACTCGAGGATCTTGATCACCGCGAGGGGCGTGCACGGGAGGATACTCTTCCTTGCAGGGGCGGTGCTTGGGGTCTCGGCGTTTTCCAAGAACCGCACGTTCTGATACATGTTGAAGATGTACAGGTGCGACAGGCCCTCGACATCTTTGTCCACCGAGACCACATTCTGGAGGTACTGGTCTTGCCGGCCGCCGTAGATGGGGTAGTAGATGATGATACCGTCATAGAGCGGGTTCGCGTTCGCGGCCAGAATGGTCTCCTCGACGGAATCCTTCTCGACTTGCAGCAGCGTGTACGCGAAGCCGAGGTCATGGCACGTCTTCTCCGTCCAGCGGGCGTACGTTTGCGCGGCCGGGTCGGCATTTGCAAGGATTCCTAGGAGATGGGGCGGTTGTGGTACATGTTCAAGCTGTTGTTGGTGCTGGCGTTGGTGGTTCAGCGCCGTTAATCCCGCTTGGATCTCCGAGATGAGGACTTTGGCTATGGTGTTGGCAAGAATCACCTTGCAGCTGTGTGAGGATGACCCTGTCGCCGCCGCGGCGGGCGGTGGTGGATTGGACATTTTGTATTGGTAATTAGTTGTTTGTTCCCTGCGTATGGCTTTTTACAGCAGTTCACGGCTCCTGGGTCGTGACTAGTGACCACACAGCGCGAGAGTGTAGATCAGCCTACTATACGTATCCATCCGGGAGAAGGCTGGCGAGATCAGGCCGGAAAATCTATCAAAAAATATTTGTACTCCATCACAAAATCTTTTCGGTACTTCCGAATGCGCGCGACGCGGCTTGGCGAGTGCGCAATTCAATATATCACAATACGTCCATGGCGATCCTACATTCTTGCACCGTGAGGGTGTGTCTATACTACGTATATGTCCATGTATGTACTGTCATCTCGACACGTTGAAATGGAGGTGGCCACAAGACATCGAGTTCGGTCAAGGAATCATTCTTCTTCCGACCTCATCGTCCATCAGCAGATTTTCGGCCGTCTCTGCTCCATGCGATGCGCTCCGTACAGTATATCGCACCGCCGTCCTGGCAATCGTATTCTTGAACCCAGACAAATGCACTAGATTGGCCCTCCTTCGTTCTATTAGCCTAGGCTGCTCTTTCCCTAGGTCTTGACCCAGTGACGCAAAACAGCTTCTCCCGGCCAGCGCAGTCCTACAATTTTGCCTTCTCGCCAATTGTGCCAATCTTCAGCTTGGGCGCATACTTCTTGAGGACGGACTCGTTGTGATACTGTATATGGCCAGGTCAGCTCAGGGCTGGTGGAGCACTCCCTGGTCGCTTACCTTCCAGAATTGTTTACTCGCATCCTTGCCGCAGACTCTTTTCAAAATCTTCGCCCCACCAGGATGCTCGTCAATAAAGTTCGTTACGTCGTACACGGTGCCGTCAATGATGATGTACTGGCCGTTGCTGGCTGTGGCCGTGTGCTTGGCCACGTCGGCGGGGCTGAAGGTCTTGGACATGGTGTGTCGGGGGAATGTAGTTCGAAGATATGGACAGGCCGCGTTGACAAGTCCCGAATTTCCTTCTACTGCAGTGTCTAGGAATGCGCCGCCAATGATCGAGTGCCGTTGGTGTCTATCGCCGAAGCGGAGGAACAGAGGCAGGGGTTCGGACGAGCTCTGGGGAGGTGATGCGACGCAGAAGATCCTGAGATATGTGTATGTGTGAGAGTATGCATATAATGTCCTGCGCGCGGCTGAGACCGAACACTCAATTCCTCTACACACAAATGCACAAATGAGACCACGGTAGAAATGGATTACGGTCAAGATAAATTGATTGATTAGAGGAACGACGAGCCGTCGCCGTTACTACCGATCGCGAAGATGCCGAGGTTCGGCGTCGCAGCCGGGCCGGTCAGCGGTCAGCCAACTTGTAGACGGACTGATTGGCTGGGGGAAGGGGAACGAGTAGTACAGAGGACTGTGAGATCCACAGGAAGACCGTTGGCTACGTGGGGCAGCGGGTGAGGTCGCAAAAGTCGCTGGAAACTGGACATAAAAGTGAGCAGGGCGAAGTCCAACTTGTCAATGTACCACGAAGGGATAGTCCCATGCCGCTGATCAGATCCGACTGAAAAGCTCTCTTTCTGAAGGTGAAGATGAGGTCGGCCACAAAGTCTCCGGTAGTGAAGGATCCGGAAGATAGTCGAGTGAACGGGACAAAGCGAGGCACGTCGATCTAATTAATGCAGCTACTGTAGGCCTTTTTGTCCAGGTTGAATTGTTCGAGAGCGATTGCGGGTAAAAAGAGGAGGCCAGTGGCATTGCATTTCCACCCGACATCCAAGACTATCTTGCGAGGGAGATTCACGTGGAGAACGAAATGCCGGGAAGCGTGGGACAGGTATTCCGTGCTGCGTTGAAACTGCTTCATTGTCCTGTCGTGTACGGATTATGCAAGACGGTATCCGGGCAGCGCATTGTGGCCCCGGGAGAGGATTATCTTCGCCACGACAGTCCATATCGAAGACAACAGTGCACTTTGTACTCAAGCCTTATAAGTCCTAGTCGGAAATGGGAAGACCTGCCCCTTGTAGGTCTCCAGGGCCTCGACCCGACCGGTTGATGGGAAAGTTGCTTGAATTCCTGCGAGGATCTGCCAATGAACTTCGCCCTCGTGAGCCCCCGAGCAGCAGCCTCGAATGCCCTGCAGCCGGGGGCGTCGGTGGCTTGAGTCATTCTCAATTTGGTATCTGCACCATCTCAAAGCGGAGTCCTAGGCGAGAATGCTTGAAATGCTTCGATCAAGTCGGATGAGAGACCATTCGACGTCGGGAGTGTACACTGTATGGGAGATGGCGGATCATCGAACCCTTCTTACAAAGGAGTGAGTGATATAGTGTTTTCGGGGCTGTAGCAAGCATATGCGTCACTTTGAAGCCAGAAACTCCCTTCCTGACTTTGCAGTCTTCCTCTTGACGAGGTGGAATGCCACGGATAACACTATGACTTCGCAGCGTCAACAGTTACAAACAAGCAATACGAGTTTGGCAACGATATGGACAACCCCTGTAAGATCGGAACGCTCCTCCCCTTCGTTTTACCGCCGTCTCACGGGCTGACGGGGCACCAAGCAACAGATGGAGTGGACTATGCTAGACGAAATGCTCTCTCTGGACGGTCTTCAATATACAAAGACGGCACCAGCATCGAGTCAATCAGAGTCTGAAACGGCGACGATCGGCGGATTAGAGGATGGCCTACTCTGGGCAGCTGGGGACGATGTCGAGTCATCACAGCGAAGACGCAAAGCTCGCATGAGCGAGGTCGATGAAGCCACGCAATTGGTGAGTAGCCTGGTATATCTTGTGCAAGCCGAGTAGTCATCTTAACGCATCCAGCGTCGACGAGCGCAGAACCGCGAGTCTCAGCAGGCCTACCGGCAACGTAAGGAGGAATACATCCAGGGTCTCCAGGAACAGATCCTCGCGCTCCACCTTCGACATCGAGATCTGTGGCAGTCGTATCTATCCCAGGGTAGACGCGTGGGCTTGCTCAGAGAAGTGGTTGCGGACCTCGCCTCAGAGATCGCCATCTTAAAGGAACGACAGGGACGGGGAGTACGGCCGACATCGAATAATGGGAAGCAACCCTTGCAGGGTGACCAGGAATATGCACAGCACAGGCTGTAAATGTATTAGTCTTTCACAGATCCACACATCAGCAATTGTTCCTGCACCGAGGGTTATGGCGGGAGAGCTGCGAGTCGTGTGATTGGAACTCCCTCCTTGGCCATTTACCTGTAGTAATCATTTCCAACCTTCGATGAACCTGAGAACCTGCTTTACAAAGCCTTGCGGATTTTCCTCAGAGATGTAATGTCCGGAATCCTTCACGACGCCCATAGTTGGGTCCTCGTAGAATTCACTGGCCATCTGGTCCGCCTCTCCTATGCCCATGATGCTATTCTCGCCGATCAAGATCATGTTTCTGACGCTGACCTTTCCCTTTTCCTCTCTCCACTTGCGGTTGTGGTCGGCATCCTTCTCAAATGCACGATACGTCAAGAATGCACATCTCAACGCATCCGGCATGCTGAAGCGGTCGACATAGAAATCTACGACGTCCGTGGGGAATGCACCTTGAACGTTCTGGGCGAGACGGTCAAAGAAGTGCATGAGATATATCCGCTCTTTGCCCTGCACCAATGACACTGCCAGATCCGGGTGGTGGCTCTGGAAGTCGAAGTGCCAAAGCATGCGGGAATGCTTGTTTTTGTCGTACGCAGTGGACCCAGGCAAGGGGCATTCACCCCAGGTGACGGTTTCAACGTGCTCTGGCCATTGGCTGACATAGGCGTGCGCCACCATTCCCCCGATATCGTGGCCCACAATGTGAATTTTGTCCCTGATGCCGACATGCATTCTGACCAGGGTGTGTAGGTCCTGTGCGAGGGATTTTTTCGTGAATGGGTCTTGCTGATGGATGTCACCGACCGGTTTGTCGCTATACCCATGGCCTCGTTTGTCGGGCGCAATCACATGATATCCGGCTTCAGCAAACGGCTTCATGACATGGCGGAACTGGTAGGATGTTTCCGGAAAGCCATGGATGAGCAAGATGGTGCCTTTCTTCTCCTTCGGTTGACGTGCGAGTGCTTCGACATAGAAGATCCTGGGCGAGCCCTCAGACTGCACTTTGGCGACTCGATTGAAGATCTGCACTGTTTCAGATGAGTCTGACATGGCCGTAGATTGTTGCTGATTGTCGTCTTGTTCCGTTGAGAGCAATGGCGCTGGGTTGAGAGAAATTCCGGTACAGTGAAAGCACAGTTGCTCTAAATGCGACCATGTATATACTGTAATTTTGATGCTGGCAAGAGACACGTATCGCAAAATGTCAAGAGGCAGTCATGCTTTCCAATCAAGATCAAGTTGAACGTGCAACTGAGGAGCAGTCAGGCAAACTCAGCGTCATGCTCAGCGTCATAAGAACAGGCGAGAGCATTGAGGGGCTCGGAAATGCATATCCGAGGTCTCCATGCCGGACGCGGAGTGCGCACCGGCCAATCGCAAAAGGGAGAGCTGGTGAAAAGGCAGTTCCCTCAACCAGATATTAGTATATTGCGTTCCTCACTTTACCTATTGCGACAGCGATACCGTCGGTGGAAATCGGCGGCCAGGTGTCATTCAGCGATGCCATTCGGATCATTTTCCTCACCATAGACAAACCCTTCCCCCAGATAGATGGTCGATCCCCCGCCGTACCACAATGTACCATTTCGAAAGTCAAGGCCTTTCTCTTCACCCACTACCCACTGGCCTCCAGGTTTGATCGCCTGCCCCTCCTGCGGCCAGTATTCAGCTTCCAGCCACTGATTGATCATTTCCAGCTCCTTGATCCAATGCTTGCGCTTCTTGATGTCGAGCGCGACACCCCCGTCCAGAGGATCACCACCAAATACATTGGGTGAATTGAATCTCGCAATAGTAAGATGTGCGGAGGGTATCACGTATCGGGACCCGACCTCGATACCGGCATCTGAAATGGTGGCATAGGTATCTCGGCGCAAATGATGGTATGTATACTTGTCATCCTCAGCATTCCGGCCGTTGGAGGGAGCTTCTCCTGCGGCAGGAACCCAACTCAACGCAAGGGCTGCCTGGTCGTAGCTCAGAAGCGGCTTGATAAGCCTGGCGCGATGGGAGCATGTGTGATCGGCTATGGATTTGCAGTGGTCCTTCAGTTTGTTGATCTGACCGTCTATTTCTTCTTCGGTCTTCGAGTGAGCAACCTCCATGACCGTAATATGCAGATTGTCAAGTGGCATCAGCCAAATGTCTAGATTGTGAGCGGCAAGAATTCAGGAGGGATCGCGCGGAATTACCTGGAGCGGCATCCTTGAGCTTGGACTGTATGACATCTATCAATGTCTTGACTTTGTGAGGCGGCCTTCCCCAGAACACGAGGCAATGTCGCGGATCTATATAAGAAGCATCTTTTTGGGGGCCATCAAGCTTAACAAGATGTTCGTCAAGGACCCACCCTCTGAAATCGTCGCCGAGTATCTTCTCTTTTTGTTGCGCATTCCTAGTTAGCCGGTGGGTCGCATATCGCTCTTGAATCAGTCGCTGTACCGATGGTTAGCTGCGAAGTGCTGGATAAACAGCGGCACAGCTGACCGGGTCACCATTGCACGCGATGATCAGACCATCATAAGGGTTTGGTGTGGCAGGAGTGGAGGTGCCGGAAAGGTCTTCAAAAGCGACCTTCGCCATTTCTTCTCGTGCCACTTGATTCGGATGGCTGGCCTGACCTCACTGCGAGGCCGAACCTGAAGTACGTCGTCCTCCAGGGTGCCACGTAGTCCTCAGGAAGCTTTCCATTGAAGACAGAAGTTTCGGTCGGGCAAAGGCGGTGCAGACGCAAATCCGACCCGCCGAAGTGGGTCTGGCTCGGAGCACCTGCCCAAAGTGACCGTCCACATTTTGCACTGTGCGTCTTGGCATTTGGCTGCGGGCTCAATCTTGTCGATTTGTGATACGACAGTTTGTCAACGACAATCAAACGTTCTTCTTGCAGGGTCATTGCCAGCAAACCGTCAAGATGGTAAGTCACCCAGTCAGCACTCCTTTGAAATTTGCGCAGTACCCTGGTAGACAGCACGAGCGAGATGAGAAGCGAAGTGGAAAGGGCCGGCAAGAGATGGAGGTGGCCTATCTTGAAGAAATGAGCGGGGCAGAAGGAGGATTTCGAAGAGGCAGAGTCAAGTTTGAACATGACTGCTGAAACTAGGGGCATTCTGTGTGCATCAGAAACGAAGGAACCTATGCGAAGACTTCGGCGTGCTGGACGCGGTATGCTAACTCGGCTTCTACTACCAGGTCAACGTCCCAAAAACCCGCCGCACCTATTGCAAAGGCAAAACTTGCAAGAAGCACACTCAACACAAAGTCACGCAATACAAGGCCGGCAAAGTACGAGGTTCCCGATCCGATATTCAGTTGTCCAGATACTTACAGATTCTCTCCACAGGCCTCGCTATTTGCCCAGGGAAAGCGCCGATACGACCGCAAGCAGTCCGGTTATGGTGGTCAAACGAAGCCTGTGTTCCACAAGAAGGCCAAGACGACCAAGAAGGTGGTGTTGAGATTGGAGTGCACATCATGCAAGACCAAGGCACAATTATCACTCAAGCGATGCAAGCACTTTGAGTTGGGGTATGTCCACACCGCGCGTGCCGCTTAGACCGCAAGAACTGACGTGATTTCCGTACAGTGGTGACAAGAAGACGAAGGGTGCGGCTCTCGTGTTCTAGACGTGGACCAGATTTGCAATGTTTCATTGGGATTCAATGGCAGATTGCACGAAAATGCTGCAAATATGAGGGAGCGACGATGATCCGCGCTCCGTCGAGCGAAACCAATTGTATGGCACGGATGGACTTCAGACGGGTTTGCGCCGGCGGTTTTGAGCAGCCGCTCGAGTCTACCTAAGAATACTCTGCAGAAGCCTTCTCGTCCCGAGCCGCTCGCACTCTCTTATCTGTGTATCCACATTTGCTGCGTTGTGTGTTGCAATGACGGCGGTCAACACCCAGGATCTCCTTGGCCGACAACCCCTAAAAAATCGTGTGAAGCAGTGTCGTGCGAAGGAAGAGAGTATCTCCCCGAGCTAACAGACCACAGACAAAGGAGTCCACGTGGAAATGCCAAAGCCAGGACAACCATTTGATTCCCAATGATTGTGATACCAGGGCGAATATGAAAGAGCTCGATGGGCTTCACATCCACGCTCAGATATCATCTGGCGTCGTCGACCATGCCACTGAACATGGGGAAGCCTTACTCCGTAACTACCTCCTTGAGGTATCCATCCAGGCCTAAACCACTTACATACCGCGTTCGACGCCAGTCCTCGAAGCCTACCACCGCTCCTGCCTCTTCGTATACCCGCTCGCCGCATCGGCCAGCCACCGTCCCACTTTGCCCACCGTACTTTTCTTCCTCCTCGCTTCTGGCTCCTTTCCTTTGTCGTCCTCGCCCTCGTCCGGCGCTTCATCCGACAAGGTCCTCGCGATCGCGGCATCAGATCGAGTCCGCTGGTTCTGTTCCTCCAGCGCCCGAAGCCGGGCTTTCTCCTCCTCTGCAGACACCAGACCTTCCTCGTGGGGCTGGGAGTGGGACCGAGAGCGCGTATCTGACCCAGAGGCTAGTCCCGCGTCAGTGTCGATATACGCGGGAAGTTCGTCGGCAGCTGGAATGTGGCCCCTGCTCCCTGCTGCGAGCGCCTCCTCCGTAGATGCAGGGGCGTAAGCTGGCGGCCCTCTGCCTTCCCTGCTTGCGTAGCTTTCTGAGGAACTGGGCCCGTATGCGGCGTCCAGAGGCTTGAAGCCTTTGGCACGAAGCTTGGCTTCGTCGACGCGTTGGCTGTGCGGTGAGACGAATCAGTATTGACGTCCTCTGTGGACTGTTGAATAACATGACATGATGTGGACACGACATCCGTGGTGACTTTGGCTGCCTGTATGAAAAGGCGACAGGAGTTCAAGTTCAGACACCCCGCCCGGGCAGAGTAGGTGTGCGTGTCTTGTGCAGACCAAGGAGGGAGAGTGCGGGCGAAATATACAGTACATAGATCAACTTACCCGCGGAGGAACTTCTCTTCCTGGCCTCGCTCTTTCCAGTACTGGTAGAGTGGGCCACGGGAGTATTCATTCGAGAAAAGAGAGGGCATTGCGATGGATGGACGGGTGCGAGATGAAAAGGGACGTCTGGGTAAATTGACGAGGCGACGGGGCGGCGAGGCGGCCAGCCGGCGTACAGTATCAAGAAGGGTTGATCCCACCGACTGAGTCGACGTCGGGTAAGTGATAATTGCAGTAGATGACAAGGAGGAGGGGTCTCGATTGAGGTCCGATCCAATGTCGAGGCCGAGTCCAGGCGCAGTAGTGATTCGAGGAACGGCGAGGGTAAGGTAACATTACTCAAGTTATAGAAGGTAGGTACAGTAGCTTTTGAGGTCAACCCGTAACTAAAGCCCTGCCGGGACCAAGTCAAGTGATTCAGTCTAGTAAAGCTAAGGGCGGTAGTTAAGGCTTGCTGCTACGAGGAGCTACCTAGGTATGTATCGAGATGGACAGGTCGAGGCGAGTTCTGCCCTAACAACCTGGCCTGACATGACCTGCCTTGTTTCGCTCCGAGGAACAGGCAGGCGCAGAGAGCAAGGCAAAGGGGATATAATCGTCGCGTTTCTTCCCTTCTCTCAATGACTGAATGAGGTCGTTTGACGATCGATCCTTGGATGCCGGTATCAACAGAGCCACACTACGGCCGCTGTGTGAATAGAGCCGCCTATATTCTGCGCGTGGGGCTGTGTGATCAGGTAATTATGTACCGTCCGCTATAACTCGATGTCGATCCTGGGCTGTGCGACCGGTTAGGTCACCTGTTCGTGTTCGTGTTCGATTCTGTGGGGGTAGCGTTCTAGAGCGTAAGAGGTAAGAGACTAAGCTGAGGCATCTGCAGGTTCGAAATCCTGGAAAATCCCTCTGTTGGGCTCGTATTGCCGACGTATTGCGCGTGCCGAGATGCCGACGGACGGTGCAGTATAGTAGTCGAGAGAAAGAAGTGAGGGTTGATTGGCTTGGTGAGCATACACGATACTACCACACAGAGTACCTATGTACTTGCACTCGAGGGCTGGCTCCCAGTGGTCGAGCGAGAAAGTGGACCAACTAGGATTGAAGGGCTATCGTGTGTGATGCGCTGTCGCAATATTATAATTATGTTTATGAGTATGAGTATGTATGCCGACGACCACGAAGGGGCCGTGTGATCCAGGCGTACAGTTATACCAGCCAGCGCAGGGTATGAGACTACGCAGGAGGAGAGAAAACTTCATGATTCCAGCCATTAGTTTATGTTGGCGGACAACTGCTATCTGGGATCTCATGCTACGCTCATCATCAACATTCGTCGTCAGAATTGGCTGTGCTTTCATTTCCACATTCGTGTTGAAATCCAAAGTGGAACCATGTATCGTAAGAAGGGTTCAAGGAAACTCGTAACGGCGTTGGTTATAGGCCCTCTGGTCCTCGTAAAATGCTCATCATCAGACATACCCGGAAATATCGTCATCATATCATACCCTCCCCATCTCCGTCATCTCTATCTCCCCTTGCTCTTTCTCCCTTCTGGCCCGAAGATCCCATCCAGGAAATTCCCAAATAGCTTGCCCGCGGCACCTTTTCCGGCAAGGATTTCGTCTAGCCGATCTGCCAGCGGATCGTCACCTGGGCTGGTCTTTCTGCGACCTTTCTCGTCGAACCTAGGCGGCAGCTCGATGGTTGCGTCCGAGTCGGCGGGACTTGCTACACGTTCAAGTTCTGGACCTTTGGAGCTGGAACTCGGCCCACCACGGGACGACTGAGGCTCGTGCGAGCGTCGGCGTCTATGTCTGCGCCTTTCTGTCTCGGCGGAATCAGGATGCAGCGATCGAGATGACGACTCTCGATTCCCTCGCCGCATCTCGTCTGGAGTTGAGTCGGTGTCATCTCCTGCTTCATAACCGCGGGCATGTGAATGCTTAGGTCGACGGTGGCGGAGCTCAGGACTTGATGGCTCCGACTCGAGTGGGGCACCATCGGAGAACTCGGGTTTGTCGGCGAATTGGACACTCTTTCGGGATGTCGAGGGTGGTTGAGATTGGGAACGCGGAGGAGAGACGCCCCGAGTAAAGGGTGGAGGATACGTCTCCTGACGGGCCAGGTTGGCCGCAGGAGACGGTCCAGGAATAGGTGGTTCATAGGTAGAAGTTGAAGGAGGAATGGGTGGCGCAGGGTTGGAAGATGGTTGGGTACTGGCGAATGGTGGCCGAGCGGCAGGGAAAGGACCAGGAGCTGCTCGGTTTAGACCTATATACGCGAATTTCATGTCAGCCTGTGGGAAGGGGTCGCTTCGCGGGATCTCGAGGAGCTACACGACTATGACATACCATCTGGGATATGGTTCTGGTCATTCATGGGAGTGGTAGGTGCAAAAGGATTGCCAAATACAGGACTCGGCTCAGCACTCACATTTTCAGGACCGCGTGGTGCGTAAGGGTTGGCACCAGAAGCATAGGCGTCGTAGGGTTGAGCCGGCGCGGGCGGAGCACCTGGCGGAGGGGGAGGAGGTGGGTAGCCTTGTTGACCGTACGGCGCGGACCCGGGTGGAGGGGGTGCCATGCCGGGCCCAGCTTGTGGTGGATATTGCTGTGGGATAGAGCCGGGTGGTGGTGGGAACTGGCTAGATTGCGGATAGAATCCCTGCTGGGTGGCGTAAGGGTCGTGAGCCGGAGGCGGTGGTGTTGGAGCATATTGACCGCCTGGAGCGTAATTGTTGTCCTCGTATGGATCACGGCCATATCCTTCTTCGTGTTGACCTAGGATACGTTAGCTGCACTCCTATGTTAACCTGGATCTTAACTCACGTCTTCGTGCTCTGCGCTCCCGCCTCTCTTGTCTTCTTCTCTCGGCTTCACTAGCTCCAGCAGCACCGGCTGCGGCGGCCGCTGTCACCCTAGCTGCGTCTCTCGAATGTCTCCGTCCACCACGATCTGGAGACGAGCTGGAGCTACGGTCCCTCCTCCCACCACGATCCCGGCTCAAACTACGGCTCCTGCTTCTCGTTCCCCGTTGAGCACCATAGCCTGCTGCAGCACCTGCAGCAGCAGGAACGACTGCGCTGGAGTAATAGCCTTCTTGCGGTGGGGGTCTACCATAATAGTCTGCACCGAAATTGTTGCCGTACATGGGTGTATTTCCATATTCAACCAAACTTTGGTCATTTTGAGGTGGGGGCGGTCCGTCATAGTAAGCAGAGTGCTCGGACCTGGCTCTGCTTCTCGACCTTGAGCGGGCACGGCGGTTTTTGTCCACAATTTCCTCAGCTTCCTTCTTGGCTTTGTGTTTTTCATATACTCCAGCGACCGCAGCACTGCCAAGGCCAGCCGCGATGACAGGTAGAGCCTGCCTGATTCGACTCCGAGAACGCTCCTTTCCGTCTCTGGCTCGTGACTTGCTTCTTGCGTGCTCTATCAGCGCTGCGACCACGGCGCCACCAGCACCGGCCTTTGCAATGGTGTTCCTGCGATGTTTCGGGTTGCGCGCATCATCCGAAGGAGCATCTGGGTCATTCTCAATGCTTGAAACTGATTCAGCCCTACGTCGGGATCGAGAACGGCTGTGAGAGCGACCACGCCTGTCATCATCGTCGCCGTTCTTCTTGTTCATGCGCTTCGTTGCAATGGTCGCGGCAGCGGCTAGTGCAGCAGCACCAAGGCCCACGGCGCCAAGAGTCTTCAACTTGGACGGCGACTCGGACCGAGACCTGCTCCGGTGGCGGCGAGAACGCGAATCAGAGCGAGATCTCGAGTGGCGGCGGCGGCTTCGACTGCGGTGCATAGACCTTGCCCGATGGATGCCCTCGGCGGCGAGGGCTCCGAGGGCGCCCGCCCCAAGGTCACGCCCGACACGACCGACGCCATGCGAGACGTCTTGGCCTTCTTTTCTTTTATGGTTCCGGAGGAGCTCTGCTGCGCCGACTCCGGCGAGAACACCAGCAGCAAGGCCCCTCTTGCGATCGGGGCTGGCGCTTTCCTCGCGGACCTCTTTGCGGACATACACCATGCTATCGTCGCTGCTATAATCACGTCCCCTTTGAGAGACGGAATCGTGAGGGCTCACCGAGCGACGTCTGCTGCGTCGTTCGTAGTAGTCATCATCGTCTCGTCGATGGTCAACGCGTTCCCTGACTTTCTTCTCGTAGAAGAAGTCTTCCTCTCCGCGAGGCGACCGCGGTGGTGGATCTCTGCTGCGGACCATGCTTCGCTCGTCGTCAATGTCTGACTTGCGAACGATCTGATAGTCATCGTCGCGCACTCGCTCTCGGATAATTATTGGCTCCTGCCGGATGATGATGGTCTGCGGAGGAGGTGCTGGAGCAAAGTAGTCTGTTGTGCGACTGTACCGCTGAACATCCCGGTCGTCATAGCCACGAGGAGAAAGCATCTCGTAATCATCCCGATATCGGGTGTCGACGACTTTCCGCTCGTCATAACGGGCGACTTCAAAGTCGTCTCGACGTGGCTCGTCCCGTTCAGCAGTACGTCTGATGATGAGTTCTCTTTCCTGCACTGGTTCCTCTCGTCTAGCATCGTAGACGACGGATCTAGCTCGAGGAGGAGACTCATCTCGCTCGCGCCTGATGACCAGTTCACGCTCCTGTATGCGGGCTGGTTCCTCTCGGCGGATTTCACGGGCAGGTTCATCAATCTCACGACGAACAATGCGTGTTTCTTCGACTCTTTCTCCTGCTCGTTCCGGGACAAACGTCCGAGCGCGGCCCACCGACGAGCGGCTGTCACGGTCATCTTCCTTGACTATATACCGTTTCACAGTCGTGTATCCGCCATCACGACGAGCCGAGGAAACTGATGTGCGGGAGTCGTCATAACGATCCCGGTAAACAGAGCCCATGCTGGGCTCGTGCCGGAAGCGAGCGGCACTGCGATACGAAGAACAGACGCGCAGGCGGGCGGGTTTCAGGTGCGGTCGAAGTCAATCTCGTCTGTGAGGTAATGTTAGCCGAGTAGCGGCTCGGTGCGGTCTCGTTGCTCGTCAAAGAATGTTAGGAGGAGGGAGGATGAAAGATGGGTAAGATGATGAGGAGAGCAGTTGGGCGTGAGCTGGCAGCAGGGGATTATCTGAATGGGGGTGGAAGGATCAGATGGCGCATGCAGCTGGACGAGAGTAGAGACGGGGCAACTCGCACGTCCCAGCCTGGTGAGCGTGCCCAGATGTTCTGCGATGCTCCGGAATAACGACCAGTGGGAAGAGCGGGTGCCCTTGCGCTGGACAACTGGGAAGCTGGGCCGTCCGAAATATTGCAAAGCTGGCTTGGGCAGCCGTAGAGTGGTGGAAAAGTGGGCTCAGGCTTGGGTTGAGAGGGGAAGAAGCTGAAGATGGAGGGGCAATTCGTGGTGGGAAATTGGTGGGCTGGTCGAGAGGACAGCGCAGAAGGCAGCCAGAAGCAGGCGAGAAGAACTCGGGCGCCGAAGATGACGTCAAGGTACAGGCACGCAACAGTGAATGACCTGAATCCACAACTGTTGCTGTCTGACGTCGGAGTACACAAATGAGTCCCGGTCAACTACTAGGTATGTGGGCGATGAGAGCAAAGATGCCACAAAAGACCATGTCAATTTGCTGACCTGATCTTGTTGCAGCCTGACCTTGTAATCCCTATCACCTCGAAGCTCAGGCATGAGTAACCGGTGAGCACAACAAGTCAAGTGAACGGCTGGCCACATGCACCTCACCAAGCGCAGAAGGCCGCATGTTCAGCCATCAACTGCTTCGGCATTGACTACCTGATTCTCTGCCACGGTCTCAATCACTGGCACCGGACTGTTATGAACACAATGAAAGAAATCGCAACTGACGGTGGCCCTACGCGAGGCTTACCAGGAATTTGTCCCCAGTGCGCCTCTATGCCCCTTTTCCATGACTTCCCAGTCCCTGCTTGGCCTATCTACTTTGCTTTCTTTCGCCATTCTCCGCCGACCGCTGTATCGTCAAGTATAACTTGCAGTTCCCAATGCTTTTGTCTTTTCCCGACTTTTGCCCTCCGGGTATCTGAGTCGTTGGATCGTGATATGCCTCCCAGAATAACAGGGTAGGACTTGTTCATTCATGAACAAACGAAATTCGTTGCAATCATAACTTCAAAACTCCTCTGCCCCAGATGAAGAGGTCGCTTGCTTTCGATTTCTCCCAGACGGATGCAATACACCATCCCGCCATCGCAAAGTGATGCACCACTTGTTGGTACCGCAGCCTCCTCCCTTGACAACATGCCTCTGCCGCGCTGGAACCCCCTAACGTGTCTCAGGCAATATTGGCTGTGATGACTTGGCTTCCGTTGCCAGCGCCCGTTGCGTCGACCGACGATGATCCTGCAACAGCCTAAAGCTTGAGAAGCTGCGGGTTATCACCGAGGTCGGCCGTGGAGTCATCGTCGGTGGGTAACACCTTGATGCGGCTACCGATCTTAGCGGACCGGGTCTTCGAGCTCAGGGGCAGCTGATATTTGATCACCCCCCTGACGATAAGATCAAACGGATGCTGTAGCACTCTCTCCCATCTCGCAGACCCTCCCACTTCCGTCTTGTTGCCTGGTCTGGCCAGCCGGATCTCGCCTACCGAGGAATGATAGCTGTGACGAAGCGGCGAAGACTCAAATACCAAGGGCGAGTCGAACTCAAGAACTCTGCCCAGCAACATTTTCTGCGTGCCCGATTCGGGATCGTCTATCGGATCAGTGCCCTCGTCGACTCCGTCATCCGACTGCCATGGAGGCCAGTCAAATCCCAAGCTCTTTGTATCTTGACGACTGGCCCAACGGAGTCGGCTCTTCTGCGATTGGTGTTCCCAGTTAGACGTGGACCCCACATAAGGACTTTCGGCGAACAAATTGACGTCTAGGTCGTTCACCGTAATGGCAAATAGATTCGTGTTAAGCGCTTCGACCTGCAGGTCCAGCATCAATTCCTGCTCAGATGCAAGCACGTTCTGAAGATGTGTGATAGAGACATCCAGCAGTGGCCTGTTGAGAGCCATGACAAAGGTGCTGACCCCGACACAAACAACGAGAATCACGAGACCAAGACAAATGCAACTCAGCCACCCGCCACAGTAACCCCGGTCGAGTGGTGTGTTATAATCGAGGTGTCGGAAGGTCGCGCTGTGAGGGCGACGACTGTGGCGGGTGCGATTGACCCGAACAGAACCCATCAAAGGCGTTCTTTCATCGTCGGCTGCGTCGTATGGATCGAAGACCTCGCCTTTACGCGGAGTTGAGGAAAGTCGCCCATTCGAATTTCTCGGACTGTTAGGACGAGAGAACCGTGACAAGTTGTTCGTAGAAGGCCGTGGCGAATTTGGCTTGTTTGCCTGGGTGAAGGTCGAGTCTGCGTCCAATATTGAGGCGTGGTGAGGTCGACCATGACGAGTAATATGGTGGTGACGAGGAGTCGAACTGGTGGTGCGCTGACTTCCGCGTCCTTCTGGGCCTGCCTCCCCATCGAGATGGTTGTTATAGGCGCTGTTGGAAAACTTCATGCTCTTCTTCCCAGGTATCGCCTGGCTGCCGCTGCGAATACCATGCTTGCTGCGGCTGCCAAACTGTTCTTGACTGGCCAGCGAGGTGGCACTCGGCGTTCGAGAGTGATGACGAGCCGGCCTGTTGTCGGGCGGGTTGGACTCATAGACAAAGGTCTCGTCCGAATCGTCCGATTCAGCTTCATCAACCGCGCTCGCAACCCTTGCCTCAAACAAATCAGCCTTCGAAGTGATGGTCCCGGCATGGATTGATGGTGCTTTGCGAGGCTTCTCCTTTTTCTTCCTCGGTCTGATGGTCTCATTGCTTGGTTTGGTTCTGACACTGCCATTGCCATCCCTATCCCTTCCACTTCGGTCAGGGCCTAGCAATTGGGGCATGGATGTAACAGTCTCTGTCTCCACAGTCATAGTCCTAGGAGGATCCGGTTGCTTTGGTTTAGAACCTGTAAGGCTGCTGAAGGAGCGTTTTGCTAGGTCCGAAGCTGGGCGGGAACTACTAGGAGCTCGCGATCTTCGACCACCTTCAATCTTTGCCGCTGCCATCTTTGAAGGGCCTTCACCAGCACTTCCTTCACCATCTTTTGCTATCGGTTGTTCTGGCCGAGATTCATTCTTCTGATCGAGAGATGAGATATCCAACTTCTGGTCTGTAAGCGACGTCATCACAGGGCCGATCGAAGGAGTAGTTGGGACACTGTTTTCGGCCACCGTTTCCAAGGTACTTGTTCCTGTACTTGCACCTCGAGCTGACGTTCTTGTGGTGGGCGGTCCAATGTGTTCTTGTGAGTCTGGGACATGCATCGCAGCAGCTTGATCAGGGTTGGAGGCGGGTGCCAGTCTCTTCAGGGAGGTGTTTGACGGTGTTTGGTCCGCCTCATTTCTCTTGCTCGACGGCGTTCTTTGCGCTGTCTTGGACGGTGGAGGAGACTTCAGTCGGGGGGAAGTGGGCCACGAAGGTGTGGCTTGTATAGGCTTCGTGGATCTCTCTGACGAGCGACCACCTTCGAGCACCGAGTCTACGGTGGGGGGTTGTAGAATGGGCCTGTGGGCTGACAGGGCTCGTTGGACTGCTGCAGCAGAAGGCATTGTGGATAAGGATCCGGTTGCCGTCGAATTGCGAGTCGGGCTGAATTCCTGACTGCCCTTGCGAGATCTCGATAGCGGAGGTATGCTGGATACACTGCGCGAACTGCGGGCGGGAGACGCCTCGCGAGATGTGTTGGCCATATCGCCGGCTGCTTGCGGAGGAATATTGTCCGCCGGTGGTCCTAACATGATTCAAGGCAGGGATTCAGGCCGGGGCCGTTGTGCTACTCCTCTGTCCGGCTACGATCCGGACAGGCTATCTATGACTGACAAGTGGATTCGGAGTTTGCAGGATCATCGCGGCAACATAGGCCGGATCGGAAATAGGCGGGAGGACTGTTAGATCGGGGCAGGGTACTCGTCCCTGGCAGGCATCGGAGACCACAGTAGAAGAGGAAGGCGAGTAATCGGAGGAAACGGATTGCGTGAGGATGACAGGAGGCGAGAGTTGTAAATGGTGGTGAGAGGCATGGGAAGACCAACAGAATAATGGGGATCCAGGATGAAGGGATGAACCAACAACAATATCGCAGGCGAAAATGCACAAATGGCGGATGGGAGAAAGAACCGGGGAAGCGACTTGCCGGTCGACGCTGAGTGGATTATTGCCCGTCCGCATCGCCGTCATGGTTCGCTGCCACAGTAGGCGACCCCCCAAACTGTGGCTAGGCGCTGTCTGATAGGTGGCTTGCCCCAACTTTAGCCCTCACTTAGGCCCTGCACCTGCAGACTGCAACGTGGACATTGTGCTTTGCCAGGTGGCGCCCTCCCGCTACGAGCCTGCAGCCTGCAAGCCGAGGAAGGCTTCGACGCACCACAATAATGTTGTGCCGCCACTTGCTCATCGATTTTCAGACGTCCCGAGCATTTCGCTCGCAATCGTCCTCCAAGAGCGCGATTAGCGTCACTGTCGCTGGAACGGAGCCTGGGTCCGGTGCCTGTGCCTGAACCCCGACCGCGTTGGTTGCTGACATTGGTGCTGGGAAGCTAAACGCTTTCGAACGACCCGACTTTTCGCGAGTCCGGCACTGACTCGTTCGATTCTCCGCGCGAGTCGTCACATGTACCATGGCTTCCAAGAGTACCTTATCCTATGCTCAGCGTGCTGCGAGACACTCCAATCCTTTGGTCAAAAAGTTATTCGAAATAGCCGAGAGGAAGAAGACCAATGTCGTCCTCTCCGCGGACTTGGCCAGCACAAAAGAACTTCTGGCTATCGCTGACAGTAAGTTGACGCTTCGAAACCTCCCATTACAGCGAGATAAACGTGAACGAACAGTAAGACGGCTGTGAGATCAATGCCAAAATCGTCTGGAAATGCCATCTTGCCATTCTGTGGAAATTGATTTGAATCGAGTCTGACACCCACTCCCCATCATGTAGGCCTAGGACCCCATATTGCAGTCCTCAAAACGCACATCGATATTCTCTCTGATTTCGGTCCGGCTACCATCAGAGGTTTGACTGAACTTGCCCAACGGCATGACTTCCTTCTCTTCGAGGACAGAAAGTTCGTCGACATCGGCAACACAGTCCAGAAGCAGTACAAAGGGGGAGCTCTGATGATCCATGAATGGGCGCACATTGTCAATGCTACCATTCTCCCTGGTGAAGGTATTATCCAGGCCCTTGATCAGACTATCCGTGAAGGGGGAATCACGGAACGAGGCGTTCTGATTCTGGCCGAGATGACCTCAAAGGGCTCACTAGCAGTTGGTGAATATACTCGGGTATCGGTCGAGATTGCAAGAAAGTACCCCCAGAGTGTCCTGGGCTTCGTGTCAACAAAGGAGCTGTCCAGCCATTCTCCCAACGCCACACGGGATGAGGACTTTGTAGTATTCACCACCGGTGTCAATCTTTCCAGCAAAGGAGATGCTCTGGGCCAACAGTACCAAACGCCCACAACTGCGATGGCAGGGGGCTCTGACTTTCTCATTGCCGGGCGAGGCATATACGGTGCCAAAGATCCCTTGATTGCAGTTAAGGAATACCAACAGGCGGGTTGGGAAGCATACGAGCAACGAGCGAGCCCGTCACTCAGTAAATGAGCAGCGACGGGGCGCCACATTGTGGTACAGTGAGAACAAAATGAAGCCGCACAAGGCCCCGACATGGCATTTATTGAGCGTTGTTCTGCTCATCCCTGGCTCTGGAGGATCGCATCAGAACATACGAAGTACTCGTGATCCTGTATCCAATTATCTCGGACCCCACTACGACCCATGCTGAGGAACCATTTACTCTCCACGGACTTCGGAGTCATCCCCCTCGGAGAGCGTGCGCATGGCGTGCATGATCCGTCGTCATCTGGAGGCCCGTGTGCAGCGGTACCGATATCACCTGCTGATGTGTTCCGTACCTCGTATGTACGTATTTAGAAGTTGAAGATATGAGATAATCTCGCCTACTTCCCACCAGTTCCCTTTAAGACGAAGACAATAATTTCTCTCGGGCTAAAGTAGAAGAGGGGGAGGAGAAATCCGGGTCCCGCAAGATTGGAACAGGCTACAGTTAGGCCCCGAGCTATCGTCCTTTTGGGTTTAGCTTTGTTTTGCTTGGCGCTCGTGTCCGACGCGTCCGAGTCGAAATCTTTGCGCCCGACTTTCATCGACGTGTCATCGAGGCCCTCTGGCCTGTGAATATTGTGTACAAGCAAAGACACTGAAACTCGAACAGGACACACCCAACTTGATCCAGACATCTGGCGCTGCGGTTTCTCGTTCAACAAATCTAGGACACGCTCTGGCAACAAACAAAGAACCGTTACGACGAGCGCTTTATCGATCGCCACAAACAAATACCCGTTGCTGTCACCGATAGCGCTTTCCGCGCACGCGATCGTCCGGACCCTGACGAAAGACCAACACACCAACACACCAACACACCAGCAACATCAGCAGTTGCGACCCAACTGAGCCGGCCTTTTCCTCGACCCGACGATCAGGGACCTGGTTGCTGCCTACCCGCCTACCTCAACCGTCACCAGACAAGTCTTGCCGATTTCCTCCAAACTACCTTCACTCCACCTCTCGACCTCTCGACTTCCCACTGTCCTCCCCCATATCCATTTGACAGCCAGCCACAGTCGCTCAGACGAGCCCTCCGACATCTCGATATCGCTTCAACAAGCTACCACCACTACTGTCTTCACGCCAGCTTAGTCACATATCTACATCCAGACATTATCGCCTATTCTCGTGACTGCTGCCGGGAACCATCGTCACCTCCTATTGCGCGCCTCGTTTGTCTGGCATCTCGCCGTCCTGGGCGCGTCAACGATGCGAGGAGCCCAGTAGACTGCACCGAAGTGTTGCCCTTCAAAGTATCTCCCGGACAACGAAGAGTTTGAGTCACGAACCATCTTGTCTCAGGGCGGTGCTGGGGTTCATGGCAGAGGTTGGGACAGGGTTTATCTAAAGTGTTGTGCTGAAAGAGAAAGAGAGCCGGGGCTAGCCATGATGACAACGTACTCTCCTCATCACGAGGAGCGTTCACCGAAGAGTCTTATCTCCCACTTCGACCCCCAGTCCGCCATCCGAGAGATCCGTCGTTCGTTGTCGCGTTCTCCCTCAAAAAACTCTGAGTTCCGCCATCAACATTCGCTAAGGTCTCCTGGACCCGGCAATGCGCCCTTCTCGCCATCACCACTGTCACCCTCAAGACACGCAGTTTCAGAGAGCAACCTACTCTTTGCAAGTATGGGTACTCCTCATTTAAACCGACCTGCTTCCACCTCGCGATTCCAACGTCCTGCACTTCGGAGAACGAACCAATCTCACGGAGTGACTCGACTGCGTACATCACCGAGAAGTCCAACCAAGCGAGCTCTCGCGGATTCGAGCGATGGCGGTAATGCGTCTCCGATGCCACTCCGCAAAAGAAGCTCAGCCGAGGCCGAGCGTGAACTTGCTTTGAAATGCTTGACTGCAGGAGAAGAGAAAGAGAACGATAAGTCTCCAGACGAACCATTGAGCTGGAAGGCTGCACATACCCGGCAGGAAAAGAGACGGAGTGGCGGTACACTGATGACTACCGTCGCTCCTTTGAGTCCCATGAAGCGGTCAGAGGGCTCGAGATCGGATGAGACACCAGCTTTTGAGAGTCCTTCAGCCAAGCGGAGAAGCCTTCATGGGCCAGGCCTCGATTTTAGCATATTTGAGTCCGACAGTGGAGATGGAGGTTTGTTTGGTGACAGGCGGACACAGGATGACCACGACTGGTTTGGTACCGGCTCCTCGCTATCGTCGACTCGATTTTCAACGATTCCTAAGCGCTCTTCGTCGCTCCGAAAATCGACCATACAGCAACGACAATTTGACCGGTCGAGTAACCTCAAATTCAATCAATTCATGGATGTCGACAGACCCTTGTTTGATACAACGCCGGTCACCCACTCGAAGAAGGAAACGCGTATGTCCCTGGACAACCATGTCGAACCCTTGCCTCGAGACAGCCCTTTCTCAAGTCAAGGACAACTTCTGAGCGCATCGGTACATCCTGTCACCACACAATCCCGCCACCCACTTGCGCGGACCATGACTCAATCCGCACAACAAAATGATGAGCAAGACGATTCGCCAACCCATGAACCAATCCATCGACCTACCAGACCTCGTTCACATGACTTCTCGAAGTCTCTCCCGGTCGGGTCTTCGAGGCCAGTGCCATCCTCTGACGACCATGATCTCTCTTCCCAGGCATCTTTTGCAACTCCCAGCAATTACAAAGCCGCCAGACCGTTACCTGCTGCCTTCATGTCGACCGGTCTAATCTCCAAGAAGAATCGCAACGTGGAAGACCCGAATGCTGGTTTGCCCAAAGCCCACATGCCAGATACACCCTGCAAGAGACAACCTCCGCTCTTTCAGAAGGATGAACAATTCGCACCTGCTAAGAGTGCTGTCAACAGACTCACTCGGCAGTCCTTTGGTATTCCTGCCAGTCCCCTCGAGATGAGCCATGGCCCTTCGAAGGTCTCAGCTTTTCCCTTCTCCAGGAGCCTTGGAATATTCGGTGCTCGTTCCTCCAAGCACAACCTGCTCAAAGAGGGAAGCTTTCCATCTATCGAAGCTGACGACAAGTCAATGGGTCGTTCGCCTCTCAGCCGTGCCAATAGCCAGTCGACTGACTCGGACTACCCCCCGACACCCACCAAACACTTGACTGAAGATGACAGTCGAAATTCGGTTTCTCCATCTCCGCATCATCCCGCCGTGAGTGCTCGTCAGTCTGCCCCTCCTTCAGCTCACGGAATTCGGCTGTCAAGTGGTAAGTTGTCTCCTATCATGGCATCACCAGGAAGCCTCGACCGGGACAGTGATAGCGCGATGGAGGACTCTCCATCAGCCAACCTGAGACCAAAGTCATCGCTGAATGCCGCCTCTATTTCATCTTCCTCATTCATCAAAGGTCGTACTTCGAGAAGCGTTGGGCTCCCAACTCCTTCGGCGGGAAAGACACTTTCGATTCCAATTCTCGATTCGCCCGCTTTGAAACGTGCTAAGATGATATCTGTACCCCCAGTAAGCCCAAGGATGGAGAAGGTGGATCGTGGTTCCCCCCATACGCCTTTGGACAGCTTCTTCCCACCTGATCCCAGTGGTCTTACGATTTCCGGCCGTGCCGAACGTCCACCCACAAGACAGAGCAACCTACCACTCATGATTCCAGCAACGCCTACCGGTCCCAGAGAGTACTTCTCCAATTTCTCCAACCGCCCCAGCCTGAATCTAGCTTCGGCAGACGCCACGAACATTGACGGTAGCTTGACCTCAAGGTTCGAGAAGGTGGATTTGATCGGCTCTGGAGAGTTTTCCCAGGTCTATCGAGTATCACAACCACCGGAGACATCTCCGTACCACAAAATCTACTCTGTGTCAGCAAGTCGACCATCATCCAGGAGCTCTGTGCCTGGAATGGTGTGGGCTGTCAAGAGATCTCGCTACCCTTACACTGGCGTTAGAGACCGTCAGAGAAAGATACACGAGGTGGATGTGCTCAAAGCTCTTGAACAGTCAGACCATATTGTGACATTCGTCGACAGTTGGGAGGAGAATGGACATCTCTACATTCAAACCGAGTTCTGTGAAGAAGGCACGCTTGATGTTTTTCTTGCACAGGTTGGCTTGAAAGCGAGACTGGACGACTTCCGCATCTGGAAGATCCTGCTTGAATTGTCACAAGTGAGTTCGCCCCAACGTGCTTTGTAGAGACCAAGCCTGACATTTCACAGGGCCTGAAGCATATTCACGACACTGGCTTTATTCATCTTGACCTCAAGCCGGCGAATATCCTCATTACTTTCGAAGGGGTTCTCAAGATCGCCGACTTTGGAATGGCGACTCGATGGCCAGCCAAAGCAGGAATAGATGGCGAAGGCGACCGCGAATACATCGGACCCGAAATCTTGATGGGCAGATACGACAAACCTGCGGACATTTTCGCCCTCGGTCTGATCATGTTGGAGACCGCCGGAAACGTCGAGCTACCCGACAATGGCGTGTCCTGGCAGAAACTGCGCAACGGAGATATGAGTGATGTTCCGAGCTTGACCTGGAGTTCCGCGACCAGTGGCATTCTGAGAGACGCTTCAGGCAATCCTGTCTCCCGAGAAAACTCGGTCGATGTCAACCTTGATGCCTATGATGGAGATGTGGAGGTGGTTGATCCTGAGAACCCCGGGGGCTTCGCGGCTCAGGACCAAGGAAAACCCACACGCTTCGTGCGAAGTGGCGAGCTCGTCCATCCGCCCCAGTTTATGATTGACCCTTCACATGAACATGCACTTGAAAGAGTGGTTCGATGGATGATATCTCCCGACCCGACCGACCGGCCCGTTGCCGCGGACGTCCTCAACACCGAGGGAGTCAGATGGGCTGAGGCCAGACGCCGTGCTGGAGCGACCGTGTTCGAGGGCAATTGGGGGCCTGCGGATGACATCCTGGCAGAGGATGCCGAAATGATCGATGTTTAAGCTATCTAAGCGGGTGATGCAAACCCCTGGATAGCAGAACAAACGTCGTTTCTTGGACACGGTGGGAAGTTTATCGGACACTCAGGAACATGGTTTCTGGCAACAATTTGTCTCATGATCGAAACGACATTCGAACAGTCAGCTCACAGCATGTTATTCTGGTTCTGACAAGTTTTTAACGTCGTCTCCGCTTGCGAGTCAGGGAGGGTTTTTGGATGGCATCACATGACTTTGTGGTTGTCTGATATGCACCTGAAGTTACGGCATCACCAGCATGTCGACCACGTTCATTTTTGCATGATGAAAGAGCTACCAAGACGGAAAGACAGAACTTTTTGGTTAACTGAGCACACAAGATATCTCTCAGCTGGATCGCATTAGGAGGAACAGCACAAGCCTTTGGTGGCATCAGCGGCATGGTCTCTCACAGCGGATATCCATATACCTGAATCAGGGAAGGAAGCGACAGGGTAGGCTGGTTAGGGCTGAATAGGGCAGGACAGGGCATGTTAAGGACCGGGGAGTAGCCTACCTATGTAAGATTTTGAGCTGCAGTTTGTTGAAAGCATACTACTGCATGCATTTTCCCCAAGGGAATGAAATGAATGACATGACATGATGATACACCTCTGACCAGCCATGAATGGTTGATAACATCCTTTGTTGTGTGCTTGATGTGTCGGCGCGACTGTAGTGAAAATCAACCTTCTCGCCGTGGTCCTCAAGAACTCGAAGGAGGGGAAGATCGATAGACACGCAGCGAACTCGGGAGGTCAGAACACCGAACTTTGCCAGAAGTCGACTGCCCCCCTTACATAGAGGTACAGTAGTTGGTTGGTAGTCAAAGCTGATCGATTGATTACGCGTACCGGTACTCCGTAGTGGTATCTCAAGGCCAAGGAACAAATCGAACCTCCCACTCCGAGAGAGGGGGAGTGATACTGTGAAGACAACTCCAGTGACTGGCCAGATGCACGCTCCAACCCCAATCCCCCAACTAATTCCGTCAATAACTTAGCAAAGACAAGAAGAACTGAGTCAGAATATTCCATTACATGTCCGTGCGGACCTGTGCCACCTGTGCCGCCTGGCGTCATTGCCTGGTGCTCTCTTTCTCCCCAGTGACCAAACGTCTTTGTGTTCTCCCTCGCTGCTTTGTGTCTCATCATTGCCTGGTGTGCTCTCTTCCGAATGATCAAACATGTTTGTTTCCTCGCTGCTTTGCCTGTCCTCGGCCGCGGGCAATCGTGGAATCGGTCTGTGTGGTATGTGCTTCCCATCGGACACCCGAATGAGCCGCGCGAATCTGTTACTGCTTGAGCATCTTCTTCTTGTCGGATCCCTCCAGGTGGCCGTTCATCTGATGGGGTGCCTCCTTTGGAGGCACAGGCATCTGCATCATCCAGCTCGGCAGGGCGATGCCCGTCTGTTCTTGGACCGTCGACAGCAACGGAGGCAGCGACTGCATGATGTTCTTGATCGGGGCGATGCCTTGGTTCATCCCGACGCCGTCGCCGCCGTCGGCACCGGTGTTCCAGACCGTGATCTTCGGTTGGAGCCCCTGGATGGCCTTTGCGTTGGCGGAGGCGAGTTTCTCAAACGTGTTCTCCTTGAGCATCATGTACTGGAGCAGGCCTTGCGGTCCGCCAAACGCCTCGGCGAGGGCCTTGTACGCCTGCGCCTGCGCCTGCGTGGCTTCCGCCTCGCGCATCTTGGCGTGGTACATGGCGTCGGCTTCCTTGGTTTGCCGCTCCACACTGGCCTGGATCTGCTTTTGCTGCTTGAAGAGCTGGGCTTCGGCGTCCTGCTTCTCGGCGTACGCCTTGGCGTCGGCGACCTTGAGCTGTCTGTACTGTTCGGCGTCGGCTTCTTGTTGGGCCGTCTCTCGGGCGATTTGGGCCCGGACGAGGTCTTTGGCACGCAGCCGCTCGAGCTCGGTGGCTGCTTTTTTGGTTTCCACGTCCTTTTGAAGTTCCGCGTCACGGGACTCGGCGGCTCTGCGAGCTTGGATTTGGGCCATTTGGATGCCCATGTCGAGTTCTGTCTGGCGGTTCGTGAGCTCGGCATCGGCCTGCGCCTTCTCGGCTGTGGAAAACAGTCAGCATCGATTGAAAAACTGGATGAGTGGGAAACTAACCTTTCCGCTTGGTCTCAAGAACGGCTGTTTCTGCCTCGATCTTGGAGATCTCTTGCTTCGTTTGCCCCTTTCTTCCGGCTTCACCGACTTCACCTCGCATGCGAGCCTCGGCGACGTCGATACGTGCTTGGTTGGACGCGCCTTCGTGGGCTTTTCGCGAGAGAAAGGCAAAGTACTCGGAGCCGGGAGTATCCTGGAGTTCCTTGACGTTGGCGTTGTAGATGCGTAGACCAAACTGGTCGAGTTCATTCTGGACGTTCTCAATGACCTGCGGAGTGATTAGCATGAGAACCCGTGGATTACCCAGTTGTTATTACCGCACCTTTTGCTTGAAGACTTGGCGCTCCTTGAAAATTTCTTCCATGGTCATACTGGAGACGATAACACGCGTCTCGCCCTCGATGATACCCTTGACGATGTCCTGGACGTGATGTCGCTGGGTCGGTGTGATAGCTCTGCCAGGCTTATTTGCGTGGACGGCTGTCCCGTCGGGATTGCCGCTGAGGAGCAAAGCATACTTTTTCAGTGCTTCGGGTTTGTTATCGGGGCCGATGGTGAACACGGCGGGCAGGGCAAACTGAAGCTTTTCGATCGTCATGGCTTGCAGGTTGAGGGAGAAGTCGAAGGGGGAGACGGAGATGCGGGCAACGCGTTGCCATGGATAGATGAAAGCCTTCTTGACGATGCGAACATCGTCGACACCAGCACCCGTGACAACGAGATACTCGTTGGCGTCGGAAATGTGGTACCACATGCCGGGCATGAAGATGTGATTGTTTCTGATGATAGACCAACGAATGAGGAGTGTACGAAGAAAGTCGCCGTTATATCACGGTGATACGGAGAAAGAAGTGACACAAACCTGTCACCGAGAAAGCCTGGGGGAAGGGAAGCAGAAGCAAACAACTCAAGGGAAGTGCCAACCTGATATATACCACGGTCCCCAAGCAAGCACGGCCTCCAGCATAGTGTTTGCCAATAAAAGCATCCGTAACGACCGGTGGAAGCAAAAGTTAACGAGCTACGCAACGCCTTGGCTCGTAGGCTATCGAACGTCCGTGGTTCCGATGGGCATGAAATCTCGTGCTGCGCATCCGGCGTATAACTGGAGGCTTTCAGTGAGTCTGATTGTTTGATTCCACTCTGTGACTGTTCGCTTCCAAGGCCAAGAGGAAAGTCCCATAGAGATATTGAGCCAACCTGAAGCAGGTAAGACGTACAAGCAGAACGCCCTGTGGGCAACAGACGGAGTCAGCAAGCCGGGGCACAGTGTATCACAAGGACAGCTGCCGAGAACCATAGTTTCATGACAGAAGAGAGGATGGTAGAGCATCGCATGTGTAGTGCCAGTCGCTGCCGCTGTTTCGGGCGTGTGGTTTAATTGGCTGCGTGGCTGTGCAGAAGGCTACTGTGTAAACGACGGGCAAGGCAGACCACTGCCTGGCAATCGCATGACGTCCCAAATCGCGGCAGACTAGCTGCCAAACTCTGTCGAGGAACTGGCGGCTCGACATGCTGGACGTTAGAAGAGTCTAGGATGACTGAAGCCGAAAGGAAAGTTGCTGAACATTCGATTCGTCACGGCACTGGCTCTAGCCGCGGCATTCGGCGACATGAAGCCGACGTAAAACAGATACGAGGTATTTACACATCGAAAGGTGTGCGCCCGATGACTGAGACAGTAAGCGAAGATGGAGATCCTACGAGCACTGTTGCTTTGCCGTGGTAATGTGTAAGTGAGTGGAAGATCAGTGGAGGATGAAGTCGCCTGGAATGAGCCTCTTCTCCTTGGCCAAAGCAATACGTACGTGTTTAGTTAGCTCGGCGGTATGGGAAGACGGGCGTTTAAAGCGGCAGTGCCGGGTTAGCCGAAAGCGCCTTGTTGTCCTGCGGCCAATTTTGGCAGTGAGAAGGCACTTGCACCCAATCATCATTCTTGTGCAGCGCACACAGTAACGCTAGAAGGCCTCTAGAAGCATTCGCCGATGTTTGGACCCCACTCGTGTTAGCTTTGTTTGCCTGGACACCTGACGGGTCTGCGTGCGCCCTGAGCCGCGGATGTGCTTCCAATTATCCACGCTCACTTTCATCTTTCCAGGTAGCGTACTTGGGGCAAAGTATCTTGTGCACGCCCTAACGGTCACCGGTTTCAAGCACGCCGTCGGTAACGTCGGCTAGGGCCAAGTCGCTTATCCTGTGCAAGCGCCGGAGAACTATTGCCAGCTCCCTCAATACTAGTGACTAGCGACCAAGGCAATGACTTGCAGACGAGGCATGACGTCCTGACTGGGTGCTTGTGACTCTTTACAACCGGCAGTCGTCTGAAGGTGAGAATCCTCCCAACATGAATGGCTTCTGACAGCTATTCTTCCGCATTTTTGACGAGCCTCTTCTCTCAACCAAGGTCAAAGGTCCGAACAAAATGTCCAAATCAGACCCTGATTCCTCTGTCCCAAGCGACCGCATCCCTACATACGAAGAAGCGCTGGCTTCGTCCAGCAGTCATACAGTAAGCTGGCCACGGAGGACAACATCTAACGCGATTAGTATTCGTGACGAACGGACCCGGCGAGTCTTCGAAGTTGTAACCAGAGTCATCATCCCCAGCTTTGCAGACCACATCTCGAATCTTTGCAACCACATCACCATTGTCCTTGTACCCGCAGATGCTTTTCCAGCCTCAAGGACAGTAACGGCGCAGAACATCGTCTCACCATCACCACACAGCTACAGGACCACGGGTAATGTGGTGGCCCTCGTGGGAACGGAGAATCGTGCTTCGTTCTGGACGCAGCAGTCTGTGCTGCAAGAACTCGATCGAATACTGAGGAGGGAACTCTCAGGCTCGTCACCAGCTGCACCACCCAAGCTTGTGGATGAAAAGACTCGGTCGACACAGCTGCCGCCACTCCAAGTCCAGCCAGAACCAGGAGCTCAACTCCCACCTCGACCAGGCAAGCAGTCATGGCTCAAACGCACCTTCGCCTTACCCGGCGAGGATCACGACCCGACAGGCGAGACAGGCAAATGGGACCTCGGATGGCGGAGTCCTGAACATCACCAGACGAACACAGATCAATTCAGCCCGGCCTCACAACGAAAAGATGGAGTGAAGACACTACAAGCCGACGAGGTATCAGTTCAGACCAAGCTTCAAGACGTTAGTTTCCGAACAGAGAATGAGATGGGGCTCCTCGAGACTACTACCATCAAATGCATATGGATCGAGATCGAGGTTGGCGTTTAGTCAAAGTCGAAAGAGATCGCATATAACTCATCCGCTGTGAGGAGAACAAGGAGGCTATAGGGTCACTTCACAATCTAGCCTTCAGGGGCATATTGGCCCGGTCAGGCCTATCAAGACCCCGAGGCCGTCACCGCACGAATACCGTCCTCTCCTTCTTGTTCCCCCACGCAGCGTCCACCTCCTCCAACTTCCGCACCGTAAGCTCCATATCCGGCAACTTGGCCACCGCATCAAGCAGATCTGGCAACTCCTTCGCGAATTGGCTCATCGCCCATGCCCCCGGGCCGGCCCCTCTAATCGTGATGTTCTTACTGCGTAAGACTGCCCCAGGAAGCGCGATATCATTGCCTGCCACCGTGCCAATTTGCACAAACTGCGTCGGCACAGAGGACTTCAACTGGTTCAACAGCGCCACAACGGCCGGTCCGTACAGGTAATCCAGGATCAAATGGACATCACCTAGGGACGAGAAATCCGTCCCACCCGCATCTGTTGCAAGAGTGATCCGCTCGTCGAGGTCCGCGATCGCAGCCATTTCCTTCGCGTTCCTCGCGACACCGACGATCTTGCCCGCGCCCTTGGCCCGCGCGAACTGCACGGCCACTTTGGCCGAAATGGCCGTCACGCCCATGATCACGACGGTGAACCCCTTCGGCAGCTCCGGGTCCACCCGTCCTGCGAACGCCATCCAGCTGCTCATGCCTGGGTTCGTGAGGCCCGCGATGACCACCGGGTCCGCGCCCTCGGGGATGGGCGTGACGCTCTGCTTGGGCACGGCGATGGACTCGGCAAAGCCGCCGCCCGTGGCGATGCTGTTGAAATAGACGCGCTTGCCGTCAGGTGTCTCGCCGACGCCGTCCGCGCCGGGGATGTATGGCATGGTCGTGGTCTTTGTGCTGTAGTGCGTCCCTGCCGCTTGGGCGCGGACAAGCTGGTGCAGGCCCGAGGCCAGGACTTTCAAAGTGACGGTGTCGTCTGACGATGATGGCTCGGGGTGCGTAGATGTGAACGTGGGCGCAGCACCCCAGGAGGAGACTGTGATGGCACGCATGATGGTGTAGAAGACAGCCCGGTGGTTGTCCTGGCCTAACGATAAGAAGTGGCGTGTGTGTCACCGTTGGTGCGATTATGATGGCGAGTGCGTGTGTTTCGAATCGAGACCAAGTACGGTCCAGTCAATAGATAAATAGCAGGAAGTAGACCGTCCAGATGAGTGCACTGGGAGTCTGGACACCATCCTACATACATAGCTAGCATTTATACCAATCTCACAACCCGAATACATAATTCCGACCACAGTCCGAGGCTTGAATAAGTCTCTACTCATCACACCCGATCAACGCTTCGAGGATACCGGATCACTCCGCACCACAAGCAGGGCCCCTGCCTCCTTTCCTCCCTAGTGCACACGCGCACGCAGTACGTAAGCTGCGACTACGTCGTGGCATTTGGCAGGCGATCTGGAGGCAAAGAAGTGGTCGAAGCAAGCGCAAGCTTACGTAACGTCGCTCAGCTCACGCAAGGCCACGACTGCTCCCTTCCCTCTTGATAGGCTCGACGCTGGAAACGGAAGCCCCTTGCCACGTGCTGGCTGGTTGGACGACCGCGGAGCATGAGTGTTCCGACTTGGTCTTTGTCACCCGTGGGGCATCGTTCCGTCAACTTTGGGTGAAAGAATCAGGAAAGACGGAAGAGGGAAGAGGAAGAGGAAGATGGCGAGAACCGACAACGATGTTACTGTACCACTTCAGGCCGAGAGTCTCGATGACGTGTGAAGAAGTGCTTAGCTACATACAATACTGTACTCGCATACTTACGCTCACGTCTAACTGTCTAGGTACTCTCAGCACGAGTTCTGGTGGCTACGACCTGCAGCTATGTAATTGCGTCGTCCATCAAGCCACGCGTCGGCTTCAGGTTGAAAAGGCTCAGATGAAGATTGTTTCAAACACATGTCAGGTCGAGGCCTAGCCCAGTCACTCTACGAAGAAGCAGGAAATGAGATCGCGTGAGCGCGATCACGACCTCGTAACGGTACATTCCCGGCAAGTAGCATCCTCTAGGATCTGCTCTTGCAGCACCATGTCCAGCAACCCCACTGGACTTAGTGGACTTGCTGTTGCGGATATACTCTCGTAGCACGCTGTAGTCAACATACAAGAAGCAGATAAAGCCAGTACCTCGACATTCACCACTTTGGGAAATCTGCGCACCAGAACACGCGCTGGCGCTGGGGATCCTGTGGTTCGACTGCGCCTGCCAAAGATGAGTAACTACTAGGTAAAACCTGCTTGTGGCTCACCCCTCTTGCGACGAGGCTGACAACTCCCGTTCATGGTATCACCGTCCACTCACGGTTTCCACTCTTCCTTCCTTTCTGAACGCTGATGACCTGGGCACCTACAGGTTCCGTGCCGCGGCGTAGGTGCATAAGAAGATTTTGTACGACGATGCCGGCTTCCCTCTCTGTGTGACCGTCGTCGACGGCGCGCTGTTTATTTATGACACCCTCGAAAACGCGCGAATGGAGGCAAATCACTCCAGGCCAGGACGACTAGAACCCCTCTGTATCAAAGAAGTCGCTGTTGAAAGGATCCTCCGTGACAGCGGATTCGATCCTTTCAAGCTGAAGGTCCTTAGCCCTGTCCTTAGGGCGCTGCAGAACTAGGTCCGCCGCTTCGATGGAGTCCTCCGGATATGGTCCGTCAGGTAGCTGTCTTTGAATACACGCGCGATATTCTCCCTATCGGCTACGGTGCCGAGACCGGCGCGTCGACCACCGAGGCGGAGCATGGCTTCCAGCCCTTCCAGCGTAGCTGGACCGTCCCATAGACGGGGCCACGGAGCCAAACCAAGCTCGGATTTCTTCATGCAGATGTCGGCCCGACGCACGAACGAGGTCGCGAATTAGCACCAAAAGTACACATCAAATCGTCTTGTACAGCCTGGCGGCTGAAGGAACTCGATTGTGCGAGAAGAGCGGTCCGATCGCAGCAAAGGCGTGAAGTCCCATCTGTAACATCGCCTTGTGACCGACCCATCAGATGGGAAACAGAGCAAATCCACTAGTCTCGTGTGGCCGTCCGGTCCTCCAGGCGTGTCAGGCTGCACCTGAATGTCCTCGATCATCCGTAGGATATCAGAGACATTGCGGTCTGGCGATCGCGGATTGTAACAGTTGCTTCTGCAAAAATTGTTGTGCAAGCGGCGAGTGAGCATGAGAGAATCAACACAGCGTTCGAAGTAGACCACGGCTTTTGCTATCTGCTTCAGTCTCTCAAGATCGTCGTCGTGTGGAAATTCAACTCCGGGTGCACGACTCATGGAAACATGCACGTTCGTCCCACAAGAAGCGTTTTCCAGGACTTTAAGCGTGCTTCTCAACGAAGGCCATTCACCCGAGAACACCCACCGCTATTGTAACAATGGCATGTTCTGGGTCCCCGCACGCAACCATGGGCCTCAAGTCAATCGAGGCTGTCCGGCTGCCCTCTGTGCCTCACTTCACTTCATCTAATGAATTTAGCACAAGCGAAGAAGTCAGGCGGAAGTCGCGCCCAATGCTTCCTGTTACTTGTTCTGGAAAGTTGACGTTTTACAGCATGATGATCCTTTACGCACCAATGCTTGGAGAACGCCCGTCCTAGGATCCTCCATAACCTACTGTGTTTTGTAGGTGGCCTGTCTTGGATACCTACCTCGTTCTCCTAGGCCAACAAGCATGCCGTCGGAAATTCTCGAGGCTGCTGCGCTGGTCGTTGGGCGCTTCTGGTTGCCGCCATGGAGCGTAAAGAATAGTAAAGAGTGCGAGGGTAAGAAGGCGGCCCGGCAGGGGAGTTGCACATGAGCTCCGAGCAGTTTTAAAGTACTCAACTTCTCGTGCCAAGCAATGAGATCATTCCTCTCCTCCACGCCTTCTAGTGACTCCAATACGAGGTATAACCATACCACAATTCATGATCAATCCAAGGACTGTCACCACCAGCGGACAACATGGCACCCTCTCAAATCCAGATCGCCATCTCCTCGCTCCAGCGCCTGTTGAACGAAGAGCAATCGTACTACAAGGAGCAGGCACAACAAGAAGCGCGCATCGCCAAGTTGGAGAATCCTCAGGCCAACGGCAATGACGAGAACCACGAGTACCAGTTGAATCAGGAGGTGAGTCAACGACCAAGTGACTGTGCAGGGGCCGAACGAAACTCCATGCTGTTCCCGTCCTTGAACGGGCCCAGTGGTTGAGGATCGCTCGACCCAAGACGGTGGGTATTTGGGAGTTTGGACCCATTTGTAACATTATGTCTTCAGCGCAAAGCACTGGATGAAACCAAGGCGATGATTCCTCAGATGCGCGACCGGATCACAAACGCACGGGAGAAGTTGGAAAATATGCTGGTTAGTCACGCTTCTCTGCTGGCTTCGGGATTCATTTCCACTGGGGTTTGGGATGCGGATGATTAACCTCAGCATACATAGGATACCGCCACCAATGAACAGGAACGAGATGCGGCAGTTGATATTCTCAAGAAGGCAAAGGACGCGCAGAAGGATGACCCGATCGCTGGGGGGCACGGCACTACTGCTGTTGAAAGCTCGTGAAGGCCATGGTGCATCCGGCAATGCTGTAGGACGAGCTACGATTGTAACGAAGCGACCTGAGCAGGGGAAAGACGTTGTGGACGTGAGGAGGAGCTATGCAGTGGTACGGGATGGGCGTCCATGCTCGGCCTTTCCCCGCTGTGCTTTGCGAATTGTAAGAATCCCGATCACAGATGATGGGACATTCGGTTGTGGAGGAAGCCGAAGGTCCCTGGGCCGCATTACTCGAGGATCGAGTTATCTTACAGCGTCGACATCACATCGAGTCATTGTGAATATCTGGGTGGCCAGCGCTGCGCTGGTTACGTGAGTGCAGACGTTTCTTCTAGCCGTTATCCAAACTTCGCTTCGATGTTTCTCAGCTGATGTCCATGTTGTCTGTGTGCTCATTTACCGGTTTGTCGATATCACCTGCAGCCACGACATTCTCCGTTGGTACCGCCTCCACCGCACCTGTGTCCATATCGACATCCTCATCCCTGGTGCGCCTGGGTGTGGCGCCTTCTGGAACATGCGACCCGGGAGTCTGTGCACCGCTACCTCTGAGTCCAGAGGGCCGTGGTGTGGGCGCATCATCCATGGGTCTGGGTGTACCCATATTGGACAGGCCGTCTCTCTCCCTCTCACCGTCCTCTCCATCTTCTTCTGCGTGATTGTCGGTCTCTGCGTCGGGCTCCTTTTCGTCTCGTATTATCCTTCGTAGCCTCATTCCTTCGCCCACAACGTTCTGCAGCTGCTCCCTCCTTTCGGCCCAGGCGGACTTCAACTCTCCACTCTCGCGCTCTAACTCCTCAATCTCGGATCTCAGCTTCTCGATGTTGGCATGCTGCTCCGCCCTCGTGACCTTCAACTTCTCGTCTCTCGTAATCTTCTCCGCTAGCACGTCATACGTCTTTCGTACAGCGAGAGTCTTCTGCGCCTCGTCCAGCTGCACCCTCAACTGGCCGAGGTTCTCGCGTACGTCGTTGGCGGTCTGCTCGATCTTGAGCTTTTCTGCGGCATATCGCTCGCGTTCCCGAGTATTTGCGGCGCGGAGGAATTGGATGCGCGCGAGGGAGGACTCAAAGGCCGCAAAATCGAGGATTATATCTTCGCGGAAGCGAGCGAGAGATTGGAGGAAACTCTCGTTCTGATCTGCAGAACCTGCCGCTTCTGCGCTGTCGTCTGAAGGAGGCGCTCGAGCGAGAAAAGAGTTGATGGGCGTATTTGGCGCGAGAAGACGCTTTGAGACACGTTTGTATGGCCGCTCTTCAATACCCAGAAGTCGAGTCGCATGGAGTTTGTCTTCAACATATCAGTCCATTGCTTCCTTTGACAGGTTGCTCTGCATGAAGACGCTCACCTTCTTCAGCTTGATCAAGGACCGTAAATGTTGCCATCTTCAGTATCTCTCTGACATAAGAGGTTCATCCGGCCGAACAGGTACGGCTAGGAAGTCGTGATATAAATATTGCCTTAAAGGTCAAACTGCTCCGCAGCAGAAGGCTGAGCGCACGGACGACGAGGCTGCACTATTCCGAAGGCGGCATGACGAGGCTGGGAAGTCAGGTCCTCCCCCGCGTGTCACTTCACTCCCACTGCCTGCGGCCATTGTTTGGCTTGAATAGCCCGTTCACCAACCATGCGCGGAAACAGGCTCGACAGGGAAATCAGGATATACATCTTCTCGTCTCCACTCTCTATCCTGTCCTGTCTTCCTCCATAACACTCATCTACCCGCCTAACCCACTGCCAACGTCTTAGACCTTGCTGTCACCTTCAACATGCCAGCCGACAGTCTCCTAGACATGGCCCGCCGGGTTGCCGGTCGCAATATCCACAAGATTACCGACATTGGAGACGTCTCCTACAACATAATTCGTCCGGTCCTGTTGAAGATCGAAAGTCCCGAGCAGCTGGTAACTTGAGCCATTCCGATCCCTCCGCCGTGCCGTGCTAATCCTCGAGCAGTATCAACTTGAGCTCAACTCGCCGCAACTGGTAGGCAACACCAGCGAACTATGGCTCAACTTCATGAAGCGAGACATTCCAGACTACGAGCTCAAGCCCCATATTCCCACAAATCCCATGAGTTGGTACAAAGTGTACAAGAAACTCAAGAAAGAAGCCTCAAAGGCTGCTTCCGACGCCGAAGCCGTCCTCAAGGCCACACTGTCAGGGATCAAGTCCATGAAGGAAGAGAACCTCGCCGAGGTAGTTAGCACCGAGCGGGGCAACGCACTATACTCCAGCGCCAACGCACCAGGTCCCTCGAGAAGAGCCAGGTTCATGTACAACTACATGGCCGGCAGGACTGGCTCCAAAGGTGCAAACAAAATGACGCTGATGGAGAAGATCCGCAAGGAAGCAAAGAGCGCCAAGACCGGGGTCATGGGTCGGCCCATGCACGAGCTTCAGAAGAAGCACAACGGCGTCGTCAAAGCGCCGGCGCAGTTCGTCGAGGACGTCAAGCGCATGAAGGTCCTACAACAAGTTGAGGCGAGGAAGGCCCTCACTCCACCTCCGAAGAGACCCTTATCGACTACCCCTCGGGCCCCAATACACGCGCCAGGAAGTCGCCCGCCAAAGCCCAGACCTCAACCCGCCGCCGCGGCCGGTCTTGAACCATACGACCTAACCAGCGATCGAGAAGCACGACTTCGAGCTCTAAAAGCAGGGAAGCCAATTCCCCCCAAACCTACGGTCCCAGATTCGGCGCTTCCACAATCTCCAACCTCACTAGCTCCGAGACTACGATCTACCAGTGCCTCAAACGGTGCCTTGACTCTCGACTTCCTCGAGTCAGATTCCGAACCCGAACCCGTCCACGAAACCCACAAGCCCGTCAAGTCACGGCAGCGAGAAGCAGACGAGGCGCTCTTCGGCCGCACCACTACCCCGAGCGTCAAACGCAAGCGAGACGCCGAAGACGACTCTGGCTTACCACGAAAAGTCCTACGGCCCGTCAGCAACGCGGACATCTCGTCGCCACCGCAAAAGCTTTCTCGACCCAGCAGCAGTGGTGACGAGGTCAGTCCGTCCCACAACCTGCTGAGACCGACCCTTCCAGATGCGGACCTCCTCGCCCGGTCTCGGAGTCCGTTGAAGTTGTCGCCGGCATCATCTCCGAGGATGCAACCGGTCAAGAAGCGGCAGGCGCCCAACTTGTTCATGAAGAAGAAGTAGAGGGATCTCACAGTTCACGGCTCACTACTCTTGACGGATAAGTAGCATCGGCCATGGACTGCAATGGCAATGAGAGAGGAAGAGCAACGGGAATCCGAATACAGTATCAAGCAAGGCACATACCCTTGCTAGAATCACGACTTCGCCATTCAGCATAGTGAGTCGACTCCTACGTATTACCAGAATGATTCGGATAACCGTGCATGAATGTTCCGCGCGGTATTTGAGCACGACAGTCCAATCACGAATGAAGACATGTGCACTGGGACCACTAGAGGATCAATAGAATTTACACCATGAAAGTAAGGAGTTAGACTGGTTGCTTGGGTGGCTTGTATGCTTGGTGCATAGTATTCTATGTGGAATCATAAGAATAGATTATGCAGGCACACAGGAAAGTATAGCATAGGATCGAACAGAATAGGGGCCATCTTGACCATAGGTGGAATGGAGAGCATCTTGACTCCAGAATGGAACCGAGGGCGTCTTGACCATAGAGGGAAATGGCGGGCATCTTGACCGTAAAGTGGCATGAAGGCCATCGTGACCGTCTTGTCCGGGTCACATCGATTGGATCGATCGTTCAAGTAGATCCTTGGAGCAGCTGCCGGCGTTCACTGTTAGGTGACTGTGTAGCTGTAAATATGCCATGCCTGACCCTATCCACCAAGGCATGCATGCGTGACCCTTGAGCAGCTGTCCATGCACTCAAGCCCCTGACCATGACTGCCGTGACGGTGATCATGACCATGACCAGAAAGACCAGACTATTGCTCGTCCGCCACCCCGTGCGTCGCCCACAAGCAAAAGTGTCTGCGACCCGTCCACTTGGATATGCAGACGGAATCAATCCCGATCTACACAAGAACCTCTTGTCGTAGCGTCGTGACCTACGCATTGCCCATTGCCCATCCCCCATACCCCCATGCTCACTTTGCCCGACAATCAAAGAACTGTGTTGTGCAGATTTCGTGTGAACCAAACCTGTTTCTCACGTGCAGATGGCTCGCTGACACACTTGCATGTATGTGATGTGGTGTGACCACTCGTTCGGAGGAGTCGAGCACGATCCGCACCAAACACCGCTTCCCACGTGCCCGAGACCCAGCCGTCAGTCATTCAGAAAGTCAGCCAAGTCAGCTGAAGGCGCCCCCTCTCAGCGCGAGGACCAGATGTAGAGTGTTGCCGCCTTCGAGGCCGTAGTCTTCGGCTGTTTTCTCGTCGGCCCTATATCACACAGGGTTTGTTAGCATGGCACATGTATGTTTGCCTGCCGAGAACCAATGCTCTGGGTACAGGGCAGTAGCTTTGAACATATATGGTCGAAAGAGTTGCATGATTGGGCAGGTTGAGAGTAAAGATCATGGGAGAGGTAAAGGACGACGGGCCGTGTTACGTACATCTGCTTTCCACCGTAGATCAACCGCTGCTGGACCGGCGGGATGCCTTCCTTTTCTTCGACTCGTTCTTTGATTCGTGAGACCTGGACGCCAGACGAGTCAGCATTATGCGTCTCTGACGTCCCGGTGTAATGTGATGTGTAGGGGTTATAGTTTTCTATGCCCAGAACCTCTTCAACTGCTCAATACACGCAGGGAGCCGTATTTGACGAGAGCAGGGCTATGGGCAGAACGCACCCGCACGCTCATAGTGGCAGTGATGGTATTAGGCAACCTTGGCAAGTCAATGTACCTACCTTGTAGTCCGGCTCAATGTCCAACTCGATCTCTTTCCCCGTCAACGTCCGCACCCTGTTCCATTGATGCCATGTTAGCCATTCTGTTTGTTCTCTTGCATGGTCTGCCTGGCGAAGTCATCGGTGTTGCCACTCAAAGCAGAGCGTCAAAGGCAGTAAGGCGGAAGTTCGCGATGGGGAAGAATTACTTGATCAGCATGTTTGCGGATGTCTCGCGAGGGTCGGATGAGGGTGGGTGATAAGCGGCGTCAGATTGACGGCAACTGTTGCGAGCAGATGAGTAGTAGTGGAGTTCAGAGTGGTGAAACGATTGTCCCTCGCAAGGAGTCGGGACAGAGGTAGTAGGGCGATGTTAGACACTGGCCAAGTCTGAATAATTGCGCTTCAATGTGAAAGGGTTTGGAGGGGTCGGGACAACGCCAGCCGCAGCCTGATGTCGATGTCGCGGGGCGAGGCTGCTTATGTAATCGAGAGTCCTCCGCAATAGCAAGTGTAGAGCACCCATGGTACCTCCTGTACCGTGGACCCATAGATGCCACCAACAGCGGCTAGATACCTCGCTCATTACAGTCCTTTGAGATAGAAGAGACGTGTGGCATTATGTTCATGACGTTGATGAGCTTAACCTGGCTGTACCTGTCGAGACGCTCGCTTGAACGCCAGAGAAACCGCGATGTGATAGGAGACGACAAGAACAAAAGGGGGTATGTGGAAGCAGAAATATATACACAGTTTGACAGATAGCCACCATCTGCTTGCGCTCCTGCATTTCAATCCTACAAGTCGCCGAATTTGGTCGACCCTTTTTCGCCATTTATCCAGACCTAGATGCCAGAACCAGAACGCCGCTTTTCCGCAAACCAGGAGATTCAGACGAGACAGCGACAAGGTACTGGGCTTAGGTGCTGCGTTTCGTCCTGTCGTCCGCTGCTTGCGCAGCAATCCATTTCTTTTTCATCATTGTACACATTAGGAATAAAATGACTTTTCGATTTCGAAGTTCGGAGGAATGTAGTTTTGCTCGAGTCGAAGCATGTTAGAATCCTCGCCATGGGTTGTGGGAATCATTGCTCCCTCGGGTAGAAGAGCTGGCAGCCATCATCTCGCCATGCAGCAGGGAATCGACGGGACTGATGCTGTCTCGCCCTGGCTCGGCTCCCCAATATCCCATGTCCTTTCTCTTGGGCGCTGAACGCATGAAGTTGAAGGAAGGGCGGCCCGAGGATGGGGCCTGTTCGTGATCGATAAATGCATCCATTCTCATGGTGTTGGCAGCGTGGTTGTCTAGGAAGATTGGTGGCACGGGAGGCCTGCCGGAAGCACTTGCTTCACTCCCTCGTCGACTGCTCATGACACTTTGCATTCCCAAACTGGGCGTGTAGAGCCCACGGTCAGATGAATACACTGCAGTCGAATGGACGCTTTGTGAATAAGTGGAGGACCCGGGCCCTGGAAGACTGGGCGTCACTGCATTGGTCGAAAAGCTTCGGAACGAACTCGGTGGTGCTCGTGGTGCCGTATTGCTCCTCTTCCGCGAATGTCGTGGGATTGTAGGTGGGAGGGCCGGGTCTGTTAATGGATCGTAAAAGTCGCGCGTCGGCGGCCGAGAGTCTTGGACGGGTATCGACCCATCTGTTGTGAATGATCTGGGACCGGGCCCGTTCCGGGCGGCGCCCTTGGTAAGTCTGATCGAGTCCCGGATGGGTCGTCTGCGAAGAGAGCCTGCGAGTGACGGTTGGACAGCAGGCATCGGATCATGTTCAGGCAGTGGTGGAGGAGGCGGGATCGCCGTCAGCTCATTGACGCTGAGAGGGGAATGCGACAGGAACGACAAAGCTGTCAGCCAGACATAATGCCGCTCTTGTGATGTTGCGGTAAACTTCAGTGCACGCTGGGGCGTCAAGATGAGAATGGATCTGTTGAAATTGGGTCCGCTGAGTGAACCTTTCGGCATAGGGTTATCGTCCTTGACGTCGAGCACAGATTTGATCGTTACTATACGATGTTAGCTTTCATGGTGTCAGCGCGGCAAGTGCTGACTTACACTTGCGACCACTTTTGCCCATCAGTGCGGTTCCAGATGTTGGTTGTTTACTGCTCCACATCACAGCACGCTCGTATGGCGCAAGCCAGACCCATCGTTTGTGTCGAACACCATTGTTGGTGACACTCTGGGAGATTTCCTCGACGCTCTTGCTGGGATCCCAATCCGCTTTATCCGTCACCCCGAAGGACTTCCTTCTCCTGACATACTTGAACATCCATTCTCCCACCATGGTCTGTGCAATCGAGTCAACGACCGAGGTTTGATGCATCTCCACGGCGTCTGAGTTTTGCTTGGTGTGAGCTCGCTGTCGACTGGGTCCAGTGGCAATCGACGGCCGTGGCGCACTCGCTTCTCGAAGGTCGCCGTACGGCTCCAGCCGAGGAGCAGGTGGTGCCTTGGGCATTGCAAAACTTGGCATTTCTGGGACAATGGACACCCTTGGTTCTAAAGGTGGTGAACGACTTCGAGACTTACGAGCTTGAGAGTGAGGCGATATTGCTGGTCCAGATCTCGCCTTTCTCAGCATCGGTTTGGGGTATTTGCCATGCCTCGGTCGCTTTGTCGGTGAGGCATTGGTGCTGCCAGGCGAGCTGCGACCACCTTCGCTGATTGATTTGCCGATTTTGGCCGAGCTGTACCTCAATGGAACTGGGAAAGGGGGCGGATTGTTGCTCTCAAACGAGGTGGTTGTGGATTGGGAATGTTGCGATTGATGTGCTGCAGCTCCGCTGGAGATCAGAGCCGCCCTTCTCATGTTATTGTTCTTGGTAGAAGGCACTCTCTTCAACTTCATGCCCATGTTTTGTCGTTGAGAGCCCCTGCGTGGGCTGGTGCGCGACTGGAAGAGGACCGCCCTCATCTCTGGGGGCAGGCTGTCCTCCGAAAGTCGAAGATTTTCCAGCGCGACTGCTTCGCCTGCAGAGACTGCGGCACTTTCGCTAACATCCTCCAGCCGCGAGTCCTGCGAGACCATTTTACCAGATTTGAGTGTGAATTTGGCTGTAGGCCGGCTGAAGATATCGTCTTCTGGGAAAGTGTCTTCATTGACAAACTCGTCGCGGTCCTCGGCCTCGTCGTCAAAGCCCGCAAAAAGACTGCTTGATCTGATGGGTCGTGGCATGTTTGAAGCAAAATCCCTTGCGAGAGGGCCGCTGTCGTTGACAGGAGGTATTTTGGAGGGACCCGCCACGGTCGAACGCCTGGAAGCGAACATGGAAGTACCGGGAGATACTCTCGATCGAGGTATGGGCGGTGGTGCTGCGGTCCTTGACGAAAGTGGCGGCCTATAGTGAGTCGACAACGGTCCAGGTGGCATCTCGGAGGGTGGGACAATGGCTCTTATATCAACTCGAATTTCTTCGGTCTGCACCGACGAGGACTTGTAGAGTCCGAGGAGTTGATTAGTGACCTGGCTTCCGGCGTTCTTGGTTCGGGGTGGTAGCACAACATTAGTTTCAGGTGTGGCAGGTCTCGAAGCGGGAGGAATTATCGCAATTAGGGGAACCTTGAGATCTAGAGTTTCTTCACTTCCGGTATGCTTGTGGCTGAAGTTTTCGACGGCAGGTAATGCAGGCTCGGTCTGAGTCCCAATGGTGGCTGTTTCGACTCGTTCCAAGGCACTTTCGGGGATTGTGGCCAGTCCAGCATCGCGCTTGTCAGGTGTCAATGGCGGACTTGGGAGAGCTTCGACTGTCTGGCAGGCTGATGATACCATGATAGGTCGCTGCTTGTCCCATGAAATATTGACGCTGTCCACCGGACTGTCTGGGCCTGGGGTAACATTAACCTGTCGGGCATTCCCAACGGCAATTTCTGGGGGCTTGTGTCCGTTAGCCTTGGGCTGCGTTTCCATGACCGGCCAGGGTGAAGCCGGAGGGGAGAATTGAATCGCCGTGTCCACGTATTTGACACTCACGCGATTTCGACCGCCGTCCAGCGACATAACACCGGCACGATCATGGTCTGGACTGTCATTACGTTCCATGTCCTCGAAGTCGACAGGCAGACCCAAGATTTTTCTGGCTTTGATGGACAAACTCGACGCCGGCCGGACGTGCTCCTCTGGCAAGGCGTCAGGTGAGACACGCCCATCTTCGTTGTATTGGGCGTTCAGCATGTCCTCTTCCATTTCGTCAAAGGCGAGTTCATCCGCTAGATTGACAGAGACACCGTTGTGGAAACTCAAGACCGACACCCGGCCACCGTGCGTTTCGCTGTTGACAGAGGCAGCGCTATGTCGCCTTCCTCTCCGAGTCATGATCGAGCCTTTGCTTGGGCTCTCCATCATGCTATTTCGGCTGTGTGCACGCTCGGTAGGAGACACCGGAGCGGCTGCGTGGTGCTGGGCATTGGCAAGCTCACTGAGCACTACTTTCAGGCGACCCTCGGCGATGTGTACCCTCGTCTCCAGTCCACGCTTTTCGGCAAGCCATGTTTCCTTGTCCTTGTCCCATAGGGATTGGGTTCTCTCGGCCGTCTCCTCTTGACCTTTAGTCTTCTTCTGGTTCTGTTCGAGCCGCTTCCGTAGATCTGACACATCGCTCAAGGCTTCATCGCGCTCCTTCGCCAGTTCGTTGAGAGCAGAGAGGGTGCCGCCTTCGAGAAGTTGCATTTGTCGTTTGGTCGATCTGTTTTCCTTGTTCGCCTGTAGTAGGTTGCTGTTAAGGACTTCATTTTGGTTCTGGGCAGCATGAAGACTGATTTCCAATTTCTCTATGTCGTTGGTCCTGCTCTCCAGGTCCCGCCGCAGCGACAATATCTCGGAGACCAACGAGGCGTGCAGCGTAGGTGTGAATCTTCTTGGGTCGAGGGGAGATATGTTCTCGTCCAGAGCAGGGTTGGAATGAAGGGAGTCATTACTTCGTCTCTTGTTGGCACGCTCATCGGGCATGGGAGGAGGCGTCGATGAGGGCGACATGTCTTCGTACCGTCGGGAACGAAAGGATTGCGAACTGGACGGTGTTCGATATGGGGTATCGGTCGGTGATGGCAGCGAATAGCTGAACTCGGGGTCCATTACTCCGTATATCTCGAGCGGTGCTCTGCCGTTCGGCGGCTCATGTACACAGGCGAGGCTCCCAGAGGATGCTGCTCTTGGACGGTTTGGTTGGGCGAATTATGTCACTGGATGGTTGGGCTCAATCCAACACCCGGTATTCATGGCAGTGCATGACGTGGTAGATGAATTAACATGCCACAGATCCGAGTCTGAAATCTTCGGGATGCCACGAGAGGTCTGGGGTTGGTTCCGATAACAGCGGTGAGACTAGGAGATGTCAAAATGCAAAAGGTTACGAAAGAACAGACACAGCAACCAGGCTCGTGCAGCCTCATGCGCAGGCGCGTCCAGTACCCAGAGAAGCGAATGTGAGTGATATGATTGCAAGATAGACAGGAGGTGCAGGTTAGTTCTGGAGATGTCTAGTCTCGAAGTGGTTTGCGGCTGACGATGATGCTGGACGAGGCGAAAGACGAGAGACAGGATGGTCGACGCGGGCAGTCCTGGTCGTCGGCCCTGAGGCCTGCCTATACGATTCGATGCAAGCCCACCTACGGAGTATGTTCTGTAGGAAGGATTGGGCCGTGTCGCGTCTGCAGAGGCGGAGCCATGGCCGATCAGCCAGCAGAGGCGCAAAATTGGTCAACGGCTCGATTGGACAGCAGCAACTCAATCGCGGGAAAATCATTGTTCAGGGGCATCGCGGTGGGAAAACGGGTGTCGGACGACCAGGGCCTGTCGCAGTGGATTGGGCGACGTGCAGCCTGGAGTTGGAGAAATGCTTTCGGGATCACGACGCCGCCGGGCGCGGGGCGGCCACCGCCCAAGCCAAACCCTGGGCTTGGGACGCGCATCCGAAAGGCAGTTTTAGCCTGGGCGCAGCACGAGTTGGGACTTGCAGGTTACGGTATCGAATTGCTGGTTCCCCGACACCACGCTTCAACGTTCCACACGCCCAATATGCAACGGATAAGAGCATAGAGTCACTGCTATCCAGCTCGCTCCTCAGTCCGCTCACACTGGCGACATGAAGAGGGGTCGATGTCGGTAAAGGCGAGTGGCGAGATCGTGCTGCCAGTCGCTGGGGACCACTGCAGGTCCGATTGAGCTAGAAAGACTAGCGCCGCCTAGACCAGTTTTAGGCTCCCGGCCCGGTATGGAGTCAAGTTCCTGGTGGCCTGTCTAGCTCTGACTTGGCAGCCCAGGGCTTGTTTCAGGACCCCCACCACCGGAGCATTTTGGGACGCCAGCCTTTCCGTCTTTGTGAACAATGAGGCTACCGGTTTCGAGCTTGCCATTTGCGAGTGTGTTCAAATTTACCAATCTCCTGGGAAGAGCTTTCTGTCTCCGAAGCCCACAGGTCACGACATTGAGCTGAACGATAGTACATCCGACGGTCATGATAAAGACGAAAACTTTACTGTGAAGGCGGTGGTCGCGACCAGGATTGGCCCCAAGTGACTGTGTGACCTTGAGGTACTTGCGCCTCTTATCACAATTGGGCCTCGCTCACGACCTCATGCACTGTCCCCGTAGCCGAACCAATTCGCCTCTGCTCATCGGCATGAGGCATGAACTGTTCCCACCCGCAAACTTCGAGCCTTACCCAGTAGCCGGCACACCGGTTCCGGCACGTACTGGAGGCCCCTGGGCCGAAGTGAGGGATGTCTGTGGGACGCCCGCTGCCTCACTTCGCCTGCCAGCCGTCATCATCTTGCCCTCATTAAGAGATAAGGTGACCTCAATACTCCGTAATCATCTCGAGTCAAGTTGAACCCATTCAGCTTTGTGACTAGGCGATGTTTCGAAGTTCGGGCTACCTATCGCGGGTTAGTCGACGTCGTTGCAGTAGCTGATCCCAGCCGACCCAAGTGCCCGGGAAGTGAGTTTGATGGATGCGGAATATGCCTGCAGCGATCAACTCATGTACAAGGTAGCACCCTGCGTATAATCTATGATCGGGAGGTGAACGCAAAGATGTCCTCGTCTTTCTGATGCCCAACTTTGTCCAAAAAGGCAGAAATGCCCTTCAGAACTGGTGAGGTACTGTACAGTAGACGAGAAGTTTTGGTCACATTCTGTGGCATCACAGTGGTACTGTACCAGTGGCACCTTATCAACAATCTTGCAGGTGCCTTCTGCGAGTGCGTCTTCGTTCATCACATCACACCATGTTGATTGACGGTAGCCAGCACGTCCTCACTCTCGCTGCTCAGATGCTGAAACACGCCCCATTTTCGACCCCTCAGTTGTGGCTTTCGGTGGGTTGCAAACTGGACGCGTGTTTGAGTGCTTCTCGTGGCCGCTGATCGCATCCTGGCACGCTGGCGACAGAACCGGGCGCGTTGTGGCTAGCCCTGGCTTAATCCATGAAAATCACGAGCACGACCGCGTGTCGAATCACTCTGGAGCCTGTCATGGAAGAAGCCGGGCCTTGTGGTTCTGGAAATGACAGCCGCCAGCCGCCAAAATAGGCGGGGCGGCGTTGACCCTCAATCACCAATTCATCCTTGTGTTGTTTGCTGCCTGCTACATACTCCGTACGTGTCGTGCGCTGCAGAAGACGGAACAATCTCACAACACACCGGTAGAAGCCGGGTATCGACCGGGAAGTCGACGGCAAAGAGCACGCTCAAGATACCTTGTGAGCGTGGTAAAGAACACCATCACCAACGCGCACTTGCGCTGTACGTTTCTCTCGTATCTGCCGAGGTCGAGGATTGTCATCTTCTCCAAAATTCAACTGTAGCAGCATCAACCTTACGGGTTCCACCGGAGTTCGTGCTGCACGCGTGCATCAATGAATGTCAGAAGCGTCATCGTCTCCCATCGCATGAGATTCTCCCCAATTGTCCACTTCTCGCGGAAGAAGCATTGACCGTTGTCAGAAGCAGCCGGATCTCCATATATCTGAGATCGCACAATTACAATAGCTAAGTTAACCCATTCTCATACCGAGTTTGTCCATCCGGATTACGCCCCTCGTAGTCCATGTAACTACATTCACTCCCCATAATGTCGACAACCAACCCCCCGAAAGCCCTCCTAACAGACGTCTTCGGCACGATCGTCGACTGGCGCAAAACCGTGACCGACTACCTCACACGCCGCGCCAGCGAAGCCCTCAACTCGCCCGCCTCGTCAATACCCAGCACCGTGCGCACCGCCGCCGCGGGGATCTCCTGGCCGGACGTGGCCCAGCTCTGGCGCACCTCCTACTACAACTTCACACGCACGTACGACCCGGCCGAGGCACAGCGCGACCCCTCCAAGTTCAAGACCGTGGACCAACACCACGTCGAAGCCCTGCACAAGATCCTGGTCGACCACGCGCTCGAGGGCCTGTGGACGGACACCGAGGTCGAGAAGATCGCGCTCATCTGGCACTTTCTCGACCCCTGGCCGGATTCCTCGAGGGGTCTGGCTAAGTTGAACGCCCGCTTCGAGACGGCGACGCTGAGTAACGGCAATACCGCGCTGCTTCGGGACCTTGCGTCGCATGGCAACTTGCCCTACAAGCATATCCTTAGCGCTGAGGACTTCGGCGCCTATAAGCCGCACCCGTCGGTGTACCTTGGCGCAGCTCAGAAAGTGGGCTGCAAGCCTGAAGAGTGCGCCCTCGTGGCGGCGCATCTGGGCGATCTCAAGGCCGCGAGAGGATGTGGGTATCAGACGATATATATTGAGCGGGAGAAGGAGGAGGGGTGGAGTGAAGAGGAGACCAGAAAGGCCAAGGACGAAGGCTGGGTTGACATGTGGATTGGTCTCAACGACGGAGTCAACGGTGACGGCGGTGGGTTTCTGGAGGTTGCGAGACAGTTTGGCTTATGAAGATGGGGGAGAGGGAGCAGGCTATGGAGCGCGCTGTGTATCCAGCGGCTGTGTCTGAGCATGCCGGACGACATATGCCCTAGTACCGTAGCTGGACGTCACCAACTAAAGATGTATTTACACCCTAGCTAATACTTCCAATGCGTAGGCATATACGTAAAGTGCATCTGGAAGAGTATCGTCATCACGCCAGCGCATGGCGCTTTTGATCGCGTGTGTACAAATGTTCACCCCGACCAAACAGCCTGTCATTGTGTGCTCGCAGTCTCAAAACCCATAGAAAACAGCACTCCGCTCGCGTCACTGGATGTCGGATTCGAGATACACTTCACATACGTATCTTTGTGAGCTTACTTCGACAAGGAACATGACTCCCTGGTTGCTCGTTGCTTTTGGCTCATCCTTCACTCTGCGAACGCCCCAACCTACCTCGGAGGATCGGACCCTCTCTCTTCTCTGCATTTCATAGCCCCTCACAACGCCAGATGAATAGGCGGCGCCCCAGCCTTCTTCTCCGCCTTCTTCGCCGCCTTGTACCACTTCGCATTTGCATCACTATAGGTGGTCCGCCTCTTGATCATTCTCCTTGGGACAAATTCGCCATTCTCGTCCAGGGCATCCGCATCGTCAACCTCATCTCCCCCATTTCTCGTGCTGGCGGGACTTCCCATACTGGTCGTTGCGGCTGCGGTCGTAGGTGTCGCCACGCCATCGTCAGGGTTCACAGGAGAGTCGACGTCCGCACCGAACAGCACCCCCATGCCTGCTTTGTCGCCGTGCGCAGAAAACGGGTTCCCTGAGCGGGCATTCAGCCCGGCAGGCAGGTCCGCGATGGTCAGGCCGTTCAGCTTGCTGCCAGTCCCGTTGATTAGGTCCTTTTCTTCTTCGTCGGTCAAGGGCTCGATGTCCGGGATGGGTCCACGCGGGAGGATCACAGGCCAGCCAAGGTCACTGCCGCCGTGGAGCTGGCGGCCTCTAGCCCGGAGGTAGCCGTACTTGTACACCTCGAAGAAGGTGGTCTTCTTGAACACGCCACCATTGGTGCGGTCCGACGTGTCCCAGTACAGATGACGCAGCCATTTCGACAGGCGAGGGTAGTCGTGCCGGATCATCTTGAGGTTGCAGTTGAAGATGTTGTAGTATGCGACGTCGAAACGCGCAAGCGTGGTGTACAGCCTGACGTCGGCCTCGGTGATGTATTCGCCGAAAAGGTATGGTTGGTGGGCAGGGGCTCCGAGGTGTTCCTCCAGCCGATCGAGGGATTTGAAGAGTGGGTAGATGCTCGCGTCGTATGCTTCCTGCGAGGCGGCAAAGCCGATCTTGTAGACCCCGTTGTTGACGGTGTTATAGACCCACTCGTTCATAGCATCAATTTCTTTGCGCAGGTGCGGTGGATAGAATCCTCCACCGGGCTTGTTGACTTCTCGCTGGTCGGGCTCCAGGAAGTCATCGAACTGGTCATACAGCATGCGGATGATCTCCGAGGACTCGTTGTTCACAATCGTCTCCGTCTTCTTGTCCCATAGAAGCGGCACTGTGTAGCGGCCGGTGTAGGACGGGTCGGCTTTCAGGTATAGTTGCTTCAAGCCGGTGAAGCCATACAGAGGGTCGGCACCCATGCTGCCATTGCGGCCGGTGAAAGTCCAGCCATTCTCGGTCAGGTCGAAGTCGGTGGTGATCAGTTGGATGACGGGCTCGAGGGATTTGAGGCTGCGGACAATGATGGTCCGATGGGCCTAGCGATCGTCAGTCTGCATACTCGACGAGGTCGGTTGGGGATGCCAGCTTACCCACGGACAACCATAGTTTGCATAGAGTGCATACCGATCTTTGTCAGGCGTGAAGTTCGACCCTTGTTCCTTCGAGATCCAGTTGCGGAACTGGCTGTCTTTCCGTCGGAAGTGGCCATCAGAATCGGCGTGCTGGTGCGTTTGTCTCTGGAGAGGCGAGGTCAATTTGTGCCATTGCGACCAGTGAGGCCAACGCTTACCGAGTCGCCCATTGTGTTGCTGAACGGCTTGATGATGTAACCTTAGACGATGGAGATCAGGATAGAATGGGTCGGGAGAATCGCGATCGCCGTGCGGACCTCGGTGGGCTAGAGGGGCGTCTTCTGGTCTGTCCACTGGAAGTAGTTGTCGTGCCCTGCAACAGCTGGGACACAGAGTTCAAAACAGGACTCGAACAATATATGCAGTCGAGAAAGGCTTGCACGACTACACGACAGCAACAGCCACAGAAGACAGAAGAAAGGGTTTGAAACTCAACTTGTGTCTTTCGCAGGTCATTTGTTCAGCTGAATGTTAGATGTCTCAGCCCTCACAAGCTCTCATTATGGTGCTTACCCACCTGGCTCTCAGGCTCTCCATGTCCAGTTCCGCCCCACGGCGGCAGGGCGGGACGCACGTGCAGGAGGCTGGAAAGAAGCTTCGGAGTCCGGATTTCTCATTCGAGTCGTCTGGGCGGCGAGCTTCTGGCCAGCTTGCCTCGTACGAACGTTGGGGGCTGAGAGCTTGCACCGCGAGGTCTGGCTCATGGTTGGCCGAGGCGGTGAGCATCAGGGACCGAAAACGTCATCGCGGCATGACCCTCGCTGGTCAGTAACCGAAGAATTATTGTTTTCAAATTCAGTCCTTCGTGCTTTCAAAGGCTCTTCTCTCGTCCGGTGAAATACGGCAACGTCTGGAAGAGGTCGACGAGTAATGGGAGAGACGAAAACCCTTATGACAGATGAAGAAGGCAAACCGCTTGAACCATGATCTCATCCCTTGTCCTTCCGAGGATTCGGAACTGCGGGGAAGCGTTTCTGGCCGAACAGTGTGCGTCCAACAGCTCAGTCAACGAGACTTCGAGTCCTGGCGATGAATAATAGACAGCGGAATTCCCGCTCAAGTATCAAAGAGGGACTCAGAGAGTGGAGGTGCGACAGGCGCGTGATTCAGGCCGACGCTCTTCACTGACAGGCCTCACCAGTTTCTTTAGATACCCATGCGAAGACGTTATCAATGATCTTTCACCTCTAGCCATATCAGTGTTCTTGCCAATGCTGCTACTGTGTCAATCTCCCGGCTTGGATCGTTTGATTCCAAACACCCAGCACAGCAGGTCTTTCGTGCTAGAATGGTTAGTAGTCGTAACAGGATAATGTCTTCAACGTAGATCAAATGAACAAGATATGGCTGCTGAGTTAAAGTCAAATCTCTGAGCGTGCCCATTTACTGCAGGAAAGACGATGAAACTGAAAAGAGACCCCTCGGACGACGAACGTCAAACTCAGCCTCGCGGATCCGCATGTCATGGTGCCCTCGAGCCGAACCCCCTGCTATGGGATATTGGCGGTAGAGTACGAGATAGCCCTTCTATTATACTTGTAGCATTGGCCAGTCGTAGAACACAGCGACCCTGAATTTCACAGCAAGCCATTTCGTTGTCGCTCTTCCACGTGTACCTCTCCACCGTGACATGTCACGGCTCCCGATCATGGGAGGTTTCACCTGGTTGTGCGAGTTGCCTTCAATTGATGGCGGTGAAGCGAGTACGCACGCGTTCAGGCACGATTAGCATCTCCTTTGAGTTGCGTGATATTAGGAGACGTCGTGGTAGAACTTTGAGACTCGAGTCACCCAATGCAAGCCATTGGAGGGACGACACATGGATATTGATTCTTTCACCGCATAAGGTCCGCAGCATATGCGAACGCCGATATGGACGGAACTGGAAGGTGTAAACTTAGCTGGGCATTGAATGAACCCTCCACCATACCCCATGGAGATACACTGTTGACAAGGCCTTTACCTGCATGAAATGCTTTTGTGACCATATCGGCTCAGCTCACCCGGGCCTCAAATCCCACGTCGAACATGATCCACATATGTCGAGGTGCAGAACTGACAGATCAACATCTGCTGCGTCGACATAAAGCCAGTCCGACAATGTACATCCGATATTGTCTCTGTCCAGCTGGTTGATATAGATTTGTCAAAGAAACCTCGTTATCGAGCATGCCGCCATCTGATAGAGCGGCTATCTTACTGTCCGATAAGGAAACCGGCGGCCCGTTAGAGAGATCGCGAGCTTAATTCAGCATCTTGGGCTCACGTTGTTCGGCGTACTCCAAAGCTCAGTTGCGACTGCACAGTGTAGATGTTTGTTCCCGTCGGTGTGCCGACGTTGTTTCTCCGCGCCTGCAAGATAATGAGCGGCAAGGACGGATAAACCCTCGTCTGCAAAGACATTTCATCCCTGAGAATAATTCCTGGAGGTGAGTAATAGTGTCCACCTTGGATCCTTCCTGCAGCCTCGATCATGATTTGTCTGCGGCAGTATGTGAGAGATCCACATTGCATTTCCATTTGCTGCCATTTCTCTCTTTGCTTCAAGGCGGTCTTGAGCCCCAGCGTTTCGTGTTGCTGGAGGGCCGCTCATCATGTGGCGCTTGCATCATGCAGGCGTGGCAGGACAAACTCCAAGCTGGAGACAAATGCGCCTGGGTCCTCCGCATAGGGTTGTTGTGTACTTGCCAAATGCTAATCAATGCCGTCGTGGCAGTCATGTGTCAGCTCCCATGACCTCCCGGCCCTTGAGCCGAAGAACTCATATGAATAGTTAGCAAAGGGCGGTCACGAAACCGGAGTCAGGACTCGTTAGTTGCTCTAATTAAGACATGATCTGCCTAGCATGAAGCACTTGTCCGCAGTTTCAGATGCAAGGTGGATGCCGATTTCGCGTGGCTTATACGGAGTACCTCGTATAACATCGCTCGGCACAGCTCGGCATGCCCTGAATAAAGGCCCATCGGATCCGACCACTAGGGGTCCGACTCAGTCTGTACCTCTTCATCATTAACACTCCATATCCGGCATTCATGCAAACAGACTCGTGGGACAAGGTCGTCGGGACCAAAGAATCGGTACGGCCATACTGCGGAGAAAATGATGTAACGCGGGCAAGGATCTGGGGCAACAGCGTGGGCAAAGTGGGAGGACAGCGGTGGCTGGGTGGGGTACCACAGTAGGTCTTCTGCCTGCGGTACGGCAAAGACCCAATCGTCTCCTAGGCCTTCAGAGTTCGAGCTCTCGGGGCTCTCCGGATGCCTCCCGTGGTGCAGGTAGAAGTGTTGGTAGAGCAAAGCTTCTTCTGCTTGAAAGCAATCGCTACGCCGGCAGAACAGAAGAAAATCAGTACGGAGTACTTGGCCAGCGCGTAGTGGTGCGTTGAAGGCCTTAAGCTCTGTTATCTGGTGCATATCGCCTGGAGTCAATTACCTAGGTAGTTTTGAATGCTCTCCGATGTCGTTCCCTCGTATGAGTACTCCGTACCTAGGGCGACCAGCCGCCAGCGGTAGACCAGGAATTAAAGGTATCTTGAGGTATGGAATAGCAGAGGGCACGAGCTTTTCGCTGGGCTACGGAGTACTTCCTCGTCACAACGCTGTAAGGACAGACTAATTCGAGGCGGATTTACGGAGTACAGCACCTTCACCTCACTTCACAACCTTGTCAATTTTCGGCCAAAAGCAGTGCTGGCCACTTTCTAGAGTAGAACGCTTCAGTAAGAGGAGAAGGCGCATGCCTGGGCGCAGGGGCAAACGCCAGGACTGCACATGCAGGTTGCCATGCAGGTGCAGATGTACCTAGGGGTGTGTAGTCTTGGTCGGTTCCCCATCCACGGCCGCGAGCTACAAGTGATCAAATGAGACAACCGACAAGGCGGCGCACGAAGGTTGAAGCCGCGTTACTGAAATTGTCGAATGTCCAAGTGCCTTTTCTCTTCATTTGCTTTTTCTAGCTGTTCAAGCAATCAGTGGGCTCAAGTGAAGCACACGCACCTCTCACCCGCTCCTCATATGCATCTTACTTTCCGAGAAAGACCTTCTTGCTGTCCCGTCCTCATTGGCTCGCCCGCTGTTGGTCGTATCCCATGTCATCCTGAGGTCGACATCGAAGCAACTAACTTTCACGGGGGTGGTGATATCCTCGAAAAGAGCAGCGTTGAACTGCGAGAATTCCTCCTTCTCGCAAAGTCTCTCGAAGCCTTCATTCTCGTGCACAATTACCCCGAACAGATCGTCCCTTAGGGCAACATTGGCATCAGGCAGTCTTGGACAAACAGGGCAGACTCGCAAGGTTCGCATGCAAATCCCCTCAAATACCCCGAACTGCAGAGACTGATCTTCGACTTGATCCTTCCAGGGCAGGCCTCCTCACCCAACAAACATTATCCTCTCCCCTGCGTCTCAAAACCGTTGATTGATCGACCCCGATCATCGACCATCCTCTCTTGATTCCGATCCCTGCTCAACTCACCCGTGCCTTGCATTACCACCGGGGAAATATTGTTCGCCGATCCGTTCCTTCGGCAGTGCCGCCGGAAACCACCACCTTTCGCACTGTAACAGTGCTTTGTTCACTGTCACCGTCCTGGCTCCGCGGCCCAGAATCAAAAGGAGGGGCAATAAGTTCCAGGTAATAGTTCAACGGTCGTCACTAGCTGAAGGCTTTGAGTTGTCTTGTCCCGAGTGGGCCACTAGTCATATCGGTTCTGTCGAGGTCTAGACGCGCGCACCCTTCGCAGTTGGGGACTGCGGTCGCATCGCTTTATCATTGAACGCATCTGCGCCTGTCTCCACAAGCGCATGTATCAATCTCCTCTCTCGGTCTCATTGACAGCTCTGTGAGACGACCTTTGGGAGCACAAGGTTTCAGGTACCCGAGGCTGCCTTCGAGGACCGACCATTCACCATGTCGGGCAAAATGACATTATATAAATTGGTGGTGCTTGGAGATGGCGGTGTCGGGAAGACAGCTTTGACAATTCAGGTTTGTTGTGCTGCATCCCTTGCGTCCGCTGCCTGCTTATTGGTCTGCAGTTATGCTTGAACCACTTTGTCGAGACCTACGATCCTACCATTGAAGACTCTTACCGGAAGCAAGTCATGATCGATCAACAGGCTTGCATGCTCGAAGTTCTTGATACTGCTGGACAAGAAGAATATACTGCTCTCCGTGACCAGTGGATCCGAGACGGCGAAGGGTTTATCCTTGTCTACAGTATCACCTCCAGAAACTCTTTCACAAGGATTCAGAAGTTCTATTCCCAGGTACAGCGGGTCAAGGAGTCGGGACATCCGAATTCACCTACTGGCGCAAGTTACTTGCCTGCACAAATGGCTGGCCAGCCCATGTATACCGGCCCTGTTCCTATTATGCTAGTTGGCAACAAGAGCGACCAGCATCACGAACGGGAGGTCTCAGCCCAAGAGGGCCTAGCTCTTGCGAAAGACCTGGGCTGCGAATTTGTCGAGGCTTCTGCCAAAAACTGCATCAACGTTGAAAAGGCCTTTTACGACGTTGTACGGCAGTTGAGAAGGCAACGACAATCACCTATGAAGCCCGTCGACCGGAAGGCCACAAATTACGGGCCCCAGCCGGGTCCACGAAACAACTATGAATCGGACCATCAACGAATTTACCGCGAACACACAAAGAAGCGCAGCAGCAAATGTGTGATTTTATGAACCCGCCAAGCATACAGAATTATCCGGGGCCGCTGCTGCAGATGAATTTATGATCGAAAGGTGTTCCCAGGCGCTAGCGACACTTCTGTGGCTCTAAACTTCGGTTGTCACGGAGCTTGATATGCTCCAACTGTACGATGTTACTCCATTATGCACGTGGACAGAAGCATCACAACGCAAGTTCAATCCCTTGATACCATCCTCGGCATGTCGAAATTACAAGTCACCTTCTCAGACCCCTTCAACAATACATCTTGGACAGACTGGCGACTCTCACCGTCCATCTTGGCCTGGAACTATCCTTCTCTCAAGGGGAGTTTGGCTCCAGGACAGGAGAAGTTTTTGGGACAGAAAGCAGTGAGCACTAAAAGTCTGCACCGCGACATCCAAAGTGTACGATAAGTCAAAGTTGGGTCTTCGGGTACCTAGAAGTAGTGTGAAGGATTTTTCTCCTTGCTGCCCAGCCTGAAGCGACCTGCATCCCCTCGGAACGGCGTCCCGCAGCTTTCAGGGGTAGAAGGGGTCGCAGATTGCAGCAGCCCACTACGAGGTATGATGGTGACTGCCTTTAGGGTCTCTATGTGGTTGTGCGCGGCATAACGATGGCATGACGTTTGCACTCAGCACGCGATCAGAGTGGGACGAACTACGACAGATGCGGGGCGGCTACTTTTGGAACACTAAAGCAGTCCCTACGATTGAGACCACCGGAACTACGCCAAAGTCGGCGTGTATGCAGCAGAGCCATTGCGTTGATTATTGTCGGTGGCCTTCAAACTCCGGAAATTCCGGTGGAAACTTTCCAGGTCGCAATGGCTTGGACTGGCCGGGATACAGGATCAGGGAACATGAATGTTTGTACCAGTGATGTCGGTCCGTGGCAGACATAAAGCAGGCAACGGGGCAGACCCACGTCCGGGGTGCCCTAGGCAGAGCTAGATAAAACAACTAACATGAACTAGAGATCCGAAAACATGGAGAGGCCACGCGTGTCCGAGTAGAAAGGTCGCGCAAACCCCACATGAACTGAATACTATCAAGCGACTTGGAATGCCCGATTCCTTACTCGAAAACGTGCTCCGCCTCGTATTTACCAGAGTTTATTGTCAGCACCCGTGTCAGAGAGGCAGGGAAGGGCAGCACAGTAAAGAAGAATGAGGAAACCTCAAGCATTTGGCACGAAAGTTCAGTCGATGAATCTCCATCTATGCGTCGAGCTCGAGACGTGAAACTCGAGATTCCGAGACTTGAGTGTCCGACGACTTGACTCTGGCTTTGACTTTGACTTTGACTTGCACCTCGGCTCCTGTGTCAACCTACTTGTGCTTCTGTAGTCATCCGCCTATAACAGTGGCCTGAACCTCGGGTTTCAGCCAAAAATCAATCAACGACGAGTCAGGTCGCCAGCATGATGATGCACATGACTCGTTTGTTTCGCTATATGGAGGACGGAGGGAGCTGCATACTGTATTCACTTCTTGACTTCTTGCATCTCGGTGACGTTTTACCGAGTAACTCGTACCTACTGCTCACTTCTCCAGTCACAAGAGGAAGAAATGCTGCGACAGGCTGCGTCGTTGGCTACCTAGGTAGGTGTGCAGCCTTGTGTTCGTGTATGCCGTTGATGTACTCCGTACTCCGTCTCCTCCGTATTTGCACATGCATTTTGCAGCGCTCTCGATGGTAGCGCCAAGGCTGGTATCCCGCCTGGTTGGCTAGGCCTGTGGAGTGAGCCCGTTGAGTCTCTCCACTCAGGCTGGGGAAACTTATCCTCGTAACTTCCCAGGAAGTTTCGAGGGTAGGCTCCGCATCATTCTCTGCGCGAACACTGGGCTCGACTGGGGACCACTTGCCTCTGGGCGACACGGACATCAAGGTAAATGAGCTAAATTGGTGAGCTTTGATGAGACCGCTGAATTGATCAAATCACGGAACATTTGTCGAGCAGTGAAAGTCATGGAAATCTTTTCTTGAACTTCGAGACTCGCAATTGCATGTGCGTCTGCTGAGTACGGAGTATGTACTAGGTAGACAAACGTGCCACAACAGTCGAAGGGTGATGGATTGGAAAAATTATCCGCGCCATGTTTCTCCACGGCGCCCTACAATCCTCTTCTTCACCCGCTACGCGGGCATCTGGCGTATGTCCGAGTTCGCACGCGACCTAAACACGTTTTGTTGTCGATGGAGTCGTTCGTGCTGTGTGACTCATGTTCAGGGGCCTTCTCGTTGTTTGGCTGAGTATCAGACATGTGGAAAGAGGATCTGCGTCCGTGATGGTGTATGAGCCATGTGGCAGGCGTCTCTGCCGATCCGTGATCCCTTGGTAGAAAGGACGGGGACCTGCATGCGGACCTGATCGGGATTGTGGATCGGCATTTGTCAGTGTTGGAGGTGTACCAATATTCGGTGCCTGCCTAGTTAGGAATTTTTGGGGCTCTTTGCGTTATGTGTTCCTTTGAACGGGCGACCTCCGGATTGTAGGTCGCGTGCCACACCGGGAACAAGGCTGATAAGTCTCAATTTAGCCTGCAAGACGGTGAAGTCATGCCCTATTGCGTGCTGTGTAGGCAGGAGTCGGGATGATATCGGAAGGGATGATGGTCTCACCGTTATTGCGGTCGCCGGCTCCAAGGCTGCACCGCTGACGAGGTAGTGCAACTCGACGGTGACAGAAGTGCCTGGGAGCAACCGACAAGGCTTGTTGCCGGAGACTTACCTCTCTGTCTGCCCGGCCGTGTCCACGAAGCAGACATGCTTCTCGCCTGGTCATGTCAAGGTCGATTTACTTTCAACATCCCAGGCAACTCGAAGTGCAAGCAAAGCAGCAAAGGTTGCCAGTCCGTTACCATGCTGAGATACCTTGCTACAGTAACTTGGCTCCACTTGGTACATACGACTTCACGTTCTCGGCAAGTCCGCTGTTATCGAACGCATCCCGCACAACTATGTCGTTATGTGCTCGGGGCAAGTTGCCTCGCTCGTGTGTGAGGCACTCTTGTGAAACGTGAAATTCGATGGAGGGCTAGAGGGTCCGATTTCTGGGGCCTAAATTCCTGAAGAGGAAGGAGTTCAGATAAGATATGTCCAACAGAGCAGCGACGGAAGGAACACCTTGATCCGTCCATTGGCGGAAGCCAGAAGTTGCATATCATCCTAGTTGGGAATCAATGGCAGCGCAAGAAATGCAGGGAAAGCCACTGTGAACAATATCTACGCCGCGCCACAAGTGTTCAAGTGTCAAAGGTCGCTTCGATGCATGTTCAGCATAAGCGAAGTCGGGCACGTTACAGAGTGAACTCTCCGTTCTGGGTGCAGATGGAGGCAGATCGATAGGTACCGACTGTAACTCGATTGTGCTCTTCGCTCAAGCATATCTAGCTCCATAATACTTAGAAGTATGGGTAACGACGACGCGAAATTTCAAAGGACCCTCTGTCACAGTGACGGACGTACCGCAGTCATATTCAATCATCAAGAGACGGTTCGCCGAGTAGTCCATTGCAGCACAAGGCAATAGCGGCTGGCCACTTGCTGTGACCTCAAAGGTCGATGTCCTGGACTTTTGCAGCGGTGTATGTGACGAAGCAGGTCGACTTTCGAGGCGCCCTCGTTTAACCTGCGAAGATATTCGTCCATGTATTGTGCATTGGCGACGTCACGAATGGACGCTGTTGGCGCCACATAAAATCGGGCATGAAGTTGTGAATCAACCCTTTGCCATCAGTCGATATGCCAGGTCGAGGTCGCCGTCCTCCATTTCCCAGTCCATCAGTAACTAGCCCAACGTCTTTAGGTTAGATCCCAGGTCGTATTAACACCTGGGGTCAGAACGGTCACAAATGGACAGCTTTATCAGGGCTGCGTAATCAAGTGTCATTGATGCGGCCAGACAACGATCTTGCCTTGTCACTGAGGTCCCCTTGGCATGGCGGCTCCTGGCGGCGAAATGGCTGTTCGGCTTGTTTGTCATGTTGTCCACAGAAGCAAGTTGAAGTATTTAGCCGAGTAGATATCGGCTGCAGGTACACAAAAGTACGATTGCCAGGCTTGGGTCTCCCATCAAATCCTCTGTTCTTGTCACGCGAGCCGCTAGCCATCGGGCGGGTCGAAGCCTGCCACGCATAAGAGCTGGTGTGGCATTTACAAGGCTTCGAGGTCGGCAGAAGGCCCGAGGAGCTTCGTTGTCCCAGCGCACTTCTTGCGCTTCGGAAAAGTCAGACCTCTGATCGACGTGGAGGAGGCATACCCCTGCCTTTAGCCCTCTTCGGCGAAGTAGCGATGTCCACTTTCAGGTGAGATATGACCCTCCTGTTTGTTTCCTTTTCTGCCTCGAGTGCAGAAATGCGGGCTTGTAGTTCTGCAATCTTCCTGTCCTTAGCCTGGACAGCTAGTCGGGTGATGTCCCTGCCCTTGATGATTCCCTGTGTTCGAAGGTCGTACTTGTTGAGAAGGTCCACGAGTTGAGCCTCGACCCACGAGCTGATTTGCGAGTCTGAGCTTCTCAGTATGCTGAGCACGTCAGTGGCAAGCGAGGAAGGCTCGGCTTCGGGTGGCTCGGCCCCACTTTGGATTGGTCGGGAAGCTGGAGTGTTCGATGGCGAGAGCAGCCCGGTGCCGTGTGACTTGTGGGATGTGCTCGGAGTGGTGAAAACGTCGTCGCTCAGAGGCCATGTTTCATCCCTCCTGACTACCTGAGCAGGCGGCCTGGACAAAGCCCTCTTGCCGGGAGATGTGAGCTCGTCTGTTCGAGGGGTCTTTCGGGGTGTATCGAACGGCGTCTTTTGCAGGGCTTCTTGTTCGGCTTTGAGCAATTCCTCGTCGTCGCTGGAAGACCAATCAAAGCTCTCTTCGAGCTCAAAATGCCCAGGGGTCTTTGTCTGGTCAGCATTATCTGCATGCTGTATTTGTGCGTAGCCGGTCTTCGTCTGGGGCGTGGGAATTTCAGCGATTGAGGTCTGTTTCTGCGGAGTTTTAGGTGTGACAGGAGCGTTGGGCTCTGAGCGCGTGTTGCTGAGCACGGCAGCTTCTTCACGGATCTTGGCTTCGTCGGTCCACAGGAAGAAGCCGCATCGCTTGTTCTGAGGCTTCTGACAGGTATAGACTGTGGTTTTGTTAATGGGACGTTGAATCACACGATGCGACACACATACACCACCTTCCATGATTCTTGGTCCCTTTCTTCGTCTGGAATTTGTCCGCCGGTAGCCGCGGGTCGCAGTCGCAAAGCCAGATACCTTCAGAGAAGAGCCCTCGCTTGGCAGTCCGACCATTTCTGGTCGTGTACGAGGTGGCCATGTTTGTCTAGATCATAAGCCATGGGCACAGGAAAATGTTAGCTGCTGGTTCTACGGAATCACGCAGATATGTCGTCTGGCCATTTCTGCCACCATCATCATAAGATTGCGTTCTGCTCTTGTATCCTGCTTCGGGGAATAGTCCAGTAGGTTGTCGCGAGTTCTGTGTAATAACGAGGACGAAGTTGTCCGTTGTTTTGAAGGTTCATCAGTTGCTGAGGCAAGTGACGCACGCATGCGGAACGAATCTTGGAATGCCCCAAAGTGGATTCCAGGCGGAGCCCTGCTAGCCCATTCCAGAAGCCTCAAGGCTGCATCTCGGGCGCAGCGGCCCCCAATTTAGAGCCTGGGGGCACCTGTCCTCCCTGCGCGTGCCTGAGCCCCATGATTCAAGGCTCGGCTTGAATTCCCAACTAGGCGACCCTCAACCGTCAAACGCATTCACTTCCACGCCTGCGCTGGCCCCAACGCGACACGCTCCTCAGTCAAACAGACCTCAACACCGGCAGCCAGAACCCATAACACCGGAAAAGAATACACACAAGTGCGACTTGTTGCCGGAGTGTATGTTTTCCCTCGGATTCAATCACGTCTCGCGCGCAGCGACAACGACCTACCGAGCGAGTTGATTCTCCCCGCCAATAAAGACGATGGTGAAAACACACGGAATACCACACTTATAACATTGGTACAACCATGGCGCCGACGGGCGGTATCGGTGGAGGAGGGGGAGGCGGGGGAGGTGGCAACATCAAGGTCGTGGTTCGAGTGCGACCCTTCAATAACCGCGAGATCGAGCGCAATGCAAAATGTATCGTCCAGATGCAGCAGGCACAGACGGTTCTGCAACCCCCACCTGACGCGGAAGACCGGCTTCGAAAGGGTGGAAAAGACGGTGCAAGTGCTCAGCGGACCTTCAAATTCGACAAATCGTACTGGTCGTTCAACAAGGCAGACCCGAACTATGCTGGTCAAGACAATGTGTTCAGTGACCTGGGAGTTCCATTGCTTGACAACGCCTTTCAGGGTTACAACAACTGCATCTTCGCGTACGGCCAGACGGGCTCCGGGAAGTCCTACAGCATGATGGGCTATGGTGAGGAGGCCGGTGTTATCCCACGGATTTGTCGGGACATGTTTGAACGGATCAATGGGATGCAATCCGACCCCGACCTGACCTGTACTGTCGAAGTCTCGTACCTTGAGATCTACAACGAGCGAGTTCGCGACTTGCTCAACCCGAGCACTAAGGGCAATCTTCGGGTCAGAGAACATCCTTCGACTGGTCCTTACGTAGAAGACCTCGCGAAATTGGCTGTCCGCTCGTTCAGCGAGATTGAAAACCTCATGGACGAGGGCAACAAGGCCAGGACAGTTGCAGCTACGAACATGAACGAAACGTCTAGTCGCTCTCATGCCGTCTTCACCCTCACCCTCACGCAGAAACGCCATGATGCCGAAACCAATATGGACACGGAAAAGGTTGCGAAAATCAGTTTGGTCGATTTGGCTGGTTCAGAACGCGCGACTTCAACAGGTGCAACTGGTGCGCGACTGAAGGAAGGTGCAGAGATCAACAGGTCTCTGTCCACTCTCGGTCGAGTCATTGCAGCTCTAGCAGATCTGTCATCCGGCAAGAAAGGCTTAAAGGTCCCATATCGAGATTCGGTCCTCACCTGGCTCCTGAAGGACTCACTCGGAGGCAATAGCATGACAGCCATGATTGCTGCTATCTCTCCTGCAGATATCAACTTCGAGGAAACGCTAAGCACACTCCGCTATGCTGACTCGGCCAAGAGAATCAAGAATCATGCTGTCATCAATGAGGATCCGAACGCACGTATGATCCGCGAACTCAAAGAAGAGCTTGCCAAACTGAGGAGCCAGCTCGGAGGGAACGCCGCCGCAGGAGGGACGGAGGAGGTGTATCCCGAAGGTACTCCACTTGAGAAACAAATGGTATCAATCGTTCATACAGACGGCTCGGTAAAACGGGTCAGCAAGGCTGAGATCATGGACCAGTTGAGCCAAAGTGAGAAGTTATACACCGACCTCAACCAGACGTGGGAAGAAAAGCTGGCAAAAACCGAAGAGATCCACAAAGAGCGGGAAGCAGCTCTGGAAGAATTGGGCATCAGCATTGAAAAGGGCAATGTGGGAATGAGCACGCCGAAGAAGATGCCTCACTTGGTCAACCTTAGCGACGACCCGTTGCTGGCCGAGTGTCTGGTCTATAACTTGAAGCCTGGTATCACCACGGTGGGAAATGTTGATTCCTCTGAAGCTTCCGAGATCAGGCTCAATGGTTCCAAAATTCTTGAGCATCATTGCAAACTAGAGAACGTCGACAACGTGGTCACCATCATCCCAGTCGAGGGAGCCGCTGTCATGGTGAACGGTGTCCGCGTCGACAAGCCACGAAGGCTTAGGACCGGTAACCGAATCATCCTAGGAGATTTTCACATATTCAGGTTTAACAACCCTTTGGAAGCAAAAGCTGAACGAGCCGAAAGGAGCCTGCTACGCCATTCTATCACGCCAAGCCAGCTCGGTTCACCGACACCGACACCGACATCGTTCCGGCCAGGACATGAAAGAAGCTGGAGTGCTGCGGGTTCGGAATGGGATGGGGACTCGAGTCGCGCCCAATCACCCGGACTGGGTGGCAACCGGGAATCTGACTGGTTCTTTGCACGACGAGAAGCTGCTGGGGCGCTGCTCGGTACCGATCCCAAGATCACCCAACTCTCAAACGAGGAGCTGGACAGCCTCTTTGAAAACATCCAGCGAGCGCGGGAAGAACGACGTGGCCGCTCCGACACCAAGCTTCTGGAACAAGAGGATGACTCGGACGATCTCAGTTCCTTCCTTGTCAGAGACAAGTACATGTCAAATGGGACTATGGACAACTTTTCGCTTGATACCGCGCTTACGTTGCCCGGAACTCCTTCTGCGCATAGCGGCTCTCAAGAAGACGGTGAACCAACCATGACACGAAATGAGTTCGAGCATCAGCAGCAGGAACAGCAAAAGGCCGAAGAAGAAATCAAAGCTGTCGACGAAAAGGCGGCTAAGGAAGCCGAGCAGGCAGTCCAGGCTACACAGATGCAGCAAGAATTAGAGCAAGCAAAGCTGGCGTTCCAACAAGAGCTTCGGAAACAGAAAGAGGCATACGAGGAGCAGATTAAGAAGATGGATCACAACGTCAGGATTCGAGAGGCTTCAAGGACTCCTGCTGGGTTCTTGTCCCTTGAAGCGTCCGAGATAGCAATCGCCCGAAATGTTGTGGACAAATGGCAACAGAGGAACTACATCCTGATAGCGGAGGCAGTTCTGCAAAATGCTGGCCTTTTGAAGGAAGCTCAGGTCATGAGCAAACTGTTGGATCAAGACACCAATTTTCAATTTGTGATTTTGGACTCCGGCGAGGAACGTGGCTCCTCGTACGACCTCATCCTCCACGATATTTCTGGAGATGATGATGATGCTCTCGCCAATGCTCGAAAGCCGTGTCTGGCCGTTCGAGTCATCAACCATCAGCTCAGCTGCATACACTTGTGGTCTCTGGGCAAGCTGAGAGAACGGGTCGCCAAGATGCGCCAGATGCACCAGTACAAGGATCAGCCAGAATATTTGCAGCACTTCAGAATGGACAACCCCTTCCGCGATTCTGATCAGCCACTCTTTTCGCTAGTCGGTGATGGCAGCATCCCCCTTACCGCCGTCTTTGAGACCAGGGTCCAAGATTTTGTGGTTGAGATATCCTCACCATCGACGAGGCAGATCATTGGCAAGGTCCGGATGTCCCTGGAACCCTCTTTAGCAGAATCTCCCCCTTCTACTATCAAATTCAACATCGTCATGCGGGATTTCGTCGGCTTCGCAGAGCATGAAGGTACTCAAGTTCATGCTCAGATGACCGTGTTAGGGACTGAAGACGGGAGTGTTGCAACAACCCAGCCCATTCACGGCTTCGGCGACGGACCAGTACGGTTCGAAAGCATACACAACTTGAGCGTCCAGCGATCTGGGGAGAAGTCGGCTGTGTTGAAAATTGCCATCTTTGCTCAAGTCAGCTCGACCCATCTCGATAAGCTGATCAGCTGGGATGAGCTTCGGGAAATGAACGAGCAACCACATGATCAGCAGCCCGCTCCCCGGATCTCCGAGGCCGAATACAGCCTTGAAGAAAGACACGATGTCTTTGCAAAGGTCCAGTTTCTTGAGTTGGCGGAGACCGGCCAATATATGCCAGTGGAACTGATACAGAACAACGCCAATGATATTGGAGCATTCCAACTGCATCAGGGCCTGCAGCGTCGTATCTCCGTCAATTTAACGCATGTACTGACCGAAGGCCTGCCGTGGGATGATCTCAAAAACCTACGGGTCGGGGAAGTGCACCTCATTGATGCGTCCGGACGTATTGTCGACATCGGTTCCATCACACCAGACATAGCTCTGAAACAGATTCAAGAACCGATGATCAAGGACAACGCCGACGGCACCTCGAACATCACCATCGTCGGACAGTGGGACAGCTCACTGCACAAATCCCTGCTTCTCGACCGTGCCACGCATGAAAACTCGCGAGTCCAAATCTCGCTGCGCTGGGATATCATCTCCAACCGCCTTGGCCACGACCATCCCATGACTTTTGTCATCGCCCAACAACTGCAGATCCTTCCTCGTTCTTACGTCCGTCCGCAGTCGATGTTCAAGTCGTTCTGGAGCCAAACGCGGATCACGCATTCCTCAGAAGGACTCTTCTCGATCGTGGTACGCCCTGTAAGTGCCAAGCGCGCGGCCGATCTGTGGCGTCTGGACACGTCGAAGAATTACATCAACGGCGAGGAACACCTGGGCAACTGGCAGCCCCGAGGCATTTCCCTGGTCAAGGACTACTTGATCGCGCGCCGCAAGAGGAGACAACTCCAGGACATCGAGTCGGCCAAAGCAGCACTGGGTCTGCGCAAATTGAGCGTCACCAGGCCGTCACGGTCTCGCGCGGCGTCACCTTCCACTTCCACAGTAGCGGATCCGCACGAAGACCAGCTCCTCCGCAAGTTCATTACTGTCTGGCAGAAACCCAGTCCGGAGATGAAGAACCCCATCTTCGACGACAACGACCAATCTTCGCCTCCACAGCCAGCGCCAAGCCCCTCCCGTTCCCACCCCCCTTCGACACGCTACCAAGCCACCGTCAGCTACGTGCCCAAGAATCCCGTCTCCCTCAAGTCAGGCCATCTCCTCATGCCGTCCGAGACCTACGACCCTTCGGCCTCCTCGCACTCGGCGACAATGCAGTGGAAGCGCCGGTTCGTGGACCTCCGTCCGCCGTACCTGCACATCCATTCCGTGCCGGACGGCGAGGGCATCAACGCGATCAACCTCACGCACGCGAGGATCGACCACGACCCGGACTTTAAGCGCCTTTTGGGAGGTGGTGGCGGGTCGAGCATCTCCAGTGGTGAATCCGCGGAGGTCAGGGCTCCAGGCCACAGACGGGCGGGAAGCGAGATCCATGGCTTGGCGCACGTTTTCGCCGTCTACGGCGAGCAGAACACGTTTCTGTTCGCCGCACGGAGTGAGAGCCAGAAGGTGGAGTGGATTCTCAAGATTGATCAGAGCTACTTTGCTGCGGACGGTGGAGGCGAAGAAGAGCGCGTGGATATTTGATGGCGCCAATTTGACCATACCCAGCGAGAGATCAGGAGAAATTGTGCAGGTAGAACGTGCATACTGTAGCTTGAAGGCTGTGACACTGCTTGGGTATACGGTTGGGTCAGCCTAAGCATTAATCGTAAATATGGTACAGAGGATAAAGTCCCTGCACCAAGCTTTGAGGATATTGAGATACCCCCGAATATATGAAGAGAGTGGACCAAGTACGCCGTGCCAGGCTCTGGGAAATCATCCTTTTATGTGATTGCACCTCATATCCTCAAATCCTCAGTTGTAGTATGCTGAGCAGCCTGGCGCTTATGTGTGTTGTGCTCTAGATGGCCCCGGCTCTTACATAGTGTTGCCTTTCAAGGGCAACTGACACTGAATAGAATAGGCAACGGATCAATCCAGTTTGTCGTTGCCGAGACTTTCTGGAGGTCCCCAGGCGTACATGGATGTTGCCACCGTCACGGCAGCAACAGCTGTCGCCACTGTCACGGGAGCAAGCGCCGTTGCGCCTGGCTCATCACAACAAGCCATAATGTAGATCGGGCCAACATGTAGCAGTGAGCCATGGATGAACGACTTCAGGACTGTGGATGTTCTAGGGCGCGGCAAAGTGCGCTGTATAGGGCTCAAGTCCTCTTCAATATCCGCTTCCAATTTTAGCAGTGTTGTCAAATACCACACTTCCCCGCAAAGCAGCAGGAAATTGGTGCACAGCCTTGTGGCAAACAACGAATCCAGAGCCACATGGTGTGGAATTGATAAGATCTGGGGAAATCTCCTTCTGACGCACCAAATCAGCACTGCGGCAGATAATGACAAGGACTCGTCGATTAAAAGAAACCCGTTGTATGCGTCGAGACCGAGCCGGGGCGCATACAACTTCGAATTCCAGGTTCGTTGCATTTGACTGCTACGTTGACGAACAGATACCGTGGCGATGCGGCTGACTATGGTTGTTGCCAAGATGGCGCCGGCTATGAGCCATGGGGCTGGCCCGTCGTCCGAAGCCAGAAGTATCGCTCGGAGGTCATGATGGGCTTGCGAATCTCCTCTCTTTGTCAAAGGCAGTCCAGGGAGCTGGGGTGGGGAGTCGAGTCCTTTCGCTACCACCTCATCACATGTCGAACTCCAATTTCCCAAAAATTGCTGTGTATCTGTGAGCTAAACGAAAGGCTACTGGAAGCATGTTGCCCACTCACTCGCTGGTTGAAGCAATCATCCCGAAAGTCTTTGCGCGCCGTCCAAGACGACATCGATGTCTGGTATACGGCAAATACGATTCCTATGATGGATAACACGAAAATTGCTCCGTTGAAGATGCATTCACTCCAGTTGACCGGCTTTGGAAGTAGGGTAGCGGGAAAGGCATTGCAAAAGTAGCCTTGCCACGAATTTGGTGGTCGTTGAATGCTTGGGTGTTGAGTAGTATTCATTGCTAGCGAGCCATTGCTGGTTGGGGACGGAAGGCTTGTGCCTGCCACCGCCGCGGGTGATACCTGAATGGAACGCTGGTGCGGTGCTGATGAAGAAGACGTGACTAGTTGGTTAGAAGACAAAGCATGAGAGTTTGTCGCTACGGGAGGAGGAGTGTTGGTGGTGGTAGCAGTGGTGGAAGCCATCCCGAATGACCTCAACGAAAACTTCTCAATAATAGTACTCGGCAGAATGGAAGGTAACTGCGATGGCGCGTCCAGAGGTTGGCCTGGGTGAATTCATGTGGTCCAAAAGGCTAGGCTGCCACTTCCCAGATGAGGACAAGTTTGATTGCCTTGCATGAGCGTAACAGTACCTGTATGTACCTGCAAATGCAACTTGGCAGGCGGGTGATGAAAGGGGAGCCGCGGGATCGCTACATCTTCCAAATGGCGGCCGGTCGGGATGCTTCTGCAACACTGTGATGTTACCACTTGCTGATAGCTCAAGAGCATAACACACCCGGCTGGTTACCAAGGGAAGGCAGTTGAGCTCCACGACCAGTGTCGGCCAATCTGCTGCAGGGGTCAAAGAACACCGAATGCACAAGGAAGCCCTATATGGGAGAGATGATTGACATCAATAGTGGACATTGCTTTCGGAAGGCCACATCTAGTTCTCCTCAGCCTGTGCGATGAACAACACATGCAAGAGGGAGCAATTTTCTTCACCAAGTTCGACATGGGTGAGAAACAGCCACAAAAGCAACGGCGGACCATTGAGTCAGCGTCCGCATAAGCAGTACGGCGGGGCAAACAAGCTGCGGTCGTCGGTTGCCAGTTTCGGCAGCACCGAAGTTGCGCGCATTGTTCTATGTAACAGTCTCTGACTTTTTAACTCGTACTTGTAACTTGTCGATGATGCTCCCGAAATTGTTGATCCCACCGGCCCAGAATTGCTCGCCCTCGCTTACCGGCCGTGCCACGTATGTCATTGGTACCCGCCCGACGGCCCCTGCCAGGGTCCCAAAGGGACGGATGTCACACCCAGTAGCAGGTCCAGGTCGGTGACAACATCAGGCAAGGGAGATCGACGCTCGACAATCGGCGATAGTCCACCCAGGCCTCATCCACCCACGATCGCCATTCCACACCACGGCACAGCTTACGAGCGCCCCCAAAGTATTGGCTTCTGTCCCTGCGATTGTCTTCCGAGCTCTGCGTTACTGTGTACGAGGTAGTCCGCCAACGGCCTCCCGCGGGCAACCCGCTCGTGTCAAAACGTCCCGCTGCCGCACCGTGACAAGAACTTAAAGCGGAGCCAAAAGGTAAAACAGAGGTAAGGGATCCGCCACCATATCGCCGGGCTGAGTTGTAGCATCTGTGGTCCGGAGCACTGCACGAGTACCCCGTCAAGCCACAAGAACCAGAGGCAGGCTGTCGCCGTTCGTGTCCACCAGTCCCAGCTCCTCTATTGACATCATCCTCTGCCTCATGGTTTGCGCTTCCATTCCTCATATTCCTGCGAGCACTGACCGCACCGCAACTCACCATCTTCACCGCACACATTTTCATGCCCTACTTACAGTAACATTCGTCCGCCCTGGTCGCATCCAAGTTGTTCAACCGCGACTCGACTCACCATGCCGCGCCACTTCCCGCCTGCGTCCCTTCGTCGAGATAATAGGGTCTCTTCCGCCGCCACCAGTGCCAATACGGCCTCACCAGCAGGCGACGCCGCCCACAGACACCACCTCCCGCGGAATAATGACCCCCAACGCGACCTGCTCTCTCGCCACCAGCGCATGAAGAACCATCTCATCGCTGTGGTTGGCGAATACGTGGGCACTACGCTGTTCTTATGGTTCGCGTTTGCAGGCACACAGGCCTGTGCCACCACAGGCGGCGGCGCCGCCAACAACCCTAGCCAGATTGTGCTCACAAGTTTGGCATTTGGCTTCTCGCTCCTCGTCACAGTGTGGGCTTTCTACAGGATCAGCGGCGGGCTGTTCAATCCAGCGGTATGTTTCTCTTGTCGCTTGTGTCTGAACACCTGCCGCCACTGGCAGTCGATGTACGGGTACCATGTGGTGCACGGAGCATATACACAACACATGCTCGCGGCTTGGGAGCAAAAAACTGACATCCCCGCAGGTCACGCTCGGACTTGTCATAACCAAGAACCTCCCCTGGTTCCGAGGCCTGCTCCTCCTCCCAGCCCAGCTCCTAGGCGGCATGACCGCGGCGGGCCTTGTGAAATGCATGTTCCCTGGGGCCTTGGTCGTCAGCACGACCCTTGGCAACGGCACGACCCCCGCACAGGGCGTCTTCATCGAAATGTTCCTCACCTCGCTGCTTGTGTTTACGATCCTGATGCTCGCGGCTGAGAAACACTATGCCACATTCATGGCCCCCGTCGGCATCGGGCTAGCACTATTCGTCGCCATGATGGCCGGGCTTCCTTTTACGGGGAGCTCGCTGAACCCGGCACGCAGTTTCGGTCCCGCAGTCGCGATCCCCTACTTCCCCGGATATCATTACATTTACTGGTTTGGCCCGATCATGGGAGCCTTGATGGCCAGCGGGTACTATCACTTCGTCAAGTATTTCAAGTACGAGGAGGCCAATCCCGGCCAGGACGCCGTGTCGCCAGAGGAGATGCAGCGGGAGAAGTCGCGCGATGAGGAGATGGGTTGATCGACCTTTTGTACCAGTAATGCTGCCTATCTCCGTACGGACCCTCCTATTGGATCTCTGGAATCATTTCCTACTCACCCATGCTGGACACGCGAAGCGCACGGCACGGTACACAATACACGGTACATGGCCAGGAAAATTACGGACGCGACATCATTGGGGTCCGCGGAGGAAAGGAGGAAAGCCACATACTGCATCAGCCAGTCAATCATGGCGGTCCGGTCTGCTCACTTCCAATGTACAAGGATAGTCGGTTCCGGAGTACTTGCGGTCTTGGGATTGGCACGGAGGAAGGCAAGGACGGGTATGTATGTATGTTTGTATGAATGTATAGATCCGGGATGGGCAAGCAAAAAGTCCAAAGGCAAAGGCAAAGGCACGGTAAAAGTCAAATGGCAATGGTGATGGATTCCTGTCTTATTATATGATGTAGTACGCACTCCGGCAGGCAAGCAACGACTAGACGATCGAACCAACCTATATTAATCAAATTACTTTGACAAACAGATTTCTTGGCTCTCTCCAGAATCTCACGGTTTTGATTCTACAGCGGCGCAGTGTCTAAGTACAGACGCCACAACTGCCTGATACGTAGGTAAAGCACACAGTAGATACGAAGTACATGCGTGGCTTGACTACGGTGTGAATACTTGAGGGAATCTTGCTCACTCCTCCACTCACTCGCTATCTAGGATGAACGGCGTACGAGTATTCGAGAAGGGCGTGAATAACTGTACGGAGTAATCGTACCTACCCACCAGCAAGACCTTCTAGCACTGAGCGCGATACGAATGCATGAACAAACGTATACGATTCTACTCCGTAGTCTGGTCTGAAATGTTCTACATGCCGGTTCACCCACCTGTCTCTCGCCCCTTTGTCGTCATGGGCTTTCGATGCACGACTTTTGTCTTCTCACACCTAACTTACTGGAACTACTCCGTACATACAGTCCTATACTTTGTAGGTAGGGACTTCGTCAAAGGCTAAAGCAGAAAGACCGCCTTTTGTACAAGCATGCCGGGACGAAAGCCCCGAGCCCAACTTTTGCAGATCGCCTCACATCGCTTTGCCGCCGTCCCCACCGCGTCGAAAATCAGAGGTCATGTTCAGGAAGCCCAACGTATTTGTGCTTTCCGCCCACTGGCCTGGTCTTCCCCATCGTGTCGCCATGGCTCACCAGTAGACTCATAGCACACTCTCTAATGCTCGACGAGACTCTCGAAATTTCAGATGTCTGTACACTCGATCTGAGATGAAACCACCCATTCCCTCAGCCCAAGACCCTTACGCCCTTTCCACGCCGAACTCCGCCATCCATACTCTGTATTCGTAAAAGTCTTCAATGTCATGAAGTCGTAAGATCATAGTGCCACCAGCCCGCCACGCGTGCTTCACGGCGCTCTTCAGGCTCTCGGGACGCTCTTCTATCTTTCAGGCCGATGTGGTTGGTATCTGAATTGCATCTTCGGGCCTTTTTGCCCGCCTTGTCGAACAGTAAATTTTCGCGTCACTAACGCCGTAACCAATCGAACTTTTTCCTGGGATCAGCCCCAGTCTGCTGCGGTTCAATCTGCACACTTCGGTCGTATAATTCACTTCGCGGGTCGGCAGAATCCTCCGACTCCTCTAGAATTTTGGTCTCCAAGATTAATTTGGTGATCTCGTCGGATCGGACTGACCGAGGCGGAAAATTGTAAGGGGCCTCCTGGCTCCGCTGGATTCCGACAATGACATCGCCCATGATCTCAAACTTTTTCCAGTTGATGTTCGTGCCAATGAAAGTTTGGTTTGCCGAAGCCGCCAGGGTAAGATCTTGTCGCACGAGCGGAAGAAACGGGATTCGCTCTCCAGGAGAGTTATCCCAGGCCATCCGGTATGCGGCGTGAGACCTCGATATTCCCATCAAGATGGTCAGCCGCAAAAACTGCTTCTGGACTTCTGGCGGAGTGAGATCTCGAGTGGCAGCCAGACGAGCGATCTCATGGCCGGTGATTCCCGCCACAATCGCCCCAAGTGAGTTGTAATTGTTCAGTTGTCGCACTTTCCAGGCCAATGCCATGAATTTTTCCAGGGCTTTCGCTCGGTGCTTTGGCTTGTCACGAAGAAGTATCATGCCAGAGACGAACAAAGCAAGATGGTTGAAGTTCTTCACCATAGCACCAATGTTGTCAACGGAGCGGGATTGTCGCCTCTGCGATGTTGACAGGGAAACATGCCGAACGAAATCTCGAGGTCGTATTGCAGAGTACATGGTCCAGTCGATCCTGGTAATTTCCCTTGCCATCTCATCAATGGGGGTTTCCATGTACTGATGCCACTGGAGCTTGCTCAAACGGATGCGAGGTATGGGTTTGAATCTCTCAGCTTCCGCTTTAGCACTCTCTAATTGCATGTAATTTGCATACGACTGGCTGGAAGTATTGTTTGACCTGACCATGCTCGACGACATCGATGGAGTATTAGATCCACGTCCGGATGAGTTTGCACTGTCTTCATCGTCGCTGTCGTCACCTTCGTGTCGTCCTTTGTGATTTGATGCTCTGCTCTTCTCCGCGCTTAACTGCGGTAAAGACGAAGATGAGGACGAGGTATTCGGATGACTGCCGGTTCCACTCCTTTTGCTCAGTGGAGATGGAGAATCATCAAAGGCCCAATCCAAATCTTCGTCTGGGACGATGGTTTCCAGGTTGTTGCTGATCTCTCGCGCCGCTGGGGCGAACACCTTGCTCTTCTCGATACTCTGCACAAATGGAACTGCAACATCACGGGCGGGACCAGGAGCAAAGTCTCCGGGGTATGTGGCAGTCCATTGAGCCAGTACTTGAAGATAGCGCAGCATCTCGGCCACTTTGGTGAAGTGCACCATTTTGCTGCTTTCGACCTTCATGAATTGATCGATGATTGCAGTCAAAAGCCTCTGAGGTGTGGCGAAGGACCGGTATAGGCACAAGAATGAAGGAACAAACTTTGAGTCGGTCTTGCTGGCGGGCAGCAGTAGCAGCTTGTCAACGAGCTCTTGAAAGGGCACACCGGGTTCTGACTTCGTGTCTTGACCCATTTTCAGACCATTCAACAGCGGGCCCAGTGTCTCGACTTCTGTTTTCGGTGACAAATTGTGCGACTCGTCATCTGAATCGAGAAAGGTCTGATTCAGCCGGCTGTCCACGGTGGAAGTCGAATCAGGGCGAAGCATGGACTTGACATAGTAGGAATCAGGCGTTTCGGGTACGGCGGTCATGCTGGTCTCTGGTGACCTTAGCTTGTTGGTATAGTCACTTGAGGACACCGGTGTCTGAGGGCCTCCATGTCGACGTTGTGGTTGAGCGGCAGCAGCTGTGTCCAGTCGTAGTGGTGTTCTCGGCACAGGAGTAGCCTCGTCCTCTGATGCTGAGAACCGGCTTTCTTCGTTCTCGGACTCAATGAGTGCATGGCGCACCGAGAGATTCAGCAAGAGCTCTTTGGATTTGGACATTTGTAGGCGTTGATTTGACCGACTCCGGCTACGACTTGCCTTCGGTGATGGTTCTCTTGAAGTCACGCGCCGGCTGCTGGACGATTCGATTGAGCTGAATGAAGACTTGCTTCCCCGGATCGACGCTCGTGGAGAAGCCATTACTCGATGTACCATGGCAAGGAAACACTGCCTGGTATTCTCCGACGATTTTGAGGAGACTTCGGCGATAGCAACCTTGGCCAGGGTGCGACGGACTTGTTCATGGAACCGAGCACTGACTTGACGAGCCTTCTCATTCACATCGCATTTGGCAGCAACGAGCATGCAAGGTACACCGGTATTGGTCATGGAGGCTGCATGGACATCAGCGACGTGCTCTGCGAGGTAAGAGGGACGGCGTGGCAGATGGCCGACAAAAGGAGCCACGGACGTCCACTCGGGTGGTACTTACTCAGAGCGGCAGGAACGTCGGCAACGCTTTCTTTGTCAGCGACGTCGTACAGGCAGAAGACACCATCGACTTCCGACAAGGGGATGCCGTTCACGTATGCGGGCCATTCGATTCGCCGCTCGCTACTGAAGTCGACATCGTCGAACAGCAGCTCAATAAGTTGGACGCGATAGTATTTGTCCTTTATGACAACTTGGGTCGAAGTCCGAGACCGTTGGCTGCCGACGGCGTCGCGAATGAATGTCGACTTTCCGGAGTTACGAGATCCCAGAACCAACAAGTTCACAGAGGAGCTTGACTCGAAGTCACTTGTCTGGAATCACGGTCAACGAGGATATTCCTCCTTCCAAGGAGCGCGCCCGACCTCTGTGGACTGACATTCGAAGGGGGTGGTACGTACCTTAGCCGACAGCTTTGCTTCAAGAGTATACTCGGGGACCTGATGTCGATCCGAATGTGAATGTCGCGTGTTCGTCTTGCGGTCTGGAGCCGTAAGGGATTCTACTCGACCATGGGATTTTGTGCTTCTATGGCTGGAATCCGGATTCTTGGTAACGGCTGATGGACGCCGTTGGTGTTGTTCTCTCCGACGATCGATGGTGGGAGCCGAGTTGTGCCGTTCCCTGGTTTTCGGCGGGGGCTCAGCAGCTTTTGCGTCAAGAGAACCGTATCTCGTCGAACGCGAATCCATGACTCTCGGGCTGCCGGGAAGGTAAGGCGGCAAATCAGGGCATAGCTCACGGATAATTGACAGGCTCTGGTTAATTCTTTGAGACGTCGAGTGTGGCAAATGGTGGAGGACCAGATGGCTGGGATAGAGTGGAGGTCATGGATTCCGGAGATGTCGAGACACCAAGTCAATGGGTCTGTGTGATCGACGAGCAAGGCCTGAGGGGAAGAGATCCGGTTCGCAAGCTACCAGAGTCCCGTGTCGAGGAAAGAGACGGACAAGTGGTAGACGAGGCGAGCGGGTCTGGGTTGACTGGGCTCTGTTCCAGCGTCTGGCGATAGAGTGACTTTGCAGAAGAAGCAGGAGAGGAGGATTGCGCGAACGTCGATCTCAGCAGAGTTGAGAAGGTGGTCTAGTATTGGCGGATGTGGATATGTCGGAAGCCTGAGGCTGGATCGATGTGGAGAGTACGGAGTATATGTCCAAGCTCTCAATCTAGCTGTACACGGTCGAGTGGGCTGGCCCTCAGTCTCCTCGAGCGACAGCTGATGCACACGTGAGGTGGATGGTAGAGGCCAATGCAGCGATGCGCAGTCGCCGTGCGGGACTGAGAGGGAATAGTGAGTCTGGAGAGAGAATTAGAAATGATGGGACACAGGAAGATAGCGATGTAGCAAAGGGAAATTGAACGCAAACAGAAAGTGCCCGAACCTGGCGAGGTTCTGCCAGCAGCGTGACAGCGGATTTGACGAGAGGTTCGGCCCCATGTGAAGAAAGTCCAGGGTGTGTCTCTGGGGCACTGGAGTCTGGCGTCGACGGTCTATCTGTTGGTGTTCGGCACCATCTGCCTCTCGTAGCGCAGCCCGCAGTTTTCGGCTGAATGTCAAGTACCTTGCCAAAGGCGATGGATGGGAGCGAGGGAGCGGCGGGGGCACAACTGCGCCGTTGGCCAGTTCGACACAGCTTGATGCAGGAACTAACAGAAAGTGCGAAGGGGAGGACGCTCAGTAGCGGCAGGGTGGGTTTCCCGCCAGCGACGTTCCGCGGCCATTGGCGAGATTACAGCCCCGATCCTAGTCGCAGGCTGGAGGTTCCTGCTCCCGCCCGCCGCCACGATGCACGATCAAAATGCCCAATGCACGGCACGGTGGGCTAACTGCACTGGGACTGTGCTCAGAAAGCGAGGCGAGAGGAACCGTGTTTCTGGGGGCTCAGCGAGTGCTCTGGTGGAGGCACCCGGCAGACATGATACTCACCACAGTGAGGAGTTCACAGCATACTCCGTATTTGCACCGACTATCAGGTGAATACGAGGACCATGTACGGAGTACAGAGGAAACTCCATGCCCGTTAAAGATCGTATCCTTAATCTGGACGAGTAGAGCGTCCATGAGGAAAGACCAAGGAGCCGAGCTTTGGTGCAAAGTCAACAGCTTGCAGCTCCCCTACGATGAGTATCTGACTACTCACTCGTAGTACTGTACCTCTGTTCACTCTTTCCTCAGTCTCTCTTTACCTTTCCATCGCATCAACCCGGCTTGCATCATTCCTTCGGGCCCGCATGCTGTCCAATGACATGTTCCTGCTCGCCAAAAGACATTGTCAACACAGCTGTCCGTCACGATGATTCACGTGTGCTAGAAGTTCTGCTGCGTGCAGTAGCCCGGCACAAAAGCCCAGTCCCAACCCATCCCGGTCAGGGGCCCTAGAGAGTCTCAACCACATCTCCACCCGCTGCACTCTACGAGATGCTACCGGAACTCAAACTCTGCAGCACCCCCGTTGCCTCTTTCCTTGATCCGACGCCTGCTTCTTCGGCTCTAGACAGAGCCTGCACTCACTCTCACTTTGCAACCGTCACCCGCCACGTCATGACTGCACAGACAGAGCTGCCACCCAGCTGCTAATTATCGGAGGTCTTCCTACTCTCACACGGCGTGGCAACGAAGAAAGATGGGAAGCATCGGGCCCAAGAATGCTGCTTTCCACACACTTGGCCGACTGACGCCATCGTGAAAGCCTTGTGGTTCCTTCACTGGTTAGATCCGTGTTGCGGCTTTCGGCCGGGATTGATGCATCTTTCGTGTCTGTCGTCAGAGGGACAGCGAACCCGATTTTGATCCTTATCCTTCACGCACCCTGTGACGCCAGCCTATGGCTTATGATATCGTGTGAATTCACATGAATAGAGAGGACTTGTACGGGGTACTTGCCTCAGCATATCTTTCTAGTGTATACTGCTTTTGCCGTGGTCGAACTCTTTGTCTCTCCCAACAGGCGGCACGCCACCAACCAGTCGAGAACCCGTTTACCAAGCCACCCGTCCCCCTTTTAGCATTCGACTTCAGCTCTATGGCCGCCCAAGGCGCTCACCATACCACATTCGGTCTCATGCTCTCCCATTTCTCGTTTCCAGCCGTTTGTGGCACCTAGTGACCGAGCTGGAATGAGATTTCCCCATCATTTTGGGCTGAGGCTTTGTAACTTCGCGCGTCGTGACCTCGCCTAAAAATCTAAGTTTGCTGCAGGAGAAAAGGTGGGTGAAAAACGTGGCATTTTGACAGCGTCGGTGCATTTCAATATAACCTGGATGGCGGCCCGTTGCTGGAATGTGGTGTAACCCAACACACGTGCGCTGCAACAACCCGCGCCAGATTCGCTCCCCTTTGCTGCCACCATAGTCCATGTCGTCGATATATTCAGGCGATCGTGGTGATCGCCCCAGCGCAAGAGCGAGCACTAAATCTGTCGGGCAAGCCATACAATGGGCTCAAGCTTGGATCGTAGACGGCCAAAACAGATCGACCGCAGCATCCACCATCTCGTCACGGTCAAATTCCAGCAGCAAGGAGGGTGATCTCGATCTTGATGCGCTATTCAAGCGATTGGATACATACACGGCCGAGGTGCACGAGCTCGAGGAGCGGCTTAGACGGGCTCGAAGCAATTCCGAAAAATCTGATGGCATAAAGCTCGCGCGCTTTTCATTCGAGGAGGACTACCCACGGGAGAGGAACGGGGCTTTGATGCCAACTGGGGCGTCCATAATGTCGTCCTCAGCGTCACGGCACCAACGTGCTTCCTCGAATGCTACGGATGAGCATGAGGCTCAAGCGCCAGTTGACTCACCGAGGAGGTCTAGCTTCTCCAAGAGATCGCTCAGCAGGTGTGCTACACCTGACGTGCCACCCGTCTCTGACAAAGCACCAGTTGAAGAAGACGCGAGAGACGAAGCTCTTGCTGCTTTGGAGGACCACCGTCAGCTCACAGAAGAACAGGCAGAGCAGGACGATCCTCGGCCAGGCGGATCCGGAGACTGGAGAGCATGGGCCGAGCAGCAGTTTGCCGCCACACAGCTGAAGCACGACCATAGCAGTAGCAAGGACTCTGAGTCGATGGACTCAATCCAGCCCTCGCGAAACCGCAGGTTCTTCTGGAAGAGTCTGTCGCCATCGCCACCCTTGAAGGAGACTCGCCGGAGCCCGACTCTGTGGGAAGCTCATCCGCCTGATTCGGCCGTAGAGGATCAAGCTAAAGGCGAAATGCAATACGACGAATACTCGCATGAGGACGATGAGCCCGGTCCGTCAGTCCCAACATCTTGGTCTTTACCACCGAGAAGTTCGAGTAAGAGAGTGATGAGTGACGAGCCACCGCCCCCCAGAAGCTCGAGTGAAAGAGTGACGAGCGAGGAGTCTCTGCCGCCCAGAAGCTCGAGTAGAAGGGCGATGAGCAACGAGTCTCTGCCGCCTAGAAGCTCGAGCAAGAGGGCAATGAATGATGAGGTGGCACAGGAGCAACAGAGTATACCACCCAGACCGGCTCTCCGCAGAAGGATGACTACCAGTGACGGACGGCAATCAATCAGACACGGTGGATTCTGGTCGAACCCCGGCATTGGTGTATTCGACCAAGACGATGTACCGCCTGTTCCTGCATTGTCCCAGTCAACTTCAAATGCGACCTTGAAATCAAGCCCGCCGCTCACACCCCTGACAATTGGCGGTCCCAGAGAGGACCAACTGCGACGTGAGCTGGAAACCTTGTCTATCCAAGATGGCGCAGAGGCGCTTGAGAACCGATACAAGAAATGCCGTCCACCTATGCTCAATCTGATCGATTCCTCTGACGAGGGGGAGGGATCGACGCCAATACCAACTCCGTTACGGCAAGACCACTCGGGTTCATTGGAAGAGGAAGAGGGGGATGATGACGACCGTGGTCTCCGACCAAGACCACGACGGCGCAAAAGCATATTCAGCGTCTTCCAAAGGAAGTCCCCAGTTGAGAAGCTGATCGACATGTACTTTGACGACGAGCCGGAGAAGAAGCCAATCCCCAAGAAGCGGTCGCCTCGATCCAGGAAAGGGTCTCCTGTACAGGAAGAAATACCGCCGAGTCCAGCAATTCCACCTCAGTTCCAAGTCGTTCACGGAGAGCAGAGCTCTCTTTGAGGGCTAAGAATCGGCGTGCTCTGGGTTTCCCCCAGGCCTGTCCGAGTTCAAATCAGCCACCAATTCTGCAAATGCCTTCAGACCGGAGGCCTCTGCGCTTTCGGAACTTAGTTGACCGGCCAGAATTCTCATGGCATGTGCGATGCGCTTCTGGGGAGAAGTCTGGTACCTCTGTGATCGAGCATTAGAGTTCGACTGGTCGCCGACATGATCGGTCGCGGTGGCGGTGTCAAAGATGTACTTGAGCTTGATGCGCAAATTCGGATACTGGTCGAATATGTTTTGCAGCCTTGGGTCCTGGATCAGACGGTCGCCGAATGGGCCAGCCTCAGCCTCAGCTGCGCTTGGTTTTGGAGGCGATGTTGGATCTGCAGTAGTCTCGCGGGTTGGATGCGTGCAACGGCTCTTATGGGTCTTGAAACATTGCAATGAACAACTGTCCATGATACAGGTTAATGATCATTAACGTAATTTGAACGAAGACATGTACAAACCTCGAAGCCCTACATGACGGACAGTGATACTTAGAGTTCTGGCTTTCACAAACGCTGCAGGCCTGCATGGACGTGGATTGGAAGAGATTCTTTAGAAACACAACGACTCCTGGGGCTTCTCTACAGCACCCAGGCTTTCGACTCACCAACAGCCGATCAACGATATTTCCTGTCGCAGTGATTGATCGTGATTGGTCGCTGATATTTCTCGAGCGCTGACAAACACCACGAGAAATTCTGGCTCTCTCCACGTGATCGACGTACGCATTGCGTCATCCTGGGCGTGCGGAAGATGTTTACTTAGAGCTGGGAGAAATCGCCATCACCACCAAAACATTATCCTCAACGTTGTTGAGTAAATGGTAAACGAACCTGCGAACAGCGATAAACATAATGCGCGTCATCTCCTCACAATCTCTGCAAACTTTTGCGCGATCGAGGACTCAGCAGCCTCTGAGCCAGGTGTGTCGCGCTTGCAGCGCTCGAAACATTCACCAATCAGTCCGAGTACCTGCAATCACCTCCTCACACGCTCGGCGGCGGCCTATCCTACAGCCTGGCTTCCAGCAAGCAGCACCTGTGGCACCGAAGCGGTCGATATACATTCAGACGCAGTCTACGCCCAATGCCTCGGCCCTAAAATTCCTCCCCAACCACCCTGTCCTGCCAGAAGGATTTCCTTCAACCTTCCTAGAATATAACTCTCCTCGGTCGACACTGGTCGCACCGCATCCATCACCTCTGGCGGCCCGGCTGCTTGATGTTGACGGTGTGTCGTCGGTATTCTACGGGCCAGACTTCATCACGGTCACGAAGGCCGAGGACGTGAATTGGGCGCACGTCAAGCCCGAGATCTTCTCACTCATAACCGAAGCGATCACGTCTGGCGAGCAGCTTGTCAACACGACGGATAAGACTACGTCGGAAGACGGTCAAGGTGGTCTGGGAGAAGACTCATTGGCTGCCAACGACGAGGATGACGAGGTGGTGGCCATGATTAAAGAGCTGCTGGAAACACGAATCAGGCCCGCCATCCAGGAAGATGGCGGCGATATCGAGTTCCGCGGCTTTGAAAATGGGTTTGTCAACTTGAAATTGCGAGGCGCTTGTCGAACCTGTGATTCGAGCACGGTGACTTTGAAGAATGGCATTGAATCTATGCTGATGCACTATATCGAAGAAGTCAAGGGCGTTAACCAAGTGATGGACGAGGAAGAGGAGATTGCGATGAAGGAGTTTGCCAAGTTCGAGGAAAAGCTCAGACAACAGAAAGGACCTGACGCAGTGGCCTCGACGGTCGGTAAAGGCAGCCTTGACTTTGTCGAATGAGTTAGGTGCGTGGCTATAACGATCTGCAAATGGCACAGTTTGATCATGAACATCGGACTATACTCCAGATAGGCATTTTGAGGCCTTGCTGAGGCCGCGGACGTTGAGGTCTGCCGGAGGGTCAGAACCATCCAGCCCGATAAATCATGGTCCAGGATGGGGCATCTTGAAGAAAGCTGCATACCCCTGCAGAACGCAGGATCAGCGTAACCAGGATACATGTTGATAATGTAGGGCAGGCGATCGTATATCAATGCCGCTCGAGTCTTCGGCGAGCTTGGCATGTTTGCGACGGACAGCCGAGTCTAGACTGGTGGACCTGCGACGTCAACATGTCAGGTGGTCCCGGATCGCGGAAGGGTTGGAGCCGTACGGAGCATTTCTTGGATGACGGATGTCCTGGTGCGTCCAGTCTTCGTTACATAGCTAGGTGAAGCAGCCGTGTGGAAGTCGGCTTGCGAGAGTCGCCAGACGAGTGCAAAGAAGGACCATATATACGCAGTCCAGCGTATCAACCGATACCAATAGCATCTCAAGGACATTTGAGTTCATAGCAGAGCCCGGGGGATAATGGATAGTGCCAAGATTTCAACTCAGAGTAACCATCAGATGTGAGCAAGACGACGCCATGAAGTTCAACAAGGGGACGAGTTTGGAGCACGAGCGCCCGAGGTGATCTTGATGGCCGTCCCGCCTCAAAAAAAAGGCTTTCTTTCTTGTAAACTCTGTGCGAAGGGGTTTGCGTGCCGTATCGGAGTGCTATATGATATGCGTTTTTCTGGTGATTCTTGCAGCCATCATCAACCCCACGCAGCTCGAACGTCCGCTCTAGGTGATCTCACGTGTGAGTTACTTTGTGTCTTGCCCATGTCCTTGTCAAGTTTACTTCAGCGTATGGAGTACCCCGTCCGCGTACGAGGCAGCCGCTCGTGCACCCGGTGTTTGTTCATATGGCGATCGCGATGGCCACCAAGGCCCTGCATCGACCGCTGACCCTCTTCCCCGCAATTTGCTATCCGGTGGCTTGATGCAAGTCAGTGTCAATCACCGATCAACAGGATAATCAGGTTGATCAGGTCAATCATCCAGCTGGTTTGCCAGGCGTTCCCATTCCAGGATCCCGATCCTCGTTACTCGTGCTCGTTCAACCACCTGCTTCCTTGCTTGGATGTCACGGACGTGTCCCCAGCCGTGGACCATTATCGGCCTTTTAACTCCCAGGCATGCGTGGGCGCTGTTCACCTCTACTTTACCTTGGTGTGCACATACCCCGCTAGCCTGAGGCGTCAATCGCTTTGCAAACACCTGTGGCTTTCTTCTCCCTTTACCAACCTCTAGCGACTTGGTTGGCTAGGGCCTCCAGATGTTTGCCTGCTGGCATTCCTACTGGTCATGTCATTGTGCCGCAGCGCTAGCTGGTGCGATCATTTCAAGATCCACGCCCCTTTTGCGGTTGAGCAGCCCCCGGGGCAATCAACCAATCTTGTGGTCGCCTTGGGGTATAACTCCACCCCTCCACACGGCACCATGCACACCATTTCCCCCTCCGTTCCCTTCTAGACTCGGCCACCCCCTCTTTAGGCGGTCTTTGGAACTCGAGTCCCAGACTCGCTCTGTTCACAGGGAAATGCCATCCCCGCTCTAGCCAACCTGGCACGAATTGCTTCGTACCTGTTGGGTCTGTCATCAAGGGAGCATGCCTTGTACACACAGTATTCATGGCGTGATGCCTGGTTCCCTCGCCACACCACCACTGTTATTATCGTGCTCAGGCTCTGCTTCGGCGTAGCCATCCTCCCCGCGGACATAAAACTTGCGGTGCACGCCATCTTTAGATGCCCACCCCAGTTGGCATCCACTATTGCTACCCCAGCTAAAATTGACTAACAGGACCACCCGAGCAGCAGCCCGAATGTGTGTTGCTTGAAAGCTCTCTTGTCCCTGAGTAAGCTGCTTGATCTGATTTGCTTCTTGTTGCTAGTGATTCTCTCCTCTTCTTTGATCAAGTCTTCGTGCCGCTCCATTGTCACGTTCAGACTTCGTGTCACCTGAGCCCCATTCAGTGAGCGGCATATTCTGTCCTACACCTGTTTGCTGTCTCTCCCGCTATTGAGGAACTCTCTTGCGAGCGCACCAGTGAATCATCCAACCACCAGCAAAGCAACCGTCAACAAGCATTCTGTCAATCAATCGAGCCCGGAGTGCCAGTCTCGCACCCCGCTTGGAACAATCAGTGTACCCGTTTCTAGGCTCAGGCTCTCACTTCTTGTGCCACTTGCCTCGGCGTGTCGCGTGAGAAACTAAGCGAAAGCGTGTTCATCATAATCCGGGGAAGGCGGGCAGTTTCTGGCAAACCCAGTGACCAGAGACCCCGTTTCTCGGATACCTCCGCCACCGTACTCCGTAAGTAAGAGGAACTCTGACTTCCAACCTCAACTCAGCCCGCTTTCACAACGCTCACACCTTCAATCTTCTCTCTACAATCCGCATCATATCTATCCACCCGCGAGCCAACACCTCTAGACCATTCAACGTGTTGATTGTCTGCGTCGCCAATCCAGCTTTTATTGTAACTGACAGCTGTCTCTTAAGCTTCTTCGTCGATCACCTGACTTTTTTGGGGTTTCTTGTCCAGACGCGGGCAGTGGTCGTGTCGCTGGCCAGACACGAACTATTCGCCGACAACAATCAAAATTCATCGACCACACCATCACAGACAAGCGACGTAATTCAAAGTGGCCACAAACAAAAGTCGACACTCAACCTCACCTTATTGAATCCCACTCAGGGTCGTCAAAGATAGATTTTCAGGCTTGGGGCGCGGGCGCGATTTCTCAACACCAACTATCTCAGACGATGCTGAGGCTGAGCGCTCAATACTCCATGGTCCTATAACATCAAGGTGAGCTGAATTCTCATTCATCACGGCTATGAACTGTTTGAACTGGCCATCCATGTCTTTGGCATGAATGTTATGTGTTTTCGCTCCTGTTGTTCTGGCAGAGCCAAGAGGCTTCTCAAGTCGTTCGTCTCACTGCCACAAAACTGGAGTTTACGAGGCTCGCTCCCCTTGTCTTCTCAAACACCACATTTGGAAGCCTTTGAAGTTTAATGGACAGCCCTGCTGACTTTGGCAACAGCAGTGTCACAAAGTCTCCACCCTGACATTGCCACACTCGACATTATGAGTAACACACCAGGCAAGACGGTTCTCACCACTCGAGCGCCTATGCCGGCTTTTGGTACGTTTGGCGCCCACCAGGGATCTGCTTCACTACTTCTGGAACGATCGAATCCGGACCTGCGTAGATCGACTCCGGACTCGGAGGCTTTGGCATCATCTGACGACGAACCAGATCACACAAAGGCGGTAGCTACCAGCAACGTCAGACCAGGCAAAGTGGGACGGCGGACGTCTTGGCTCACCGACGTCTCCGCGTCCAATGTGAACCGTAAGCCATCAATCACTGGTCCGTATAGCCCTTCTACCTCGCATCCTGGTACTCCTGGTGCAGAAAACTCTCCTTGGTCTAACACCAACACTTCTGGTTCTGCAGCATGGCCTAATCCGGCAACATCCTATCCGTGGAACACGATCTGGAACCAGGACGGCCGCAAGGACCCGCCAACTAGGCTTCAAGAGGTAGTTTCTGTCAATGGCGAGACTGGGATCCCGTTTTCCATTCCCCTGGAGCCCAACTTCAAGCCACACCGCTCCCTATCGTACTCTGTGGGACAAATCGATACCAGCAATGCTCCGCCTCCTAACCCGATCTCGACGTCTGTCGAAGCCACACGTAACAGACTGGGAAGTCAATATCCTGGGATCCAGAGACGTACCTCAAGACCTGGTGGGCTGGGTGGTATTGAATCAAGTGGACTCGGCCGTGTGCGCGAGGTAGAAGATGATGAGGAATACCAGCGAGCCGATGCCATGCGCAACGCTCTCGCCCTTGGCCAGGCCCACATGGTGCAGAGGTTGGTACAAGAGAACCACCAACTTCGTGAAGAAATTAAGAATCGCGATAGGGCTCTCCCGAGCATCGCTCCGACCGTTCCTGCCCATCCACCTGGGTTTCACAACACGCGTCTTCGAAGCGCAGTACCCGAGGAATCTGAGACGGCGGTGGATGACAGAGACGATGTAACAGCCCATGGTGGGTTTCCACGCCGAGACAATAACCCTCGCCGTATGAGTGAACAGACTCTATCGAACGCCGCCGACAGACAGTCACTGTCACCTACCGAGAACCGTGCTTTCGACAGCATGAAGAAGGCACACTGGCAGACGTCCCTTGGGTTTGGCCCTATCCAGGAAGCTCCGCAAAGCCGCCGCCATTCTTTTGCTGATGTCCCCACCCGCCACGGGTCCTTCAGCTCAACCGGTAAGAGTCTACAAGGCGTCCTCTCCCATTGCTAGAGACTGATCGATTAGGTCGCGACGAAGAAGTGACAGCGTATGAGAGTGGTTCCCAGGCACTATCCCAAGGAGACGATCGTAAGTTGGCCCGGGCCCTGGCACTGATGTTACCCAAGGAGGATGATATGAAGATTATGTACTTACGTCTTCGTCGCTATGCAGCCGAGTATTTCAATACCAACGAATCGACCCGACGTCGCGCCGATGACAGAGTCCACCAGCAACATCGTGAACCCCAGCTCTACGGCCAACACTTCGGCGTCGGTCCATACCTCGAGCCTGCCGCCCAGCCGCTCTTCATTGTCAACTTCAAATGTTGCCGCTCTGAAGTGTTCTACATCCAAGAAGGAACAGGCCTACATGTTAACGTCGGCGATCTAGTCATTGTCGAAGCCGACAGAGGCACCGACCTGGGTACAGTCCAGCATACTAATGTCACGTGGGAGGATGCTCGGCGCTACAAGGATCACTATGCGGAAGAACATTACAAATGGTTAATGATGTTTTCTTTGCAGAGCCGTAATGGAGGCCCTAATGTCGTCAACCCAAATGGCGTCCCTGGCAGTCGTGGCAGCGCCGTTGGGGGCATGGGACCTCAAGGCCACCACGGTGCCCACGACTCATCCGGCCCCGACTTGAAGCCTAAGATGATCAAACGACTGGCCCAGAATCACGAGATTCAGGCATTGAAAGATAAAGAAGGCAATGAAGCAAAAGCCAAGCGAGTCTGCCAGCAGAAGGTCCTTGAGCATCGGTTGAATATGGAGATACTCGACGCAGAATTCCAAATGTATGTGCAATGCAAACCCCGGTCGTCCAGAACTAACACTACACAGGGACAGCAAGAAGCTTACATTCTACTACTTCGCTGACAACTACATCAACTTCAATCATCTTGTCACAGATCTCTTCAAGATTTACAAGACTCGTATCTGGATGTCGGCCATAAATCCTGCCTCATTCCAAACCCCTACCGCTTCTCTCGGTATTCAGCCCCTCTACACCAGTGCTCCCGGTGATGAGCGTCATCAGAGGCGACAGCAGCAGAGACCCCAGACGCATCTAGGCTCACAGGCAGTCACGACCCCATTTGGAGATACGTTCGACGCCGACCGAAAGTACAACAATAACCAGAACACGGGGATGCGCAATGCTTTCTACAATCAATTCCAGGACGTTGGGGCCGGCTCTCAACAACTGCAACCTCCTGTTCCGACCTTTGCTCCGAGCATGCCAACCCAGATGGATCCTTTCATGTCCTACTATGCTCAGCCATATCCAACACTGAATCCCAATGCTCCAAATTTTGCCAGTAATCGACCCGACTACAGAGGACGAGCTCCTAACCAAGTCAACGATCCCAATTGGATGGGTCGCTTCCAGGGTCTTTCACTCGGCTCTTGACTTCAACCCACGTTTTCCTTATGCGTCGACAACGGATTACGACACTGTTTCTGATCAAAGACTTACTTCGACAAAATTCCTGCATGTGATGACGAAACGACCGAGGTGTAGACACGGTGTTCAGCAAGACGAGACTCGACAATTCACGGGAGGCCACTAGACCACTGCGTCGTGGAGAGACGTGTTACAGCATGAGGTATCCAACACTCGGGCTAGGGTGCTGGGATGAACATCTTCAACCCCTTGAATCCATGGGAGACTTCATGAGATCGAAAAGTGTTGGGTATCACTGGGTTGGACAAAAGAGATTCGAATTCAGATTGTCCATGGCCTTGCTTGATACAGAAAGGGCTACTAATACAGACGACGAACGAGCTATAATGTTCTGGTGCAGATGATTACAGATGGAGCTGCGGAATTGCTGAAGGTTCATGATTGCAATGTCACCATTCGCACGGGCTGGCTTGTGTACAATAGCGACATTGAGCTTTGATAATAAATGAACAGATGATGGACTCACTCTACCAGCGGCGTCCATCGCCGGTACGAGGCAGGTGTGCTTGCGGCTTCCGACGAAGTTCGTGTCTGCCCACTCAACTCGCACTCACTCCGGCCTCACTTCCATTCCCCAACTCTTCCAATACTGCCATTGCTCTTCTCAAGACACGCTCTTTACTTAAACTCTTGACTCAGCTCACAAGCAGATACATGCAGCAATGCCTGACAACCCAGCAAAAGCGGGTACGGCTTTTCGCTCTTTGCCGCCTGGCTTCCCATCTGACAGCTTGCAGTCAATGACAGTTCTGTCAGCCGTAGGAATACCTCAAATCCGAAAAGCAAAGCAGTCGAAGTCAGCGACGAGTCGGTCCACGGTCGGTCCTGGGATGACCATTGGCATGAAGACGTCGACGTGGGTGCGAGCAATGAAACCAACCTGGAGTGTGTCGCTCAAGGAAGACCCTACTGCGTCTGATGTATTCACGTTGAGCAGAGACAACCAAAAGAAGCTGAAGGCTTTCTTTGACCAAGTCAGCAAAACCGATCCGTGGCCAGGTCGCTTTGTGAAGGCCGTGCGTTCCAGGCAAGAAGCAGTGATCAAGAAACTGGACGAGATCCGGGAAAAGAGGTGCGGTTTTGAATCCTACCCGTCTAGCGTCATCAAATGACAGCCCTTAGCATCTCAAACAGGCAAGAATTCGATGCAGAAATTGCGCCACTTCTCAGCGCTGCGCTCGGAGGACTTACAGACGAACCATCGGATCCTGCTTCCTTCTCCTTCCCCATGCAGGTTCGGTATCTCGGAGCAGAGACCCAGCCGTACTGCGAGGCAATGCGTGGTCTTTTGGAACAGTCGGGAGCTCTGGTCCTCGCTTACGACGAGCTCGCAAGCCGTCCCACGCACAAGTCACGGCTCGAAATGATAGAAGCATCGTTCAAAAAAGACAAGGAAGCTACAGAATCTACTATTGAAGCTGGCAGGAAGGTGGCGGCATCTCAGATTGAGAGGCTCCTAACAGACAGGTATAACGAGGTGAGGACGCCGCACGATCTCACGGCCGAAGAAGAACATCAGGGCAAGGTCCTTCTATCACATGGCACGCATGAGAATGCGCAGTCGAAGCAGACTCCTGGATGGGGAAATGTCGCGGTGGATATGGAGCAGGCAGTTGGAAGACTTTGCTTTGCTGGTGAGGTGGATAATGGAGGACGTTGAAGAGCTCTACCATATGTGCACCCAGTATGTTTATTGTAAGGGTTTATTTGACAAGGATGGTAGCGAACTGAGTTCGCCCTCATACCACAGTACTGTACGTACTGTACTCGTACAGTCCCCTCGCTCGAAGTTCGGATGCCCTGATTGGCCAGTCCAAACTCAGCGCCAAGACTTCCTTTGCCAAGACTGCGCACCCACTTTCTCGAAAACTCCCATCCTGGCCTCAGCAGTCGGTCCGTTGTAATTCCTCAATTCCCTAAATCGACAACCGTTGTTCGCGAGGCTCAACAGTCAAGGTAATGAGCTTCTGCCTGGACATTGCGACAATAAGCTGACGATTTTCTCTCTAGATGGGTGCCCTCAAATACGTCGAGGAACTCCAGAAGAAGAAACAATCCGACGTCCTTCGATTCCTGCTCCGCGTTCGCTGCTGGGAGGTAAGATAGAAAAACTCCCTACGATGACGATGAGGGGCGGCCAGAAGAGGGAGGCGAAGCCATACTCCCTGGTCCATCTTCATTCTGTGGCACGGTCTCTGGAGGCTGTGTCTTGCTATACACTCGTTGAACATTTTGCTGAGAGTGCATCAATATAGCTCCGACAATTGAACGTCATCCACCGCGCCTCGCGCCCCTCTCGACCAGACAAGGCCCGTCGTCTCGGCTACAAGGCCAAGCAAGGCTATGTGATCTACCGTGTTCGAGTCCGCCGTGGTGGTCGCAAGCGACCGGTGCCCAAGGGTGCCACCTACGGTAAGAACAGCCGCCCTGTCAAGAGACATCTCGGGAACCGAAGTCCAGACTGACAACGAGAACTTCAGGCAAACCCACCAACCAGGGTGTGAACCAACTCAAGTACCAACGCTCCCTCCGCTCCACCGCCGAAGAACGAGTTGGCCGTCGTTGCGCCAACCTACGCGTCCTCAACTCGTACTGGATCAACCAAGATTCCACGTACAAGTACTTCGAAGTCATCCTCGTGGACCCCAACCACAAGGCTATTCGCCGTGATCCTAGAATCAGCTGGATCGTCAACCCTGTTCACAAGGTATGATGCCTCATTTCATTGTAGCTTCGGACGAGGCACGGCTCCGTTGCAACCGATCACTGACTTTGTCTACCACAGCACCGCGAGTCTCGTGGCCTCACCGCTACGGGCAAGAAATCCCGTGGTCTGGGCAAGGGACATGGATACAACAACACCACTGCGGGCCGGAGAAAGACCTGGAAGAGACAGAACACGCTCTCCCTCTGGAGATACCGTTAAGCGGCTGCCCCTTGTGGGTTTGGCTTGGGTTTGCTTCGATGGTTGTATTGTGGGCTGCAGTGCACCTACCAAATGCAATGGCATTTTGCGACTTGGCATCTGCAATGCGGCCTACATGCGCAGAACGTATGTTGGTAGGGTGGGCGATGTCAATCGCGTTGATGTGCCGGTCCGGTCCGGTACAGTCCTGCGCTGAGCTGCGTATGCAAGAGCAGTCCAATTGCAAGTTACTGGTTCAACACGAAATCGACGGCAAAGAAGAGCGTCAGAATTGGACTTTTTCCCTCCGTCGATGGAAGATGATGTGCATGAATCTTTCCATTAGACGGGGCGCATGAACGCCCAAAAGGAGCATCGAATCGATTGAATTGGGACCGAAATGGTTCTCTTCTCGAGCCACGCCAAGACAAGGCTCGACCTTGTCCTTGCCGGTATGCAACGCCGTGTGCTTCACTCTCTCGAGATCCCACAGTGTCTGCGTCTGCTTCTTCTGCGTCTTCTGCGTCTTCTGCGTCTTCTGCGTCTTCTGCGTCTTCTGCGTCTTCTGCGTCTTCTGCGTCTTGTTGCTTCGCACCTGCTAGTCAAGAGGTTTTCTCAGGTCGACATCCCCTCCACGTTCTTGTACAGGCGAAACAGACAAGCTTATTAGAGCAAAACAGTCCGGCACCCAGATTCAATATCTGGATGAGGATCTACAGGGAGTTCAAGTCTTGCACTAGCTTCGGCTCTACCATCATGTTTCCTTTCTGTCCATTGCCATATTCATTTATTCATCAAGCCTGGCTCAAGCCCGTTCTCCCACCCACCCACGCCCCTGTCTGACCCGAAGTCCATTTGTTGGTATTCACCTGCTGGCACTGCCGCCGTATACTGTGTACGACGCTCATCTGTTGGACCTGCAGGTGACGAATACTCACGCGGCAGTAGAGGCCGTGGCCATTTCCCTGGTCGGCAACTTGATGCAATACTCGCCCATACGTGATTCTTGAGCAAAGCGGCGGTGCACATTCAGAGAGGGCGGCAAGACTAGGTGCTCTATCGTTCCTGAATCCATATGCCATGACAGACGTGACAACCCTGTCAGCCCAGTGAAGACTGTACAGTACATACCCCGCAATTTCCGAATTTCTGAAGTTTCGATCCGATTTCCCCGCAAACATTTTTTCGTAGTACCCCCAGACAGTAGGCCACGAGGTTGACCACCCCTGGTACCACCTAGAGATCAAACCACGGCCACGACCCTTGCGCTACAGTCGCGCCCAACTGGTCCGACCTATATTGAAGACCTTTCCTCATCCACAGGCTGTCCACCATCCCCAATACCCTGACCGTCCTCACCCGCGCCCAAAATGCCCTCTGTAACCCAAACCGCCGCGGCCTCCTCTCTCACAATCAGAGCATCGTCGTCGCAACTCACCGCTCAACAAGCCGAGGATCAGGACATCTACGATGAGATCGAGATCGAGGACATGACTTTCGACGCCAACCTGCAGATTTACCATTACCCGTGCCCGTGCGGGGATCGGTTCGAGATCTCCATTCAGAGTCTCAGGGACGGGGAGACCGATATTGCGGTGTGTCCGAGTTGTAGTTTGATGATTCGTGTGATATATGAGCCGGAGGATTTGCAGGATGTGGAGGATGAAGAGGAAGAGGAGGACGAGGAGGAGGGGCAGGACGAAGAAGGCAGTGATGAGCCGAGTGAGCGACAGGAACAGGGACAGGCACAGGCACAGGGACAGCGGTAGGGGGAGAGGTGGACTTTCTTCCCCTGTGCGTGGGAGGTGTGAGAATTCGATTATTCTGTCTGGTCCAGTACGGCTATGCCATGAGTTTGCGGCGGCGAGGGAGGAGAAATGTAAGGGGGCGTCTTCGACAACTCGGCTCCAAGTACGAACGATGGGACTTGAACATGGAGGAACCCGAAATCGAAGCAAGTCGAATTCGTCTGCTACACTCGACTCTGGTGGGTCCAGCACCACTTATGGTCGTAGGAAGCATACATGCAACACCAAGGACGCCCCAAGGCACCCTCTGAACGCCAGAGCCGCCCGACGAGCCCGCACTGAAATTGAACGGGTCGATTTATGCTGCAGTGTATCTATCCGCCGTCATCCGGGCTCAGGTTCATGTTGGAGTTGAAACTGAGTTCGCGTACGGCGTTCGACCCATGGCGCCGACTCGATCCGGATGGGGATGCCGTCTTTGGATAGAGGCTGAGATGTGGCTCTGGAGAAGAAGAGGACCTTATCAGTGCACGAAAATACCACCGACATAGTCAGTGCACCAGCATGCTGCACTGGACTTCTAGACATGGAAGGTGGATTGCGCTTGCGAGGTCGTGTGACTCCGTTCGTTGACGATGCTATACTCCACGAGAGAAGAGGGTGAGAGGATGGTGGGTGAGCATCTCCAACTGAGGTGCTGCAGAATGACATGGGATTCACAAGGTCTGTTCCGTTCGCCCTCGTTGTGAGAGTGCTGGTCGAACGATACCGCAGAAACTGCATCAATGGCCAGGACAGGAAGGATATCATCCAGTAGGAGGAGGACGGTCCCGAATCCCAATTTCGGGGTTTCAAACTCAATATTCTATGGAAGAATCATAATCAAAGCCAATATAATTAACAACGAGTTAATCGACCAGCCAGCCAGTCATCACGTCGTGGTCTATCCTGTGGTCACCGTACAGAATATAACTCCATCACGCCCTTACCTACTACCTATCCAGGTAAGTACAGTATATCGACGAGTTCAGCATCCGAGCAGTGAATCGTCTGTTAACTTCCCAGGTCCTCCTGTAGCCGAGCCGAACCGCTGGCACCCACGCCCAGTAACTAGGTGACGAGATACTCGCACATATACAGCAATTGACTAGGTCTTCATCCTTCTTCTGTTCTCCTATCATACATTATCCGCTCGCATGCAATGCGGTACGACACAGAGTACTGCGTATAGTGTACGTCGAGTGCAGCAGTCCAGACCAACCCAAGGCAGTACTCACACCCCACACCCAAGCCCATGCATGCAGCTCATCATCCACACCCAACTCGTACCCATCTACCTAGTCTCCGACGCGTGGCCCATGCTCACGCGAACGCTCCCGCATCGCCTCTGGCAAGAAAACCCTCTCCGCCACAGCTCTATACTCGAGGCCCCAACCCGGAATTGTCGACGGTTCAGCTCCCATCTTACAGACCCGGACGCAAGTGATGGGAATATCTCTCGCCCAGACGTACGGCGTCGCGTGAGAGTGATCATGATCGTGATCGTGACCGCGATTGTGCTCCCCCTGGGCGTGTAAAGTCACGAATGAATCCGACTCCAGTCCCTGAGCCTCCTGGATCTTTTCCCGCGCCGACGTGTCCAGCGCCACACTTTGGGACACGACACCCGCGTATTCGCCTCCTTGGCCGTGTCTCCCACGAGTGTCATTCTCGCCATTGAAAAACCGCAACAACCCCGTGGCATCGACGGTGCCGTCCTGGTCCCCTGCGCGTGATTTTCGGTTCGCGGACTTGCCTTTGCCGCCGCCGCCACCGCCACCGCCGCGCCGATCTTTTCCCCGGACGTAGATCAAGTTCGCGACCGTGGCGTGCAGGACCAGTGGTCTCGTTTCGGTGATGAGGCCGGCCTCGCGGAAGTGGCGGCGGATTAATTGCCCGAAGGTTTGCAGACGGTTGGTTGGGTCGTGGGGATGCGCGAAGAAGACCCGTGCGGCGGTTTGCTTGGGGAACACGCCGAGGGAATGTAGCGAGATGGAGAGTGGACTGACAGACGAGGTAGTGGAGGTTGACAGCGCTGCTATGGGTGGTGGAGAGATTGGCCTGGTGAGCGATTTAAGAGCGCGCGGCTGGGAGAGGGAGGAGGAGGACGAGACACCATCTTTGGTCATTTCGCTGTCGTCGAGGGGTTTGTCTTGAGATCCCTCCGGCGTCTCTGGGTCCGATAAAGTGTTGTGCTGTTCGGGCTGTCTTTGCGGTATCCCGCGTCCGTTTTCGCGATCATGAGAATCCTCGAGCACAGACTTGGTCTCTGATTTTGTATCTGCGTTATTGGATGGAGTGGCGGGGAGTCGTCCTCGCCCTCTCGCCCTTTCTCTCGCATGCCTCATGATACCATCACCACTTTCAGCATCTTTCAGCAAAGCAAGGTAATTGATCTGCTGCAGCAGCGCAACCGCATTCTCCATATCCTCCTGCTTCGACAAGTTCATGGTCCCCAGCGTCAAATGGTACGTCCCAGGCGGCCGGTGTGCCGATTCGGGCAGCAATCTCAGCTTTTGGCCTTCAACGTCTGGCTCCGCGACGGTGGTAGTACTTCCTTGCTGATCCTCCGGTTCGGGCGTCGCATCTGGATCCGGATGCGGGAGGGGTGTAGTGACGGATCTGAAGTGAGCCAACGACTCGGTCAGTTGGCGGACCGATTCGTCCGTGGCAAGTGGAAAGCATAGAAAATGTGTAGGCGGCGAGTGCTTGCCTTGTGGTTTTGCCTTGGGCTTTTTACTGTTCGACGGCTGTCCTGTCGCTGATGCCATGTCCGGGGTTCGTGGTGGAGATGACGTTGTGGCCATTGTCTGAATACGTGGGCATATAGTGGGTGTTGACAATGTTGTGGAAGCAGAGGCTCTCGGTGACGAGACTAGGAAAGCTGCCGAAGTCTGGAAGCCGATCTTGTTATGCCGCACAAGGCGCCAACTCCACATTGGAGGCTGCCGAGCTGTCGAACATCAAGCGAGAATGGTGTCCAATGTTGGCGGCTCGCGCGGATTAGGCGTCACTTGTACCAGCTCCCAATGACTCACTGCTAGAGTCGGTGAGTGTAGGTCCTCCTGGTTCTGGCTCTGCCGGAGGATACGCCAATAGGGCCCGGACACTAAGTATCTCGTGGTCGGTGATGCTGAGGAGCAGCCTTCGACCATACGCGTGTACCGAGCGAGGAAGAAGGAAGCTTGAGTCGTGAGTGTGAGTTAAGCTTCAGCTAAAGCGACCAATCATGTTGCGCCTACTCTCAGCCTCGTCCTGGTGCCCCTTGTGCCACAGCCTCATGCACACCTTGAACACGTCGAAGCAGATGATAGAGCAACGACGCCTTTCAAAACCGATGTGGAAAGGCTTCAGTAGTGCCAGGCATGTCATATAGTATATCCCCACGAATTGCCTGAGTACGCGCAATAGAGAAGCGAACGCCAGGAACATTCAGTTCGGAGAGGCGAGAATCTTCGAAGACAGTAGCACGAGTCAACAGCGGTTCTCAGGACACCGCGAGAAACGCAAGCACGATTTATCCCTGCTGCATAAGCTAGAAGAGCTGTGGGATCCAGCCTATTGATGAACACTAGTACGTACTTGGGAATGTTTGGCTTCATGGAGGCCTCTGAACTATTCCGTTGACCATTTCCTTGCCATCGAGCCCTACTTGTTAGAAAAATGCGCTCTCCTGCAAGCCCCACCAATCTGCTGGTTTGTTTGCTGGAATGTGAAATGCTCTATCCCGATGCCGAATCTGGAATGCTCTTAGTGGATTTCTGAATGGGATCGTCAACCGAATTGGGTTTGAGTCCTTCCATACATGGTTGAGGGTGGCGCCCCAGCTGGAACTAGTAGCGTACATGCCTCCCATGACCGGATCCACAGACTTTGAGATAGGAGCACCACGAGTAAGATTTCCAGACCATGCAGAAACACTAGCACTGGAGGGCTATCATATTTTGAAAACCGATGTTCAGGAGGCTCAAAGCTCGAGGTATTTCGTTTGTGTGTCGTCCTGTTTTGACGGCCGACGGACCAAGTATCGTCGAAGAAGTTTGGTAGTCGATAAGTCACTCGTTGGTGTATCTTGTGGATTGTTGGCTATTTGCCGCTATATTTCCGGGACGAGACTTGTCCACCTTGTTCCTCTCGTATTCCTGCGTGGGTGGCTGACTGGAATTTTTCATACATATTGCAAATATTATCGAGGAATTCTTCCGTATGCCTACTGCCGTCGTCACGAAAGTCTCGAAGCAAATATCAGTGGTTATTTACAATTATTTACTCTAAATGCCTCAATGCTAGTTCTTCTTGAATTGGGACGCTCCGGTCGATGTCGGTATGCTGAACCAAGAACTTAAGGTATGCATTATTGACACCGAGCCTTGCGACGTTTAAATCGTCATCGATGGTGCCGGCCTGATCTATGCCGTCACAGAAGACCTTGTGGGTCTTTCCAGCCTCCGGTGGCGATGCTGTTTCGAAGAGAAGTCTTATTATCTTGCTGGCTTCTCCGTATCTGTTTTCTCGGACCAAGGAGGCGACTACCTTGATAACTTCTTCATGGCCGAAAACGCTGCGCAAAATAAGCAGAAGGTGGATTGGCCGCCATGAAGAATGAGGAGGAAATTGTCGACCTGATCGCACAGGCGGCTGCTAGAGTTCTCATCCTCGAGGGCGATGAGCAGAAGAGCCCGGCACCGACTCTTCCACCTTGAAGAGGACGCGAAAGGCACATGCTTGATATGGCACACGCGTCTTGCCTCCGTGCATCCCAGCTCAAGACTATTGTGACTTCTCACATCGGGTCTTTGCGCATCGAGAATACTCTGTTCTGAAATACGTACCTTTTGTTTTGGCGCACAGAAACGTTATTCTCACTGCTTGTTCATTTGAATATTGCATGTTCTTGAATTTTCATCTACCGGGGTATCTATCTGATGAAGCTGGTGAAGCTTCTTCAAGTCCGTCTGTTGAAGGACGACGACTTTTGATGACCACATCCAATGGGGCCCTTTGCCTCAGCCTTGTAGCAGGCTTCAAAATCCATATCTCATTTCATTCGTTGAGCTTGGTAAAACCTTCTTTCCAGCCATATAATATGACAGACGCTCAAGGCCCGCAATTTCTATGCGTTGAGCACTAGAAAAGAGCTTTTCTTCCGTTTGAACCGTACAACGCCGATCCGATGCATGCAGGCGAGAGCAAGCACTAAATCTCATGCCGCCATTGACTGTCTAGTAGCGGTAGATATCAGACTTGAAAGGACCCTCAACTGTCAAGCCGAGATACTCAGCCTGCACAGGAGTCAGCTTGGTCAACTTGGCGTTGACATGATCCAGGTGCAGCAGGGCAACCTGTTCATCCAAAATCTTGGGCAGGACATAGACACCGATATCCTTCTTGCCGGTCTTTCCGAACTCGATATATCTCTTCCCGAATTCTTCATCCTCGGCCTTGAAGAGCATGATCTGTGCAAGCACCTGGTTTGAGAAGGAGCAGGACATGACGAAGGAAGAGTGGCCGGTGGCACAGCCGAGGTTGACCAGCCGGCCTTCAGCCAAGAGGATGATGTTGCGACCGCTGGGCATTGTGTACCGGTCGACCTGAGGCTTGATGTTCTGAACGCTCTTGGCGTTCTTCTTGAGCCAGGCGACATCAATCTCAATGTCGAAGTGGCCAATGTTGCAAACAATCGCGTCATTGCGCATCTGCTCAAAGTGTTTGCCGACAATGATGTCGCGGCAGCCGGTGGTGGTGACGAAGATCTGACCTTGGGAAGCAGCATCCTCCATGGTGACGACCTGGTAGCCGGAGACAGCAGCCTGCAGGGCGTTGATGGGGTCGACCTCAGTGACCAGGACGCGAGCACCCATGCTGTGAAGTGCTTGGGCACATCCCTTGCCGACATCACCAAAGCCTGCCACAACGGCAATCTTTCCAGCAATCATGACATCTGTGGCACGCTTGATCCCATCAACCAGGGACTCTCTGCAGCCGTAGAGATTGTCAAACTTGGATTTTGTGACGCTGTCGTTGACATTGACGGCGGGGATCAGGAGCGATTTGCCCTTCAGCATGCGGTAAAGGTGGTGGACTCCAGTCGTGGTTTCTTCTGACACACCGTAGCAGTCCTTGAGCATCTCTGGGTATTTGTTGTGGACGAGAGCGGTCAAGTCACCACCATCATCGAGGATGAGGTTGAGTGACTTTCCTGACGGGAAGGCCTTCAGTTGTTGCTCCAGACACCACTCGTACTCTTCTTCAGTCTCGCCCTTCCATGCAAAGACAGGTGTGCCTCCAGCGGCGATGGCTGCGGCGGCATGGTCTTGTGTTGAGAAGATATTGCATGATGACCAGGTGACTTCAGCACCTAAGGCTTTGAGGGTTTCAATGAGAACGGCGGTTTGAATGGTCATATGAAGACAGCCTGCGATTCTGGCACCAGCCAGAGGCTGATCTGCGGCATATTTTGTTCGGATGGCCATGAGGCCCGGCATTTCAATCTCTGCGAGTTCGATCTCACGTCGGCCAAAGGCCGCCAACGAGATGTCGGCGACCTTGAACTTCTGAGCGGGAGCACCATTGCTAGCCATATTGAAGAGATTGAACGTGAGGATTATGGGAACTTAAGGGTGTGGAATTGTTGGTGACGGAGGGGTGAGCAGAACTTGAGGACACTGAGAAATGTCGGTGATATTTTTTTGAACCTTGCGGAACGGAAAAGACCCCTCCGAGCAAGCCACTGTAGCCCATTTTGATCCCACTTTCCCCAGCCAACGCCCGCCAATCATTCTTCGACACCATGCATCTGCCACGACCTCGATTTGGCAGAAATCTTGACTGCCGCACCGAGATGTCTGGCTTCTGAGCAGCTGGCAAGACAATCCCACGACGGGTTGATGCTGAAATCATTGCGTGCTGGTGTACTTACCCGCAGGTATATAAGCGGCTGTCCTGCCTGGCATCAACTACGTGGTTGATCTTCTCGTATCTTCCTCACCACAACACAGCCAGTTGAAAAGGTCGGCCTCAATATGCCACGTCGCAGCTTTTGCGAATCAACTCCTCCTTTGCGTGATATTTTGCCTCGATTAGGAAGAGAATGGCGGATCACACTGTCCGTTTCGGTGATGCAGGTGAAGTACCTGCAGCTCGCAAATCGTGCCCCTTCTCCTTGTGCGACCATCCGCTCTTCTGGCTCCCGTTTGCAGCCTTTGAGACAGTGCTCAAGCTCAGTAGCTCCTGTCGTGAGCCATCCAGAGACACTGTCCACGTGGAGAAATCAGGGTCTGATCACTACCTGATTCTTGTGGATGGTGTTGGTCAAACGGGAAATGCGTCCCACCGCACATGGCGTCGAAGGATGTAAGCGACGGTCAACAGAATCATTCACCGCCACACACCCTGAGCCAGGTAAACACGTTTTGCGAGTGTCCGTATGTCTCTCGTACTTCTGCGATTTCTGTTATGTTGGTGCCTCTCTCCTCTGCCCTCAGGTAAGCTACAATTGCGTGATCGCCTGCGAATTGCACACAATACCGCCCCCGGGAAAAAGTCAACATTGTCTGAGATCCACCTCATCAGTCACTCACACCTTGAGGTTTGTTTGGCTCTAGCGATAATCATCAGGTGTAGAAGGATATTATCACTATCAGATACAACAGCGAGCAATACTCCGTCCGAAATGGCAATGGCGCCAGGGCAAGTAGCACAGAAGACGAAGGAAAATACCAGTACGAGGCCAATCGGTGCGCGGAAACAGGTCAAAGGCGAGGAAGGTCCCGCAGCACTGGTCATCCAGAAGGGACCAACTCAATCCTTTGGCGATGGTGCTCAGAGACCGACCCGCTGGCTGACCGTCTCACCGTACCTTGAGCATGAGCATCTCCTCGATCTAGACAGTGTCGACACGCCAGACCGACTTCTTGCCCTTGCACTGACTGAGCTTGAGCCAGCAACTCCTCACTACGCTACGGTTAAATACGAAGAAGCACTCGACTGGGGCAGCTTAATGTTCACGTTGAAGTCATTTGCAGACAAAGAAGAATACACATGGACGCGACACGAGTTCTATGTGGTTGAATTCAGATCTAAGCTCAAGAAAGACATTGATGTTGAACTACTGTTCAAGCTGGACAAACAGTCGCACATTGAAGCCACAGCGAGTGGCGGCCTGTTGAAATACTGGTACGGTGTTCCTGACGAGAACAGGAGGAACCTCGCAACATGTGGGTGAATCTGATCCGTTCTTTCTGACATTTCGCTGACACTTCCGCAGGCCTTTGGCGCTGCAAGGAGGACGCAGTCAATGGAGGCCGAGGACCTTGGCACAAACAAGCTCGAGCAGCTATCCCAAACATGTACGAGCACATCGACGTCAAAGGGTTGTACCTGGTCATCGAGGACGATGTGAGGAGCTGGTCCTTCGGGCCGCATGCTTGATTTAGCGCAATGCCAATACTTGACTTCTGCGACTGGGACACACGAAGAAAGGCTTTCAAGCGCTGGGGGTCTAGAATTTCGTGAGCTCGAGACACGCGAAACATTTAGATCGTTGTAAGCGCGGCGTTGCGGAGGGCGACAGTTGCTAGAGGCAGAATGTTCATGATGGTCCTCTGGATATAGATCCTCGAGAACTACTCAACTTTGGCAACCTCATTTCTCTCTTGAACAAGTGTGATGTTGGAAAGGTCGTCAACGAAGAAGTGAATCTGCGGTGAGGGCAGGGACAAGGATGACGTGGTGTGCGGAAGCACTCTAATCACTCGGCGCGTGGCCTGATCGGGACTAGTGCGTCTTCGATTTGAAGCTCCCAAACCTCGTCGTCAATTGAAAGCTCCAAAATCGTGAAAGGACGACGCCGACTCTCCCCTCCCTGCCGCATTATTGTCCTTGAGAGATTGAATCTTTCACCGTCTCCTACCACGTCGCAGTATGATGTCCGCTAGGCTGATGCGGCCAGCCTTTGCCGCTGTCCGCCGAACCGCCCCTAGAACAGCTATCCGAACATACGCTGCTCCTGCCGCCGCAGACACGAAACCCCCTGTCGCGCTTTTCGGTCTTGATGGAACATATGCGAATGCCCTGGTACGCGAGTCAAGTGATTTTCCACAGGGAGAAGGGGGATGAAGTCCACCTTACACCCGAGTGACGGAGCATTGGGAACAACGAAATGTTCTACTTTGGGGCTACCGAGACTGACGGGAATCATTTCATAGTACACGGCCGCCGCCAAGCAGGGCTCTTTAGACCCCACCGCCAAAGCGATCTCCAGCCTTCTCCAGATCCTCAAGACCGATACGAAACTGCCCTCGATCCTCCTTGCCCCCATGCTGTCAGACGCGGACAAATCGCAGATTATCGCCGAGCTGGAAAAGCACACTGGAGGCGCCGACAAGAGCGGGACGGTCAAGAACTTCTTGCAGGCATTGGGAGAAAACAACCGACTAGGCCTGCTCGAAGGAGTTTGCGAGAAGTTCGGTACCTTGATCAGTGCCGCCAAGGGAGAATTGGAGTTGGTTGTCACGAGTGCTGCGGTACGTCTCATGCAAAACGATTCCCGGATATCGGAGCCACTTTCTAGCATTGTTTGAGCAGCACTCGCTAACTACGGCGGGCCCCAGAAACTCGACGAGAAACTCCTCCGCCGCCTCGAGACCGCCATCAGCAAATCCGAGTACAGCCAGGGCAAGAAACTTAAAATCGTCACCAAAGTCAACCCGGATATCATGGGAGGTTTGATTGTAGAGATCGGCGAGCGAACCATTGACCTCAGCGTGTCGAGCAAGATCTCTCGGATGAACAAGATGCTCACCGAGACCGTGTAAGATGATTCTTCAATATGCAATGGCGGCCAGGCCGGGAGCAGGTGATTAGTTGGCCTTGGTCGGAAGACGCGGCCTTGTTGAGTAGAGCTCCTATTTCGGAAGTTAAACAGGGATCGGGACAATCCTGTATATATCATCCAAGCAGCGAGTCCAATATCACTCAGCTTTGGGCTTCGGCTGCCTTTACCGCTTGATATGTGTTCACCTCCAATTCAGCTGCCGATACAATATTTCCCGAATTCTACAGAAGAATGCAGACACCGAGTAAAGAAAGTCTTATTTTTTGTGCGCACAAATGACACAAAATTCGCCAGCACTCCGACGCTAACATCTGGACATATTTCCCACGCATGAACTTCGATAAGTCTGCCAGAATACATCCCAGCCGGGGAGCCACCGTTCTTGTGTGTCTCAGACCGCTCGCCCAAATGAGCGTCTGTGAGTCGAACCATGGGGAGAAGGTTCGGATGACAACCTCGATCGGACGAAACAGAAATAGAGAAAATACACGGTAGGCCCAACAGTTACAGACATTACATCGACCATCACCATCTGTGAAGTTCAACAAGTCAACGGAGATGCAGTGGGACTGTGAAATCGCCCTGGACCGCATCGCATTGATGCCGCTCAGTGCTCACTTCCAAGCAAGTATGATTCGAAGGATGGCTCGCCGCTATCGTCGTAAGGGGCCTGATACCTAGGTACTGCAAATGTGACCAGACAGTTGGCAATTAATCGCGTGAGGCAATCAATAGTAGGTTAATGAAAGCGAGCCTCTGACGGGGTTTGAAGACTGTCAGACTACAGTAAATGGCCTCCCCCATACTACAGCCACGGGCGCCCTTGGCCATTTCCTGATCCTTGGACGGTCGCAGAAGTACAGAGGATTTGTCTGTGAGAAGCTATCAGAGGTGCAGTGGTACCTGACTTGGAAAATGTCACAAAAGGAGAAGTGAAAGATTGGATAGACTAAACAAAGGTAGATGATAGAGTGGAACGAGCAATGCCTGAACTAGTGACGAACACAACAACCGACAACCGGCTTCTGGATAGTACTCCGTCCCAATGCAATCTATTACGGCTTGCTCTATTGATGATGCTATCGATGCCGCGCAATCTCTTCTAGGACTATTATACAGCCCAAGTCATGGACGTCTAATAATACCGCCACCTCTTTCTCGCACAGCATTCTGCGTCGTCCCAAGTCTAATCCAGCTGCGCCTCGAACTCATCCTCGTACACACCCACGCTCTCTTCTGTCTTAATCTTGGTCAGTTGTTCATTGACAAACTTCTCGTAGTGACTGTCCGCGATACTCTTTCTGCGCTCTTTCTCCAGTTTGTCCTCTCTGCCCCATTCATCTCCATCGGTGACAGCAGATGCCGCCGCATCAAAATAAGAATTGGCAGCATCGACGTCATGTATAACAGCGGGTGTAGCCTGACCGCGAGAGGAGTGGTCGCCATTTGTGCCATTAGAAACAAACGAGGACCGGCCCCCAAGCGAGCGTGATGTGGACGACCGACGCATGGGACCTGGCGTACCGACGTACGTGTTTTTCCGGGTCAGGCCACTCGAGAATGTATCGTCGAAGTAGTGCGCCAGCCCTGTTGAGGGTGTTCGAGGCGTCTGCGGGAGACGGCAGTTGATACCTGTGTCATGAATCATCTTGGCCATCAAGCCGGTCCAGCCGCACTGGTGACTAGCACCAAGACCACGGCCACTGTCGCCGTCAAAGAACTCGAAGAACCAAAGATAGTCTTTCCAGTGCGGATCGAAATCGAGAATGTCGTTGCCTGCATTGATGGCGCGGCGGCCTTCGTTGTCGCGAGCCATAAGATGCTGGAGTCGATGTTGAAGCTCTTCGGCGACGTGACCCAAGTGCATGTACTCGCCAGAGCCCGTCGGGCATTCGATTTGCAGCGACGTGCCATAGAACATGTAGAAGCGGAGGAGTGATTCGACAAGGAGGAAGTTTACAGCAATCCAGACCGGACCTCGCCAGTTCGAGTTGCCGCCAAACAGCCCAGAGTCAGAGTCCCCGGGAACATAGCTGACCTTAAATTGTTGGCCGTTGACGTCCATGCTGACAGGGTGATCCTCATGATACTTGGACAAGCTGCGGATTCCGTGCTCGGACAGGAACTCGGTCTCGTCCAGCATCCTCTTGAGAATCAGTTCCAGTCTCTCCTTGCTGACCAGAGAAAGAAGAAGACGCTCGTCTTTACCCCTCTTGCGCATGGAAGCGATGTTTCGTTCAGCAACATCGTGACGGTTCTGGATGAACCAATCCATCCTGCGCTTGAAGTTGGGGAACTTGTTGATCAGTTCAGGCTCCAGGGTCAACACAGCGTACAAGGGGATGAGGCCGACGAGGGAGCGGACGCGCATTTGCTGGGTCCACGGTCCACCCCAGGAGATCGCGTCGTAGTAGAAGCCATCCTCCGCGTTCCACAAACTCTGCTCCTTGCCACCGGCACGGAACGACATGGCATCCGATATCAGCAGGAAATGTTCAAAGAACTTGGACGCAATGTCTTCGTACGTCCTGCGGTGCTTGGCAAGTTCCAGAGCCATATTCAGCATGCAGAGGCAGTAGAAAGCCATCCAACCTGTGCTGTCTGCTTGCTCTAGGACACCCCCAGTCGGCAGTGGCTCGGAACGATTGAAGAGACCGATGTTGTCCAATCCAAGGAAGCCGCCCTCGAACACGTTTTTGCCGTCATTGTCCTTGCGGTTCACCCACCAGGTAAAATTAAGCAGCAGTTTCTGGAAGACGCGTTCAAGGAAGTCAAGATCTTGCCTTCCATACATTTTGCGCTCGATTTTGAACGTTCGGAAGACGGACCATGCATGCACCGGTGGGTTCACGTCGCCAAAGTTCCACTCGTATGCCGGTAGCTGACCATTGGGATGCATATACCATTCTCGGGTGAACAAGTCAAGCTGCTTCTTCGCGAAATCGGGGTCAATCATTGCAAGAGGGATACAATGGAAGGCCGAGTCCCAGGCAGCGAAGAACGGGTATTCCCACGAATCCGGCATGGAGAGAATGTCGTCCAGATACATGTGTTTCCAATGCTGATTGCGGATATTCTTGCGACCTTCGGGGGGCGGTGGCATGTTAGGATCACCGTTCGCCCACTGATCCCAGATGAAGTAATAATGTTGCTTGCACCACAGCATACCAGCAAAGGCCTGGCGTTGGATATTCCTCAGGTCGTCGGCCATTGGCAAAGGGCTGATACGGTAGTAGAACTCGTCCGCTTCCTGTCTCCTCAGCTCGATGATGTCGTCCACGAGCTCTTCGTTAAGATAGCCATCGAATTTGCGCGACAGCCGAAATCTCACGACGGCACATTCCCCAGGTGGCACCCCGTCACCTTGGCCAAAGTCATACCACGCGGCGCATTTGGTGCCTGAACAGCGAGGGTTAATAGCACCTTTCTCTTCATCAACTATCCATCGATGGAAAGCGTCTTTGACATAGGGTTGCTTATTCTTGACCCCGTAGAGCTTGTCCAGGTTAGTATCATTCTCCGTGAACATGAGCTGTGGATGAACGTCATCTGCGTCTGGGCCACAACCGGGTGAGGGAGATAGCTGGAAGAAGCGGTGACCGAGCTTGTGGTGCTTCGATTGAGCCGTCATTGGACCAACCATGCGGATGTTAGGCTTCAGCTTCTCCGGCTCATGTCCCCACGACCAAGTGTTTCTGAACCACATGTGAGGGATGATATGCAGGGGAGCTGGCTCTGGGCCTCGATTGTAGGCAGTGACTCGGAACAGTAGCTCTTCAGGATCGTCCGTCTCTTTCGCAGTCTCTATGAAAATGTCAAAGTAGCGATTGTCCTTGAAAGCGTCCGAGTCGATGATGTTGAACTCGCGCTCGAGTTTGCCGCGCTTTGCATTCTCTTGGATCAACTGCTCGTAGGGAAACCTTTTCTGGGGAAGCTTGTAGAGGTACTTCATATATGCTGTGGCTTGGTCAGCGAGCTGGGTCTGGAGAAATAGCTGCGTGTCTACCTACAATGGGTCGGCGTGTTGTCCACATGGAAATGAGCCTCCTTCAAGCTTTCGCCATGGTTGCCCTGGGGGTTGCTCAAACCGAACAGTCTCTCCTTCAGGAAGTCGTCCTTTTCATTCCAGAAGGCAAAGGCAATATTTTGCAGACCATGGGTGTCCGACACGCCGGCAATACCATCTTCACCCCACCGATAAGCTCTTGACCGGGACTGGTCGTGGGAGAAATGACTCCAGGCATCGCCATCGTGAGAGTAATCCTCACGGACCGTTGCCCATTGGCGCTCAGCAACGTATGGTCCCCATTTCTTCCAATACTTGGTGCGTTCACGGTCCTCTTTCAGCCGCTTCTCCTCCTCACACAGATATTCGTGATGGTCAACGACGACCATCTTGAGGGCGGTAGTTCAACGGTGGTATGGCAGTGTCAATGCAATCGGCACATCCAGACGGAGAAAAGCGAGAAAGGCAACTGGAGGATGTGCAAATTCTTGGAGCTGCTCAGCTGTAACTGCGGCGGCAGTGAGGACTGAGTGACGCCAGAGGAAGACCAGACTCGGCCGGAAACGAGCGAAAGAGTATCAAGCAAGGATAAGAATGGTGAAGGATAATGCTGTGTAGGAGATGTCCAGCTGCTCGGACGGTCCAACCTCCTCGAGACCCGGTTCCTGGGATGGTGCCTTGCAGAAAGTCGATGAAAAGATGGTGGGCGAAACTTTGTATCAGGATGAGCGGATGGGCAATTGTGGTTTGGCGGTGGCCGGATCGCCGTTTCCCGGTATTTTGGGACTGGGTGATCGTCACTGGCGCGGTAGTGCTTCGCTAGTGGCGATAAAAGGCTGGCTGGTATCGCGTTGAACTGGCAGTCGCCCCCGGATGTGTCAAGCCGGGGGCTCCAGAATCTCGCCTACTGCAGCTAAAATCTCAACCTCTTGTCCTTCGGAGATATTATTGCCCGCACGTGCACCGCCAAACAGAAGGTACGTACCTCGTACACAGTAGAGTCGAGGACAACGGAGAGCTTGACTAAAGAGCAGCTACGACTGTGCGGAGTCTTGATTCAGAGCTCGTAGTCATGTGTCTTTAGCTGCTGCAAAGAAGATATTTGGATGGAATTGTCATTTGCACTGGTACTGGTAATTACTGGTTCCGGGGCACGGGATCCCTCTCAAATGGCTAGGTACGGCTGCCTCATCCGAGGGAGCGTCACCATTTGCATTAAGGCTGGCAGGTGGCTGGTGCATGGTCACGTCTTTAACGCAACTACGGTTGTTTGCGATAAGTGGTGGATTTGGGACGGAGTACAATATCGTGATCGATCATAACGGACTTCAAGTTATCATCACTCGGCGTCTCAGCCTCGTCCCCCGGCACTCGATTTATGGCCCCATTCTTCTTTGAAAAGCTCAGACGTCCTGGAACTGCACGTCTCTGCGACATTTGGCGGTCGATTCGGCGTGTGGTGGCTCGTACATGTTCTTCCTGTCCGTGGGGTCTCTCCGACGCCCGCAGCTCAGCACCAGTTTTGTGCTCGCAGACCAGCAAGTCAATACCGACTGCTCATCCCCACCACGTTCTGCTCCACCAACGGAAGAACAAGAGCCACATTCCATGTAGCGCCTTACGACTCAAGTTCTGTGTTGAGTATGATTGAAATCGTTGTATTTTGACTTGAGGGAAAATGCAGTGCCTGCTGCCTCCAGTGTCTGTCTGTCTATTTTGCCCTCTCAAGAACGCTGATGCCCAACGAAATGCCATCTTCAAATATGAACTGTGGAATGGTGCTTCACATTTGACCATTTCCCTGGCTCTGTCCAAGCCCCGAAGCGACAAACCAGCACACGCAACATCACTTGAAGAGCTCCAAAATCTCTTTCATATGCGCCTCTCTCACCTCGTGCTTGCTCAACTGCTTGTAATTCTGGTTCACCGACACGTCCGCCAGCTGCTGTTTCTTCCGCTGCAGCTCCACAATCTTGAGCTCGATACTGTCTTCCATTTGATATCGCTTAATAACAACAGGCCGTTTCTGTCCAATCCGGTAAATGCGATCGACTGCTTGCGCTTCAGCTGCAGGGTTCCACATTGGCTCCATGATGAATGCACGGGACGCGGCTGTCAGGTTGAGGCCTTGACCTGCCGCCTTGATGGATGCCAGGAGAATGCGGACGTTGTTGTCCGTGGCGAGAGCATCCATAGAATTCTTCCTGGCATTGAGCGACATGGTACCGTCGATCCGAACGAAGGAGTAACCGTGATCAGTTAAGGCTCTTTCGATAAGGTTGAGGTGAGACGTGAACTCCGAGAAGATAACACACTTTAATGGGATCTCTCCGGCAGCCTCTAGTGGTTCGCTGTCCCTATACATCTCCTCGATGTCAGCTAGAAGCGCCCTGGTTTTGGTGTGAGGTCCAGTGTAAGTTCGAACCATCTCCTCTCCATCTTCCTGGTCGATTGTATCGTCTGGTGCTACGAGGATCTCCTGCGCTGTGGATCCACTAAATCCCACATATTGCGCAGCGATGACTGCCGCACAGAAAGGACAGGTGACGGTAGATTTGTTTGGCGTGCTGTCGAAATGAGGCTTCACTGAGCTGAAACAATCGCTGCAGATAAAGTCAAAGCACGGTAAGACAAAGCATCGAAGACCTTGTTCTTCATCGGTGTCGCCCTCAACCTTGATAACGTCTTTACTGATGCTTCGTTCACAGTTCCTGCAAACATCCAGCTCTGCTTCCATCCTCAGGTTTAGAGCCTCATAGGCTGCCTTTCTCGATATTGTGGGCGCCGTTGCCTCATCGTCAAGATCAATCGCCTCGTTCTTACTCATACCCTTCAGTAGTTTGAGATCTTTCTCATTGAGTAACTCTCGACCATGGGCACAGATCAGTCGAAGGGTCATAATACCTCTCAGAACGTGATGCTGAACACCGCTCCTCTTTTCTTTAGAGCGCGCCAATTCTTGAATCTGTACATGAGCTGTCTCCTTGAAGAATTCGTGTAGGCGCCTCTCATCCTCGGAGAACTTAAGTTTAGCAACATAGTCCTTTCTTTCCGGGAGGTCAACACGGTCCCGCAGCCGCCGTAATGTGAACGAGTCCACAAATATACGGAGCGCCTTTAAGAAAGAGGGGTCGCCTGATTGAGCCGGTCCTCGGATGTACTGGTTGAATCTGCCGGCGGTATCGTAAGGGTATAAGCGCAAAAACCGTGTCAGAGACCCTAGATCGTCAAGTCGATTTTGGACTGGCGTTCCAGTCAAGCACCAACGACGCTGCGCTTCTAAGGCGTAGCAAGCCTGCGACTGTAACGCCTTCTGCTCTCGGATCGTGTGCGCTTCGTCTAGAACAATCCTAAACCACTTCAGCTGCCTCAAAGGACTCACGGTGGCCTCCTTCTTGTTTGAGAACTCGGAACCAATAATTCCATAGGTGGTGATGACAATGTTATACTTCGATAACATAAATGGGTTCTTCTCTCGATTCGGTCCGTGGAAAACAGTATAGGTCATGGTATCTGGGTTGACGTGAGAAGCGATCTGATCTTCCCAGTTTTTGACGGTACTGGTCGGACAGACAATCAGAGTCGCGCCGGTGTTGGACAGGATGAGATTTTGATTTTCGTCTTGATTGTCCCTCATCACCTTTTCCTCGGCGAAATTCTTGGCCTCTTTCAGTGTGCTGGAAATAAGAGAAAGAGCTTCAAGTGTCTTTCCAAGGCCCATAACATCCGCCAGCAAACCACCAAGTACTTGATCTGGCTCGTCTCTGACAGAGATACCGGTAATGACTTCGTTGTATACGACGGTGCCATTCTGCCGCAGTTTTCTTCTCCATAAGGAAGTATTCTCGGACTCGTCGCTCCCAAAGGCACGTGACTGCTCCTGCCGTAACATGAATGTGAGCGCTTGTTTTTGGTGGCTAAGCAAGGGTGTTTTGATGAGGTCGGGCGGCGGATCGGTTTCACCAAGAGAGCGAGACGCATTTGCGAACGAATCGAAGACCTTGGACACAGCTTCCGTTGCCTCTTCCAAGGTTCGAGCATCCGATAATGGTCGAATTGTTTTGTCAAAACCTTTTGTTTGAAAGAGCGGCTTCTTCTGCGCGTGCGGGTTGTATACCGGGATACCGGCTTCTGATGCCATTGGTGGCCGTAACCAGAAGTTGTTCTGACCGAAGAGCTTGCCGACCTTAGCAGCATCACCTCGGCGACCATAGAGATTAACAACCATCTTGAGCTGCTCGGAGCAGGGTTGATGGGGCCACTCGTTCGGCTTTTTCCTGCGATTAATCAGTCTTGGTTGTGCCCTGAAGCCGTTCAAGGCGTCCATGGCAGGCGCAAGTGCGGCCGCAAAATCGGGATTGACCCTTCCGAACCGTGTGCCCCAGGGATCTAGGACCTCGATGACTGTGTCTTTACCAGCCTTGCGATCTAGATCACACTTCATCACGGGCCATTCTCGGTCCTGAGCAAACTGGCTGATGCTCTTGGGCTTCGGCACAAGATAGGCATGAACGGTAGTGGCAATATGGCCGTAGCAGACCTCCTGATCATCGAGCGACCGTTCCGAGACGATCTTCAAATCATCCTCCGACTCCCCATCTTCGTTGGTCAGATCGACCAAGCTACTTTTCATGGCTTCGGCAACTCTTTCGGGATCCGGGCGCATGTATTCACCGACAACCCCATTGCTATGGTGGTATGAAGACGAGCCCTTCTTGTTCAGGTTTTGGCGGCTGTCATCGTCCAACTTCACCCTCTTTCTCGGATTGCTCGCGCGATTCTCCACGTTGTAGAGGCTTTCCACCAAGGACTTTGTACTACTGTTTCCGTGGTTGTTGCCATTTGTAGAGGAGAGAGCTGTCCCATCGGCAAATGGCTTCAATTTGGCTGATTTCTGGTTGCGATATGATCCTCGTGGGTTCAACAACGTCGATGGATTTAATGTAGCTGACAGTCGTGCTGAATTGTGGGGAACTTGTGAATCTTGGCGCGACACTTTGTCGTCTTGTTCCATTCTATCTGGAGTCCGCGACGATTTCGGACGTGAAGCGCCGTTTATCGAGTTTGCTGCGATGCCGCGTTAGGATTTTGATGACATGAGAACAAGAATTAGGAGTGGACAGGGTGATCATTGGTGTACAAGGTTCTTTTCTCAATGTAAGAAGACAAAATGAAAACAAGAGAGTCTTACCTTGGAGTTTTGAAGCTGTCTTCAAAGACTTTGGGTTCAGCAAAGTGTGCGCACTCGCCATTTTTGTAGCCTTTGAGCGCTGCCTTCGACGGGCGCGTCACTAGGTGACAATATGACAGGGAATGATTTGAAGTGAAGGGGTGGCGAATCACATTGCGTTTGAAGTTGCGCTCGTTACCAGAAACCGCAAGGACGGTGTCTGAGGACAAAGGGAATCATGAGGCCTTCAACAACTCGTCACTGCAGGTTTACAAATTCGTGTCCACAACAGGGATATCCAGATTCATTGAGTCGCGGATAAGATTGACAGAAGCCCGAATTTATCCATGACTCTGAGATCAAAGCGGGCGCACGGACCACGCGGCTGCAGCCTTGCACTAAACTTTACCAGCAAGGCTGTGATGCAGCCTTAGCCAAGCTGATTGGTTCAATATCACAACGAAAGACAAAGCCTCTTTCTTATCATGTGCGAATGCGTCAGACAAAATCAGCCCAAGATGGTCAATGTATCTGTTGGAATCCACTCATGCTCCTCACTGTACCGACAAGCCCCTTCCCTTTGTTGATGCCCCATGCTACATTCACACGGCCTCGAGGTCTGTCAAGAGATGTCACCACTGTGACCTGGCGCACGTGAACCGACCATCCAATCTTCAAGAGCCAGCCATTCACTCCAGCTGTTCTCAGCGGCTTCAAGCTCACCATCGGTCGGGTTGTAGAGCGGTCGCATGAAGGGCACTGTTTCCAGCGGTAGCATATCATAGTCCTTCTTGACTGAAGCCCATCCGCCGCTCTTTGCGGCAAAAAGGTAGTTCCGCCTCTCTTGTTCTCTCTGTGGTCCGATTCCGGCTCTCCAGTCGTCGCCAAAGAAACCGTGCAGCACCTGAGGCACATCCATTCCCGTAACCACCAGGCGGCGCAGATAGGGGATCAAGGACACGGCCGAAGCCGCCGCCGCGGCTTCAGAAGAGGACGCTCTGACGGGCTCTCCTCTGTCTAGTCGCGCTTTCCCGCTTCGAGATCCACTCGTGCTGTAGACCGGGTGCGGAAGCCTCTGGAACGGTAAGAGGATATTGATAAAGGATGCGAAGGCCTGAACGAGTGGCTCATGTTGCGCGTGGTCAATGAAGTAGCGCTGGCAGCTTTGGTACCTAGGGAACCACGCTATGATGTCGAATTGTGGCCCGCTAGGAGGCTTTCCTTGGCTCCCTGCTTCTGAAGGACTATTGATGCCCGTGAAAGCTGCATCTTTGAGGGACCTCGACGAAGAACCAAAATTGGACTCCGACGACGACGACGAAAACGCCATTTTCAGCTATTGCGGTCCGAGCGTGGTCTGCAATCGCGACCGATTGCCCGCTGAACCGGAAAGCATGCAAGTCTCTCACCGGTTGAAAGCCGACAAATGCGTAGTAACATGGGGGCAGTACAGAGCTCTAACCAATGAGAGCATCATGAGAAGCTCTGCATCGATATCAGATTTTCCTGAAGCTGATGTGTTTCCTTGTGCGATTGTCTCATGCTATGGCCCGAGGATATGGCCGGAGTAACATCCGGAGCGGTGAGATGGTTCAAGGTGATGAACTCCTACCAGCTCTCGTTGGTAGGCGATGTCGCTCACCACTATACTCACGGGCGATGGGAGACGGAGGCACAGAGAGCCCAGTATAGAGAAATCCAGGATGAAAGCCGACTCAATCGCGTGGCTGTTGGTGACAATATTTCTCGCAGCTTGTTGGGGAGTGGAACGTGCGGCTACACGTGCTTCCCTGATGGCTTGTCGGATAATTTCCCGATTCCTTAATTTCCCGGCGTCAATCGCGATCCCCAGTTTGCGAATTATTGAGTCATGCGCTGCGCGTCGGTCTTGGTGGTTTCTTGCCCTCCTTTACCGTGATCCAGGTCCCCTATCACAAGCTTGGACTGCTGGCTACCAATGTGCTAAGGACTATGGCTCCCAACAGTTTCTCTCTGTCGACGCGGCTCACCCTGTCCAATGGTCTCTCGATACCTCAGATCCACTTGGGTGTCTACTTGATGTCAAACCGGGAGGCAACTAAAGCAGTGAAATGGGCACTTCAGGCTGGCTATCGTGCGGTTGATTCAGCACAAATGTATCGCAACGAGGCAGCCTGCGGGCAAGCCATTCTTTCCTTTCTGAACGACAAGTCTCTGAACATGACCGGGTTGGCCCGAAAAGATATCTTCTTCACATCTAAGCTGGCCACCAACAGCAGCTATGGAGCAGTGCGTTCCTCCATCAAGCAATCAGTGGCAGCCAGTGGCCTCGGGTACATCGATTTGTTTCTGCTTCACAGTCCGTACGGCGGAAAGGACGCTCGCCTGTCCAGCTGGAAAGCGGTCGAGGACGCCATTCAGGATGGTGAGATCAAGATTGGAGGGGTGAGTAATTTTGGTGTCAAGCACCTAGACGAGCTCGCCGCGTCGAAGCCTCGCATCATGCCCGCTGTCAATCAGATTGAAGTGCACCCTTTCAACACGCGGACAGACATTGTGCAAGCGTGTCAGAAGTACGGTATCCTGGTAGAAGCATACGCTCCTCTAGCGAGGGCCCTGCGTATGCAGCATCGTACAATCGTCTCATTGTCGAAGAGATATAATTGTACTCCGGCACAGTTGATGATTCGGTGGAGTCTTCAGCATGGATACATCCCACTGCCGAAAAGCGTATCAAAGGATCGGATCGAGGCAAACGGGAACATCAGTCACTTCGAGATTCAAAACGAGGATATGAAGAAGTTGGATGACCTTGACGAGTACCTTGTTACTGATTGGGATCCTGTCGATGCAGACTAGCAGTCGTCAAGTCTGCATCTACTTGTGCAGAGCGAAGCATAGCTGTATGCGTGGCGAGTGCAGGATGGGTATAGCCATCTTGCTAGGGAATATCAAGCTGATGCCCGACTGGTCGCCCACTGAATAGGTATTACATAGGCCAGCCACGAGCACTCAATCTGTACAGTATCGGTGACTGACAAGACAGCAACGATCATGCCGCCATTTGAGTCGTCGCATCCAATGCAACGATACCCCGCATCTACCCATGACGTAGACGGCGCGTGTTGTGTCTATGAGTACTCGCACCGAGTGAATTCTTTCCTAGGTCGCAAAATCTGATGGCATACCAAGTACAAAGCTTAGGTAACCTTGGCTTCCTTTGATATGCCGAAGAAAAGGCGATTTGAACAAGGGTGACGGATGGGTGCGTCGGGCTCCTGATACACGGCGGGCCTCGGGCACCATCCCTGAATCGGGGAGCATTGGGCACGGCGTGACGGGAGCAATGGTCCTACAAGGCTGCGCTTCTGCAATCATGGAAGGTCGTACTCCGTATCGCTAGAGAGGACGCATTCTTTCCACAGACGGCGACCGGGTTCCCCGGGTCACCTATCAACTGATAGGAGGAGCACCGTGTGTATACCTTGCTGACCGCTTGCCGTGCAGCGCCCACCCGACAAGCAGGGCCGTCAGGGAAAGAGAGCAATGTCTCCCACATCGATTGCGGTAGAAGCATCGCTCCATTGTCCCTGCTTTGTACCTGTACATGAGGATTCGGAGGCTTGTGAAGACTAGAGTGCGGCGAAAGACTTCCTCGACGCATTGCCCGCCGCGTGTTTCCTGTTGAAACTGAAGAGGTTATTGTGCGGAGAATGCAAGTCTTTGCCTACTTCCCACCTCGTACAAGACGAGAAGCGTCCGTTGAGGCCTTCCTAGGAAAGCTTGTCCCGCTTCTCTTATGTACCAGTGCAGACGAGATCCATCCTTCCACGTTCTTTCGCCCCTAATTTTCGATTCCTTACTCCGTACAACCCTTCTTTGCAGGGATGAGGCGCGGCGAATTTCGACCGCTGCTTTCTAGTGTTCTCCTCAGTTGGACGACTTGAACTTCGACCTGCCTTTGTCTCGGCCACAATAACCCCAGACATACTCCCAACGCGGTACCATACGAAAGAAGGTGCTTACGGTTCAACGTTCATACTGCCGGTGGGTGGAGAAGTGTCAAGTCCCAGGATCAGAGGTACGAATATCAAAGGTTTGCCAAGTGGAGTAGAAGAAGATCTGCAAGATCACCCTCGACCGTGGGCAAAACCACAGAATGCCCTTCCCACTCCGTCACCGGACCACTTCTTCAGAGCAGTCCGGGGTTATACCAGCGATGTCGTATTATTTGATTTCGACACCACAGAAATTTCGCAGGTCGATCAGGATTTATCCAATCTGTACTCCGTATGGAGAGTCATTTCGCCACGTCGTGGGCCGCGCGCAGACAAACCGAAAGACAACCGCATGCTTTTGTACAGTACCTCCTACTGTGGTGTTTCTAGGCCTCAGCAGCCGACTCTAGGCCTCAGGCGTGCTGACTCAGGCTGTAAACCCTTGCATATCGAGCGCTGGTCCTTGGTTTGGGCGGCAGATGGTGCGTTAGCTGCAGAAGATGCGCATGCACAGTTGGTCGTGCTCCGTGCTTCCAATGCGACCCAGATTCGACTGGTCCGACAGTGCTTGCGCGGCGTGCGTGGTGTTCGCCTGTCAGTGATTCTCATTGAGGTTTTCTGTCCGCACATTTCCAAGCCTTGATTTGCCATCATCGCTACCGTCGTCAGAAGAAGAAACGTACATCAGCCTGGCAGACAGGCTCTCTTGGGCACCTGTACGAAAGCCTCTGTGTGGCTCTGTTCGATGGGTAGACAAGTGATACGTTCTGGCAGTATCGCGTACAACTACCGGTGTATCTCGTGTGTTATTCCCACTCCCAAGCCACATTAATCAATCACCGAGGATGGGATTGCTCTGATCCTTCCCGCCTGCCAGGTCCCATGTCGCTGCATATATTGCAGTTACACACGCGCGGGAAACACGTCGTGGCCGATGTACGAACTGCCACCAGCCTGCACCCGACATGGGTGTCGATTGGCTGTGCGCGGCTCACTCCATCCTCCTGCACATGGAGCTACCCTCCAAGTCTGATGGACCGACTCCTCGAAACGTGCTCGCGCGATAAATGGGACCTGGCGAGAAAGCCACCGTACTGTGTGCGTAGCACGATAGGCTACCTTTCCTACCCCTCCACACCGGCACGGGCATCTCCCATACCTCCTAGTGGCAGCGCGGATGGCAACAAGAGTTAAGACTTGCCCTGCAGATTGGTGGGCGATCGTCTGAAATCCTTCCCACCTCGCTGTCGGTCTCACAACTGGTTCCCGTTCCATCCAAACTTATTTCTGGCTTGTGCCTCCCGAAAACCCCAGCAGCAATACCGCAAGATTTGAGTGTACAAAATACTTGGAGCTCCCCAGGAGGTCTACGCTGGGGGTCGCCTCCCCAAGCCCACGCTCGACCGCCACCTTGGATCTCACTTCCACGATGCAACTCCGGCTGAGGACTCGATGATGGTCAACCAACGCCCCTCGATCCTCGCTTGAATTCCTCGGTTTCGGTGCCACTGCGACATCCTTGGACGCACGTGGCGGTCTTTTCTAGTGATACGCGCACCTGAAAGCTATGAATTGTATCTCCTCTTCTGTTCGATCTGCAGTGTGTATTCGATCCTCGAAATAACATCTGCGAACCGACGTAGGGCGGCGAGGTAGCAGAGACGTACAATTGCAGCAGGTGTACTTGGGAGACGCTCGCAGAAAGCCAGACTGGCGACGTACAAAAGGACATTGTCCTTCGCATATCTCTCTCAGCCTCAACATGGACTTTTCATATTTCACATCGGCGCCACAGCCCTATCAGTTCTTCGGCGTGCCGCAGACGCCCTCTGCAACCCAGACTGGTCACCTAGACGAGTTTAGAACCGCACCTTCGACAGTGAGTTGTACTAGAGGAGACGAGACGATGGTCTGACCTGCCTGCAGGACCAATACGATGCTGCCTTCGCGGCGTTTCAACAGAGCTTCCACTATGACCCGGCCACATTCCTAGCCCAACCACATCAAGCCTCTACCCAATCCCCACCGATCCACGGTCAGCATCAGGACTCGATGATCTCGATGTCAGACATGGACATGACCACCCTGCCTGCGCCGGCGGCCGAAGCAACGCCTGATGAAGCGGGGTTAGCACGAAGCAGCAGTGAAGAGAAGGACCTTTTGACACCCCAGCAAAGTCGAAGAAAGGCACAAAACAGAGCTGCGTAAGAAGAATGGCCACACCTCCATCTCTCGAGAGTCTAACGGTGACTGTAGTCAACGAGCGTTTCGCGAGCGCAAAGAAAAGCATGTCAAAGATCTCGAAGCCAAACTCACCAGCCTGCAGCATCAATCACTGAGCTTGAACGGCGAGAACGAACGGCTACGGCGCGAGTTAGCCAAGATTGCAACAGAGAATGAGATCCTTCGAGCCACATCTGGCGCGGCATCAAATGGTCCGACCCCGTTTATGGAGGAACCCGATGAGTTGGTGGGGCCCCTGGGTTATATCCCCACAGATCGACATTCCAAAGACCGTTCCCCAGCCAGCAGCTCAGGATCTAGCTTCGGCCTCAGTTCGAAATACGCTCACTTTGGGACTCTAAGAACCATCAGCGTAGACAACGACACTGGGGAACCTCTGCTGGGAGCGGGCGCCACCTGGGATTACATTCAAGCGCACGAACTCTTTCGCAAGGGGCTAGTGGACGTTGGCGATGTCTGTGAGCGATTGAAGAAGATGGCAAGATGCGATGGTCAAGGGCCAATCTTCCTTGAGAGTGACGTCCGACAAGCCATTTCGGAGAGCGCTGTGGCAGGAGGACGGGATGAGTTGATATAACTGCCATATCATCTCGTGGTCCGTGCATCAGTTGCGCTTCAAGATTTTCCATCTGAACTGGGTCATGGAGCGCTGGCGCTGAAGAGTACCGGTGCCCGGCCGAACGGACTCGCGAAGCATCTGAAGTGAATTTATCGGATTTGTTCCCGTACGAGCTGTTGAAATGCCTCTACGAGGGTGGAAGAACGCCATCAACAGAACCATGCTGAGTCTATTTGCACAACTACTTGCAGGACGCATCTGGTTACGCCTCACCAACGAAGTTTTCGCAACGGGATGACAGGAAATGATTGAATCTCTACCAGTCCGAGCAGACTAGGGACAGAGATCTGCATACAATCCTCACCAGCCTCTTCAAAAGTGGATCAAGAGACCCTGACAAAACGGTCTGCGTCCTGCTATGTCAGCCACAGAGATCTGGACGAGCCCGCACCCAAACACGAGGGCTCCAACATTGGTACGCCATTAGAAGCAACATCCACCTACAAACATTGCGGCTTACTGAGATCAGAAGTATATTTTGCCGGATGCATTCTTTATCATTCAGGGCCTGGATATCTGATCGGATTCGTGGATCTGAAAAGTTGACCGGCGCAAATACTGACAGCATTTGCCGCATCTGTCCAGGACGCCTCTTGTGGCCACTTCACCGAAATAGACCCCCACCGTGGCCTATTCGCTTTAGGTCACTCTGTCTCGGATGCACGCCCGACTCCAAGGCGCGAGACAATCGCACCCATGCCTCCTAGACCCATTGCTTGGGGGACCAATGCAGCTGGATCCGTTCGTACGCTCTAGTGCAGGACGAACAACATACGTCAACGCACGTATAAAGGAGCTTCCTGTGCCAGCCACGATCATAGTTGAGAGTCGACGAAGCCTGAAGACACACAAGCTGCTCGGCAGCGGGAATATCTCGGATGCTGGCCTGTTATTAGAGGGCAACTCTGAGAATTATATCATCCCATTTAGACATAACAGCTTAAGGTCCGGATTTGCTAGTTGTTAGGCGTAGTCGATCGCGCCTGCAGGTTCGGTAGAAATGGGGTTGAATGTGGTACCAGTCAAATGGAAAACCTCGTGTTGTTAGTCCCAATCATCGTCGCCATCGTCATGGTTATCCCTGCTGCTGTCGTCGTCTTCTTCCCTCCGCTTCAGGCGCACGTCGCTCTCCTGGAGAGCCCCAACCTCGACGAGGACCCTCTCAATGTCCTTCAGATTCGTCCTTGCGCCGTTAAGCTGACCTAGCGTCACAATCTGGCGCTTGATGTCGCCGTCCTTGTATACCAGAATGGTAGGCGTGTTCCGATCAGGGTAACCCTCGATACACATATCCGCCCTGATTTCGCAGAATTTGACGTCCCCAAACTTCCTCGCCGCCTCCCTCCAAATCTCGGAAAGGACGCGAGACTCGATGTTCGTGCCTGTTGAAGACGTCAAATTGACCAACACAAAGGCTTTGGACGACTCCTCGGTGACGTCCCGCGCATAGTCCGGTTTCTGAAGAGGATAGACCTGCCCATAGACAGATTTCTTCTGCAGACTTGACAACTCCGCCAGGCGCTTTTGGCGGTACGTTTCGAGAAAAGCCTCGTCCTCTTCGTCCTCCAGCTCGTGGAGTTCGTCGAGGTCCTTGTCTTCGAGACGGTTTTCGTGGGCGCGTTTGGCGGCTTCTAGGAGCGCTTCTTGGATTATTGGTTCAGGATCCGGTGGCTTTTCGGGAATGATGCCATGCTTGCGGAGGATGTCGTTCCTGTGGAAGTAGTGAGGTTAGGAGCATTGGGAGCCACTTCACGGTGTGGCGGAAAGCGAAACCAACCATTCTGTATCTGCATCCGGGTTATCTATCGGAACATTAACCGGCATGTCCATCTTGAAGTTGGATAGTCTGGATATGCGGAAGAAAAGACGAGGGTGAACAACATCGAATTGTACACATAGTCAACGCCCGAAAGAAGGCTGATCTTGTGTGAAGTGGTGGTGTGAAGTCAGCCACACTGTGGCTGTCACATGTGGCTGTGGCTGCAGCACACAAATTATTGGCAGCGCGGGAGGACACCGTCGACAACTCCACGCCCGCAGCGGCACAACACTCGACGGCAACGCTGGATATACCCTCGCTTTAGTACGGAAACACTCCCTCTGCTCTATACATCCTTCACTTCAGTTCGCCTCTTCCTGCGAGATGATCCTGCGGTAGTCGCTGCACACTCCATCCCATCAGCTTCTCACCCCAGGGGCCATCCTCCTCGTCCTGAACGCTCGGCCTACCATTAGACGAATGCTTGTGTGCTCCTGCCGTTCAAGATGAGTTACGCAAAGAAGGATGAGGATGCCGACCACTCCAGCTTCAAGCTGGACCGCACTTCTGTCTTCCAAGATGGTACTGCCTCCTCTCTTTCTAGCCGTCTCGGACACCAGATATTGACCTAGGTGTCCAGCCCGACTGTTCAACTCGTCCCCCATATCGCCTCGAAAATGCCGAACACTCCTCACCAAGATTGCTGTCCTCCTCTTCACGGGGGAGAAGTTCCCCACCAACGAAGCGACAACCCTATTCTTCGGTATCTCCAAGTTGTTCCAGAACAAGGACCCTTCGCTCCGTCAGATGGTCTATCTTATTCTCAAAGAGCTGGCTCACACTGCCGAAGATGTCATCATGTCCACGAGCATTATCATGAAGGATATGACTGTGGGCAGTGAGATCATTTACAAAGCGAACTCGATCCGGGCGCTCTGCAGGATTATTGATGCTACAACTGTGCAGGGCATTGAGCGGTTGATCAAGACGGCTATTGTGGACAAGTCCCCCGCTGTCTCCTCGGCCGCGTTGGTATCGTCGTACCATTTATTGCCCATTGCAAGGGATGTGGTCCGGAGGTGGCAGAGTGAGACCCAGGAGGCCGCCTCATCATCCAAGTCAAGTGGAGGATTCCTGAGCTTCGGTGGTAGCTCGCAGCACTCGCTCGCCGCGGCTAATACCAATTATATGAACCAGTATCATGCGATCGGTCTGCTGTATCAGATGCGATCACATGACAGGATGGCCCTGGTGAAGATGGTTCAGCAATACGGTGCTGCGGGAGCCGTCAAGAGTCCGGCCGGTGTTATGATGTTGGTACGACTGGCTGCTAGACTCGCCGAGGAAGATCCTAGCCTCAGAAAGCCAATGATGCAGATGCTGGACACATGGTTACGGCATAAGAGCGAGATGGTGGTCTTCGAGGCCGCAAAGGCCATTTGCAACATGCCCGATGTGAGCGATGCGGAAGCAGCACAAGCCATCCACGCCCTCCAGTCCTTCTTGACGTCTCCGAGAGCCGTCACTAAGTTTGCCGCGATTCGGATCCTCCATTCATTCGCCTCGTTCAAGCCCCAGGCGGTCCATTCCGCGAACCCCGATATCGAAGCCCTGATCTCAAACACGAATCGGTCCATCGCCACCTTTGCAATCACCACACTTCTCAAGACCGGTAACGAAGCCAGCGTGGACAGGCTTATGAAGCAAATCGCCGGCTTCATGGCGGAAATCACGGATGAGTTCAAGATCACAATTGTTGAAGCCATCCGGACATTATGCATGAAATTTCCCAGCAAACAGGCTGGCATGCTGACATTCTTGAGTGGCATCTTGAGAGACGAGGGTGGTTATGAGTTCAAGCGTGCTGTCGTGGAGAGCATGTTTGACCTGATCAAGTTCGTGCCGGGAAGCAAAGAAGAGACCCTTTCACATCTTTGCGAGTTTATTGAGGATTGCGAATTCACAAAGTTGGCGGTACGGATCTTGCATCTCATTGGCGTCGAAGGGCCAAAGACACCTCAACCTACAAAGTACATCCGGTACATCTACAACCGAGTTGTGCTCGAAAACGCACTGGTCCGTGCCGCAGCGGTCACGGCTCTGGCAAAGTTTGGTGTGGGACAAAAAGACCCCGAAGTCAAGAAAAGCGTACGAGTGCTGCTGGAGAGGTGTTTGGACGACACAGACGACGAAGTGCGCGACCGAGCGGCGTTGAACCTCCGACTGATGCAGGAGGAAGATGACGTCGCTGAACGCTTCATCAAGAACGATTCCATGTTTTCACTCTCGACTTTCGAACACAAACTCGTCATGTACGTCACGTCCAACGACAAGTCTGTCTTTGCCAAGGCATTCGATATCAATTCTGTGCCAGTCGTGTCACACGAACAAGCACTGGCAGAAGAACGCACCAAGAAACTCACCACCGCAACACCGACACTCAAGCCACCAAGTACAGGTCCTGCGAAACCCAAGGCCAACGGCGCCGCAGAAGGTGCTGCCGCCGGCGCAGCAGTCGCACAGAAATACACACAAACATTCTCCCGGGTACCCGAGCTTGCAGCATACGGTCCTGTTCTGAAATCCAGCAATGTGGTAGAACTCACCGAGTCCGAGACCGAATACGTCGTCTCCGCCGTGAAACACATCTTCAAGGAGCACGTGGTCATCCAGTACGACATCAAGAATACTCTGGGATCAACGGTTCTCGAGAACGTCACCGTCCTGGCCTCCCCAGCAGAAGAAGAAGAACCCACCCTCGAAGAAGAATTCATCATCCCGGCCACCGCTCTGAAAACCAACGAACCGGGGGTTGTATACGTCGCATTCCGCAAGGTCCACGGCGAATCCTCCTTCCCCATCACCACATTCACCAATGTCCTCAAATTTACGTCCAAAGAAATCGACCCTGTCAGTGGAGAAGCTGAGGAAGGAGGCTACGAAGATGAATACGAGATTGAGAACCTTGAGCTCAGTGGGGCCGATTTCGTGAGCCCAGCTTTCACAGGCAGTTTCGATCATGTCTGGGAAGGCACAGGCGCTAGTGGGGAGGAGGTGAGCGAGACGCTTGTGTTGGGTGGCGCAAGTGTTGAGGGCCTGGGTGGTAAGCTATTCCATTGTCGATTGGGCTGGGATGCGATGCTAACAATAGCGTGTGGTACAGATGCTGCAGAGCAACTCACTTCGGCGCTATCCTTGCAACCCCTCGAGGGCACAGACGTGGTCCTATCCAACACGACGCACACGCTCAAGTTGTACGGCAAATCCGTCACGGGTGGCCGCGTGGCCGCGCTGGTCAAGATGGTATACTCGGCCAAAACGGGCGTTACTGTCAAGGTTTCCGTGCGGACGGATGAAAGCGGCGGTGGCCTCGCGCAAGGGATGGTTGGCGTTTTGTCGTAGCGAAAATAAGTAGGGGTGGGCGGCGGAGACTATCTATGAGAAGCTACCTATGTCAAGCACCTGAATCAGGACCTGAGCCTGGGTCCAGAACCGGAGCCGGAACTGGAACCCGAAGCCGTAACAAGGCCAGGGTCGGAGTGGCGAGGGGAGGAAGACGACCAAGCAACGCATGCGCATGGCGAGGAGGGACCTGTGGTCAGGTCCTGGTGACATACGTATGACATTCATGGGTACCATTGACTCTGTCAAGGTGTCAGGGGAGGACCAAAAACCATGATCATGATAGATGCGGAAATGGCTTGGCTTCACTGCACTGCACTGGCCCTTCCTACCCAATTTGGAATGAGATGCATGCAAGCATGAAACCTAGCGCTGTGCAGCGCAGTGGTATATTACGGCGTACGTTATGCCACGTTACATTATGCTATGCTAAGCTATGCTTTCACGTGGCATGGGCATGGCATGGCGTGATGCGTGACACGGGTGATCAGGGCAATGGAAAAAGAAAAAGGGAACGTCTGGGGTTTCTTCATTCGTCTAAATTGGTGTTGGTTTCCAGAGTTCGAGCACCCGATAACTCGAGCGGTACTGCATACTTCAAAGACCACAGGCGGGCGCTCCGGAGATGGTTGCAGATTCGTAGTCCGCGTGCCGTAGACTATGCTTGTGAGCAGGCGTGTGTCTCCGAATGGAATGGATCAGTCCATGGCTACCTCGCGAAACCTCGGATCCGCAGATCGGAAACGGACGGCAGAACTTCCCTCTTCCAAGGCCGTCAAGGCAGCTAAGGTAGCGAGGTAGTGAGGGCCATGCTTCTTGGACGTCGTGACAGCTGCATCAACATGCAACGCGCACCTAACTGAGGGTCTGGGGGCAAGGTCGCAGAAGGTCCAGGCCAGGGGGTCGAGCTGCAATGTGCAGAAACAGGCTGTGGTCTCTCATTTCGTACTGTTGTCTCGCGACTGGTGGAGCGCAGAATTCAGGTCTCGACCGGGGTGCATGCTCCATTCCCCAAAGTCCAGCGAGATGCTCTTACGAGGCTGCCCGTTGTTGATATTTTTGCTGGCTGGTGAGGCGCTAATATATAAGCATCACTTCCTCGCACGTGCCGGTCTTCCGGCCTGTCTGGCTGGAGGTGCTGATCCATGGTCAGGCGGTGGATACCTGCGAGGAACGTCTGTATGTCGCTCGTGTTGTTGAGCTCTGAAAGCGCCATTCATGCCTAGAGCGTGGGTTGCCGATATACCTGTCACCAAGCAAGCCGAAAGGCGTATCATTCAGGATTGTTGGAATATCCCACCGGCTGGAGCAAATCGTGCCAAACAGGATGATCGTGCCAGCTCGAGTAATCGAATAGATGTGTCCAGCTTGGACACACACAATCCATCAAGCCTTCTTCTTTGGCCGGCTCTTCTTCGCGCTCGCAGGCACGGGGCTCGCAGGCACGGGGCTCGCCGTCTCTAGCCCTGTGGCAGACGTGGAAATCTCCTCGGCCTTGGTAACTGGCATCAACACAGGTATTCTCTCGCTGGGCTTTTCCTTGCTGCTCAGCTCCGCCTGTGCTGTCTTCAAGACATCGATATTACTGTTCAACCACTGCTGGAACTCTTTGTGCTGGAGGTATCCGTGGGTGTTGAACCACTGGGTGAATTTGCCGGTAATCTCCTTGTCTTCCCAAGTCTTGCCCGTCGAAGGGGCACTGTACCTGACCTTGAGTTTGTATTCGGGGACGTACTTTTGCGTCGAGGAGCGGAGGGTCAGCTATGACCATGTCAGTTGGCCGTTGCATTTGGCAGGGTGCCATAAGGCATCCGGGAACATACTCGTTGTCCTCCTTCTCTCACGCCAGAAAAGACCGTGCCCGCCTCGACGGCCCAAATCCAGTACGTCAGGATACCGTTCAGAATAAAATATGAGACACAAGCAGGGCCGGTGTACGCCTTGGTGGCATCCCAGCCGAGTTTCCAGTCTGCATAGAACAAGGCTCCCGCGATCAGGACGGCGGTATAGCCCAGAACAAGTTTGATGTTGGTGGTGAAGTGGTCTTGTTTGAATGTGTAGGGTTTCGGCAGGCTGGTGAGGTATGGCGCGAGGGCATCATCGGTCGCGTTCTTGAGGTCTGTGGGTAGTTAGTGAGAGAGTCCGCAGAAACGGGGCATGCTGTCGTACCGTTGCTGGAGTACAGCGACACCTTCTGGGGAGGAGACGCCATCCCTACGGTGTCTGATAGTGCAGTGTAGGCAGGGGAAGAGAATGATCATGTGCTTGTACGATTGTATTGGACAGCGTGTGCTGAAGCCAAAATAATCCGGGGAAACACCGAAGTTGGAGTCCGTTTAGCCTTATGTAAGCCACCAACAACATCTTGGTGACTGCACGAAGCTTCACACCTCTTTCACACGGGGTTCATTAGGTACCTCCAGGTATTCTCCCTTCACCTTCCAAAAGTATATGACTTTTCCAAGAACCTTGAGATCGATCCAAGTCAGCTACTCTGCAGACGTACACCATCTTGTTCTTGATTACTCTGCACCACTCAAACCAAATCTTGTTCTATCGTTCTCTTGTTGTACGGTTCGCACAATCTGCCGTCTGCCCCGTTGTCGTCCGCTACAGATTCCCGTACCCTGTCTCGCCTGTGTTGTCGTGCATATCCTCTCAGGCCCCACCCCACTGTGCCATTGAGTGCCCTGTAAGCTACAGTGTTAGAAGCCACGGAAGGTTAGTAGGGCAATCCGGAAAGGAACATCTCATCCTTCATCTTGGCGATCGAGCTGAAGTCGAATCTCGCAGCATGGATATGTGTCTACTTCCCCCTTTCCCAGCTTGGGCAGGGCTTCAGACACCGCCTTTCCTGCTCTGTGGCACAAAATGACTTACTCGATAGTCGAACTAGGACAGGCCCATGACCAGTGGCTGATTCCAACACCGGAAGTCCAAGAAGCAATGCAACACGTCCGTCGCATTGGGGATGAAAATTTCACACAGAGCACTGGCGCCGTCAGTCCGGGACTCATGTCGCATATCTTCGTGTATGCTCTAGAAGCAGATGAAGACCGCGGCAACTGGACAGTTCAAAATGCTTCGAGAAATAAAAAGAGCGACGTGCCACAGTGACTTCTTTGCACTCCTTTTAGAAGTCGTCCTCGATCCACAGCGGCAGAAAGAGGAATGAGTCGATTGTCGAGAGTTGTGCATCGAGAAATGCGGCATTCGTCCACCCCTTCTGTGATGAACAAGAACAGCTTGGCCTGTTTTCACCAAATACTGCTACGAGTTTGCCCCCATATAAAGAGCGAGAGGTATAATGTGCCGTTACCCAGCTCCTCCTGATGCTCGATTGTTTATCAGGGTCGTCTTCAGTCTTCTGCCTCTGAAGCACCAACGGGTGGAACGGCTCCCTTCACTGGAATATCACCTTACCTCTTACAACCAGCATCATAAGGGACCAAACCATCCGACAGGCATTGCTAACAGCTGTCACTTCGACGACAATCGCATGGTCTCTCACCCCAGTGAGGTCCGTCGTGGCCATTTGGTGCCCATTTGTGCAACGCCTAGCGGCAGGAGGCAGACGAAATGTCAAGTGTTTCTAAACGAACGCGCCGGTGTCAAAACCGTGTCAGTGAAACCCGCCATTGTTATCGTTTGCACCTTCTGGCCAGCCTATATAAATGGTTTCCAGGTCCACTATCAAACTTGAATGCTCACCAAAGGCCCGAATACGTATACTAATCACTCATCCCGAAGCACATAACCTCCACTTCGACATTTACGACATCAGACCATACGAACATCCAATCATGCCCGTCAACGGTCGTCTCTACGACTATGGCAAATGGATAGTCGACTTTAACGGCAATGACCACATCACCACTGTGCCTGGGATACTAGAAAACCGGACCAGAGATGTCGGCGAAGTCAGGCTGCCTGTTTGGATTCCCGACCCTACTTCAGACAACGCCAACGAGATGATCCTCAATCTCCTCCTCCAGGGCGTCGTTTTGGACACAAATGATGGCTGCTCTCGAATATCGGCGCGCCGTCTGGAGGAATTTGGCTGGTACGCGAAGACGAAGCCTGACCGACATGGCCGTTCCGTGATGCAGTTCAAAAACTACCATGGACACGTGCAGTTCCAGGCTATGTGGGATCATAAATTCTGGGGCCACGGAAGGGGTGAATGGAAAGTCAAGACTCAAGGTCGCTAGACCGGAGAGATACCTTCTGTGCTCACTTTTGGTGTTCTTGGCTGTCTTGTGGACTGCGACATGCGGTGTCCACGGCCGCGGGGTGGAGGTACTTTGTAAAACTAGGCTGCATAGTTACCCGTCGCCGAGAATACAGCGAATTGTCAGAATAACATCGAAATGATACTGTAAATGTGGACAGTCTCCCCGTGACCACAACGCAACGCCAGATAGTCCTAGCATCACGTGATGGTAGCATACCGTATAAATTACTGTATTGAAACCCAAGCCGTCACAATTCTGTCGGTCCATGTGATCTCACAGAAAGAAGACTTCAACAACCCGCACCACTTGCTCACTCTACTGCACTTCAATATGTCGCCATTGCCCTTGCGTTGTCGTCACCGCGGCCATGCTCGTTGTTCGCCCCGGAAGAGCAAAATTCGTGAGAATGTGCTCCACCTTGACTGGCCGCTCCGGTCGAGTGTAAACGCGTGACAGGAATCTCCAGGCTCATCCTCACAAACCGGAACTCAATGTGTACCTTGCGCAGTAATTTCGCAGGACTCATACACGGTCTTCCCAGCAGTCGACCTTAAGGCTGGCTGAATTCGCATGGAATGTAGCTGCGAGAATCACGTCTTCGTTTTGAAGAGCGTCTCGCACTCGATATTCGCACTCTCCCACGAGCTGAAGGATGAGTTTGGCGACAGTCCTCGCCTTCGAACACACCTGGATGGCCATGAGTCGAGGAACGCGTTCTCGTCTACGGCTATTACAAAGACGACTTACTTTACTTGAAGAACCACCCTGATCTTCCACTTGCGCCAAGAAAAACCATCCTCCGAGACCTAGGGTTGGGACTCAAAGATCTGCAGTCTCGAAACTGGATACATGTAGGTAGGTTGCACCCAATGAAGGCCTACAGCGTCACTTCTTCTTCCCCTGCCTCGACGTATCTGACTAGGCCGTGCAGACACGAAGCCCAACAATGCCATGATCGACTGGGATGTCGATGAGAACGGCCGATTCATAGTCGAACGAGTCGCCTGGGCGGATCTGGACTGTGCTTTACAGCTCAAGGGCCATAGGCTGCTCGATCACAGCATTGGCAACGTCATGTGGCGCAGCCCGGAAGGACAAACAGGCAACGGCATCGGTAAACCATCTGAGGTCTTCTCTTTTGGTCTGGTTGTGGGTGAGCTGGAGCGGAGGACCTTACCGTGATAACGACGCCGTTACTAAGCTTTTGGGGCAGTTCCTCTACACTATTACCGGCATGGAAACTCTGCACCCGGACTTCGAGCAGCTCAAGAAGGACAACGTTGAGCCTGAGCAGGTGATTTTGTATCAATTGTTCTCGATGTTCGGGACTGCCCCGCCTGGGCTTATTCCTCATGTCAATGACGAGTATTGGAGTGAGTTGTTGAGGATGTTATCGGATGTTGTGGCGGAAGAACAGCCGAGCATGCGCTTCGCACAGTGGGACGGGGGCAATTCCCCAAATCTCAATGCCGAGACAAAGAGAATGATATTGAAGATGACGGAGCTCGATCCAAAGAAGGGGCCGACGATGTCTTGCATTCTGGAGGATCCTTGGTGGGGAGAAAAGTGAGAACTGCACACAGCCTTGGTACGTCAATGATATGGGAGATTCTTGTGCTAACCAGCGTCTCTGCTCTTCACTAACCACCGCCCTGAAGCTGTGTCGCCTTACGTGGGTGCTGCCGGGCGGCTACTGGTAACTGAAAGAGGAAAAACTGACGGGGCAATTGATACCGGCTCGTCGACGTGGGTACGAGCTTCGAGCTTCGGGATTCGAGCAATCAGAGGGAGCGCCAATACCCGCGCTTTATGAAGTTTGTTCTAGACGAACCTCTGTTGCCAAAGAGAAGAAAGAGAGCACCTCGAGCCTAGGTCTCCTTGGAGCAATGATCTTGTTTCTTGCATCCTGATTGTGTAGTTCTCGGGGCTTTGCGTAGCAGCCCTCGGGAGCGTGCGCCACAAACGACGAGATGAGGGCAGCGCGATGGTGCTTCAAGGTTGCATGTGGATGCAGCCGTCGTCGCAGCCGACTTTTAAATCAGGGTATCCTACGTCTGTGCAGGACGGTCAACACTCGGAAATGCGCACCTACTACATATACCGCAGCGCCTTCCTCGGCCAGTTGATGATTGAAACCTTCCTGTGTCGGCGCCTTGCAAGGCAGACAGCAATTCGTCCCCGGCCACTTCACGGCCACACACAGCCTGACGGACTTTCGTATTGCTGGCCAGCCTGCGCGGACCAACCTCTTCAAATTTTCACCGCTCCTGAGCTTGGCCAACACAAGACACCTCGAGCTCCTCATCTCGAGAAGCCTGTTCCTGTCGGATCAGTGCACCACTTGACAAAGTCTTCACAGCTGACCGGCCACGATCTAGTTTGTCGCGCCACATTCCTACTTCAGTCAGTGGAAGCATGAACAGCCTAGTCCACTATGAGCACCAAGCTCGACTACAACGACTGCACCGTCGCGTGGCTTGGAGTCCTCCCCATTGAAGCCGAAGCAGCCCTCGGAGTGCTCGACAAACGACATGAGGGCCATTTTGAGTCTGAAAGAGGCGATGACTATATCTACATCGGTGGTGAAGTCAATGGCCACGATGTCGTCATTGCCACCTGACAACGGGGCAAGAGTACGGGGTTGGCTCGGCAGCTGCACTCGAGAGCCAAGTAAAGGCTCGGTTTCCTCGAATATGGTTCGCTCTGTTGGTGGGAGTTGCTGCTGGCTTGCCAAATTTATCCCCGAGCGACCCTGCGAAGTACCGTGATATTCGGCTTGGTGATGTGATTGTCGGTGTCCCGGATGGAACGGGTGGTGGCATTGTCCACTATGACCTAGGCAAGGCTACAGACGAGGGATTCTTCCCAACCAACCGCCTGGCTGAAACACCAGCTATTGTCAGAGCTGCAATCGGACACATTCAGCTACCCAGAAGAGACCTTTCAAGGCTGGAAATCAACTAGCGACATACCTGGCCGAGTTTCAAAAAGATTCGGTTAACAAGTTCTGCCTTCCAAGCCAAGAGCAAGATCAACTATTGGATACCGGTGATGCTGGTGACGCGACGTCGGAACCTGTGCTGGTACCTAGACGACCGCGGGAGGAATACGAACGGACTCGGGTTTGGTACGGCAAGATTGGCTCTGGTAGTTCACTCATGAGAAATGTAAGACGGCGTGATCAGCTGAGGGACGAATACGACCTCATTGGCCAGGAAATGGAAGCAGCCAGCGTTGCGGACATCTGCCCATGGGAGTTATTCGAGGAGTTTGCGACTATGGCGACGCGCAGAAGAATAAAGACTGGCAACCATACGCAGCGGCTGTGGCAGCTGCGTATCCCAAAGCTCTACTTCACACGATCGTGCCAAGGACTGATCAACCCGCCAAAGGTCAGACCTTGCAGAGCATTGCCCCAACAGACGCCTGATACGGTGTCAAGTTTTTGCCACTTCAACTCCCGCAAGAGTCGTGACGATTTTCTTGGTTTGAGTACTGATGAACTTACAGAGACCAGCCCTCAACCCTGGTGGTTCGTACCCTTCCACCTCAGAGACGACCTCTTTGGCCGTGCTTCAGAGCTAGTCGATGTGGAAAGCCAGCTGTTTACACCTGGGCAATATCGCAAAGTCGCCATCGGTGGTCTTGGGGGTATAGGGAAGATGAGACTGGCCTTGGAGGTTGCTTGCCGGGCCAAGACAAAGCGTCCAAGTTGTTCCATCATTTGGTTGCAGGGAACAGACCTGGCCAGTTTCGAAAGAGACTGCCTCAAAGTTGCGCAGCTTCTGATGCTCCCCCATATTCCTGCTGGAAAGGAAGACTTGAAATTGATCTTGAAGCAATACTTCGGTTCGGAGAAGGCAGGCGAATGGCTACTGATTATTGACCATGCAGATGATGAGCAGCTTTGGACATCCAGACAACCGAGCGACGGACAATCAAATGTTCCATTGATGGACTACGTGCCCTTCAGTCACCAAGGTGCTGTGCTAATAACGACCAGGAATCATCGAGTCGGGACGAAGATGGCGCAGAAGTACGTTGTCAAATTGCAAGAACTGGTTGAGCAAGACGCCCTCGCCATGTTCAAGAATCTATTGATTCGACCTGGTCTTGTCGATGGGGATCCCGCAGCTTCCTCGGAGTTGATCAACTGTCTTACTTGTCTGCCCCTAGCCGTCGCGCAAGCCGCCGCTTACTTCAGCGAGAACGAACACGTTACAGTTGACGAGTTCCTAAAAATGCTACTAGCTACGGAAACGGACACGATCGAATTGTTGAGTGAAGACTTCGAGGATGATTACAGATACAGAGGAACAAGGAACGCGATATCTACCACCTGGCTCATTTCTTTCACCCAAATACAAAAGGGGAACCCATTGCTGGAGAGTTGCTTGCGTTCTTGGCTTGTCTCGAATGTAAAGCTATTCCTCAATCTCTATTTCCAATTAATCTAGCTGGAACGACGATGACGCAAAACCAGTTGGCTAAAGCTGCTGGTGTCCTTACGGGCTATGCCTTCCTTCAGCAGCAACGCCGGCAGGATATCCACGCGACCTCGTTGTACGATATGCACCGGCTAGTCCATTTAGCCACACGAACTGGCTTCGACACGAGAATTCCCTGAGAACCTGGTTCGCGCGGGCAGCTGAGAAGTTGCACCAAACATTCCCGCGCCCCATGCAGAGAAGATCTGTGCTGCGCAGGAATTGCATGATGAAGAGCAGCTTTTTCAGCTTTTGAGTTATGTGGAGTCTTGCTATCTTGCGGCAGGACAGTGTAAACACGCCGTTGACGTATTTCGTAGGGTTGTCGCCTGGACAGACGGTAACTCAACGAACGATCCTGTTGCGTGTTTCTGGTCATATTACAATTTTGCCGACGCCTTGGTTAAATGTCAACCCTATCCGAACAAAGAAGCGGAAGCATATGCTAAGCGAGCTCTAGATGGGTTAGCAGCAAAAGTGGGAATGGACGACCGGAAAACACTCCGAGCCATAGATGTGCTTGCGATGATACACCAGTTCCAGGATCGGCGTGAGGGAGCAGTGAAACTACAACAGGATATTTTGGATACAAGGCGGAGGAAGCTCGGGAATATACATGCGGATACCCTTCGAAGTATGTGTGGGGTGGCGGTTGTCTCTCGACGCCTGAAACGACTGGACGAGGCGGAGAAACTGCTCGCTGCGGCGATGGAATGTCAAAAAGAGACGCTGGGAGCGGATGTTCCTGGCACCATCCCAAGTATGCATCAGTTGGCAGTATTGCGTACCAAGCGAGACCGTTTCGATGATGCCGACAATCTGTTGGTAGGTGTTGGGGAGGCGGACAAGGTGATTACTGGAGGGGAGCATCGTAGTATGCTCGTTACTATGTCCTGTCTGGCGTGGATATACTCCAAACAGAACAAACTGGACAAAGCAGAGCCATTAGCTACTGTTGTCTGGCAGAGCATGAAGAGGGTGCTGGGAGGAGAGCACCTTGATACGCTCACCGTCATGTCACTTCTGGCAGAGACGTACAGCAAGCAAGGTCGACTTGTGGAGGCGGAGCAATTGACCACTACTGTCTTCCAGACCATGCAGAGGGTGCTGGGAGAGCACCCTCTTACGCTCAGCATCATGTCATTTTTGGCGGAGACGTACAGCAAGCAAGGTCGGCTTGTGGACGCAGAGCAACTCTTTGCCACTGCTTGGAAGAGAAGCGAGCGGTTGTTCAGGGAAGAGCACCATAGGACGCTTGGAAGCATGTATAACGTTGCTATCACCAGGGAACGACTGGGGCGTGTCAACGAAGCCGCGAGCCTGACGGAGAAATGCCTCGCCCTTAGCAGAGAGACGCGCGGAGAACAGCACGGTAAGACGCTGATCATCATGGAGGGCCTAGCGAGGATGATCAAGGCGGATACGAGGCGGGAGGAAGGGATTGCATTGATGGAAGAATGCGTCCGACTCATGACAGAAACGGACCACGAACGTACAGCTATAGCGCGAGCTCGGCTCGACAGATGGATCAAGAAGACTCCGTTCAGGGAGAGACCATCAGTGGGAGGGGAAGGCCAACGCGCACGAGTCTAGACGTTTTGAGGAGGATGCGGATATATCACATTTATACTGAAAATGGGAGGCACTGTAATCATTGCAATCGTCCAACGCCCAAACGCCTTCGCTCAAGATAAGACAAGTAACTCATCCCTGATGGTCAGTGCTGTAGTGCCCTAATCCCCGCCCAGCCAGACTCCATAATCACTTTTGTGGTGGTCCCCGCCCGCCTTGCTGCTCATGAACCTCTGGAACCCAAATCCAGTATCCAGGGTTGTACTTCCGCGGGCCTCCTACCCAATACCTTGCCCAGACTCTTGATCACAACACCCCAACCACCAACGCGATCAACCCCACAAACACAACCAGCGAGAGCACACTGGGACTGAACGCGCCCATCCCAGCCGCAGCGTTCGGACTCTCCACACTCCCGACCTTCACATCCGTGCTCACGAACCCGCTCCCGCAACTCTTGTCCACCTGCGCCGCGCACGTCAAGTACGTCTTGGCAAGCGGCTGGGCGGCATTCTCCGCGTACGACGCGAAGATATCCATCGTCTCCTTGAGGCACTCCGAACACGACGGCCTCGCTGTCAGGGGCATGCTCAGCCCGATGGCCGTGTAGTAGGGGTAGAAGTCGGCCGAGTTGTTGGCGTTGGTGGTCGCCTCGACGAAGCAGTACGGTTGTTTCAGGTTGCTGCTGCTGGTGCTGCTAGTGGTGGTGGACTCGTCCGCATTCCCTTCCCCGCCCTGGGACCCGTCCTTGAGACACGTCGCACGGTAGACGGGCTCGTACGCCACGAGGCCCGCGTACGCCTGCACAACCAGGGGATTCTGCTGGCTGTAGTCGTCGCCGCAGTTTGCGTGGTCGAGGAGCTGCGCCGCGAGGGTGGCCATCAGGGGCGAACAGATTGCTAGAGGCGCACTGCATGCTGCTTCGAGGGTTTGCGTAAGGAGCGTGCTTGAGCGGAGGGCGCGGAAGAAGGAGTTTGAGTTCTGCAAGAGGAGCGACACGGGGACGCAGGACTGGAATGTCGTGTTGGATAGGAAGGTGGAGAAGAATTGTGGGCAGGACGGGGTCGTGAAGTTGCTGCCTAGGGAGGTGTCGAAGGGGGTCGGGAGGGGTGTGGTGATCACGGTGACAGAGGGGGATGTCGAGGTTGAGACGCCGGGGGTTGCATCTGAGGTTTTCGTTTCGGTGGTGATGGAGGGGGAAGGGGAAGTGGTTGTTGGTTCTGGGGAGGTGGGTACCGAGGAGATCGAGGTCGGGGTCGAGGTCGCAATTGTGGTGGGTTCAGCGAGTGTCGTTGGCACGACGCTTCCACCCTCATTGTCACTGTCGCTGTCACTATCGCCGTTGCTGTCGGTTACCTGCCGCTTTACCAGGTCGTGATATATGTCATGGCGGGCCGGTGGTTGGCCTTGGGCGATATGTATCTCGCCTGTGACGGCCAGCTCTTGGAAGAATGGTGACTCGTAGATTTGAGGTTCAATTTCCATGATTTGTGCGCACGTCGGTTTCAGTATGCACAGGAGTAATAGTATTACTGGTATCATTATTTGGAATATTGATGTCGGTATGCGAACATGCGTTGTTGACGCTCTCCTGGTCTTCTTGGTTGGGCTTATACAGGGCTGGCTGCGCCGCCGTGATCGACGCATGGTAGAAAATGCCATGTTGTGCGGTTGTGGATAAAGAACGGACGCCTTGAAGTGCTCAAGGCAGCAGAGGGAGATAGGGCTCGTTGCAGAGGCTCCGACTCGTTCACATCGGCGGCGGTGGCGGCGGCATAGATGGCTGCTATGGCTGAGATGCGCGTCGATGGCGGTGCTGGACAACGCCTGCTGCAACAGAGATCTCTTTGTCCCAAGTGTTGCACGAGCACCGAGTATGCGGATTTTACTTTGTGTGATATGTTCCTGATCCGTTGATCTGTTGATCACCCCGATCTAGACTCCGGGGAAACTGACGCACGTGTCGAATGCCGGTACGGGATGCTGATCCCGCTGATCTTCCGCCGATGAAGCTCAAGGCTGTTGTTCCACTTCGAGTCCTGGACAGTTCTGGACTAAGTTAGATGGTCTCACTGAGCGGCTCCGGTGTCGATAGTTGTCTCAGTATCATCAAATCTCGACTCCTGACTTGCGTCGCGGTGCGCGAGCGAGCTATACACGGAATGTTCACGTGGGTAAGTAGCAGGAGAGGAATGTGCAATTGTCATGTTCGGAGAATAAAGGACTATTGTTGACGCTGGCGATCGTTGCGCTTCGTCGACAACCGCATGCAAGCAGAAGCACATGTTTACCTTCCTTTAGTCAAACGCCTTCACTGAGGCTGATTTACCGAGAGTATCTGAGCGGCATTCTTACCACTCAGCGTTAGCAAAGGTAACGCCTGGAATGCGCACGGCCTAGTTCGACCACGAGGAACCGGCGCTGGCCCCACTGGGCGTTAAGGCGTGGAAAATCATCAGCGCTTCTTTCGGAAAAGGCAGAATTTGTGCAGCTGGTGGCGCTTGTGGCGCTTGTAGGTGTTCCATCTCATCAACCCATTACCAGGAGGAGGCCAGGAGAGCGGAAAGACAAGATGCTGAATTTCCGCGAGTGTACTCGTATTATTGCGACTTGCTCAAAGATGATCTTCATGTCCAGTACTGTGAAGATATTGATTCCCGCCACAGTAGATTTGTAACTTCAGATCGCACTTGCGTCCCGACCAAGCCTCGAGACGAGGGAGTCGCCCATGGCAAGGATTCAATCTCCACGCGGTTGACAGGCAGTGGAGACGCTTCTGTCGTCGGCGGTTGTACCTGCGTTAGCGGAACGCCGTTTTCGACGTGGGGCTTCCTCACAGTCGGGGCTGGACATGCGAACTGACGGATGCAAGACGATGCATGCTGCATGGCGAATGTTATCCTTGGCTCATTCAGACTCATCTTATCACTTTTGCAGTAAGAGCAAATGGTTGCCGTGAGTCAGCACTGAGAATAGACCAGGAGATTGAGAAGATCGGCACCAACCCAGGGGCGATGATTTTACAGGCGAGTCGCTTCGTGCGCCAAGAACCAATAGTGCGAGAAAGCCACGCCACGCCAGCCATGACCGAGTTGGGGAGCGTTTCTCCTGAGGCAGAGTGCGAGAGGATTATTCAGCCTGAAAGAGTGATGGCCACTGCGCAGTATGCTGAATTAATGGTGGTCAGTTGCAGTTGGTACTGTACTCGCGCACAGGAAGATGAAGGCCGGGCAGCGTCGTGCGAATCGTGATGCACTTGACAAAACACGTGACAAGCGCTAGTGTGTACACCACGTGACTACTGCTGTGCGGACTTGGCAGAGCGCACGTGATCCTCGGCTAGCTTTCTGTTCTGAGATGCATTATTGTTACAGTCCTGTGCATGACCGTCCTTGTCGTCTTGCATCCGTGAACGGGACTGCGTCCCGCAGCCTGCTATGAAGACGACAACATCTTTATTCAGCAACATGCGCATGGGGATGATAACCCCCGCAATGATCGGTGCTCTTGTCGGCGGCTCAGTCCAGCTAGTCAGTCGTCTTTTCTTCTCACTGCTGCCTGTCTGATGAGCTCTGCGAATGCTGGACTTCGAACAGTTGGCACTACCGGAAATGGCTCGCCCAGGGTGAAATGGTTGATGTTTTTATCGTCAAATGGCTCCCTCTATAAACATGATCAGAGCAGTCACGTCAATAGCTGAAGGTCAAGCCCACTTACCGCCTTGAAGTCAAAGCAATAAATCAACCGTGCAAGATTGATGAACAATGACTTTTGCGCCAACTTGTATCCGACACAAACTCTTCGGCCAGCTCCAAACTGCCAGATGCCGTTGAGTATGTCCTGTTCATTCCCATCCAGCCATCTTTCCGGCATAAACTTCTCCGGGCTCTCGACGAGATCCGGATTGGTCGCGATATTGGTATGGTTGATCACAAAGTTGGTGCCCTTGGGGAAGAAGTAGCCCTCGAACTCTAGGTCTTGAGTCAACTCATGCTCCGGCGTCCAGATGAAAATCCTCCTCCAGCGGAAAATCTCCTTGATGCATGCGTGAAGATATGGTGCTAAGTCTTCATCACCAAAGCTTGGGAGCCTCTGCGCATTACTTCCACAGATGGCATCTAGCTCGGCTCGAGCCTTGAGGAATTTGTCCCGGTGAGTCACCGCTGCCAGAATAAATATATTGATAGCTAACCGAGTTGTGTCGCTGCCAGCTTCGGTTATTTGCATAGCCAGGAACATTTTGTCAGTGTCAGAACCAGAAAATTTCCCTTCGCCGAGGATAACATCTTTGGCAAACGAAGGTGGAGCTTGCCCGGCCTGGACCTTTTCTTTGATGGGATTCCAGTAAGCGTGGTACGCATTGTAAGTGAACCGACCTATCTCCTCGTAACGTTTTCGCCAGAATTGCAGAAATATCGGTAGCCTCGAAAGCCCCGGGAAACAGTCCCAGAAGTTGAGTGGGGGCGCGTTCATCAAGAATTGGAATTGGGCTTGCGTGACGTCTCTAATCTTGTCGTCCTTCTCGTCAGGGCGCTCGCCGAACGTGATGCGATGAATCACGGAGTTGGCATAACGGTAATTATGTCGATACCACAAAGCTGGCTGGTCAAGGTAATGGTTGAGAAGGGCAATACTCTCCTCGTCTTGATACCCCATGTATCGAGTCATGGCCGTTCCGCTCAATAGCTGGTGCATTACGCGGCGCCGCTCGCTCCATTCAGCCGCGGGCAACAAGACCGACCGCTTTGCCTGGCTGATTAAATCGCTGACTATCGGATAGTGAGGTCGACCATTGGTGACGGCGCCTTTACGAGCGTAAATCTCGGTGGCGAGCCGATTGCTGTTCAGCACCACCCAGAGCTTGGAGCCGAGGTGCGTTGTTGTCATTTCACCATACCGTGCGATCTCCCGAGCCTGCATGCTGCTATTAGCGATGTCCCTAACCTGAGGAGCCTTTTCAAGGTGTCACTCACGCCTTCTTCACCTTTTGCGTACAAGAACAAATCTCCAATAACAGGCCAACCTCGCGGACCTGGCGGGAGCCTCCATTTCCTTCCTGTTGGCGAGCGGCGCTTGTCGATTGGCTTGAGAAGCTGATACAAGCCCAATATGGCCACCACAAAGAGACCGAAACTCCCAAGCAAGGTCAGCCTAAGGATCCCCCAGCTCTTTGCAGCTTGTGATCGTCCGATGAGCTGAGCTAGCAAAGAATCCATCTTGCAAGTGTTGGGAAATTGGCTATTACTGACGGGCTGACAGTCACGGCGTCCTGAAAAGATATCATGGGTACGCACTCACGACGCAGCGGTTGAGGTCCGAGACTCGACTTCATAAGTCAGTCCAAGCAGCACGTACCTCCGAGCGATTGACCCAACCCAAGTTACAATCCCCGGTCCTCTTCGGCAAATGCGGAGAAGCCGTGAAGACCGAGCATCTGGGGGGACCTGCGGGATGTTGATGGTTGCGGGTAGTTTTTCCCGCAAGCAAGATCTTGTGTCAGAAACAAGCCGCTTCGACTGCCTTCTTGCGCTATTAGCAGGCCTCTTCTGCAGTCTGCAGTGGATGCATCCATTCCCCTGGTATCACGAAATCCCGAGGCCCACGGCCCACGAGACCCTACCTCCGCAATGACCGCCAGATCCACTTGTTATAGCTTCCGTGAGAAACGTAGTTCGTGGACTTGATATTCGCAGCAGGCCCGTCGGGACTCTTTGATTCCAACGTGTTACTGTGGGCGCCCTTTCAAAACGTTTACCTTCGCCCCTTCACAATGATCAGCTGGCTCAAGCGTTCTTTGGGAGCATCCCTTCTCTGCCTGTCAATCTCCTGCATGCCCACAATGGCACAGCAGCAGCAAGCAGGTTCCATCTCTTCCTTCAAGGTCGATGTCCATACTCACCCGATTCCGGACTTCTACCGCGAAGCCCTGTTCGCCGCCGGCTACCCCGGCGACAATGTCTCGGCGCTCTACGTCGACGGGTTTCTGACCCCCTACCCCTTCTCCATCGACAGCTATCTCGCCGCCCGTCGCGAGCACGGCTACAACTTTAGCATCCTGTCCATCACGGCTCCCGGCGTGTCCTTCCTGAAGGGCAATGCCCTCGCGGCACCGCTCGCCCGCCGCATCAACGACTACTTTGCCGAGAACATCCGGGCGCACCCTCGCGAGCTCGGCGCGTTCGGGATCCTCCCGCTGCCCGACATTCAGGCCTCGCTCGCCGAGATAGCCTACTGTCTCGACACGCTCAAGCTGGAAGGCATCGGTATGTACACCAACTACGCGGGCGTCTACCTGGGCGACCCGGACCTGGACCCCATCTTCGCCGAGCTCAACCGGCGCAAGGCCACCGTCTTTGTCCACCCGACCGCCCCTGCCGTGTCGCCTCCTTTGTACAACATGTCCCTCCCCGTTATCGAGTACCCGTTCGACACGACGCGGGCAATTGGCAACTTCCTCTTCCGCAACGCCAGAACAAAATTCCCGGACGTAAATATCATCTGGTCGCACGCGGGCGGCGCGATGGGAAGCCTGGGCGACAGATTGGCCGTCCAGACGACGTTACCGATCCATGGCGGGCGGAATCTGAATGAGAGCTTGGCCGCGTTGAAGAGCTTCTACTACGACACGGCCGTGCAGATGAGTGATGCGCAGTTTGCGGGGATCAAGGAATTCGTCGGTGCAGATCAGATCTTGACGGGAAGTGATTGTGAGTTTAAAAGTCGCCCAACATGCTGCTGCACGTTGCTCGTTGTATCCCGATGGCTGACCTGACCCCGGTTTTTTGCGGCCCTCACAGATCCATATCTTCCTGGAAGCCTTGTGCCCGCTGTGCAGAACGCGTTCAATTCCTACGAGGGCTTTGATGACGCAGATCGTGAGAAGATCGGTTGGGGAAACGCTTTTAAGCTGTTTCCCGGTTTGAGAGAGAAATTTCCAGATATGCAGTGAGTGAGGTTGTGCTGCCCGGCGGTATGGATAGTAGACTGTAGCAGCTTGCCAGTCAGGTTCTCCATGCCCTATCTCGTGCTTAATGGTTCGCACTTGTGTTCCTTCCGTCTCATTGTGGCTTTTGATACAGAAATGCCAATTTGATGATGGACCGGGCTTCGGAATGAGGCGCTACAGTAATTTATCGAGTGACAAATTCCATCACATAAAATTATCACTCTAGACAATACAGATATGGAACCCCTCAGTCCGTCGGATCATCCTCGTTCATGACAGCAACGTCGTCGAAGTCAGATAGTACGCCTTGTCTGCGTTCGGATCATGATCCGCCAGTGCAGAGCCATTACCCAACCACCCCATCGGCTTGTCGTCGACGTAGGCGTATTCAAAGTCCTCCCACCGTGGACTCTCGAGGGCCTTGATCGCGTGCAAGCTCGAGCCCGGCCACAACGCAGTCACTCTGCCATCAGTCTTGTACCAGGACGAACATTCCTCGCTGTAGACCGTCCGCTGGTGGAACTCGTCCGTGAACCGCGTGAACTCGTTTACTACCTTCCGGAGAGGCCGGACGGTGCGGATGTTCTCGATCTGCATCTTGGCCAGCATCTTCACGGCATAGTCGACCAGCCGTTCGATGATGATGAGTAAATTGCCTGCGCCCACACCTGAGTTGGGCCCCAGCAGCATGAAGAAGTTCGGGTGCGTGTCGACCATCATGGAGAGATAGGTGGATGTCTTTGGGCCGCCGTCTGCGCGCTCCTCGAACAGGACTTGGCCGTCGAGGCCGTAGATTGGGAACCGGTTCGTGAAATGCGTGTTGAAGCCCGTCGCGCAGATGATGGCGTCCACGTCACGGTGCGTGCCGTCGACGGTCATGATGCCCGTCCTGGTGACTTGCTCGATCTTGGTCGGGATGACGGCCACGTTGTCCTGCGTCAGGGCCTCGAGGTATCCCGGGCCGGGCGTGAGTCGTTTACACAGCGGCGAAAACCCCGGGAGGATGTGCTGCAGGATTTCGGGCTTCTTGGCTAGCCGCTGGGTCATCAGCGATTCGAAGTAGCTGCGGGCCATCTTCTGCATCGGACTGCCTCGCAGAGTGATCTCGTGGTCACTTTGCACAGTCTGCTCGACTTGTTTGCGGTACGCGAGGTACGATGCCGGATCGCTCTTCCAGGCGGCAATCTCGTTCGGGCTGTACGAGAAGTTGCTGCTGTCCGTTGCGTCTCGCTTCTCGAGCTCCTGCGCAGCCATGGGCGTGGCAATCCATGTCTTGCCTCGGACATAGTGATCCAAACGCTTCACCAGAGGCTGAAGGCTAGGGACAATCTGGATGCCGGACGATCCGGCGCCAATGACTGCAATGCTTTTGTCCTATATTGGCTGGCATCAGCATATCCACCGTCGGTCTCCAAGGAGTGCAGTGGCTGTACCTTGAAATCGTAGCCCTCATCCCAGTCCGCGCTGTGCATCAGCTTGCCTTCAAAGCTGTGCAAGCCCGGCACGGAAGGCCACTCCCACTGATTCAAGAGCCCAATGGCCGTGATGAAGACGTCGCATGATTCCGTGATGATGGATCTGCCGGCAAGATCCTCAATTTTCAACTCCCATCTGGCTTCATCTTCGTGCCAGCGGCCTTCGATCACTCTGTGGGAAAACTTGATCAACCGGCGGAGATCGTACTTCTCGGCTACTCGCTGCCAGTATTTGAGGATCTCGGCCTGCGAGGCGTAGAACTGCGACCATTCCACATTGGACTCCCATGAAAGCTGGTACGTGTGGGCGGGGATGTCTTTTCGTTCCGTTCTGCGTTAGCGAAGGGCTTGTGGTAATCAAGGACCAGCACCTACCGCACGCACAACCGGGGTAGCGATTCTCGAGCCATGTGCCGCCGACATCTTCATTCTTGTCGTACAGTTCGATGTCGACGTCTCGCACCACCTGCTGGAGCTTGATGGCCGCGATAATGCCAGAGACGCCCGCGCCTGCGATGCGCACCTTGAGCGGCCTGGCACTGTCTACCGGTCTCTCTGCGATAAGCGATTCAACTTGACCGCCATTCCGTAAGGCGTCGAGTAGTGTATGGTTGCTAGCCTCACTGGTGTTTGACAACCCGTTTGTGTGAGCCATGTTGACCAAGAGGCAACCACGGATGAAATACAGTGCTGTGTGAGGACGTGCACGACATGAACTCTTGCAATCTCATCGGCATTCGTCCATCGCGATACTCGTTATTTATCGTGATTTGCAAGCGGCCACTCCACGACACAGCCGTCCCATGGACCCGTATTCCCAGCGCGGCCGTGGCATCGTCACTTCTCTGCTGGCAACCGCTAGCCGACCAGGAGCACCGTCCTCTATGGCGATAGCGGAATCACTTTCATGGCGATTCACCATGACCGCAATGCCTGTCCGCGAGAATGGCGTATACGTTCTCTGTACAGACCACCACGGCGTCCTTTGCGGGCCGCCATAGCCGCAAATCATGTGGTTGTCGGGAAAGAAATGCCGCAAGGTTGACGCCACGGCCAGGGCCAAGAGACCCGGGGCTGCGCTGGGGTGCTGTCCCGCCCTGCACCCCGCCCCCGCGACTTGCCCCAGAAGTTCAATCTATTCCCTCTACCCTGGCCACTGAGATCATGGCGTGGCCTCATAGGTCTCCGTCGCTCCGCCTCGCTGGATCTGGATCTGGATCTGTGCCGAACACTGGGGAAAAGATCAGGACCACGTTCGGATGTTGACTTACAAATATGGCCCGCAGCCCCTCTGGCAAGCAGAGATCCCGCAAACCTTTCCATGGTCAGCTACTCCTTTGATGCTACACTCAACCCTGGCACAATTGGTCCGCACGAGCCAGCAAAGGAAGAATGACTCCGCATCGTGGCGATCAACCCAAAGCTCGGAAACGCGGAGTGCTTGCCTGTAAGAGAAGATTCATCCACCATGAGGCATGCGGCTTGATTGCCGACTAACCGTTCGCGTCGCATGTTCAAGGCGAGAGCTGCCGGCGGGACAAGCGCAAATGCGATGGCGCCAGGCCAACATGTGGCACCTGTTCGCACCGCAGCATCCACGCCAACTGTGTGTACGAGAGACCAGGAAGTCGGAAATCACAAGCTCTAAGGTAATCGGTCTCTGCTTGACGTTGGCGAAGTCGCGCCCATACTGAGCTAGAAATCAGACAGATCGAACTGCTAGAGCGTCGACTAGTTGAATTGGAAGGCAGGAAAACACCCTTCCACGCTCCTTCGACAGCTAGCATCAACGCCGGACCATCCCTAGCGACCACAAAGTCGGATTGGGAGTCGTTCGAACCATCTTTGCCCGGCACGGAATTACAGGTCCAGGTCCAGGCTGACGAAGAGCACGGCTCTCATCAACCGAGCCGTCTGTCGGCATTGCAAAGGGCTTCTAGTGTAAATCAAGGGCGAAACTGCGAGCTTGACATTGGACTTGATCATCGAATCGACAAGAATGAAGTCTCGCAGAAGGCCCTCTCCTCCCTGGCGAACTCGGTACGCAAAACGGTCGAGACTTTTCTCCCACCACTGCTAACGGGTCAGGACGCAATTAGTGATCGTGTCGATGGCATGGGTGCCGTTCCTGGTGATATGACGGAACTGACGGACCTTGACGCTGAAGAGATAGGCTATTTCGGAAAGTCGTCGACTCTGTCATTTGTTGCCCATGTCCAGAAGATTCTGGTCAGCTCCAAGCCGGTTCCCTCGCCGGGCCAAAGTTCCAGAACCGCCACACAGCCAGCTAGAAGGTGTGCAACTCTAGGAGTTCGGGCTTTGAGGATCTGTGCCGCTAATCCATGCACGGCAGAGCTCTGCCAACGGTGGTGCCCAGCGAAGAGTACAGCGTCCCGCCGCGAAAGGAAGCCGATGCCCTTCTTGACAGATTCTGGAAGAAGGTCTATCCGCTCTACCCGTTCCTCGACCGTGACCATTTCTGCCGTCAGTACAACGACGTCTGGTCGTCCAGTCCATTGGAGGCGTTGACATCTTCGACGGTGATCGAGTCGTCGTATACCGAGCACGCCGGTCGTCGCCTCCAGCAGGACAAAGTGCCCGACTCCCGGAGGTTTCACATTCTTCTGAACGCCGTCTTTGCAGTCAGTTGCAGCTGTGATACACCCAACACGGGCCTATCGCAGGCTCATCGTGGCGAATTCTACTGGCAACGGAGCAAGACGTTGTTAGAGCTGGATTTTGATATATTCAACCGTCCAAACCTCCAGTTCATCCAGGCCATGCTGTACGCAAGTATCTACCTTCAAAGCTCCACAGAGCTTACTGGCGCTTGTTGGAATCTAGTTGGCGTCTCCATCAGGCTGGCCCAAGGCCTTGGCCTACACAATCGAGGCAGCCATAGAATCGAAGGCACGACCTGTGTGGATGTGGGCAGGCGGTCTCGTTCCCATGACACGCTCTCCTGTGTGCGATGCCGACTATGGGCTGGATGCGTGATGATGGATCGGTATGAAGACAGACTCGACCCCTTTTGCGAACATGGATCTTCGTTCGGGCTTGGCTGACTCTGTATACTGTATATCAGCACCTTATCAACGACTTACGGCCGTCCAGCCATGATCGCCGACACGCTTGCTGAACAGCTGCAGCTACTACCCCCGAGATCCGTCGAATCCGAGGAAGCTCCGACGCCGACCAGACCATCCAGAGACAATGGTCTTGCTTCGTTCGTGTATTCGGTCAGACTCCAGCGCACGTTGAGCATGATCACCTCGACGCTTTATGAAACCTCGTCTAGCGACGACGCTCATCAACCCGACTCGACATCGTTTGGCATCGAGGTTTTCAGAGCTCCGCATCTCATGCAAAAGATCGCGAACGGGGACTTTCGAAGTCTCGTCCAGCTTGAAGGTGATCTCTGCGACTGGGAGACGTCGTTGCCGTGGTGTCTGAGGGTGCCGGCAAGCGTGCAGCTGCTCTCCCAGGGTGAAACATTCACGCCGGCATTCGACGTGCAAGCTGTCGCGCTGCGTGCTCGGTGAGTGCATAACTAGCCATCAGACTCCCGTTCCCCGCCCCTTCCCCCTTCCGCCCCATTCTCAATTCTCGGACAATCCGCTCATGACTTTGGTTTGGTATGCTCGCAGTCATCTCTATGCGCACATCCTTCTCTTTCGGCCGATCCTCCTGCATCACGCCCAACCTGGAGTTGGTCTTCGAAGCAGAAAAGGACATGACGCAGGAAGTGACGATGAGAACATCTCCTCGGCTCTAGGTTGCGCGTTGGTCGATCATGGAGTACACATGTGTATCAAAAATGCCCAGGAACTGGTGCTGCTTCTTGAATGGGTTCACCGGGCGTACCTCGAAGCCATTCCAGAACCATGGTACGTCATTTTCTGGCTGTACACCTGTGGCATGGTCTTCCTGCTCGACCGGCACTGCAACATCAGTGGCAATGACTGTACGTCATTCTGGAAGCCGTGCCTCGGCACATTGCGGTTATACCAGTCCACGCACCGCACTGCTGTCCGCTCACTGAAACTCCTCGAGCTGAGCGAGAGGAGCCTTTTCCCGGCTCCTCGCGCTCAGGCTCGGGCTCAAACATCAACATCAGTCGCGCCACAATCCCAACAGCCTGTAGAAGGCTCCGCAAGATATCAGATGGCCGTCGGCGGCGGCGGCGTCAGAGTAGACCTCAACACTGAGGCCTTGGCGCCGGTCCAAGAACAGCCGCACAGCATAAGCACGTGGAGCGGACCAGAAGGAGAGTGGCCCAGCCTCTACCTCGATGATCAGATTGACTTTGCTTGGCTGGGGACTTTGCCCTTTGGCTTCGATTCTGATGAGAATCTTGTCGAGCTTTGGTCATGACACGTGGAATATTGACTGGAGAAGTGAATCAGTTCTCAAAACTTGTCTATGGTTTGCTTCGAAGTATCTCACCTCTCGAACTTGCTGATAATGCCAATTGTGATCGCAATCATTTGCGGATCGGATATGGCGATATGATTGTGGCCCGGCTCAGATGATGTGTCCGTAATGTCCATGAAGCATGCGGTTGTGGTATGGCTAATCGCCATTAGAGGCAGCTTTGAGCCTCCAGTAGCCTGTGAACCTTGAGATCTATGGTCCTGGTATTGTGCACAGGCCGAAGGCAATGTCAAAGAATACCAGCAATCGGAGGCAAAGAAAGAATAGGGAGCTGTCGGCAAACGCGTGGATGTTTGCAAAGAATACAGAGTAGTCAGTCCATAAGCGAAGAGTGACGGAGAAGTGAAGACTACTGATCTGGAACTAAAGCCAAGACAAACCATCACCTGAAGGAGCGACTGCAGGAACTCACGTTTTCTTCTGGCGTGTTCACTTTCTTATTTTCTCACTTTCACTTTCGCCTCTTCAGACCACTCTCAGCACTGCATATCATGTCTACACCTGTGGCCTTGGCTCAATACCGCCTGAAACCCTCTACACTCTGTTCCTTTGTTCCGGTGGTCCAAGACGTGCGAATTCAGACAAGCAATCAAATGCATATTCCGCCGCGTAAACTGCCACCGGCACCACAAGAGTCAGAAATGTTCTGGTCGACAAGGTGCTTAGTAAGTGGTGAAACGTGAAGGCTCCCAAGGTGGTACGACCTTCTAAGTGGTCTACCATATCTTCATGTCTGCTTTTAGTTCTACCCGTGCATATGCCTGTATCCTCGATGTGGCGAGACCCGGAATGGCACTGTCGTCCTCTTCTAACTTTGCACTTGAAAACATTTTAAATCTGGACTTTCCATGCTTCAGCTGCGAAACAGCGTGTGCTATGCGCGATGTCGACCAGCTACGACTACAACACTTCCAGACCGCTTACACTCATGACACTGCCAGCAGAGATCCGGGTTCAGATCTGGGAGTATGCAATACCCCAACGCTGGTGGTATTTCGCAGGGCCGTACCGCTTCGACTGCGACAAGCACAAGAAATGCCCGAATGCGCTGAAAGAAGCCAACCCGTCGAACCGTGGCGGCTTATCCGATCCGCGTTGTCGGTGCGAGTTCGTCAAGCAGCACAACGATAGAGTATCACTTTCGCTGCTGTGCAAGCGCGCCTTTCCCGAAATCAGATCCGTCCTATCCAAGGCCAGTATCACGTACGAGACCCACCACCTCATGAATTCCCACCTGCCTTCGATATGCTTTGGACAGATCGGTGATTTCATCATTCCCTCGGATTGGCTGGCCTGCTGTGGTCCCAAGAGCCACTTCGACAAGTTGAACGTGGACTTCAAAACCAGCTTCCCGAATCTGAAGCGCATCTACTTGAAGCCGGATCTCACCGACAGCAGGAGTACGATCAACTTCTCCGACGCGATCATCGATCACATCCACCGATGCCTCTACGATCGCAGCGGACGATATCGAGCCGACGACAATGTCGAACTTCTCGGCAGTGTACACCTCCAGCATCTCAACAACGGCTACACCGAGCAATTCTACGAGACTGTGGCCATGCTATTGGACTCTAACATCGCAGTGCACGCGCCGTATACCTATCGGCTCCAAGTGACCGAGCGGCAGGGATGCCGCGCCAGTCTAAGGAGACCCAGAATCGTGGCGCCCAAGATCCTGCTGAACCAGAGAATCCACACGGTACGGTTTTCGATATCCTTCCGTGAAACGCACTTGGTGTACTCTGAAGACCACTCTCCAACTAACTGAGCATACATATCCAGAACGTGATCTGGGACAAGAGCGGCGTCAGAGTTGCCGAGACTCCCAATCTCAAAGATGAATGGTGGTACGACGAGTGGGTCGCCGCGACCCCTTGTCCCAGGAACATGTGGTATGATTCACGGTGCCACGACTTCGGCCACAGCGGGTGGCGCGTTCAGACGCTCGGGCCGGGGGACATCATGCGCACCACGGCCCATTGGGCGGCAAGGCCACGCTCGGACGAGCCCCGGTTTGAAGTTGGCGTAATCAGGGAGTACAAGGAGGTGTACCACGGACATCCTCTCCTCGCCCTCGGCTCCTGAGAGCTTTCTCCTACCATGCAGCCCGAGCGGTAAGATCTCCTTAGGAGCTTCAGGATAGGGGGAACTTCAGAGGAGATGTGAAATCAGGGCGATGTCTGCGTCTCTGTTTCTCTCGCTCGCGTTCGTTCAACTATTGATTAGATAATACCCGAACGGCACTGACACTCTTCATGCCGAGGATGATGTGGTGGGGGGAGGGTCCTTGCGCGTTACGCGCTTCCTTCTCGAGCCTCTTATTCTCACTTGACTTGCAGGTACAACGTACTACCCCACTGCACAACCCACATCATTAACACGTACATATCAGGGAGCACCAGATCGGTTTTCCGGTATCCCAGGTATTGCCGTGAATCCAACAATCAGGGGAGATTGCACTGCATTTGAGAAGTGTAAGCAGATGCTGAGCAATACCGAGTATGTGGTGAGCACAAACACCAGGGCCATTCCCAAGGAGCTCGGTTCCTAGTTGAAGCCTCGACTTGACAATCAATGGAATGAGTAACAGAGCTGACTTTGACCACACCAATCACTTCCTATCTGCATACTGCGAAGTGCGCTTTGCTGCTTTCTTTTCGACTACTTCGTCATTCAATCAGCAAAACAAAGCACCGGCTTCAAGCAAGAGTTCCCGACTCCAGACTCCAAGCTCTGATCTACCTTCCGGGACAAAACAACGGAACAGCGCCATCACCACGTCCAAGTACCATCTGAAGAGTAGTCCGTATAATCCCCAAGATCTTTTATACCAGCCATCCATTGCCGGACTACGACCACTTCACCACACAGAGCCACAGTACATACAGACGGCCATCTGTTCTGCCATCTGTATGGCAAGTCACGCTCACTTCAAGCTGTAAACCGAGACTATCCGCCTCACGGCCCGTCCTCTACCGCCCTTCAACAGAGCATTCAGCTCACTAGGATGCACGAACGCAAACAACAGCATCGTAGCAAGCATCAACACCGCGTCAAAGACATAGAGGAACCACTCGTGTGAGAGCAAATACCCGTCATTCCCCTGCGCGTACTCGACCAGTCGAAACACCGAACGGACCAGGATGAGCCAACTTCCCCCGTAAAGCACGTATAGGTGTTTCTTCCAGGCTCTCGCGATGGTGAAATCGGAAAGCACGCGCGGCGAGGGCCTCCTGGACATGCGGTAGTGGAACACCGACGCCACGACGATGAAGAAGGTGAAGAAGATGATCTGCAGGACCAAGCCGCCGATAATGATGTTCTCGCCTCGTTCCATCGAGCCTTCGCCTCCGCTGGCCATGATGCCGCCGCCTAGAGAGCGTGGCACGTATTAGTATTGCATTGTATCGTAGACGCCATGCCATGCCAACGCCCACGGCGGTCAGTAACAGGGTCGAGGGGCACAACTCGACGTACCAGAACTCTGCATCAAAAACGAAAACACATCCCCCGCGACAAAGATCTTGGTCAACCATCTAGTATTGATCAGCGAATGGCTGCCCCCGTCCGTGAGGTTGATTATCCGGCCCAGTTCCATGTAGATGCTCGCGGCGAAGAGGGCGGCCGCCACGAGGATCAGCACCGACTGGATGACGTACGCGCCGACGCTCCAGTCGGGCGTCTCCTGCGCGCCGATCGCGCGGCCGATGTAGCCGACGCCTTCGAAGAAGCCGCCCACCACAAAGGGGATGAAGAACCATGTCCTTGTGCGGATGAGCTGGTAGAGGTGGAGGCAAGAGGCGGCGAGGAAGAGCGCGATGAAGAGGATGGCGGCCCCGAGGGAGGGGTCGTAGTGGTAGAGTTTGAAGTCGGGGTCGGGGTCGGAGGTTGAGGTCGCGGTTGAGTTTGACGCCGTGGGCGCCATGATCCCGCGGAGCGTAGCGTAGCAGTTGTTGATTTCCAAAGAGCAGGCAAAGATTGGGAGCAACGCGTCCTTGTGAAGAGAAGAGGAGAGGAGAGAACAGCAGGAGCGTACAAAACGTGCTCGCGAGAACGAAGTGTAGAGGTAGAGAAGGGACACGAAGTTGGTGAGTCCGATCAGAACATGAGGAACGTACGGAAGTGTAGGCGAAGACATGAGAAACAACAGGACAGATCCATCGCCTGGACATATACTGACCTACCCACCTACCTACCTTACCCGCGTACTGCGAACAAATTTATCCGTCTGCCTGAACGTCGACCCAGTACCCACCGACTTGAGAAGACCCATATACCCCAGCTCGCTGTCTGCATGCCATTCCTTTTCCTATCCCGGTCGGGATCTTCAATCTGCCGCGTGGATAACTCAGTGCAGTCTTGCCAGCCGCGTGGTCTGCATCCTCGCGAAGTACCGCATATCCAGCCAGAAACACGACACACAGGACCATTTCCGTATATTGGGTTCCCGCGTATCCATCCGTGACCGTGCTGTGCGCGTACTGACGAAGAAGAGCGCGGTACTCCACACGAAGAATCCCGGAAAAGAAAGGAAAAGGGACGTCGAAACATGGAACCGCGTCCCGCATGCGTTCGCGGAAACGAGGGCGGGCCCCCGCCGTTCTGGATACGCGTACTCGCGTATTCCGTACTCGGTTTACTTGCCTGTGGTTGGACATGGTATTCGTCCATTGTTGGGCCTCGTACCTCGTACTCCGCGGAGTACATATGGCTTCTGTGCCGCAAGCCCCTATCTACTGTGTAAGCATTCAGCCATACTTTGCGTCGTCTCATGTTGCTTGCTTCGCTTTATGTTGCTTAATCCGCGTAGTACGGAGTATAGGTCGGCAGATTCCCCAAGTAGGGTTTGTCAGATCTTCATCTCGAGTCACAGTACGGAGTACACCCTACTCGTGATTACTCCGTATCTGGAAGGAAACCCAAGACGGCTGAGCCTCAGACGGTGCCATCGCTACTGTGAATGACCGACTCGGTTCAAATTGTCAGTTCTCCCTTGCAACTGCAGTCCACCGTCTCAGTACACCGTGCTGGAAAGAAACCCAAAACAGCCTCAGATAGTGGCTCATCGCTGTGGTGAACGAGCCACTCCATTAAACTTGTCAATTCTCTTTACAACTACGTTCGGTGAACGTTCCAATCGTGTAATCGCGAAGTTTAACTTGGTATCATAATTTCAATGGTTCTGTATCTCCTACACATCTGAACGATAATGATAAGTCAAGTCATATCCAATCTTCCTATAATGCCGCCCGTCCTGCTTGAGAATTCTATTCAAGTCGTAACTCGTGGAAAGCGCCGTTGACGCTGATGTCCCGTCCTCGTTGCGCGGAAAACCCGCCAAATCAGGTGTTAGACAAGGAACCCGAAATCGAGAACTCCAATGGTACGTGCTAAAGTCGCTAGTCAGACTCTGCCTCCAACAGACAGCTGTAATGTGACGCTATCACAATACTGATGTCGTGTGCTTTAGCTAACATAATCCAGCTCAGGCTGTTTGTCGGTCCGAGGAGTCCCAATCAGAGAGGGTGAAAAGTTGCGAGAATATGTGCCGTCATCTGCCTCATACACACTAATGCTGTCTCGACCCATCTCGTCACCCGATTCAAGGTCACTCTCGTCCCGGAAGGGTCTGGGGATGTTCTTCAATCCCAATCCTTCTGCCACATCATAGTCGTCGACGACAAGTATTGGGTTCTTTTCTTGCATGTTGACGTGGCTGCTTTCCACCGGCTCGGGTGCGTCTGGCATGCTGTACAAGTATGTAGCGAGGAATACCAATATCGAGCCGAACAGGAAGTATATTGTCGGAACAAAGTTGAAGATGAACACCGAGGCGACAGTTGACAGGATGATCGAGAGCGAGGTCGCGAAGCCCTTGAGAATGTTGTCGGCATACTTGATGACCATGGCCACGATCAGACCACCTGCAGCTTGCACGCAGACCGTGGCAAAGACCACGGGGCTATAGCCCTGGAAGAAGCCATGTTGGCGGATTGCTTGGCCATCCCACACAAACGTGCCGAAGAGCGCAATCCCCAAACATCCAACACTCAGCTGAACGTTGCGAACCCAGATTGACGAGCTCTGGCCGTTCTTCAGCACCTTCTCGAAGTAGACGCCCGCAAACCCCGAGCAAACACAGGCGACGGCAACGGCCAATATCCCCACCATGTAGTTCCCTTGCTGCGCGGTGGTCTTGGTCGTTCCAGAGGGAATTTGTACGCACGAAACGCCGGCCGTGAGAATGACCAGCGCCAGCCACTTCTTCGCCGACAGGGTCTGACCAAGCATCAAGACTGCAAACAATGCCGTGGTCAAGATTTTGCACTGATACGTGACCTGGAAGGTCGCGGCATCGAGGTTGGTGGCAGCAACAAACTGCAAGTTGTTCTGCAAGGTATAAAGGATGGCCGGTACGAGAAGCTTGAAGAAGCCACTCTTGACGCTGAAGATGTCGCTCCATAGGTGCTTCAAGCTATAACCGGGTTGGCTAGCGGAAGTGTTCGGATCGTCGGAGAGGGTCGGGAGTTGTGAATAGCGGTACTGATGTCGTTGTTCATTGATGTGGACTGATAGGCATATTAGGCATTTGAGGACTTCTGAAAGTACGACTGCGGTCGAGCTCAAGTATCTCGGCCCAGGTAGGATTCGGGAATATCGCATCAACAGAACCAGCGACGAGTTCTGGACGACGAGGGTAAGAAGGGAGGCGTATTTCGTGGGAACACCGTAGACGGTGGAAAGTGTGTCTGTGGAGGCTTTGTTAGTTCCTCGCTGCCTGGCTTTGATCCACCAATGCTCATACCTTTCGAAGCCATCGTTTGCGGGGTAGCTGCTGTCGATGTCGGATAGAATGATGAGTAGAAGATTGGAATAGGAGTATAAAAAAATGGAATGAGGCGCAAAGTGAGTGACTTCTTGGTGAATGAGTGACAACCGTAAGGGCGTGTTAACGAGTGACCGAGCAATCAGCTCAAAAGTACAGGTGCGAATGCAAGGGATTCATCCCGTTACAGTGACATAGCGCAGGAAGAATGCGTGAGAGAACAGTCTCTCGGGAACGCAGAAGGTCTGCTTGTGCCTCGCTGATGTTATGGAACAATAGAACACATTCCACGAACGACACTGGTGTGGTGTGGTGGGATGAGGAAGGGAGGCGGATGAAGGATCGGTAAGCTGCGGCTGACGACTGAGTCAGGGATCACAAGACGGTGGAGGCGAGGTTGGTTGGATGGCGCCACGAGAAATTAAGGGCGGAGGAGCCGATGCCTCGCCCTCAGTATTGCGGTTCTTTGTGCATGGCGTCACGCGTCGCGATGTCTTTGTTCCTTGTGGGGAGGATAGTCGATGCTAGAGTTGTGTGTTGACACCTCGTAGTAGGTACCCAGTGCGTGTATGGGCCGGGGTCGATGCTCGCCCAGCGAGCCAGGCACAATACCAGGTACATCGCACTGCCAACATAGCACTGCCTACACAGCACAACGAACGCAGCTGCCCAGTTCTCATCTACGGTACGCGGCCAGAGCCACGGCTGTCACTAACCGTCTCGTGCGTCCTTGGCCTAGCCGCTTTCAGCTCCAGGGGGCGTGAGGGGCGCAGGTGGGCGGCCCTGATTGGCAATCCGCCGCCCGTTTCTCTCGCGCCTTGTTTCGGCTCTCGCGTCAAGCTCCTCGTTTGGCATGCGAGGTCACACTCAAAAAGCAAGCAAAATCGCGCACAGGCACAGGTGGATGACAGGTCGTCATGCGATAGGCGTATCAACGCGAACCCTCTATCGATATGAAGACGATGCGCTAAAGCGTTGTCCGTACAACGTTCATACGCCTGCGGGGACTACATATATAATTGCTACCTCAACCGGGCGGTGCAGTCCACGAGCAGACTTTCTCACCGTCTCCTTTTGCTGGGGATGACTGGACCTCAAACTCGGCCGGTTCGATGTCGGTGTCGATGTCGACGTCGCTATCTTTGTGATCTGCCATCTGGACCCGTGCACAGTAGGTTCGTACGTACTTTGACCTCACGCATCCCATCAGCCAGCGTAGCTGAAATGGAACGCATCTAGCCGGTACGGCTTCTGGACAGGCTTCCCGGTGAAAAAGGCAAGCAGCCACTCCTTGAGCGTCAACTGAACACTGTAGGTGCAATGTTTCATGACCCAGGCAAAGCTGGCGGCCCGCCATATCCGCCGACTATGGGGTTCACTGTGGTCATTGACCTGAATCTGCCACATAGCGTTGTTGCAACTCAGGCCCGCCAGCTGGAGCTTCTCAATAGACGCGTGCAGACTGTCCATGTACGCCTGCAGGGCGCGGAAGTCGTTGGCGAGATCCATGGTGATCATCCCGAGGGTGAGGAGGCAGGTGAGCTGGAAAATCATTTCCAGGCGGCGTTGCTGCGTGAGTTCCGCGGATGGTGGAGGTTGTCTGGAGACGAGACCAAGCAGTGTTGAGCCTTCCCGAATGCCGAACGAGTGGATGGGTCGTGGTTCTGCCTCTTTGTGCCGTCCACTATTGTCGCCGACAAGTTGCGCAGTCAAAGCGTTGATGGTCGAGAGGGACTGCCAGAATTCTCGCAGCTTCTTGAGAAAGCCGTTCAGGCCGTGGACAAGTCTCTGCACGTCGGAGTCGTCCCAGATATAGCTTTCGGGACTGGTGCCGTAGATGCATTCGAAGAAGCACATGACGCGCGACAGGAGCACCGAGTTCACGGCCAGCGGACCGCCCGTCGACTTCAGGATGCGCCGCACCGCTTGATAGTGCAAGCCTGCCGCTTCTTCAGACCCAGACCGCCGGTCAAAGGTGCCCAGGCTGATGATCGAGGCGAGCAGATCATCCTTGCGTTTGGGTGTCAGTTTGCTGCTCAACACACGTACCAACTTCAATGCCTCCCCCTTGTGCCGCATTACAGCCAGTTCAAGAGACGACCTCTCCGCCTCACTAGCGTACTTGTTCAGCGAGATGCGGTACAGCGCCGAGCGCGCCATGATGACCTGGAAACATGCCGGCGTGGTCAGCGCGATGGAGAAGTTGCTGGCGACGGGGTGCGGGCGCAGTCGCGGGCTGAACCCGTACGTCGCCTTGGGATAGTATAGCAAGTAGAAGCTGATGAGGTGCTCCTGGAAGCGGTCGAGCGTCACGGGCAAGGCGGCGAAAGGATCAAGACGATCCGAGAATGGCCGTAGGCTGTGGCGCACGATCTCGAGCAGCTTCTCTTCGGGCGTCAGGTCTTTGAACGCTTTGGCGCCGCGAGGTTTGGCCTTTTCGTCATGCCGCTTGTCGGCCGGCGGCGTGCCCTTTGGCTCGATCGACACCAACTCCTTCTTGACATGCACCAGTGCCTTCCTCGAGGATGGCTCCATTGACCGCCAGGGGCATCTTGATGATCCTGCGGAGCGTGGCGCAGCAATTAAACAGACTGCGAGGTTTCCTCTTCAAGCGCAGAGAGGTTACACGACGATGGCGTGAAGTCGAACGAAAGATCCGAACTCGCCCAACGCCAGGCGCGTGGGCAACAGGCCCAAAGCGGATGCGACTGCATTGCTTTTTCCATCACACGATGGGATCACAGCCAAGAGCTGCTGGCCCAAGAATAGCGCACGCAGCTGCACTGCGACTGGCAGAAGCAGAAGCAGGGCCGGTCCCCCAGAGGTTCCTTCACCAGTCAAGGGCCGCGGGATAGATGCAGCATCTTCCTCCCCGGTTTCGCGTATGCAAGTCATACAGCAACGAAGGACGAAGCGGGAGTTTCGTACGGAGTACATTATCCAGTACGGAGTGCCTTGATTATCTCGAATGTGGCGTGATCTCTAACGGCGTGCCACGCCATGGTCAAGTGATTCGCTTTGCCCGCCTCGGCCCAGGCACGTCCAGTGCTCAAGGTTCATTCATGGTCACTCCAGTATTACGTATCTCGAAAGGCCCAGCCGGAGATGTAAGAGGCATCGCATCACCACGGTCAATGCACATAGCCGACTTTGTCCAGTGAAACACCAACACCTGCATATTATTTACGTGAATAGTGCTTGGGTCGACTATCGGAGCTGTGCCTGTGAGGCTATTGAACAAGAGGCGGTCAGGCACAAAGTTTCTTTTGCTGAGCTGGTCAGGTACAGTAGATGGCAACAACAGATCACAGTCTTGACACCGGCGCTGTCCAAGCCATACCGGGCATCCCCTTCGAAATCTTGCTACCACAACACATCATATTCGTCGTCCGTCCTCATTCCCCACTCTAGCTCGTTGTCTTAGGAAGCGGCTTCGGCGGCGATAAAGGCCTCCCGTCGGGCCTCCGCGCAATGATATACTGCTGCTCTTCCGGCAAACACTTCGGATTATTCGGCTGGAACGTATCGATCTTGTCACTAACGATCTCCAACCCCATCGATCTCAAAAATTCAAGCTGGCCCTCCGCACTCAGCGCCAGCGTCGGCAACATTTCCCCCATAAACGGCGCGTCATAGTCCTCGACATACGTCTTGGTGGCATCCCCCCAGTCCGACTCCGCCCGCACGTACTTGTCCGCGGGCATCTGTCCCAGCACGAGGATCCCGCCCGGCTGCAGCGCCTGGGCGAACTTGTACGCCGCGGCGTGGAAATCGGCATACGAGAGCTGGAGGTGCGCGAAGATGATGAACACGCCCGCCAAGACACCCACGGGCTGATACTCGAGCATGTCGGACACGACGAAGGTGCCCTTGACGCGCGACTGCGCGTAGTGGACCATCTTGGGCGAGATGTCGAAGCCAAACACCTCGAGGCCGGCAGCCGATAAAAGTTCCGAGACGGGCATGCCTGTGCCGCAGCCTACGTCTAGGACCCGCGATCCGGGCGGCAGCATCGATATGGCCGCCTTGACGCAGGCCACTTTGAAGGGGTTGTCGTGGTAGGCCTTTTCATAGTCGATGTTGAGGGCGTCGAACGTCTCCAGGCCCGCTTGGGACCCCGCCGTGGACATGATCCTGCAGGGAGCAGCGTAGCAGTGATACGATTCCCGAGTGTGTGGCTGTTCCTGTCGCCGTCGTCGTCGTTGGTACAAAACCGTAAAGACGTGTAGTGTCTGTGCTCTGTGATCCCCTAGGGACCTCGTGGATGATGACCGGCAAAAACACGACGGGACTCTCGCCTACGGTAGAGGCTTGCGCCTCCTTTATTGGGACGGTCGTGAATAGTGTGCGACAGGCCAGCGGAGAGACTCCAGCGGCATTATTACTGTAGCATCGCTCTACTCCGAAGCGACGACAGGCGACATTGGCGGAAGCGTGCCACGAGCCACGGGACGGCGGACCCATTCCATTGTCGTATACAGTACCTTGCACTACACGGTAGTTGCAGATGGTGGAAGGGATAGTGCGAAGTCTAACATGCATCCCCGAACCTACTTCCTTGCCACGATGGAACGGACCACAGACGGACGGCTCGTAATTACTCAATTAACTACCAGTGCTCGCATTGTGCTATAGAGTCTGCCTCTATTCTGCCATACCTCGTATTCGAAGGGACCGTCCTGTCGAATAATCCAGGCCTATTCATGTGGCAGGGAACGCTTCCAGAGGCCGGGCGCTCGATCTGCTTTACTGCGTATAGCCACCGACTCACCGCTATTTGCTCTATGAACACGTAGGAGAAAAGTCGATCGCAGCAGGGGCGAGGGAAGTCGCAAATCTCTGGAATACGGAGTCGAAGCTCTCAGTGCCAGAAAGTCTACAGTCTCATGTATTCACAGTTGTATCTACTCGGCACTTGCTCGGGACCGCCGAATTGTCAGATTTCATACTTTTGTGCCGTAAGCCGGTGACCGGCCCCAGCAAGCGTTGTTGCAAAAGTGTTCCGCCATTTGGACCAATCATGGTGCCAAAAACGCCAGGAAAATCCGTCGTGGACGACCTTCAGAGGTCGCGTTTGACAAAGACCACAGGTCCGACGTAGACGTGTCGAGCCTTGAAGTAGTAGTATAACGCTGCGATGATCATGACGCCCCCAAACATGGTCGACGACCAGTTCATGTTCGCGGCCGTGACTGGGGTGGCGAGAGGCCAGAAGGCGAAGAACCAAAGCGGCATCAAGTAGAGCAGAGCCGCGATGTTGATCCACAGGCCGTATTTGCCCAGGGACCATCGTCGATGAGGAAGCGGCGGGCCTGTGAGCCGTCGGTAGATCAGGCAGCTGATGGTGATGAAGTAGGAGGTGAGGATCGAGACACCACCGAGCGAGTTAATGGCGTTCAAGGCAACGGAAGAGCCTAGGTTGATGCACGCAAGCAGGGAGCTCACGATCAGGGAGACAAAGACGGCGTGAAGAGGGATGTTCCAGCCGGGAGTGACCTGAAAAACCGTCAGCGTGGCTCGAGCCAGAGAAACTTCGGAGGGGACAAATCTTACCTGTGAGAGCCAGGCGGATCCAGGCAAGCCTTGGTCTCGGGCAAAAGACCACAGCTGTCGAGACGCCGTGGCCACCTCGCTGGTACAGCAGGCCGCGAGGAGAATGATGACGATGGCAGTCATGGCATTGGTCCCGCCGTAGCTTTGGGTGGCATTGTAGAACAGCTGGATGAACGGTTGGCGGGTCACCGAGGCAAACAGACTGTCGATATCGCCCAAGGTGAAGATCAGAGTGATGGCCATAATGAAGCCCAGCACCGCGTTGATGACGACCGACCACATGATGGCCTTGGGCAGGGTAATCGAGGCGTCTCGGATCTCCTCAGCTGCAGGACCATTCTTCATTAGTTGCTCACAATTGCGAGGATGACAGGGGTGTTGGACTTACACATATGGACTGAACAATCGTATCCAATGAGCACACTCAGCGGAGTCGTCAAGCCGATCATGGCGGACAGGCCAGTGGTGGACCAGCCACCGAAGTTCGTGAAGACGAGCAGGGCGTCGTGCGCATTTGCCCGAGGAGCCATAACCCAGAGGGGGATAATGATGGCGAAGAGGCCAGCCAGGTGCAAAATCAGAACGGTACCCTCGATCAAAGGCAGATGAGGGGCCAAGAAAGTGTTGAAAGCGATGGAGAAAACGATGGCCGCAATTGAAAGGAGGGTTCCGTGGTAGGCATGCCACACGTAGCCCTCGACGTTCAGCGCAATCAGGCCCTGGATGACACTGCCGACCATGAAGGCGACACCAGCCAGGTAGACCTGCCACCCAATGGCTGCCAACCAACCTACACTCGTTGTCAGCAAGGGAGTTGGGGTGTCGGTTAAGGTCAATACGCACCAACGAGATAGCTGAGCATCTTTTGTATCCTTGGAGGGGCGAGCTCTGAGACCCAGTGATACTGCCCACCGGCGGTAGGAGACCTGAGGCGTGATAAGTCAGGGTGTGTGCGTGGCTGATGTTGACCTGTTGTTACTCACATGGATGCTACCTCTGCGATACTGGCATAGACGAGCGTTTGTCCCGTTCCCACCACGATAAATCCCCAGAAGAGATCAGCGGTGCCGCCATCGGTCAAAACGAAGGAAAACAGCCTGGAAGATGGGTTCAGTGTCTGTGTAGGGGGAGGCCACAAAAGGGGTCCTACGGCAGGAGGATCTCCCAACTCGCCATCACAGTACTGGCAAAGCCGACCATAGTGACGAAGCGAAAGTTTCTCTACACAACGTCAGTCGCGGTCTCGTCGTTGTACCAGAGCCGAATGTGAGCACATACTCGAAGGACTTGTTTCTTCCCCAACATGCTCATCTCCCTCTTGTCGTCTGCGGTACCTCTGTACCGTTCCGGCACGCCGAAGTCCTCGTCGAGATCCTTGTCCCCATCGTGGGAGTACAAATCGTTCTTGGGCTGCTCAGCCGACGAGATAACCGTGGTGTCCTCCTTCATCGCGTCGACAATAGCCATTGTGCCAGTGGCAAGAGGAAGACAGAAGGATCATACACAGAAAGAAAGACAGAGAGTAGGTTGAAGAGGTGGCACCAATCCGAACACCGATACTACCGGGGTCAAGAGCAGCTTATCAGAAGCACCGCACATGGCGTGCCACATGGAAGACCGTAGGCGAGCACTGTGGTCCTGGTGAACCGCGCAGGGACTTGCCTGATGGTACGGAGTAAGCTTTGATGGCGTCTCTCAGGATTCCGGGAACGAGCCCCTCGACCCGGACAGCCGAACGAGATATCGTCGTTCGAAGCGATGCAAAAGCACGACGAGCATTATCGGGTGTTGTGACTGCGAGCCCCCTGCAGACCCAACGACGGGAAGGGGATCCACGGGAGGCCTCGGGCCCTGGTGGCCCTTGGTGCCCTGCTCCACCGCGTTTCCATCTCTTGTGCACGATTCTCGGGTCTGAACGCGCATTGATGGTGGTGGTGCCGAGTACTGTAACTCGTAGGGGCAGGAGGGTGCGGTGTTCGTCCACGGCGACAGGCCGGCTGCGCGAATTGCTGCTTGATTGCTAGCGGGGCTGCGCAGGCTTCCCCGCGAGGCTACGATATAAACTTCCGCCGGTTCCCTTGCGCGGGTCCAATCAGAAACTCTTGGGCTTGTTTTAGGGGCGCCGGCGGCACCGCAGACTTTGGGACCTCGAAAACCTTCTGCAGCCCAAGCACCGCCTACACGAAACGCTAGGCATGCTTTTCGCAAAGCTTGCCTGGCTTCGCGACGCTTGATTTATCGCGCTGCTAGAGGCCATGGGCTTGTTCCATCGTCCCTCGTCCCAACGACCTCGAACCTTCGCTCGCTTAGGCTCCAACTCAATCATGGCCGTCCGCACGGGCGATGAGGTTCGTGACTGGCTGGCTCACTGCTTATCTCCGGCATCACGAGGGTCAGGGGACTTGATGGTCACCGTATGCGGCCACAGATGCGACATATGAATGAAATGAGATGAAGCTACCTCCTTTGTACGTGAAATGTCCGGGAATCGATCAGCGCCCGGGCGCCGGAGTTTGTTTTGAGCAAGGGGAGCTGAGCACTCTTCCCGTCCTGTCCTGCCACGCACGGGTCGACAGTGGTGTGCCATGCCTTCTCTACCTGCCGCCTGCGACAATCCTTGTGCGAGATTCGCGATCCTACTGCAGCACTAGTCCAGTTTGTGGTCTGTACCTCGTATCTGCTTTGTGGGGGACGACGGCGCACGGCTGGCTGGGGGTTGAATCGTCTGAGAGCCGAGCACCGATATCATGTCCTAACAGTTCAGGACCCGTGCCTGGATCGTCTGCAGCCATCGCGGGATGTCTCCAGACACCTTTCTGTGCCTTGCATCTGTCCATCCGTATGCAGGAATCGGTGGACTTTACTTGGTGCTTTGACATATAGCATACACTCCCCACTTCCTGGAGATATTGAGTCACCAACTGTTGTGCCGCCGAACTCTACGACGGCTCAGACATGTCAGCAACGACAGGCTCTGGCCTCGTGCTTCCTCCTGGATATTCACCTCCGTTCTACGAAGTCACCGACACAGACCATACCGCATGGATTATAATCGCCACGGCGCTGTGCCTGTGCTGGCTTTTACTCTTCGCGGCCATCAGAGTATTCATCCGGTGTACCATCACTCCAGGATATGGCCTGGACGATGTGTCAGTCGGCATCGCAACAGTAGGTCCCTGACCTCCTCATGCGAGGAATTGGCTTCCCACGCACGCTGACCCAGTCCTCCAGGTTCTGGCTGTTATCCAGTCTTCGTTAGTACTAGGAGCCTGCTCTGATGGACTTGGGAGATCCGTTGAGCTCATCTCACCCGAGATGCTGGTGGAAGTCCAAAAGGTACGGCCAGCCAATCCATCCTCGCTTTAGCTGTGATGTTGATCTTGTTTTCTAGTCATATTATACTAGCAACATATTTTTCACCCTAGCTCTCGGCCTGTCCAAGATGTCTGTTGTCTTCTTCCTCAATCGATTGACAGTGGTCAAAACACAAAAGATGGTCTTCCACGCCTTGACGGCCTTCATAGCGACATGGACAGTGGGGTCGACGTTCGCCGTTGCGCTGCAGTGCGATCTCCCACATCCGTGGATCATTGTCGATGAGAAGTGCCCCGGAGCCGTAAGTGTGCTCGTCCCCACAACGCAACTATGGGCTAATCTTTGTTGTGCGTGATAGTTTTTGCGTTGGAAAGTCATTGGCGCCCTGGACATCATCTCTGAGCTGGCGATCGTCCTCATGGCAATCTACCTCGTCTGGGGCCTGTTCACCACCTTTTCAAAGAAAGCCATCGTAGTGGGCGCATTTGCGTTCCGTCTCGGGTGAGTTCTGTCCATACTTGGTACCTAGCCACGTATTGGCTGGGCTCGGCTGTAAGGTCAGGGGTCGTCCGACTAACAGGTGATTCAACCAGCAACATCATCGCCATCTGCTTCCGGCTCGCGAACTTCGACAAACCGGAGCGCGTCTCGAACCCCACGCTCGCCGAAGCCATCTTCATCGTCTGGACGCAGACGGAGCTCTGCTACTCCCTCATCTCAGCCACGATCCCGAGCCTCCGCCCCTTCGTGACCAACCTCAACACGCAGTTCGGCGGCATGGGCGCCGCGGACAGTTCAAGCGGGTATGCGTCGCACGGTGACCGCGGGGGAACCAAATACACCACCAAAAACACATTCAAGCTCTCTAAGTTGCGATCCGCAAACCGGTCTGCAACCACGTCGGCAAACAGGGGCGACACGTACACGGATTTTGCCACGCGACAGGCTCCCGCGTCGGGCCTGGACGGGCGGTCCGACTTGTACAGCTACGGCGTGTGGACTGCGCCGACGACGGCAATCGACGGTAGTGGGCATAAGGTCGGGAAGAGGAATAATATCTCGGCGCTGAATGATGAGAATCCAAAGGCCGATGCCACCAGCGTGGGGAGCAACGATAGCCAGAGGATGATCATCAGGAAGGACGTGACATATGAGGTTCACGGCGTATGATGTATGTGCTTTAGCAGATTGGCGACGACGACGAAAAGTGCTTTTGGGTAGACGGACTATAGAGCCAGGATGGCCCGGAAAGGGGGAAAGGGTAATACGAGGACCGGGTACAAACGACACAGGCCGTACCTGTATATACCCTTGGGAGGATACATTGTGCCGGGAATCTCGAGTTGAGTTGATCTGTACTGTTGGGCATCGGTCTCAGTATCACGGCCAATATCATGAATTGCAAGATTGTCACGCCTCACAGAAAGCAGCCTCCAGTATACCCAGTCGTGTGCGTCACATACGCAGCACGGTTCAATGAGGTCGGAACTTGGATACCCATCCAATGAACTGTGCCGTGATCCGGGTTGTCGTGACCACGACGACCACAGGAACACGTCCCCTTCACCGCTTCTCTGCGCCACGGTGGTCCTGGCGGTATAGCCTACGGCGAACGAAGTCTCTCACAGAGATCCGCGAGCAAACGAGATTGCTCCATCATCTCTGGACTACTTAGCAGCACGAAAGATCCCTACGTGGAGTACCCTGTTCGTTGTGCGAGTACACGCCGAATATTGTTGTCTTGTGACCTCGTATCGAAGCTGGGGCGTTGACGATACAACACGGGACTAGCGACCCGCGGCCCGGAAACACTCCTTTTCCTCGTCCCGCAAGGTCCAAAAGTACATGGTACGAAGGAAAGATCCTGAGCAGAGTTCCTACTCCTGCCGTGGACAAAGCCACCCGTGCGAGGAATGAATAGGGGAAGCAGTACGTGTAGGAGCGGAGCGAGGTACTGTACGTATCGTGGGGATGGACTCAGTCTGGAAGGACACGCGGAACGGATACACCCCTTGTCGGCCCCTACGCAGTAGGTACGGGCGTCCTGCGTACATCGACCCGCCCTCCCCTCCCCTCCCCAAACCCCTCCGAGGTCAAACCTACGTAAAGCAACGATCGCGAGCCGTGCGGGAAGTAAAGACGGATACGAGATCCTCGTCACCATCGACGCCTCGTGCCTTTTGTTTGCCGTCTCTTGTCTACTTCCTAAGTTAGGTGGCTTGGTCGTCTAAATCTCTCCGGACGTGCCTTGGCTAATTATCCAATATCGGCCGTACTAGTACTTCGTACCGCACTCCCACCTGTCCCATATACAGTACTGGTAAGCCGCCTCACAACCTGGCCCCGTCCGGCCTCATCTTCAAACACCTCACAACCTAGCCCTCTCGACCTCATCTCTGACCCTCAACCCCCGATCCCTACCCTCCTTATCCTTCACTTTAAGAATCCTCCTTAACAACTTCCCCGTCGGACTCTTGGGCACCTGATCCGTGAACTCGACCTCCACAATCCACTTATACCGTACCTTCCTCTCACGCACAAACTGCAACAACCGCCTACCTACCTCTTTGCTCGCACGCACGCCCTGCTTGAGGACGACATACGCCTTGGGCCTCTCGCCCGCATATTCGTCACGGATGCCGAGCACGGCGCAGTCCTCCACATCGGGATGTCCCAGAAGCAAATCCTCCAGTTCGGCCGGCGGGACCTGCAGGCCCTTGACCTTGATCATCTCCTTGATGCGGTCCTCGATGTGGATGAGACCCTCGGCATCGAAATGGCCGACGTCCCCGGTATGGAAAAATCCCTCCGCGTCGAACGTCTCGGCCGTGGCGGCCGGGTTGTCGAGGTATGCCATGGCGATCTGGGGCCCCCGCGCGAGGATCTCGCCCGTCTGACCGACATCTAACTCGCGCCCCGTGGTCAAGTCGAGCACTTTGGCTTCCGTGTTCGCCACGAGCATACCCCCCGTGGTCGCGTACTTGTAGTCGTAATGCGTTGGCGGGTGGGCCGTGATGCACGCCGTGCTCTCGGTCGCGCCGTAGCCCTGCCGGAAGCCCGTCCAGGGGAACTTTTTCTGCAAAAGCGCAATGATCTCGGGCGAGATGGGCGCCGAGCCGGACGACCACCGCTCCACGTGCCGCAGGTCGTAATTCTCCACAATCTGGTCGCGCACGAGCCGGATGATGATGGGCGGCACGAGGATCAGCTCCTTGATCTGAAACTCCACGATCGCCTGGAGCATCGAGGGCATGGAAAAGGACGGGAGCATCACCGAGTCGCCGTTCATGAAGATCGGGTACGTGCAGAACCGGACGAGGCCGGTGACTGGGATGACCACATCAGTTTTTGGTCCATCGTCTGTAGGGATGCAACCCACGTACTGTGAAACAGAGGCATCACTGCCAGGATCTTATACCCCCCCGGCGCCTGGATCTGTCTGAGCTGATGACACTGCGCAATGATATTGTGGTGCGAAAGCATGACCTAGCGGCAATCATTCTTGTTATCACCATGTCCGTGTCCCTGGTGTCCGTGTTGCCATCACTCACCGCCTTAGGCAGCCCCGTCGTCCCACTGCTAAAGTTCAGGTAGCCGCAAATCTCCTTGTTCGTCTTGCCGCGCGGGATCCGGTAGGGCGGGTCGGGCGTGTACTTTGCCCCTCGCTCCATCAGGTCCTGTATGCTTAGATGGCCCTCACACTGGCCTTCGAGCAGAAAGACGCGGTCGCGAGGGATCCCGGCGTTTTGGGCCGCCGCGACCGCCACCTCCAAAGAAGACGGCAGCGTGATGAGGATCTTGCTTTTGGCGACTTTGAGCGCATAGGTCATTTCCTCGACGTTGTATGCCGGGGAAGCGCCGTTGACTCGCCCTCCTGCGCGTCAGGCGTGTTAGTTGAGTCGTATTCTCGTTTCGAATGGCACCAAACCAGTGCAAAAATCAAGATCCCACAGTGCAAAGGAATGAAGTCCCATACCGGCTCGAATCACGGCCCACATCGCAACAGGGTACCATATCGTGTTGGTGCTGAACAGTGACACCGTCTCGCCAGGCTGGAGCCCATACTCCTTGACGAGGGCGGTGCTCAACTGGGTGGCCTTGATCTGGACGGCCGCCCAGTCGAGCCGTTGCTTCGTCACGGCGTTGACATACCCGGCCAGTGGTTCCCGGGGAGTCTTATACAAGGGGGAGAACTCGCCGGGCTCGAAAAGCCATTCCCATGTCGAGATGTTTTCGGGGACTATGGGTGCCGCGAGCGTATTAGCGTCGCATACAGTACACGCGGTGCGTGGACTTATTGCCTGTGGTGGACAAGGAAGAGCGCGAGTCCTTTTGTCCACAGGCTTAGAGAGGGCCGTGCTTGCTTACTGTCTATCCGCGGATGAGGCGATTTGAACAGAACCATGCTGGAATGTCAGGCTTTGACCGACGCCAACCAACACCACGCCCCTGATACAACCCACGGGCCTGGCGAGGAATACAAAACAAAAACATGAAGCTTGAAAACGACCGGAGCCGGGTAGATCGGTCATGATGCCGCACGATGCCTTGCAATGTGTGGGGAGCCGAAGACCGAGTGGCTGTAATGCGGAGAGTTCTACAGTACCGCATCGGTATTCAGTGCCTCGGCTACACTGAATGCCGGATTCGGTAAGCACGCAATTGCTGCCGCTGGGTCACCAGCCGTGTTGTACGTAGTGTCGTACCGAGTCTAGTCATCCCTCCCCAGGTTCACAGCCTCATGCTCCAACTGCAGGAGACTGGCCGGCACTCCCAAAGCTCTGGCCGAAGCCCATGCCAGAATCGATGCGCCGTGCGCCAGCGGCTGCACCAATGCCCAAGTCCCTCGCCCTCGCCACAAACAGTTTGAAGTCGACCTTGGGCCCTTCGTGCCATGCACCTTCGTCATCGCGCTCTCTGGCGGCGGGCACGTTTTCGCCACTGACAATGCAAAGGACTGTCATGCCGCGTCTGTACTTCAGGCCGCTGAGCAACTTCGGAGTGATCAGGAAGTACTGGCTGCCTCCATCGTCCGCAGCGATGTCAACCATCCTGCCATGCACCATTCGCTCGTTCCGCGGATCCATGCCCTGATTGATCTCGTCGACCACTCGGAATGGCGCGCGACTGAGACTCTGCAGGGCCATGAGGTAGAAGATTGTGCTGACTGCCCTCTCACCGCCGGACTGTCGATGGCTGTCCAACAGACTGAGCGGCTCCGACTCGCGGAACTTGACGCTGATCTCTATCGACCACTTCTCGAAATCCAGCCCGTTCTCCGCACCCCCATTTTCCTCTGTGCACTCGTCGGGGTCATCGGATGACGCCTTGTACACAGCGACCTGACCGGCGCACCCAATCCGTGCGAACGAATCCGAGAATGCGTCGTTGATTTGGGCAATGATCTCGTCGAGACGAGGCTCCCATCTCTCCCGCACCTCCTTGATATGACGTCTGAACTCCGCCTGACGTTCGTTCACATCCTGGACCTGGACTCGTAAAGTCTCAATGTCTCGAGCCCGCCGCTCGAATTCCGCGATCGTCTGTGCATTGCCCCCCTCGGTCAATTCCAGCTTGGCCTTTTCCGCATCGATTTCAGCCTCCAGATTCTCGGGCGTATTGAGAGACTGACACACGTGCCCTAAAAGCTCGTTGAAGCTCTCATCGCCTTCTCTGGCCAGCCGTTTCGCCTCGTTGGCCACTATCATGGCCTCGTTTTTGGACTTCAAGGCCAGATCATGCTGTTGTCGGTACGTCTCAGTCGCAGTATTCTTTTCGGCTTCCTTTTGCTGGATGGCCTGAACAACCTCATTGTTCTGAGCTGCTGCAACCTGGTGATCGGACATCGCCTCCACCAGGAGGACGTCCGCTTCGAAGAGAGCGGCGGTTTTGGACTTGACCTCTCTCGTTGCCGCCGCGAATGCCAGGACAGCTTCGGTTTTGGCAACGAGCAAGTCGTCGAATTCCTTCTGTATCCCATTGATGCGGGCACCCACTCCACGTATGGACTCGCGCAGCATCTTGATGGACTCTTCTTTGGTCTGAATCTCGACGTCCAGTCTGTCGTACGCCACGCGTGCGCTCTGGATTGCCTCTTTCTCCTCCTTCTTGGCATTCATCTCGCCCGTCATCTGCCGCTTTTCGCCATCCAATTGCTTGATCTGATCCGTAACATCCACAAATTCCGCGTGGATCGCCGCAGCCTCACCTCTGGCTTCATTAAGATCTCGTTGAAGTGCAGCCTTTCGGCCCATGTCAACTGGCTGGTCCGTCCAGTATCGTGCACGGCGGACGTCCTGGACTCGGGCAGAGTAGCCTGCAGCTCCATATTCCCGACGTCTCAGGAAGTGGTAGACCTTTTGCCCCGCGACATAACTCTGGATATCTGTCTTTCCAATCTCGTCATGTTGCTGTTGAGTAGGCTCTCTAGAGCTTATACCGCAGCGATGCAAGCCTTTTTCAACGCAGAGTTGGGCGAGAACCGCGACAGGGCCTTGCAGACAATCAAGCGCCCAGCCGCTCAGCCCAAGGTCTTGCATCTGTTCGGGTGACACCGGTGGACGAAACTGATCCATGCTGCAATCGCTGCGTTCACGGAGGCTGACATCGTGGAGGCCCAGCCCTCCATCGGCTGTTGATCCGACTAACTTCTTCTGGAGGAGTTGGAAGTCGGCGGTATTTTGGGCAGTGATGAACTTGAAGTCAGTCTGCTGGAAGATCGATTCAATGGCGTCAGCCATGTGTGGGTCCTTGAGCGAGCATTCCACGATCGGCGGGCCGTAGACATGTTGAGTGAATTGATCTTGATTCTTCTGAATCCAATCCCAAGCTTTCCACGTAGCCTCTGACAGCCCCTTCAGCTTTTCCTCTTGTTGATTGGCGTGGCTCCCAAAGGTTTCCAGTCTGACGGCAAGAGCTTTCGCATCTTCTTTTCGTCTGAGCCCACGATCCCGCAGGTCGGTCTTGCGTGGCTCCAGATCGTTGATTTTCTCTTGGACCGCAGCTACACGACCTCTCAACGCCTGCATTTCGTTCGTGAGGCCAGTGACGTCGAAGTTCTCGGGAGCCTCAGTCTTCTTCCTTCTGAGATCGCGCAGTTTGTTCTGTTCTTGAGCGATAGTGTTCTTGTTCTTGCTAACCCCCGTCTTCTCTGCTTCTATCTGGGTCGACTTTTCTTTCATATCATCATCAAGTTTCATGATTTCTTTGGTCTTATTGTCGCATGTCTTTAGAATATTCGTCAACTCTTTCTCACACTTGGTTTTGAACGCCCGCGCCCGCGCCTCGTACTCCGCCTTTGAGCGAACTTTCGCCAGCGCTGGCGCAGACGCGGCCTTCAGATGCTTTAGCTCTTGGCTGATGGTCTGGGCGCGTTCTTTGGCTTCCTGAGATAATGTCTTGGCTGCTTGGTACCGAAGGATTGCACGAGACTGTTCCAATCTCTCCAATCTCAACTTCACCTTGGCTCTTTCCCTCAATCGCTCCACCTCGGGCCGTTGTCCCTCTTGTCTACTCTCCAGATGCGCGAGTTGAGCTCGGGCGTCTTTGACGTTCTTCATGACCTTGCTTTGGTCTTTGCGTAACCGCTTCAATTCCTCGTGTAGATTGGTCATCTCGGGTCCGGCGACAGCGCGTTGGGTGCTGACAAGGAGATCCACGGGCGTCATCATGGCGAACTCCACAACCTTGTCTTGGGGCAAGAATTGACACAGGTTGTCTATCTGGATATTGAAGCTGTTCGCCAAGACCTGGACTTCTCTGCCCGACGACTGTTTGCCGTTGATGAGGTATGTAGACTGGTTTCCCTCTCTTTTAATCACCCTTGTGATGACAGGGTTCTTCCGCATCGAGGGTTTGCGCTGTAGTTCAATCTCCATGGTAGCCTCGCGGCAGCCGTGCTTCACGAACTCGGCAGGTTCCTTTGCACGTCCAAGGTGCTGTCAAGCATGAGCCACATGATCACGCAGGCGGGAGCAGCCAACACAAGCATACCTTAGGTGGCCACCCTAGCCCAAGACATATAGCGCAGACAAGCGTACTCTTTCCAGTGCCGTTTGGACCAATAACCATGTTCAGACTCGGTCCAGGGAAGAACTCTGCAGAAGTGTACGTGACGAAGTTGGTCAATTTCACACGAACGATAGCACCAGGCTGATGACCTGACCGTATCTCGACGTTGTCGTTACTGGGGCCGGCGGCGACCTGAGGTTTGCGCACCGGCAGTCTCGTGTTGACTGATCGAGGCATCCTCTCCGGCGACGAGGAGGAAGAGGAATCGACCGTGTTGTCACTCTCATCGTCGAGTTTGGCACTCCTTCGGATGCGTTTCTTGTCGTTCGGTGCAGTTGAGGCGGGCGTGTTGGGCCGAGACTCCTCGACATCAGAGTCGGACGCCCTTGAACGGCGACTTCCTCGAGGAGCCATGACCGCCAATCCGGGGCGGATTGAGGATGCTCCGTAGACGATAGAAAGGTGCGTCTGGACGGAAGATGTAATGTGTGCGGAAGTCAGGCTTCAGTCCTCATCGCCGAACTTTGTCCAAAGGAAGGTGACGCGTGACGCGACTGATCAGTAAACGCGCCCACTAACGGTCACGTGTGTAGATGGTCGGAAGTAGCCAGAGAGACCTGTTCGCCTAGCTGTGGAACTCGCATTTGCTGCGACGAGAAGTACAACTAATGCTAGTGGTGTTTTTACCACATCATGTTCTGTCACGTAGTCTCTATTCTCGAGGCTCTCGGGCACAGTCAACTTTTGAATATTCCTAACACAGTAACAACTCCGCCACCTAGCCGAAATACCGTATAGCCTACCTAGTAGTACTGATACACATTGACCTATGTCAGGTGCTGTCATCTGCTGCGAGCTCCTTCTCCTGCTACAAATCTCATTCCAATGAAATCGCCTCTGTCCTCCTATATTATACCTTGACACGTGGGTATCTCTGATTGCTAATTGAACCTCGAACAAAACAAGAAAAGATGGGACGTCGTCGGGCCGTGGACCAAAAAGTCGATCAAAAAAAGTTTCCAGGTGGCACCTGGGCGTGAAATGATTAGAACTAGCGGACCAAACGCAAGGGGCAATACCACTTACAGCCAAGAAGATTGCAGTCGTGATGGCTCCGGCAACAAACGCAGTAAGAAGAGCTTGTACAAAAATGGTGTCTTGGATCTGGCGTAGTGCAGGCTCCTGAATCCAGACTTCTCGGTCGAAGATCTTGCGGACGAGGTTGCGCTTCTCGTATTTGGCCACCCAAGGCTCGTCCTCGTAGCTGTTGGACGAGCCCAGACTGTCAAATGAATCTTTCTTCGATGTGTATTCGGCGGAGTTTTGGTCTTCGTCGCCGAAAAGCTCCCACGGTCGAAGATGTCTATGGTGCATACCGTGCAGGACCTGTGTCGTCAGCCAACGTTGTCGGAAGAGGAGGAGAGATCAGCGGCGGCTTACCACACACATGCCCTTCCCAGCAGCAAAAAGAGTGGCAACACCGATGAAGAGCCCGAGGAAAGCCAGCGCTCTCCATCCGCGGTTGGCCGAACTGAGAGTGATGACAATCGCGTACACAATACCGCCAACAATACCAGCCACGCCCAAGAAACGAGCGAAGGCCTGCCTCGGTTTATTGCCATTGCAAATTGTCCATCGAATGAAGTTGGGGTGTGCTTGATGTCGCAGAGTCCATTCCACCGTGGCAATGACATCGCGGAACGCTGACGGGTGAGTGGTGACGGACAGTGCTTTGAGCAGAACAGCCTTTTCCTTGGCCGACAAGTTGAGCAAGCGAGAGCCGCCATCAGCAATGTAAATAGCGATGATCCGAGTGATCTCTTCACGGAATGGTTGAACAGTGACTACAAGCATTGTTAGCCTACACAGTCTGAAATGGGAGTCGATGGCATACAAGGCTGAAGAGCTCCAACTTCTTCGAAGGCTTCCGCAGCTCTCTTGCTGTGGTCCGTAGTTCCGGCCCGAAGGGTGGTTGCGTCGTCACTGTAGCCGATAGTAGACGGAATCACACTGTCGTGATCTGTGGCTGAAGCTGAAGGGGTTCGCGGAGGAGTGTTGAACGGGTTCGGAGCAACCTCCGGGATGCCTGCTTTGGCGCTTGGATCGAAGTCGGTTCCTCTCAACACAGCCGCGGCGTTGCTTGCGATTTTCTTCGGTAGTTTTTCTTTCTCGGCCATGTTCTTCTCCGCTAATGCTTGTTCAGCGGTCCATTCAGGAGCCAGTTTCTTCTGGCTCTCTGAAAGTCCGTCGAAGCGCTTGCAGTAGTCTCTGTACCACAGATAGAACTGGAGGTTCTCGGCATCATACTCGATGTAGCGGAGAAAATCCATGAATTCACGTGTGGTGACGGGCTATGGAGTGGCTTAGTTCAAGGTCGTTTTCGTTTTTTGGAAAAGCAATATGTTACTTACGGGACATGTCCCTCCGTTGATGATCCGGTCGAAAGACAAAGCGTCTGGGATTCCATACGGGCAACTCGAGTTGGAGTTGATCGACTCAACCCGACCACCTTTCTCGGAGTCAAGTGAGTCGCGGGAGGGCGAGACATAGGCCGGGCGGCGGTAAGAAAGTGAGAGAACCATGCTGACTGAGTTTTGGTGATCTATCTGGTAGGCGTTGATGTGCTGGAGGATCGAAGCTTTTCTGAGAGGTCGTATACCTTATACACTGGATAGATCGACGACACGTGGAAGAAAACCACTCACGCTCGTTCCGGATCTGCTTGAACTTTGAGCGGGGACTGCAACGTCCGACGGTGAACGAAGGCGAGTCTGAGTTTAGAAAGCGGTTTGAGCCTCGACCACTTTGAGGAGGCAAGGGCGTTGGATTGATTAAGCAAGATCAACGTGTCAAGGCCGTGCTGTACGACGTCCTCTTTCCAGTCCTGCCACTGACTTGATGTTAAGCTGTGGTAGAAGTCGGATCGGGCATTCTACAGAGACAGCGGACATTGAGGCAGGTTTATGTTCTACAGGTCATACCAGCCAAATCGCACGCCGAGGGAGACTTGCATGGAGATGCAGAAGTGGCTGCCCACCTCGCCAGGTCCAGAGGACGCTCCGGCGAATGAACGAGAAGGCACCACAAATGCTCTGGCAGGGGAAAGCGGTGCTATGCAGCGGTGACAGGCGTGGCCAAGGATGCTGTGCCTGTCAGAAGACATGCACAGGCCTTCAGCAACGAGGTGGCGGCGCTTTGCAGGGGGTTTTGACAGAGAGGCCCATGTCTGGCGACTGAAAGGCCAATTTGCAGTGGTTGAAAAGTCCGGAACGGCCAGGACAACTGCATGAGTGGGAAAAGAGAGAAACCGCTGTCAGTTCTCCGTAGTGCGCACTGTTCAGTGGCCGACGGTGGATCGATCAGGAAGCGATCGGCTCCTCCGCATCTGCATCGGCCTTCACCTCGCTAAGCTAGGCGTTGCTGTGGGGCGTGGCGTCCAGTCCAGAGCAGCGTTTGACTGTCAATTCCAATGCCACCTGCGCTAAACTCAGACCTCAGTTCAACATTCAGCTCCACGCGTCATCCCCTCGTGTCCTGTCACCTACTCGTCAGCCACCTTTCAAACTGATCTCAGACGTTGATTTTCCTCCCTCTCCGTGAACCTCTTGAACGGACTTCGCATCATATTCTGTAAGGGTTGTTCCAGGCTTTGGGGTCAGACCAAGAGGTTTTGCTGGCACCCAGCTGGAGTCGTGAAGCTCGATATTGTGCTGATTCAGGCCACGCTGAAAGACCTCGACAAACCGTGCTGCCTCCTGTCAGGCGGGGAAGGCCCTGTCACTCGAGGGACGCATGCTGGCGCTACACTTTGCCCATGTTGTATTTGAACACTGTATCTCGACTAGTTATTGGAGCAGTGTTTAAACACTACCAGGGTGCCAGGTGCCTTCCACTACTTCGTACATAGTACGGAGTACGTATCTCGTACTGTGTGAGAACACCATGCACAGGGATATGGCCGGATGGTGGATCCATTCAGGAACAGGTGGGTGACAGGCAGATGCACATCTTGGCCTTCCCAAAACATGCGAGTTTAGTCGATGGCGTTGGGAGCGGCGACTTTTTCCCAGTCTTCTCGTACCAATCATATTGGTGTTCCCGAGCTAGGCTTTGATTCGATTTCTGATCAGCTCCGGCGAGTCCCTTCGGCACCAGACCAACACAGCATGTTCGCTCCAGACAGTTTAGCAATAACGGCAGGTTAGATCGAGAACATTTTACGGAGTACACAGACACCACAAGCACAACAATTATGCAAATGCGGCCGCTAGACAAGCACGTCTACTTCGGATGCTCCTCTCGTCGTGGTGCATTTCCGTGCCTGGGAGAATCGAGATAAGCGAGCCGCCTAAAACCTCCCCACGCTGATGTGAGAATGCGATGCGAGATTTCCGACGCTTGGCATCTCACACCTTCCCTTTCTACAATCTTAACAATCCCTGAGCACAAGGCCGACCTTGAAACGAGTAAAGCTACACTGTGCACAGATGATATCTGTATCTTTGGCGATTCCTAGTCCTTTCAACACTGAATATCGTCCTCCCAAACTCGACCAACTCCTGTCAACGGCGACAGAAGCCGCACAATCTCGGCCCTGAGTGTACCTTTCCTTCCATGTGCGACATGTCACAAGTGACATGTTGCCTCTGGCCATGGCGGCCACGATATTTGACCCCCACATAAGAATTATCTGCACGACGGCGTTGTGGCAAGGAACCAACCACCTGGCTGCCGAACTGATCTGGAGTCAAATCGGCTAGGGTTCCGCATCCGAACAAACTCGCCTTCCCTCCACGGCAGTTGGACTGCGGTGCATCTGGATTTGAGTTTGCAGTCCTGATCTCTGCATCTCACTGCCTGTCGAGATTCTGTAAGGTTCTGCTGCGTAGACAACCCAGGAGCGCGAGTTACATGCCTGCGCTCAACTGTGCGGCTGCCAGTCCGGAACATACTTCACGTTGATCTGTCCGTAGCTATGGCTCAGCCTCCAACCATGGCTCGAAAGCCATCACCTTGCACCAAACTCACTATTCTATCCGGCATACAGTAGTCCTGCAGGTTACAGTCAGGCACACATGCAGACTTTGGCTAGGATCAAACCTCTGCTGCATCGAACTTCCCTGAGGTATCTGATGGTACCTCGTGCTCTTTAGTGCGAGTCTGTGCGAGTGGGCTTTTGACGGTTTGTTCCGGCTCGATCTCAGCATCGCGAACCACCAACGAACCGCAATCATACTCGCCAATTTTACGGGAGTACATACCTTCCCAACTCATGCTATCCTACCCTTCCCTATACGAGATGAAAAGTGTGCAAAGTTTCAACAGTCACCTGCCTTCTCTAGCAGAGTCCCTCATTTCAGGGGCGAGAAACCGTGATCCCTCAGAGTTCGGCGAGCGTCTGTATCTCCACAGCGGACCCTTCTGCAAGGGGCTGGAAGCTACACAGCTTTACGTAGTAGGTATCCGCAATCAACAGTGTTCCGCATGCAAGGGTTGAGTCCTCATCCCTCGTAACCTTCAGTCAATCGTGGCAGCGAGGGGTCTTCCACGTTTCGTCCAAGCTTTGCATGACACCAAAAGCAATATCAAGCAATCCTTGACAGCGGTCTCAACCAACCTCTCGTTCCGCGCTCACCATGATCTTACTCCTAACCATACAATCCAGGTACCGCCAGCGAGTCGCCTTCATGCCCGGCATCAGTACGGTAAAGGACCGCTAGAAGAACAGACAAAGGCACCATTGTTATACCCCTGGTCTCCTGTAATACTATTCCTAGAATCCCTTTGTGCATTGCTAATGATAGGTTCTATCCTCTCAACAACAAAGGCCAGCTTCAGCATCCTAGCGTTGCAATGAAAAGATATGAGTTGCCAGATTCCCTTTTGCTGCGCGAATGATCATGGACAAAAGCAAAGCAGCAGAACTGGACTTCGCCTAGTATTAACCTCTGATTTCTTGTCGTCTGATCACCAACGACAATCTAGCACTGACATCCAAGGGTCATAATTGACTGCTACAGCACACCAAGATGGCTGACTCGTGCGGACAACAAATCACTGTCACCGTGACGCAGACGATTCTCCAGGGAGCTGCAACGAGCACCACCGATGCACCCGCCAGCTCAGACCCAAGCACCTCACTTTCCAGCCCTGCTTTGGCTTTGGCCTCCTCAGACGCCGACAGTGGTCCTGCTTCATCTGAGGTAGCTTTTGGATTCCTTCCAGTCTCTGTCTCCGACACTACGCTGACAACCATGGCACCGGCCACCACCATGACCTTGAATCTTGTCCACGCAACAACTTCCAGCTTGAGCACCGGCACCGGCTCTGTTTCCAAAGCCACCAGCACATCGAGCGAGTGTCCGAAGCCCACTACCTCCGAAGCAGCGGCACTGGCGTCGCCAAAGCCGTCGTCAACCCCAAGTGGTACGATTGCCGGCGGCGTGATCGGTTCAATGGCAGGTCTAGCCCTGATCATAGCTCTTCTCCTGTACTGTTGCAGGCGAAAGCGCAAGATCACCTTCAAGCGCAAGGTGCACAAGACTGACCCTGAGGAAGAACAGGCACATGTGCTGGAATCCATCACGCAGGAAAAGGACGAGGCCGTGCGGCAGCTGGAGCAGACGCGGCAGAGTAAGCCTCTTGCCCGTCCACGTTCATTTGACTTTGGCCTGCCCAAGATACAACATAGTACGAGCCCGGTCATGCCGCAGCGGTGGATCTGAAGGGGGCGCACCCCATAGGGAGAGCCAAGCCATGTTCGTGAGTCGTCTCCAAAAGTTTCGTGAGATGGCGACGGTAACCATGTGTCAAAACTTGCACCAAGAGGATCTTGGCCCCGTATCACAAAGTTTTCGTACCTCACCTCTTTTGCGCGTCCGACCTGCCTAGGATACCTAGGTACCTAGGCGTGAGCGCACAGCACAGGATACCTCAAAAAGTTAGGGTAAAGACAGCATGAAGAATGGGATGGGTCGTGCTAGGTTGCTGGAGGAGGCCGAACTGGCGCATCGACGTGTCGGGAAAAAGCGTCTTGGCTCAACCTTATCCACCTTCTCAAATTTCTGTTCTCTTTCTTTCTCTTCTCTTTCTCCCTGCACAACGAATCTTCGCCTGCTCGAGTAGACAAGCACATTGACTATCGAACTGAGTACTACTGAGCATATTGCTACGTTAGGGTTCAGTCTTGCTTGCGTGTCATGATACGGTTTGAATGCGCTGATATGATGAGCGGGGATGCGCTGATGGTCTAATTTGAGAATACATATACGCCCCTGTCTCACTGCAAGAAACCCGTCACCGGTAGGTGTGCAACGAAGAGTGTTTACCAGGACTGATTCGAATCCGTACGATCATGGGCTTTTTGGACGGAATGGAACGGAACCGTCCTCCAACATCTGGGCACCCACTCGATCTGTCCGGAGCTGAACTGATCTTCCGAGAATTTCTTCTTCCTGTTCTTCCTCCTCGTCTTTGTCCTGCAGCCTTGTGGGGCGGGTTTCGAGTTTCGCACATCGATATCGTCAAGCCCGTTGTTCTGGACAGCTGGTCAATGTGGGCTTTCGGGCGTACGAGAGAGAGCTGATCGATTGAGTTCTGGCAGATGGGGACGGATGGATATACTCTCTCACACTCTCTCTGCACTTTTACGCTTTCAGTTTTCAACTTTCTTGTCCCGCCGCTTCAATTAGCTAGCTGATCGAGGCAAATGTTCGTCAATTGAGCTGATCTGCGCTGATCGAGGGGTACGGCGTTCAGATTAGCGGCTGTAAGATACAGGGACAGGTTTTGGGAAATCAGTAAAGCAAACGGGTGGGATCTATTAACATGGCGAAATCCGAGAAAGAGCAGGTTCGTTTGAAACCCAAGATATATTGGCCAACGGGTCTCTTTGTAAAGCAGGGAACATTGGCCAACGGAGGATGGAAACCGGCATGCTCTCCGCACTAAGCAAGTACCTCGTCTTGAAGGATTTGGGTTGTCGGCATACTCATACAGTAGAAGGAAGGCAACGTGTGCTGGACTGAGCAAGGTGGATATCATTGATGTGGAAAGCAAGTAGCATCGGATGGAACCCAGCAACATCATCCTGCCAAAACAGGCGGCATGGGCTTGTAGTCCCCAATCATGTCTCGCAATATCCCATTCGAGTTGTCCTTGGACCCAAAGAACATTCTCCCGACCATGCCTCTCAACCTTTTGTTGCGGCTCCATGTGCCCTTTTGTCCCAACTTTGATCTTCGACCAAGATGACCTTTGCGGGGTGTGAAGGTTGCTGCTACCACAAGATCACAATTTGCGTTGTATTTTGACTTCCCAAAAGTAAGGTGAAGAAGACAAGCGAGAAAGAACACACGTGGCCCAGAAAGAGAATGAAGGAGACGAATGCCACCATACCAACCCGATCGTTCCTAGCTCCGAAATCGAAGAGAGCCCTTGCTGAACAATCACTCGTCGGGCGGCTCCGAGAAGAGGCCGATTCGTACTCGGTGAAATTGTGGTAGCTTCGGGATCACGACAGCCATGAGGGCCATGAAGTTGATGGTGAAGTAAGTAAAGTCGTAGTGGGTATAATGCGTACTCAGCAGAAACAGGACGATGGGTACCGACAGTAAGAACTTCTTTGCGGGCGTATATTGGTCGCCGTTATCGATCTGCTCCCACATATTGAGGTTGTCATATGCTCCTGCGTTGAACTCGAAAGGCACACCTCGCACCCAGTGAAACATCAGGTATGAGCCGGCCATATAAGTTATGTTGGTTAGGGTCCACGATATCTCCTGGGTGACACCGGGTATTATATCGAAGAGGATCTTGAGACCAAGTATGATGACGGGGTGTATCGTCCAGGCTCCTGCGAACGTCTGTCAGTCTTCTGTCAAGGCACCGGTCCACAAGACTGCGGAAGCGTACCTTTTGCGTTCACCCATTGCGAGTTGAGGTTGGGCAGGGCGGACTGATCGCTGATCTGTTCTAACGACTCGGGCGGTTCTTGGTATATTATACTGCTAGATCTCCTCCGTCGGCCGCTTTTCGTGGTACTCATGCTTGGATCGTAGGACGAGACGAGAGGAGCAAGTCTCGCATTGGCTTCAAAGGAGATGCTTCGGTGAAGGGCTGTTTGGGAGGTCATCTGCGGAAGAGATGAGATGTGGTGGGTGTTAAGTAGTCGACGCCTGCTTGTGGTCAGCACGGCGAGCGTTGGAGGTGGCGTCAGGACTCGCGGGTACCTGAAGTGGTGGCAGGCGGGACAAATCGCGTTGAGCACGGCACGACTGAGAAAGGTCCGGATTCTGACTTGGTAAAGTAGAGTAGAATTCAGCAGCGATTGAGTCCAAGGTGAGAGGTTTCGAAAGCTGTGCAAGTAGAGTGTCGAATATCCGGAAGATCAAAGACCGAAAGGGTATGTATGCACTGAGACACGCTGTGGTGGTTTCACATCGAGAATTCATGGGGGGAATGACCAAAATGGAGAGGCGAGCCCAGCTTCCAGTTAAAGGACGCTGCATACGTAGCCATCTCACTGAGCGAGCCCTGCGCGGCTACAGGCAGCACACGACCATTCCGACTCGGCGTTTGTCTTTCGGCGGACCTGCCCTTCTCGGCGCTCGCCCGGGTCCTTTGTGGCAACTTTCACCACACGCTCAGCAAGTTTCTTGAACACGGCGTCGTGGTCTGAAAGGTATCTGATGAATAGACTCGCTCTCCATGATGATGACGACAATGATAGCGAGTCTAGGACCTCCGCTGTAGGTTCGAGCCGCCAGATCAGGCGAAGAGGTCAAGTTCATGCCGCACCTTCCCTTTCAGCTGAATCGTTGTCACCTTCATCTCTCAGTTCAAGCATAGCCTGCGAGAGTTTCGAGCCTACCAGCTTCTCGGTTCCCCAAGTTTCCGAGGTAGCTCTGTTGCAAGCAAAGTCCAACAGTGTCGCAATGGCGGCCAATTCAGGGTATGGGAATAACCGTCTAGCTACTGGCTTCCGCCAGATGCCACTGCCTCAACCTCGGCCGGTCATGCGCAGATCACCCGACCCTCCCCAAGCGGCTACCTCTCTGGGCGCTTCCGCTTATGAAACCATTGAGATTTCTGACGACGAGGAAGAGTCGGACGGTGGGATGGTCATTAACGTTGGCAATTCCGAACATGAAGACGCTTCCGACTCCATGGATGTCGATGAAGTCTACGGCGCACAGTCAAGAGGAGGTGTCGCAGAAGCCCATTCCTCTGCACGAGAAACACCCCAGTCCTTGTCTTCCACAGGACACGAAGCTCACAGCCAGCTACAGGGCGATCTCGAGCGATTTGTCAACGTCGTCTCTACCGAATCCTCCGGGACGAATTCTAGCATCCATGCATGCCAACGGTTGGTGGATCTGAGCCCAGAAGACCTTGAGAACCAACTCAAATACGCCTTTTTTGATCTGGACCCCGACACCATAGATCTCGATCAGCCCGCCGTCTGCCTCAGCTGTCTTCAGCCAGGTCATGCTGAGCGAAACTGTCCCGAAATTGTATGCGTCTACTGCTCGAAGTCCCATTCCAGTCGCTCCTGTCCCCGGCTTCAGCGGTGCTCAAGGTGCCGCGATAGAGGGCACACCATTGACTCTTGCCGGAGTAGCCTGAAGGTTACCACAGTTCCTTGCGATATCTGCGGAGGTCTGAGCCACGTTGAAGAAACATGTCCTCAACGATTCTTCCCACAAAGCAGAACCCCTGTCGGCGAGCCTCTGAAGCTCTGGATCTCTTGCAGTGTCTGTAACAGCAAGTCACACCTGGTGGGCGACTGTGCACTTGCCAATCAAGCAGCAACAGCAAGATGGTCTCTGAAAGCCTTCCCGCAGGACTCGATCATCAATCTCAGCCTCGGGGCCGACACGGCGCACATGGAAGAAATGGCTGCCAACCGCGGTCTCCGGCCAGAAGGCCTCAAGATTAGAGGTCGTGCAGGCCTTCTTAGCGCAGGTGTACCGAGTTCGGCGCAAGAGTCAGACGACACCGACGAAGAGGGGCAGTTCATTAAGCCAGCGGTCAAGAGGCCAGCGGTCAAAATTCTTGACGTACCCATCCCACCCAACTTCAAACTTTCGGAGCCAAAACGCCCCGTGCAAGCAAGAACAGGTGCAGCGTTCAAGCCCGCCGAACCCCAGATTAATGTTGGGAACACGCCAAACCGGTCCATTCTCAAAGAATTCATCGACGAGCTGAATAGTTCGAGGCAAAAAGAGGGCAAGGGTCAGGTCCAATTGGAGTATCGCGAGTACGCTTCCATTTTCTCTGTGGTGATCTCATGTCTAACTTTCGTACAGGAACGGACCCCACATCGTCGACCTTGCCAGGCCTGCGAGAAAGTCCAAACCCATTGGCATGGATAGCGAACAGAAACGCGTCATTTGGGAATGGGTCAAGGGGGGTAAGAAGAGCGGAAGGACCGTTGCTAGTGCACGATCGCGTCCTGCCTCGAGACTGGGCGAGGCATATCTTGTCTAGGAGTTCTGGGGTATGCTTACGTGAGTCATGGCACGGCGTCGAGGTTGTGGCTTCTTAAGCAACACTTGTTGTGCTTGGGGCGACGGTGCTGGCCGCTTTTCAGCGCAGCAAAGGCATAGATGTATCATCAGGATAAGGCGGTATCGGTGGCTGGCTGACGGTCACTCAGACGATAGCTATGGGAGGAACCTTGATATCAGTACCATGACGCCCACGGCCAAACTGGAGGCACGTCTTTCAAAAGCCATAAAAACGAAAATTCAAATTTTACGTACCGGGGCCCCGTCGCAGGATACAGGTCACCTCCTCATGCGCGTTCATGGCGAGATTCTTCTCAGACATATTGCACCCACCTCTTCCGCTTACCTAGACACGCACCTCAGTGCCACACAGCCAGCTCGACTCGGAGCACGAAGCATTTTGAATGCGCTGTGGATTGCTGTTGGCCCTGAACAGGGACCGAAGCAGCAGGATACAGCATCTACAGCAAGCTTGGAAGCGCGGAGAGATACTGCGATCGGAGGACATACGGTACTGGCTCACGCAAGCGCATGGCATTTCTGGCGCGTCCACCGCAGACCAACGTCGCACTTGTTGTGTACTGACGCCATGCTCTAGTTATGTATTGTACGCGCGATGCAAAGCTGTCCTTTTCTTTCCAGCCGATCCAGTCCTGGGTTTTGTACAATGACAGAATGGTGTAACTGCCCCACCGCTCTGCCAGCACTCATCTGCGTGTCCAAAATCGCAGTCAACCTCGCTCACAGCGGAGTTGAGGCCAGCATCACAGCAAAGGCTGCAAATTCCACCACGCATCGTCCTGATCGTGCTCATTACCACTCAATCGCCCTATCCGCAATCAGTTCACTGTCATCCCAATCGCCTTGCTTCTTGACCTTCGACTCCGGTGGGTGCACAATGATGTTGTCGGAAAGGGCCTGCTCACCACCATTGACGTATTCCAACATTTCCACGTCACCTTCGCCGCCACCGCTACCGGTAGCTCGAGCCGGCGGCATGGCCGACATTTGATTTTGCGGGGGATTCCGCGAGGGAATAGGAGGTGGTTCATCAGGTGGCGGATACACAATTTCTCGTTTTACTGCCTCGGCCAGGGTATCGATCTTCTCTGCGTCGAGATAGATCAAGAGGTATGGATTCGGTGGGGGGTTACTGGCTGAGTGCTGGCCTTGAGCATATGGATTGCCGAAAATTTCGTTTCTGTTCGTCACGAGGGAGACGCGGTCGTCGTTATATTTCCGCCAGATTTCCTTCTTGTGATCGTAGATGTAGACCCAGTAGTGGCCGCCGCCAGCACTTCCGCGGTGGAAGAATGCGGCGTGCAGGCGATAAGGGTGTTTGCGCATGTCGGCGAAGGATTCTTTGATTTGCTGAGTGAGTTGGGTGATTCGCCCTCGAACTTCTGTGAAAGGTTAGTGAAGTCTATAGTATTTGAGGGCGGCGAGACTCACCTTCGAGCTCACACCGAGCGTTTTCCGCAAGGGTCCCTAAGATTGCGATGGCGGTCGGATTGATGTCCAAGCTTTCCGATATTTGATCGCTAGGAATCTCTGACAGGTGCTCCAGAGCGATCTTTGCATCTTCGAGAAGGCTTGGGATGTCGGCGGATTTGGCCTGCACAGAGGTAAGTCATTAACGTTGAAGCAATTGCAGTGAAGCATATGGCCTACATATTTCTCTTCCAACTCGTCCCTTCGAGCAATAAGCAAGGACAGCTCTTTCTTGATCTCCCATGTCTGCTGCCGTCTTTTCATCAGGTCGGACTCTGGTGGACTTTCAAGGTATCGATCCATGTAAACTGTCTCCGGCACGTCGACATGGTAATTGAGCTTCTCTTGGCGTTTGGTCTCATTGTTCCACGACACTCGATCTAGAGCTATGCTCAGCACTGGCGGTAGGCCTGCGATAGAAGTATATGCCCTGGCACCACTTTGCGCGTCTTGAAGGTCGAACTCATTGTCGATCGCGGCGTAGACGTCGCTCGGTCTTTGGAACACGCGTGTAATAATATTGAGGAAAGGCAATGTTACTGGTGGCTCCTTTTGAGGTTCAGTATGGACAATTTGCTGCCCAAAGAAGAGATCATGGATCTCGTCAAGTTGCTCGCCAGACTTGTCGAAGCCTGTGGGCCGCAGTGCATATGACAACTGGATGATGCAGTGGTTCATGACCTCCGTGACATCCTGCTGTCGCGCATACTCTTCCAATGTCGTGGTTGGATTTTGAACTGGCTTCCGTGGAGGCACTGGCGGTGGCTTTCCAGGAGGCGGAGCGAACTTCATGAGTTCGGGATCTATGTCAGTTGCCTTGTTGGTTGTCTGCTCGGACGACGCGCGTGCTTGGGCATTCAGCTTTGACGCTGGGGTTGGCTCTAGAGGCTGACCTGTCCAAGGCGATACGGCGATCGTTGCCGACGGAGGCTTGGTCGGCGACACATTTTCCTTGTTATCCACCACTGACGCTTGTTCCTGCTCGTTGGTCCCTTCGACGGTATTCTGTTCGCTGTCGGGCTTGGAGACAAGGGTGATTTCACTGGAGTTGTCGTTCATCGTTGCGTCGTCAACTGCATCTGCGCCACTGGCGGCATCAAGTATTGAGGCATCGAAAGTGGAAAGAGGGTCGTCGACAGCGTCGACCTCGGCAGGAGACTGGACAACCGCGGAATCTGGTGCGCCATTAGCCGCAGAGTCGTCCTTGGGTAACGGGCCCAGTAGAGGCATGTTGTCAATGGAGCCTAAGCTGGGCCGCTCGTTGGACTTGAGGGTCGATCTGCGCCGCATCTTCTCCTTGACGCTCTCGGTTTCTAGCGTCAAGCGCGCCAATTCCTGTTCTGGCTTGATCGAAGACTGCGGAGTCTGAATCATGCCGCGAAACAGCGATGCCAGGTTATCAACGAATTTCTGCGCACTCTGAACCTCTTTGACACTGACTCTCCGCTGTCCAACACGTTTTGTTTCCATGCTTTTCTCGTCCAGATTCATCTTGTACCTGTCGAAGTCGAGCACCAGCCGTCGCAGCTTGTTCATGGTGAACAAAAACTGCAAGAGACTGTTGAGGTAGCAGGTGTTTCCGATATTTTCGAGACCAACGGGTTCTTCGGGGGTGCCTTGCGGTTCCTTGGGCGCCGCGCTGTGCAGTTGATCCAACAAGATTGAACTCTTGCGTTCGCGTGCGATGGCGGTCAGGGCTCGATTGAAGTGGTCGACGCTACCGGGGTTATCCTCAACAGCCATGGTGTACTGGAGCAGAACCATCTCGTCTTCGACCGCCCGGTTTTCGATCTGGAGAACTTGGTATCCTTCGGCGGCCTCCATGACGTTGTGCGCGTCTGATGAAAATCCGGAGTCAATCCACTGGGTCAAGAATCGACTTTGCCGGTGCCTTGCGATCAGACGAACAGCCTGGATGGCCTGGTCCTCTAGAGTTTTGTTCTCGGAGGTCTGAAGACTGTCAGTGTGTTTGCCTAGAGCCTGGGGTGAAGCGACAAACCTTGACAGCAAACAGTGCTTGAATGCTCTCATCATCATTTGAGGCATCTGCATCCAAGAAGGCAAGCGCCGCCTCGTAGGTATCGATTACTGCGCGATAATCAGTTATGGTAGTCCCGGCCGCTCTGACGCACTCACTGTTCATCGCTGCGTCTGTGATACGTTTACTGTTACGATGGACGCCTATAATCCGCAAGTAGTCTCGCAGTTGGTGCTCGTGGCCTGGGGAATCTGCCAGCTGGGCGGTGAAACCCCCGATGACATCCTCATCGCTGATTGTACTTTCCTGCCCAAGGAAATGCAAGGCTCTATAAGCCTCCTTCAACATCTCTGTATCGAATCGGCCCTGCGACGTCTCTATGACGACTTCAGTTTCCAGATCAGGGCTTTGGCGATGGCTTGCGATGTGTTTGAGGCTACTGAGATATACAGGTGCATTTTGCGGGTCGGTCTGTACTTGCCATTGATATGCTCTGGTAACAAGCGAATCGGACAGGTCCATCGGAGCACCAAGGGCAATGAAAGGGGGTGTTCGCATTTCCGGAGAAATATGTGATGCCCTGCTTGACGGATGCGAGTCATCTACACCATATGTTAGCAGACCACGTGCGGCTCGGGGTAGGCAACGCACAGTCTTGACACCCCAGGGCCCGTGAGAGTTCCCTCTCGGCAGGTACAGGTGGTGGTACATCTTGGAGTTGCTGACGTTCCTCGTAAGGCCGTGACATGATGAGCGTTAGCAGCTCGTGCTCGGCATTGTCCAACCACAGATTGACGGGACTTTCGTAGGGCTGCTGGTCCTCAAAGTCTGGTTCTGGCACCATCCAGCAATCACCCGGCTACCAAACAACAAGTCAATTTCGACACAAGAACGTAATACAAATCCTGACCTACCACCAGTTGAAACCCGAGATGCTCCAGCACATCTCTGCAAGCACCGCCTTCTGGACCAAACCGAACAATAAAGCGCTTGTTGGACAAATTGATCGACTTGAACTTCGGATCATCTTTCGCTCTCCATGAGTTCTTCAGGTAGGCTCTCAGATCGAGCAGGACGTCCATAGGGCCCGGATGCCGCATCCCCTCGGTGTTTCCGCCTCTTTCCCGAAATGCATCTTCTGTTCTCTGCCGGAGCAAACCAGGATCGGTCAGGGTGTGAATGTCGTTCTGACGAAGCACCGGGGGACTGAAGCGGAGGGTGACTGTGGCAGAGCAACTATGTGAAGAGCACTTGTACGTGTATATCTCGTCTTGAGAGTTTGGGTTCAGACGCCTCCATGCATTCCTCTCCAGAGGCTCTTGAAATTCCGACCTCACCAGGTGATGCAAGGGATGTCGAGGACTCGGACATGGCTCCTCGTCGAATCTGATGGTGTAGTCAATCTTGACGTGGAGATGCACGCGGCACAGTTGACAGACAGCTGCTACGGTCCATATCGTCTGAGGTCCCGGTCTTTCGTCCAACGCAGGCGATTGATATTGTTTTGGCTTCAGTCCGAACTTGTGTCTGCAGCTCTGAGGAGGTAGGGCTTCCGCCAGGTACTGGACGTTGGTGAATGTGAGTGGAGAGTCGGCCAGCAGGTTGGGTATGTCCCTTGAGTCCCGCCATGGCGCATAGAGCGTTACGTCCTCGAGGAGAGCTGGAGCGGTGCGCCCTGTGATGTACAAGTTACTATGATGCAAGCTCTTGCTATGCGTTCTCTCTACGCACCGGATCCTTTGATCGGCGCAATGAATGACCGGATATTCCCTTGCACCCCGGCCATCAAAGATGGATTGGCGGTGGATTACCGGCTACCTAGGCGAGCACCAGAGGGAGAGGGGACGGCGGATTGAGGCGGCGAAGCAGGTGAGAAGGAGAAGCCTCTGAAACAGAGTCATGCGAACAATGGCGATTTGGAATAGCACATCTACTATGATGGAGAGGTGAAAGTGAAGGTCGGTCTTGGGCAGACCACGCGGAGACTGAAAGGAAGGCTGCCCAAGGCTGTTGGCGATGCAGGTCCCCGTCGACGAATGACAGAAGGGTCGGCACGCTGGATCATAGGTGCAGAGCAGCTATCGACAGTTCGAAGTGTAAAACGGGCCTGCCATCGCGGAAGAATGGCTGTTGCAGCGTATTGGTAGCAGCCTGGCAATGGCAAATAGTCTTGACTTGTCGAAGCTGGAGATTCTATGTATATCCGGGGGCGCGTAGCCTTCGGCGGCGTCATTTCGTGCCAAGCCTGCGCATCTCCAACATCAGAGCTTCAACTGCAGATGCTCCGTACGACAGCGAACAAGATTGCAGGAGCGAATCACCAGCCTTTCTGCACACCGTTCCCTTGCACGTTTCTCCCTTGAGTTGCTTTCTCCCGTGCAGCTCCTGATGAGTTGAGCTCCTTGGTTCGAACTTCCACAGTCAAGACCGCAGCCATGGGGGACCTGGTCGACCCGAAGCCAAATCTCGACGTCGACGCTGACGTTAGCGGAGTCTACCAACCCCAAGATGCCCTCGGCCGCTCTGCCCGGTCGGCAATGATGACGGGCGCCGCGGGACTCTTCATCGCCTCGGTACAGAACACGGTAGCGAAGGAACAAATTGGTGCTTTCGGAGTGTTTACGCGGTTTGGGAGAACTATTGGTCTACTCAGTATGGCTGGCACAATCTTCGCGGTCGAAGCAGGACAAGTGCTGACACCTTCCAGCGGCAATGGGAGGAGTTTTCCAGTTCACCAGCATCGCCTCCGCGAATCTGCGTGAGAAGAATGACTTTGTCAACCACACAATTGGAGGTGCCCTTGCTGGGTCTCTAAATGGTCTTTGGAGTACGTTAACACATTCCGACACATAAAGAATGTTACTGAACGCCCGCAGAGCGGTCGATGGTATCGACGTTAGGTAGCGCTCTCGCCTTGGGCAGCGTAATGGGTGTGATCAGCTACACGGGTCGCACCATGTTCGAGTCAGCTGCAGACAAGCCTTTCGCCGACCGAATGGCATATAAAGATGAGGCCAAGGCGCGGTTCAGGAGACCTCTCAACGAAACGATAAATGAATTGGGAGAAGGCAGAGGTAAGATTGTTCGTCGGAACACACTTTTGAGCGGCGCATTGACCCAACTTAGGCATCTACGGACCCGGGTATGAGGAAAGGCGGAAGCAGAGAATCAAGGAAAGATACGGCTTCGATGTGCAGCCGCCATATTATGAAAACAAGTCTGCACCTGGTGCATAAGAATCTTCAATCTGTGGTGGCTCATTTGACCCAACCTCGCATGGGACTGTCTCCAACCGATTGATCTCAAAAGGACAAGACGAATGCCACGGACAAGCGGATGGACTTCGATGAGGAGCAAGTCATGCAACTGGCGAAGCGGTAAATTCTCGCACTGTAAATAGTCAAACAAGACAGCATTATCCGAACGGCGCTGACCCTTCCACGTGGGATCTTGGAAAGGCTTCGGTCCGGCGCGGATTCTTCGTGCAGAGTCACATCTGCGCCTCAGACAATTCGTTCAAGTTTACAGACCATTCACACGCAAGCAAGGCGTTTCACTCGTTCTACTGTCCATCCCCGAAACCGAGCTTTGCAAAGGCAGCAGCCGGCCGACAGCAAATGTGGAATGAGGAAAGACAATCCTGGTCAATGATGAGCGCAGCAATGCAGCTGTGTCAGTCAGCAAAGTCTAGCCGGGCCTGGGACTGGATCGTTCACATCAAGATGGTTAATCGGGCGGCCATCAGACGCGGTCATCGTAAGAGGTGCTATGCATATTTATTGATCGTGGGAGCACGCCCCGAAGACGAGGAATCAACTGACAATCTCCATTTCTGGTCTCAGCATCACCCAAGCACATAATTATTCTCTGTCGTCGCCCAGCAAATGCTTTGCTCTGAGTTAAGAATTTTTGCATATCCCCTATCATTTGCAGTGGGTCGCGGAACAAGATGCAGGTCGCATCTAACGGTCAGTCGTGTAAGATGCGGAACTAATTAATCAGAACACCGTGGAGAGTACCTCTCCGGGAGGTCAAGCATGTGCAGACGAATAGCCAACCCACTCAACCGGCACAGGTGCTGGCATATTAATTAGGGACTCGCGAACAACAGCAGCTTCGTTAGTGGCTGATGCGGCCCCCCGGGAAAAGTACGTCGTTCAGTCGTTCGGATGATCGGTAAACCGCTGTGGCACGGATCGGTGGATGGCCATGATGGATGATTGACTGAATGTTGAGATCTTGAGCTTCCTACCTTTTTGGGACCACCCAGCTATTCTGACTTAGTCGTCATTCCAAATCGCCAGCAAACAACTCGCTACCGCAGAATGCAAGCTGGTCTTGTCAAAGTACCGGGATCTCTATTTATGCCGTATCTGTATGACCACGGCCATTCATCGAGGCAGTTCTGCATGCTGTTAGGTCCCGAGCACGCCCGCAACATCCTGCATATGCAAGCGTGGTTGTACGTCGAGGTTGCCCAGGATCAATGTAGATAGCTCATTCCTCAATGCGGTTAAACTCGACTATCCGCGCCCAAAAGATGCCGTCTCTATGATGCCCGAACGGTGGGTGGCTCCATCAAATAGTTCCTGTGGCTAACCATGCGAACACGGGGCGGTGACAGCTTCCCTTGTGCGGCATGCCCTTGCAATGTACTCCGTACACGGAAGCTCACGCTCGGCTTTCGAAGCATATTGACATGCCGTTTGTGGCTTGAGAAATAGTCGAAGTCAACGTACTGTGTACGCTGTCACAGCAGCACAGGGATAAAGCGAATGGAGCATCGCATCAGTGTCGGAAAATGGTGATGTCTATCAAAGAAGATCAATCGTCACTCCACCTCTTTTCGCTCAGCACTCAATCTCGTGTTAAGCCCCATCAGCGGTGGCCGCCAATCGTGAGTCGCTGAAGCTCGGTTCAATACCCCGTTCGCCAACGGTAGGCGCCAAATCCACCCCTCGACTTGCCCAGTTCAGGCTCCCCACAGCGCCTACTGTGTAAAGCCTCTGCGATTCGACCACCTCCTCCCGCTGTGCGCCGGTGGCACTGAGCAACTCGAGGAAGCCGAGTCCACGCCCACCAGCCTCTGGCGGCCCCCACCAGAGACTCCAAGCTCGAAGCGTCACCTTCCCGGCTTGGGGCCTGGCAGCTCGACGTCGATACTCCCACCTGCCCTCGATCATCATCATCACCGTCTGTTCTTCTTGTGCCTTGGGATCGACGTCATACACTTCCAACTCCTCGCGCCGCAACTCAATTCCCCGGTAACCCCAAGCTCCTGAGTCTCCTCGGTTCAGCTCCGTCGAAGCCAAGTTCTAATCCCTCTGTCCTGAAAGTCTCCCACCGTCGCATACCGAAGCGCGCCAAAGCCGAGTCCAGTCGTTCCCATGATGCCGTTCGCAACATAGCTCTCCCCAAACGAGCTTCACCTCCCTTACCGAACGATAACTGTCTACAAGAACTCGAGAACTAGGCTTGTTCTATCGCTACCACCTCCTCACAATGTCTTCGAGACCTGTCACTCCCGTCTCGCCCATCCAGAGCGCTCGTCCCGACCCTTCGATACACTCCGCGCGGCCAACTAGTGCCAGATTATCCTCCCGGCCCGTATCTTACGTCGGCACCCAGCACACCCAGCCCACCGATACTGGGTCACAATTCAATCATTCTCAAGCGGCTTTGCAAGACCATTCCGCGCTGGCGCAAGCGGCCGATCTCCACGATGAGGTCGTCAATCAGAACCAGGAGTCTCCAGAGCTCCCACGAACGAATTCTCACATGTCAGGGTCACAGACCCTACTACCTTCGAGAGGAGGCACCTTGAAGAAGAAAGCTTCGCTGCACAAGAGCGCCAGCCTCAAAAGGACTGCCAGTAAGAGAAGCAGCTACGCTGGTTCCGTGCGCAGCTTGCAGTTGGGAGAGAAAGAGAAGTACGAGGAAACTCCAGAAACTAATAGCGTCTTCTACTGTCCTGTGCCGACCACTGGGAACCCAACAGAGCTGCTGGCAACCCGGTTTCAAGGTAAGACGATCAAAGCCTGTTAGACCTCAACACTGTGGCTGACTCATTCGCAGCATGGCGCAAAGTCCTTAAGGATATAATCAATTATTTCCGCGAACTACACAAAACTTATGAAACACGGGGGAAGGCCCTCATGTCGACTTCCAACATCATCAACAATACCACCATACCACCCAACTTCTTGTCCCAAGGCGGTGTGGGAGACGCCACCTATATTTTGCGAGATTTCCATAAGCAAGGTCTGAGCGAAGCCAACAAGGCTCGGGACCTTGAGAACGAGGTCATCATACAACTGACCGGCCTGCGTAGCGATCTGCAACAGAAGATCAAGGAGATCAAGAGCTTGTCTGGTGATTTTAAGAATTCAGTAGACAAGGAAAAGGAGGCTACCAAAAGGGCAGTCCAATCTTTGCAGGAAGCACTTGGGTCGGTCGATCACGATGCAGCATCCACGAGCGGAAAGGGTGATCCGTTCCTCGTCAAGCTAGCGCTCGATAAACAACTTGAAAAGCAGATTGACGAGGAGAACTATTTGCATAGGGTATGGTCGCTGATGTCAACATGCTAAGGACTGCCATGCTAACCCTCACAGGCCTATCTTAACCTAGAAGCCTCCGGTCGTGAGTTGGAGTCCATCGTGGTCGGTGAGATCCAGAAAGCGTACAATGTGTTGGCTGGCATTCTTCGCCGCGAGGCCGACGAGAACTATGACACCGCTGAAAAGTTGAAGGAAGGCCCGCTGGCAATGGCCAAAGATCACGAATGGGATGAGTTTACTACGAATAACAGTCAGATGGTTGACCCCAGAATCCCAGTCAGGCAAGTATCTCATATTGTGTACCCTGGAAAGGATCATCCTGCCGCCATCGAAGTGAGAAGCGGTATGCTGGAGCGTAAGAGCAAGTACCTGAAAAATTACACCCCTGGGTGGTGAGTACAGCCAATCCACGATTATACGTGCCGGACACTGACATGTTTGGCAGGTATGTTCTTTCTCCGACTCATCTGCACGAATTCAAGTCGGCAGACCGGATTGCGTTCCAGACCCCTGTCATGTCATTGTATCTGCCCGAGCAGAAGCTGGGCTCCCACTCAGAGATGGACTCTTCTTCACATAAATTCATGCTCAAGGGCCGGCAGACGGGGTCGATGCACCGCGGCCACGCCTGGGTGTTCAGGGCTGAGTCGCACGATACGATGCTCGCCTGGTTCAATGATATCAAAGAGCTCACCGAAAAGCGAGGAGAGGAACGTAACGAGTTTGTCCGACGAACGCACGCCCGCTCATTTTCTGGCAACAGTCTCAAAGCTGCGAGCATCATCAGCTCCGAAGGCGGATTGGAGGATGACGAGGCCGACCGTGTTGCTTTCTCTGGCGAACAATCTGTGCGAGGAAATTCGGTCGCTCCGCCCGATCGGGTCGCTGTGGCCGGACTCGGTGGACTCGGTGTCGGAGCGGGTTCGCATGACAACGAAGACAGCAGATCTGAAGCCGGATGGCGTCCTCCTCCACAACGACCAGCACCAGGTGGGCGATTTCCGTCAGATCTCAACGTCCAGCGCGGCTTACAAGCTCCGCTTTCCCCTTCTAGTGGAGAGAGTTCTGACCGAGACCGTGATGTAATAGCAGCCGCAGGTGGTCTTCCGGGAAGCGGGGTGCCTTTCGCAAACACAATGGAGAAACACACGGATTTGCAGCCGGAAGGGCATCAGCCTGTAGCCCCAGCTCCTCAGCTGAACACGGGCAACCAGTACACTCAAGGTCAACACCCTAACATATTTCCAGCGCAACCTACTCCAGCGCCTCATGACGGAGTCAGTGAGTATGGCGAATGGATGGCACCAATCGCGGCTGGAGGCGGAGCTGCGGCCGGAGTTGCGTTGGCAGCAAGCACGATACATCGGCACAAGCAGCAACAGGAACAGGAACAGAGGGACCGCGACCGTACACCGACGGCCGCTCAAAGGCTGGACGGGGAGGCGGCGATTCCACAATATGGCGAGTCCTCGGCCCCGATCCCTGCTGAAACCGCTGCACCGATTGACGCACCTACCGAGCCTCGTGCAATGAGTGGATCGACCACGGCACCCAGCTCTGCTGTTGCGGATACCATCTCCTCCGGCACCGACACTGGAACGTTGTCGACTGTGCCTACGAGCACAGGGTACATGGCGCCAAATGGTTCCCTGTTTGACGCTAACGGTGTCTTTGTTGGACCCAGGGAAGCCAAGACCGCTCCGACCGAGTACGTTGTAAGACAACCGGCGCAGCGGTCACAAAGTCATACGACAATTAGTCACTTGCACGTCCCTGGTGAATTTCCCTCTACACTGCCACTCAACGAAGATTCGAGGATCTACCGTGATGTGGTGCAACACTGAAACTGATCCCGAGCGGCAAGATGCGCCTAACCGTGGAGGTGTTCTATGGGAGGGTGTAACAGATGTCGGCCATCAGTCCCATCGTACCGTGACAATTTGCGAACACATGTTCAGCGCTAATAGTCGAGATTTACCGCTGCTTGGTGCAAGTTTTTGGCGTTCTTCAACTCGAGTGGAGGTGTCGTACGATGGGGTTGGCGGACATCCCGACAACATCTCCTTTGCATAAAGGATCGTTCGAGAAACAGGGAGGAAGACAAAGCCTTCCAAGGCTTCGAAGCGGAGTACATGCGGCGTCAGCGGGCTTACCCTGCTGAAACGAATCAAAATCTTTCAAAGTCTGGTCCCGCTTGATTTATTCCGTGTAGAACTAGCTTGTCTCACGCTATGTTCTAGGTGGTCTATATTATCAGCTTGGGATGAAACAACAGAATTGGTCGACATGCCCGAGCAATGTCTGCTGCTCTATGTACAGCTTGCTCGCTGGGTCATTCGCGACAAGATACTTTCTCCACCCAGAGTGAGCGAGATTACAAGTCGAGCGTATACTGCCTACTTATCAGTACGACAACATACTCGCGATATCTGTATAGCGGCGAAACGATCAGAAAGCGTGACGAGACTGTGCCGCTCCCTGTTACCAACATTTTTGCGCGTTGGACAAAGATCTGGTGCACCTGGACAGGTACTCTACAGGACGGCTGCGTTTCTCGAAGCAAATCGCCTTAAGGTACACTGACCTTCAAGCCGTGGACGCACAAGAGCGATGATGGAACAGAGCAGCACGCAAGTTACAAGCCCAGTCCGAAAGTGATCTTGCAGCTCGACTCGCGCACACACCGGGAGAATTTCGAGGACTTTCGGCGGGCGTTTACTAGGAGCCACAGGGTCGAGAGAGGGTTGTGCTCGAGGCGCCGCATTATATGGAGTTGAGTGATTGGGGGCCGGGATCGGATTGCGAGGTGTGTCCGGTTTTGCGATCGAGTGTGCGGCCGCCAAAGCTGTCAGCGGAAAGTTATCCTCGTGAACATGAGTAATCGCCGTCTGGATATACAGTCCGAAGTACGGAGTACCAGGAGAAGATCCTGTTAGTTGGTCCATCCACGCCTGTCCCAAGAGCGCGACACGAGTTCGGGTCGGATTAATTATTTCTCCTTCCGACTTCCTCGACTCGACCCCTCACTAATTAACGCGCTGCTCAGGCAACGGGCGAGCAGTAGTTCAACCACAAGCGATCGAGCGGTGCGAGCTTCCGAAAAGCTACACAGTACTCTGTAGCTGTGACCCGATACTCTGTAAATCTAGAATAGACCCATCCTTCTTTCCCACCGCATCGCGCACACGCATATAGCATGCTACCACCATAACGCCGGCATGGCCACCACCAGCCCCGAAGTTCGAAACGGCGACTTCCTCTACCGCGACACGCTCTTCGTCGACCTGGGCCTCAACAAACGCCACCCCCGCGCCGCGGTCCAGGACTTGAAGGAACTGCTTCTGCCCAAAAAGGGCGGGTCTGCGTCCGCGCCGCCCAAGGACCAAGTCGCGCACTGGTATGAGGCGCAACTCATCCACTATGGCCTCCCGCGGTCCCGGGACAAGAATACCGCGAAGGTGAGGCTGACTAATGCGCTTGCTTCGAAGACGTTGGGGGTGCCCAAGGACATTGTCGCGTTGGAGGGGGAGATGAAGAGGGAGTATGCTAGTGCGTTGAGACGGACCAAGTCTGGCGCTGGCGGTGCGATCAAGGGCGAGATGAAGGTGGCGGAGGGCAAGGCGGCGAAGAAGAGCACGACCGCGAGTACCGGCACGAGCAAGTCCAAGACGACAGTGGCGCTGGAGGTTGGCGGGACCAAGGTCACGATTGATCGCGAGGATATGGAGGCTGCGAAAAAGCGATCGACGGCGTCGAAGGCAGCCGCCTCGAAACCGAAGGGCGCGAAGGCGAGTGATTCGAAACCCAAACCTGCGACGGCGTCGACGGCAGCAACGCCAAAGACGAAGGATGCGAAGGCGAGTGACGCGAATCCTAGACTTGCCACAGGGGCGGGAATTGCCGCAGATGCGTCCCGTTCGCAGTCCCAGGCGATCAAACGGACCGCAAGACGAGGTGGTCATTCAGCCCACAGCGTGTCGGATCGTCTAGTTCCAAGCTCCTCTCCTGAGAAACCACGAGCCAAGCAGACCGCCCGACGAGGTAAAGACGACCCATTTCGTCGTAGTAACAGCGACCGCGGCGCACCAACCTCTTCACACACGTACGATCACACGCCGTTTTCTTTCCAGCATGATGTCGACATGGACGATGCACCACCCGCTTACGAGCCCATCGACTTCCACCAGCAACGAGAATCCCCAGGGCCGGAGGACGACTTCCCCATCTCAGGGACCTACTTCTTCCCGCGAGCTCCGTTCCAGCCCTTTAGTCTCACGCTCCAAGTTGATGACCGCTCACGCCAGCTCTGGGGCCGATTCCAGATCGGGTCCAAGGAGGGAGTCCTTTGCGTGGGTGACATGTCGGGCATTTCGAGTGACCATGCAGTCTCCTTCGGATGGAGATCAGAAGATCAAGACGATGGGTTCATGAAGTTCGGGCGCGGGTGTGATGGAGCGATCGAGTTTGATGGCGAAGGGTGGATAAGAGGCCACTTCAATGGGTTGATGTATGGCGAGGACGTGGAGTTCGTGGGCGAATGGGTGAATGGCGAGGGTTTAGATGTTAGGGAGATGAAGCATATCTGGGAGGACTTTCCTAGGAAGGCGTATGGGAGCGGTTAGGCTCTCCACGTCACGGTTTCTGTCTCAGGCGCAACGGTTACAGTAATGTTGGGAGGAAGAGCGAGATTTGCTCGAACTCACTCCACTGACCTGGGCGAACTGGGGAGGCTTCTTGGAGAGATTGATACCCTGGGACACCTTGTCGCTGTCCGGTTGGCGTGACGCCTGGGGAACCTGTCACAAAAGAGCGCTTTTGGACTGCATGTACCCCTGGAAACATTGTTCGGTTGGAAATAATCTACAGCCCAAGATAAGACTCCGTACTCCGTACTCAAGCACTTGTTTGTGCTCCGCTAAAGACCGTCCACGGAGCCTTCCGCTCCGCTCGAATCGACGCCAACGATTCTTACCTTCGCTACGCCTCCTGCTACTCGACTTCGTTCTTACCTGAGTTCCTCTTTCCTTCACATTTACCATTTTCTTTCCCTCACCTCTACCATCCTCTTTCCCTAACAACAAAATCGACCTGCACAACCTCTCCTGCCGCCTGCATGATCGTGGCGTTCTGTATCGAATCAGCAGCTGCGTGGCGGCCTCGGCGACAGCAGGTGACAGGGATCGGCGTCGACTCGTGTTCTGGCCCGTTCCCAGCCAGCCTCATTCATGAGGAAGAGGCCGCCACTATGTCTTTGTTAACATCAATGCGCACGGGCTGAGATCGCTCATGGCGTCGCGAAGGGACTCGCTGCTATCAGTGCGATCGCCCAAGCAAAGAAAATACTCGACGGACAGACACCAGAGACAGGCGCGGCTCTCGATCGCCATTGAAGAAGGCCGGTCGCTTCGGCCGCCGCTCGCCAAGGAAGACGAGGTGTCCAAGTCTTTTCTCAAGGATGTTTTCTCCAAGCCACAGTCGACCACATTCACCCAGGCTGACTCCTTCCCGTGTCCTCTGGAAGTACACCCGGGGAAGCGCGTCAGGGGGTTTTCCAGCAGCGCGGAAGATGGGACGGAGCTGGAATCGCTAGACTTCAAGAATCCGTTTGCCGAGCCCAATGAAGCGCAGCAACTCGATATCGAACAGCGTGGAGCCATTATTCGCCGCGCAAACACCGACATCAATGCGGAAGAGGCTCATCTACGCATCACGCGCTCGGCCTCGAACGCGCGAGTCCGGGCAAAGCGCCCGTTCGATCGCCTCAGAAGATGGGTGGGCATCAATTCTACCATCAGACCCGGCGCTTTCACTGGGCTGGAATATGCCGCCGGCTTTGCGACCACGTATGCTACTGCGATTCTTTCGCAGAATGCGGCCCTCGTGTACAAGCGCAAGGCCATGTATGTGCTGGAGTATGATGTTGGTGAGGAGTCTTTGCCACGCCAGGAATCTAGTTGAACCATGCTAATCACATACTGTGTAAACTGCAGACGAGCGAGAGGTGCTGCTCTGTGGACCGCCGAAGCAATGCGAAACTGTGGCCAAGTTAAGAAAGTACCTGGAAGAGGACGGCAAGCAGCACTCTCTCCTCCGGCTGGTCTACGTCTGCAACAACGAGGAAGCCATCAACTACCTGAGCGGCGCGTATGGGATCTCGGGCTCTAGCGCCGAAACCGAGGAACGCAGCTTCCGCGACTGGATGCAAGACGACCGCGACCTGCGAAGGGCCTCGCACAAGGCTATCCGGTGGCGCCCCGCCTTCGACATGGCCCGAGGCGTCATATGCACGGCCTTTGGGCTGGATTTTGGATCCCTCGTCGTTGGGCCGTCGCCTGCGCACAACCAGAACCAGAGCCACAACCGCAACCAGATCCGCGTCGGCAATGCCTCGCTCTACCGTCAGCGGATTGCCGTCTACATGCAGCGAGTCTTCTCCGGAGCCCTGCCAGGCCCGCGCGTGACTCGCTTCAACTCTGGATCCCGCCACCTGCCCGACATGGCGAGGCGCGACACGGTCATTATTTGTGAGTACTCGTCCGGCGAGGCCGGGGAGATTGTCAGCGGAAACGTCCTGCTGGGGCTGAACCCCGAGCGCGAGCGCGCATTGCCCCAGAATGCCACGTCGATTCCAACACTTCAGGCTGTCCTGTCCCATGTCTTTGACGGCCTGTACCAGCTGTGGCGCGACCAGATCGCGCTGATCCACGAGCCCCACGCTCTGTTGGAAGACCACATCTACGCACACCCGTCGGATTCGTCCTGCGCGCCCGACGTGTGGGCCATGTCCCAGCGCCTGCACAACATGTTGAAACTGGTGAACCGGCACTCGAAGGTTGTTGAAGCTGTGCAGGATGACTTCGCCATCTTCTCGGAAGGTGAGCATGGGCATACACATGCGCATGACAACGACAATGCCATCGGTACGGGCATTGGCATCGGCATCGGCATCCCCATTCGTACTGGCACCGCCGCCTCAGCCGGGACGAACACGGCAAAATGGCTAACGCCCCTACTGGACGATTTCGAGGTCCTCGCCGAGAACATTGTCACGGACTATCTCCAGCCGTTGGAGCATATGATCGATCTGGTATGTGTGGTGCTGTATTGCACTGATCCCTAGCAGGCGTCTTCCTATCTTTTTTCCGAGATCATACTAACTTGGCCCCCTCCGCCTCCAGCTCTACAAATCCGTAACGATCCGCGACTCGCGACAGTCCCTCGAACTCAACGCCAGCCTCTGGCGCCTCAGCTGGATCACATTCATCTTCCTCCCACTGACGTTCCTGGTCGGCGCGTTCGGGATGAACGTCGACGCTCTTCAACACTATCCAAGTTTGAAGTGGTATTTCGTGGCTGCCGTGCCGTTGGTATGTACTATATGTTGGAGACATGAGATGTGCCCTGGCACGTGCCGGGGGCATGCTTTTCTCTGATTTCCTGCAACTCTTGGAGAGACCACCGCTTTGCTAACACCATGGCGTTGTAGATGATCATGGTGATTTTCTTCTGGTTCGCCATGCGCCGGTTCGCGCCGGGCCATCATCACAAGTCCCACGTTTTGGATGCCACGGTGTTGGGGCCCGGGTTGGGTATGGGTATACGGTCGTTCTAGCCTCAAGAGCTTCTGCCTACAGTAAGATGTCTGTGCCTGTGCCGTGGTGGTGCTGCCGGACGTGAGGTATCTGCCCATTTGTGCTTCGGACGCTTTGATGTCGGATGTCAGACGGCGGATATTGTCTGGGCAGGGAGTATTCCTCTGGTCCGTCTGCTATATACTCGGCTCGGCGTTCAGTGTCAGGGTCATAATAATGATGCGCCCATGTCAATGTCAGTATCAATGTGGATGTGGATGTGGATGTGGATGTGCCTGTGCTTCTGGCTGTGCGTGGTTTGCCCATACCTAAGCAAGGGAAGGGGCGGTCATTCATTCATTCATCATACGGTACTGGTCCGGACAATATGACGATACCCGACGAGACGAGATAATGTATGTGCCATAAGAAGCATTGTTCCTAGGTATTCACGAAATGATACGCGGCGTGACAATGTATGTGTTCAGTAGCATTCTTCCCAGCGCACGAAATGAAGGAACCGGGAGTATCTTCTGTCCTCTCCTGTGGTCATGCAGTCATATATATATTCATGATATACTCGCTCATCACTGATATCCAATTCATCAGCGTTCCAGTTCCAGTAACGAGAGGTCATCTCTCTCTTCTCAATCCAACAGCACCGCCATATAACTGTCGCATTGCCTCTCAATCAACAGCACCGCAATATAACTGTCGGAGACCTCTCATACAACAGCACCGCCATATAACTGCCCTAAAGCCGCCTCGTCCAGGTTCCTAGCCGCAAACTTCTCCAACGCGACTTTCGCCTCCTCGACGGCATCCACCACGGGCAGCATCGATGCCGTGTTATCCCTCATACTCTGCAAATGATTTCGCAGTTGTCCCAGCAGGGTATTCATTTCCCGATCGACGGGGTCCGCTGTCGGCGGCGCGCCGAGTGCCGAATCTGTCGATTCTGTGGATTGTGTGGAGTCTGTCGTCGCGGTGGGCGCGGTTGTCAAACACAAAGATCCGACGTCCAAAGTGCCGGCGGCAATCTTGATCCCCAAGATCGCAGCGTTTTCTCGCGCCATCTCCTCATCCTTGTGCCCGTCCTGGTGGGATCTCGCCAGCGCCAAAGGATGCAACCCCCGTTCCTTCCGCCTCCTCAGCTCTCTACTCCCGCGAAGCCCGTCCTCCAGCGTCTTCAGCTCCTTCTTGTCGAGCTTGAGCGCTGCGTTTTCCCGATTGATCTGCCTGCTCAGAAGGCGCGCGGACTGCATATTCCCCGTCAATTGCGCCTGCAGGGTCGAGATCCGCGCGAGGGTGCCGGAGAGGTCGAAGTCGTCTGCGGCGTGGCTGTTGCTGTTGCTGTTGCCGTTGCGGTTGCTAGAGGATGAGGTGGGCGGGAAGGGCATGCGCGGGAGCCGCGAGAGAAGTCTGTGGGGTACAAACGTTAGTGGTGATCGGGGAGATCGCGAACGGCGCCATGGAATCCGCGAAGGAAAAGTTCGAGGGATGAGTGACGGCGAGTTGGGAACATGCCTCGAAGCCATGTCCTCCACGACCGTCGCGTACTCGGCCTCTGCTATTGCTGTCTTACTCTCGGAGGCCGCCCGCGGTGCGCCAGTTCTAGTTGACTTTCTTGCGCTCGGTTTGCTGACCCGCGGGATCCGCGCGTTCGGTCCTCCGCCGGAGCCTGCGCGCTTGGTTCGCAAGTTCAAGAGGATCGAGTGGATCTTGTCCTGAGAGGACTGCGGGAGAGGTTTCCATTTCTTGCGGATCGTCGCTTGCGGGATGTGCTTAATGCGTGGTTCGAGGGTCGGGCGAGCGTGCACGTTGGCGCGCGCGTGGGCGTAGGTCTGTGACTGTCCTTGGGATTGTGTACGGCCATTCTTCGCGGTTCGGGAGGCGGGCTTCGAGGCGCCCATGGTGGTTGGGTTGTCGAAGGTCAGATTCTGGTGGAGGGTCGCGGTGCGAAGATGGTGCTGAGAGGGGATTGGTAATTGCAGGTACACGCGCCCCGTGCACTGTGGTAAAAGGTATGTTCTTTTCCCTCACGCGTTACTGATGCGTACCTGATGGACGTGAGATGCGGTGTTGATTTTGTGGCCCAATCGGGTTTAGTGGACATGTCGTATCGAATACGAGGGCTGCATTGGAGCCTAGACACACTCGATGGTACGGAGGATGGGTGTCTGCATTATCTTCCCTTGCGCTGAGTAGATAATATGGCTTACGCGCAGTCCTGCTGGCAAACACGCTGAACATGTTATCGTGATCATATGTCGCTCGACCCGCCTGTTACCTCGCTGTGCTCTATTCTCGAGTCGAACTTTAAACTGAACATGAAATCGGTCGTCTGAGGTAGCCCTTATCCATGCTGATACGGGCGAGATGGCCCTCATCGTCATCTCACCTGCAAGTTTTCATTGTTCCGGCCCGTTCGCATACTTCATCAATCTGGAGTAAGACGAGACGGGGATGACTAGGCAATCTGAGCGTGTTGAGAAGAAGAGGGCTAGGTTGTCTTTTCCGAGGACGACAACTTTCGCGCGAACTGACGAGATATTGCCGGGCCGTTTCTCGCCGCGACATCATCAAACCGTCGCTGAAATGACGGGCTGATTGAATTGACTCTGTATTTGGCTTTCTATTGTCTAATGTGTCAATCATCCACTGTTGGTAGGTATCCTTCCAGAATCCACCGTCTAGTAGGTATACTGAAAGTCTGCAACACCCTCAATCAACCGCCCCTTGGCTCTTGCTCTCCGGTTGGCGTACCAGAACCATACCGTACACGCACACACCACCACTATCATCAACAAATGGCTCCCAATACTGACCCAGATAGCTGTCAGATACCGCGGTGCCTCCCTCTGCCGGACGATGTAACTCCCCGCAATGCCACCGAGTCCGTTACAGGCGGAAATGGCGGCGGCGACGGTCGCGCGCTTCCACTGTCCGACGATGTTATTTGCCTGGTAAGCGCTGAGGGCAGCCCAATTGGAGATGTATGCCCCGGTGGCGAGAAACGTGCCGATATATCGCACCGTGACTTGAGTGGGGAAACCGAGCATGCAGAATCCGACGATCAAGCACATGGCGTTGAAGGAGATGATGGGAGCGCGAACGCAGTATTTATCGCCGATATATGACGACAACAACACAGGAATGACGGAGTAGTAGTAGGGAGGGGATGAGAGCAGGATTGCTTTGTTAGAGGAGAAACCCATACCGGATTGTAGGATGATGGGGAGAAAGTACGACAGGGCGGTCGACACCAGGTTGAGCAGGAAGAAGAGGATGCAGAAGGCGTAGAGTTTCGGGTCGAGGAAGTGGATCAATATTGCGGACAGGCGGAATGGTTCGGGTTTCGCGCCGTCCTGGCGATCATCGTTGATGCGGGACAGCGCGAGAGCCTTTTCGTCCGAGTTGAGGAAGTGGAATGAGTGTTCAGCGCGGTCAGGGAAGTCGACCATCCAGAAATAGGTGATCAGGCCGAGGAAGACGGTCACGGCGCCTTGGACAAGGTACATCCACTGCCAGCCACGGAGACCGTGGCGGTGATCGAGGTGGTTGAGGCCAAAGTTGACAATAGAACCGGTGGCGAGGACGATAATCTCGCCGGACTGCAGCAGTGCGAACCGGAGTTGTTGTTCATGCCGCGTGTACCACGTTGAAATGAGATAGGTGAGCCCGGGGTAGATCCCGGACATGGAAATGCCCAGAAGGACTCTCAATGCTATCATCTGTTGCCAGCTCGTAATCGCTGCTGTGCACATGGTGATGATCCCGAACACACAAGTGGTTGCTGAGAAGAACATCCGCGGCCCAACGAATCGAAGCAGAAGGGTCGCCGGAAGCTGGCAGCACACTGATGCCACGGTGAAGATGAATATGGATACAGAATACCGATCTCCTGTGAGTTTGAGATCTGACAGCATGCTCGTGACTGCTCCTGAAGAGATGATCCCACTGTCTAGCAGATTCAGCGAGCATAGTATCCCCGCTATACTGCATAGACGGAGGTCGACCTTGAAGCGAAGGCGTGCTTCTGCTTGTGCTCGACTTGGGCCATCCTGGGGTGTCTCCTGGGTGATCTCGACAGGTAGCTCTGTATCCGAGTCGGCATACGAGTGTTCCGTGCTGGAAGCAGCATCGGGCGTCTGGGGTTGGTCATGGTAGATGTCATTCTTCGGTCGTGGGGACGCCATCAGCTGGAATAAGACTGCTAAGGCGAAGGTGGCGCGCTGGTCAGCCGCCAAGGTTGATAGCTATCCTGTGACCCAGATTAGCATACCCTTACAACACTAGGTTCACGAGATGTTTGGTGGCGACCAAGCCAAGAATCGAGATGGAGTCCATGTCAAAGTCGGAGATAATGCGGGGAATGCGACCTGGCCGATTACACCGTACCACGGGAGAGATGCCGGCAGGACCACTGTAAGAGTAACAACTCAGTCATCGCCGAGCGATCAGTGGAATGAGTGTATCTTGACAGATAGACCAGCCAGGTAGACATCATGCTGGAAAACTGCCGTGGTGCCGTGGTGGTAACCTACTGGGGTAGACCAAGATCAAGGCTCTGGGCGAATTGGTACAGCCCCTCGACTTCACATGTCAAGCACGTTGTGGAGATGACCGCACAGCCTTACCGCGAGTGGGTTTCAGCCTGATCACGTCCGGCCAATTATCTATCGCCGCGTGACGTCGGCCGATCCGACGTCCACGCGATCTCGGCCGGGCGAATGGAAACGAGAAGTGCAACCTTTCAACCAGCCCTGAGCTCAGCCTCAGTTTCCGTTCGAGAACCAAACAGAACAACTCTGTCCGTGTGAGAGCCCTGGATGCTTACCGTGACCCGTCGGGGACCCGGCTGACCGTGCGATCGATGCTTTCCGAAATCGTAGATCCTGCCTGCACAGTTTCAACTACTTCTCACATGCTCTGGTTTCCTTCCGTGGTCCAACACTGACTGTTACAGCAATACACTTCTCCTTCACATACACACACACACGCCCACATCCGCAATAAGCTGAGCTCTACAGGCAACATGGTCGAGCTCGTGCCAGCACCTGATCCAGTCTCTTTGCTTCCTCCACTCCTCGCGTGTCTACCTGCCTCGTTCGCTTCTCCCAGACCTCCGCCGGCAATGCTACCCCTCCTGTCGCCTATCCTCAGACAACGCCTGCAAATACACACATCCGGCGCTTCTCGTGAGAGTTGGGCCTCACTTTTATGCTGGGATGCAACCAAAGGCGAACGGCTGAAGGACAGGATCGAAGAGGCCGTGTTTGAGCCCCATCCAGTCTCGGGCGAGATTGAGGTGGGCGATACACATCAGCTCAAGTACAAACGATTTGACGAGGAAACTTTAAGAGCCCAAATAGCATTGATCGACTGGCCGTTTACGGCAATATATTTATGGTGCAGCGGCGAAGAGGAGGGAAGTGCGTGGAAGCTAGCAGAACTCCTTCCATACGATGAGGATCTCCGGAAAGACCCCTCATGGTCGGATTCGGTTGCAGAAGCAAACGAGAGCTCCAACGAGCGATTGGTGAATGAAGCTTTGCGCGAAGCAGACGAGGCAGCGATTGGGCGGAATCAGAGAAATCTATCGGTCCCTGCCAATGATGAAGATGATTATTGGGCAATGTACGATCACACGCCCGGCAGGACACCTGCTCGAAAGGAGTCGGTTCAGCCCCAGCTAGGTGGACCTTCCGAGGAGGATTACTACGCACGGTATGGCACAGTCCAGCCAGCGATGGATAACCACGACCCAGACGAACAACTGGAAGACAGCTCCGAACCACGGCTGAACGGGCATGCTCTACAGCAGATGCTTTCACAGCACTCTCAACCTCCCAAAGAACTAGATCCGCCGCCGTATCAGGGGTCTGACGCGCCTGACGCCGACCAGGTGGACGAGAGACTGGTCGAGGTGACACATCCCGTACCGTCGTCGCCATCGTCGAGAGGTTCAGATGCAGTGGCTCGCCTAGAAGAACACGCAGAACGTTTTGGCGCGTCCGAGATTGGTATCAAGCAGCACATCAGCACGACGATGAAGAGCATGTACCGATTAGCCCGCAGTGCTGGCATCACCAAGGATGAATTTGAGGGTATAGTGCGCCGGGAGCTGGAGACGTTAAGTCTTTTGGATCTGGATGACTAGTTGTGTGTGTACTTTGCTCGATGGGTCGCGGATGTTGTTTAGATAGGACAAACAGCCGAGAAAGTGAACTCGCTTAGGACCGGAATCTGATCTGTGGCAGTAACGATGTCACGTGGTTGCCCCTTTCCACGAGGCTTCCCGAGGCTGTGACGCACGGGCCACCTCCTTTCAATGGCGTGAATGGCAAGTCTGACGCGTTCGGCCAAAAAGTTATGGACACGATTCCAATCCAGCCTCAATTCACTGTGAGGGTCTTGAATTTCATCCGTCCCTTCCTTCTCCTTGCCTTCGTTTCTCATCAGCCTTTTTTCTTTCTTGCGTTCATCTCATCTTTTCTTGTCCCTTTCACCCTCGCCGCGATCGAACCCTTTGTTTCTGTGAGACGTCGAAGATGTCGACGCCCAACTCGACCCTGCGCCAGCGGGGTCCGAAGAAGGAGAACAGGCCTGTGGTGAATGGGGACAAGGAAGATGACGAGGCCCTGAAGAGAGCCCTCGACGACCTGAACAGAAGTGTGTCAAATGAATGGGACTACAAGCTAGCACTGGGTATAATCACCGTCCTGGCTTTTGCGACTCGATTCTTTGGCATCAACCACCCCAACGAGGTCGTCTTCGACGAGGTGCATTTTGGAAAGGTATGGTCGGAATGCATAACAGGCTCACACTCGACTGACCACCGCTTCAGTTCGCATCTTACTACCTGCAACGTACCTACTTTTTCGACGTCCACCCTCCCTTCGGAAAGCTCCTGTTCGCCCTGGTTGGATGGCTTGTTGGTTACGATGGGCACTTTCTGTTTGACAACATTGGCGAGTCGTATATCGCGAACAATGTGCCATACCTGGCATTCAGAGGTCTCCCGGCCTTCCTCGGAGCTCTCACGGTCGTGGTAGTCTATTTGATCATGTGGGAGTCAGGGTACTCTCTGCCTGCCTGTGTTCTGGCCGCAGGGCTGGTCCTCTTCGACAACTCTCACGTCGGACAGACTCGCCTGATCCTCCTTGATGCCACGCTTGTCTTCTTCGTCTCCCTCAGCATATACTGTTATGTCCGCTTCTACAAGCAACGACACGACGCATTTGGCAGGAAATGGTGGAAATGGCTTCTGTTGTGCGGCTTCTGTATGAGCTGTGTCATCTCCACAAAATACGTCGGCGCATTTACCTTCTTCACCATTGGATGTGCCGTGTTGCTCGATCTGTGGGACCTCCTAGACATCAACCGGAAGGGAGGCCCGTTGGATCTATTCACGTTCGGCAAGCACTTTGTGGCACGAGCTGTGGGACTCGTCATCATTCCATTCTTCTTCTACCTGTTCTGGTTTCAGGTCCACTTCGCCATCCTGACCAGATCCGGCCCTGGCGACGACTTTATGACGCCAGAATTTCAAGAGACCCTCAGCGACAACCTGATGCACCAAGCTTCGGTCGACATCCAATACTACGACTATATCACCCTTCGCCACAAGGACACGAAAGTGTACCTCCACAGCCATCCAGATCGGTACCCCCTCCGCTATGATGATGGCCGTATTTCCAGCCAAGGTCAACAAGTCACGGGTTACCCCTTCAATGACACAAACAACAACTGGGAAATCTTGCCAAATGTCCCCACGCCTGATCCATCCACTTGGTCCGGCAAGCCTGTGCTCAACGGGGATGTGGTCAAACTCCGCCACGTGGTCACAAACACCATCCTCCTCACCCACGACGTCGCATCGCCTTACTATCCTACGAACCAAGAATTCACCACCGTGCCACTTGACGTCGCGGCTGGAGAGCGCCACAACGACACCCTATTTGAAATCCGGATGGAACAAGGCAAGAAAGGCTCACCATTCAGATCCATGTCCGGCCAGTTCAAACTGATCCATTACCCGACCAAAGTCGCCATGTGGACACATACCACTCCCTTACCGGATTGGGCCTTCAAACAAGCCGAAATCAACGGCAACAAGAATGCCCAACAGGCCACCAACATTTGGTACGTGGATGACATTCCGTCTCTACCGGAGGACTCGCCGCGACGGATCAAGGAGGCAAAGAAGACGAAATCTCTGCCTTTCTACCGCAAATACATTGAACTCCAGCGTGCCATGTTCTACCACAACAACGCCCTTACCGCGTCACATCCATACGCGACCCAACCGTACCAGTGGCCCTTCCTGCTCCGGGGAGTCAGTTTCTGGACCCAAGACAGCACGAAGCAGCAGATCTACTTTCTCGGCAATCCGATCGGATACTGGATTGCGAGTGCTTTGCTAGCTGTCTTCGCTGGCATCCTCGGCGCCGATCAACTAAGTCTCCGCCGTGGGATCGATGCCCTTGATCGCCGTAAGTATCACCGCGCCTCTTTTTCAGGCCATCGCACATTAACATGAATATGAATACAGGCACGCGGTCAAGACTGTACAACTCGACGGGCTTCTTCTTCCTCTGCTGGGCGGCACACTATTTCCCCTTCTACCTCATGGGCCGCCAACTCTTCCTGCACCACTACCTGCCCGCCCACCTGGCGTCGTGTCTCGTGACGGGCGCGCTCGTCGAATTCATCTTCAACGTCGACCCGGTCCTCGACGACGATGTTCCAACTACCGCGAAGAAAGATACTGGTAAGCCACTGGCAAAACCACATGACAACAACAAGGCGCGGAAGCACTTTCAGACCGCCAGCGAGAGGCTCCGGGGTCAGAGCATGCTGGGCACGTGGGTTGCCACGGGTGTCGTCCTGTGCGTGGTACTGTATGGGTTCTATTTCTTCTTCCCATTGACGTATGGCTGGCCGGGCTTGACGCCCGAGCAGGTCAACGCCCGCAAGTGGCTGGGTTACGATTTGCATTTCGCAAAGTGAATGTCATAAATGAGCAAGGCAGGCAAATTTGGGTTCAATCAATTGGAGAGGTAGCTAGCGCAGCATGTTGTGGCATCACAGAATTGGCACAGCAGAGCGAGCACAGCAAAGCAGAACACACCAGGGCAGGGCAGGTCATGGCCACTAAGAGCAAAAGAACACGATCAAAGCAACAGATGGTCTTGCTCCAAGAGTACAGGAGGATTGATGCGATGCTAGCGCCACGCGGACTTGTGCTCCTTCTGAATCTGAACACTACGCTGCGACCTCTTTTCTACAGTCCGGACTCTGCATCCGGGAGGGAAGGAAAGTAGGCAACCGGCCCGTATACCATACGTGCGTGTGCGTGTACTTGGCCGTGTACTGCACGCTGTTAGGTACTGTGGTACTGTGCTCTACTGCACTGCACTGTATTCCAAATCTGAGCAGAAACTCATACTCACCCCCAGCTACCTCGGTAGCATCATACCAACCTGCGTGCTGTCTATCTGCCTGTCTACCTATCTCCTTGCGTGTATATCATGCTCCTGCTAGCATGTCGGTGTGAACCAGAGTATCCCTAATCTGGTGCTTTCCAGGCACGCACATTCATACAATACTCGTACATACTCATGCTGTATTTGTATTTCCGCATGTTGAGCGGGCATATCGCTTGGCGTGGTCATGGGCACTTTTCCGTCTCTCGTGCGGAGTATTACCTCGTATCAGACCCTTACTCCGTACTTCCGTCTTTTACACCTACGTACCTTTGGACCCTCGTATGACGAGGATCTCTCTCGCTCATGCAATGCAGACTGGGACCGGAAAAGACGGAGCGAGCCGCGGCTCAACAGACAATACGCAGTACGAGTGATACCGGTCGGGAGTCGGGAGTCGGCAAAGCCATCGATGTGCGCACCTGACTGGGAAACATGGCAGTCGGCTGATGCTTTGCGCTTGGGTTCCGGCTGTCGGCGTGTGGTACATACACAGCATGCACGGGACATGGATGTCGGGGAAGTATGTGAAGGTTCGTTACATGTCATGCTGACGTCCTCTTACCGTACAGTGTCAGCGTGCCTTCTGTGCGCTCGGTCGCGCTCCGGCTGTCGGTGTACTCGTACCTTCTCTATTCAACTTTGGGCAGTCGGGCCGTCCACGTTCACGGGTCTTTCTGCTCCAGTACTACGATCGGCAGCTGTCTCTGTCGGTGTGCATTTGCCCGAACAGGTCAAGAAACACTGCACTGGAAATACGTGGCAAGCCCAGTCCAGCCTTGTTGCCTAGGTCTGGGCCTGGGCCTTGTCTCGTGCTGCGTTGCCACTTTGATCGCCGCCGTTGTTGCAGGTTGCGAGAACGCGCTCGTTGAGCCTCGGTCGTTGTCTACGCCGGAAGGTATCCAAAGTCGCGGTGGTGCTGCTCTCGTCGCCGTGTCTATATCGACCACATCACATCTTCAGTGTGCATAGCACTTCTGCCGCACCACAAAGCTAGCTCCAAGTCCATGGCCGCTTCAGCCGCAACGGTAGTCAGTAAGGGTTGTACGTGTACACTACCATCTGTTAACAGTCCTTGCCGGATAAGGTCAGACAGAATCTCTTATTCCCTCGGAAGCGTGGAGGCTGGACGACAGCGCTAGCGTCTTCATACGACCTGGCAGAAAAACGCCTGACGATTGGGTGTCAGGCAGGAGTCGTTAGTATCTGTAGCTGCCTCATGCAGGTTTTGCCTCTGCTGATGTTCGTTTGCTGATAGCCAAGTTTCATTTGGTCACTGCATAATGCGGCCACAGGAATCGATGGAAAGACGGGGGTTCCGGTAGGTGCAAGCAAGAGCTGAGCCGGGAGTGGTGGGAGTCGAGGTAGGATATGATCAGATGACCATTCCCGCCTCTGGCTTCTGGCGTCTGGCCTCCGAGGTCGTCCTTTGGGTCAAGGCAAACCGTGAGTTTGCATGCATGTCTGGTGCTCTGAGTCCGTGGGTATGCTCGACCAGTCCAGCCGGGCTCTCCTGTTTCGGCATTTCTGGCTTCGGTGCAGATGCACCTAGTCTGTTGCTCTGGTCGTCCCTGTTGGCTGCTGAGTGGTGCCGATGCGGGCAACGTCTCTCAGATCAGCGGTGGAAGATCCCAGCCATCGTAGCCGACGAGCCCGAAGCGCCAGGCTGAACAACATTCCTCGAAAATGACGAGACCACCCTGGCAATTCTGATAACGACCCGAGCTATTTTAGCAAATCCGTCAGTTCTTCTCCAGTTAGTCTCGTGTGCTAGACCCACATGGATTCTATGCCCTGATTCGTGATAGCGTATGTGGGCCTCTTGATTGGATCGTCCATTGGCACCAGGTTCACTAGCTTGCCAGTGTTCTGTAACCTTGTTCATACTAGGGCCGAGCGGTCGTGTGCTCGACGCATCGAAGAACCTCTGGCCTGATCGTTCGCCACGGATGCTGATTGAGGGTAGATGTGACTCTCCATGACGCCGGGCGCAAATCGCCAACCCTCGCCAGGACTTCCTGTATCGTATCCAAGTTCTCGGAGACGATCACACATGGCTGCGGGGAAGCCGCCTTCACAAACGGTGGCGTTGACGCGCTTTGTTGTGGACATCGTCATATTGCGGTCGTTGCAATGAGGTTCTGGGGCAGGAAACACCGAGAGACCCAGACGGAACCGAGCTCGAGGATGTTGACCCCCATCAATGTGTTCATAAGTGATTGGTCAGGTGATGTTTCTTTTGCCATGGAGTGCACTAGTGCTGCTGAAGCCCTTCGATTCCATCACAAGCTGAACAGAAGGAACGCAGACTTCGGGCCGAACAGAAGGTACGTAGACTTCGCATCGGTTGTCAGGTTGGAACAACGATGGCTGGACTGTGACCTGGGAGAGTCAGTCCAACTGGACGTGATGTCAAAGATGGCTGTCTTACCTGTCATGGCTGATCCCTGCCGCCTGCTGTGCTGTGACCATCTACTGCGGACGTATGGAGTTAGACGATATGCAAGAGGCTCCGAATCATGCAAGGCACCGCCTTGCATCGCAGGCTTCCCCACCAGGGCTGGAACACCGGGTAAAAGTAGAAGTCAGAAGTAAAGGAAAGGACTGGCCCAACTGGGAGAGACGGTCGTGCATCGAGTGGGATGGATAGTGGGAAAGAACGGACACCGAAACAGACAGCGGCAGAAGCGGGCAAGTGCATTGGACAAGCGTATTGGGCCAGAGCAGAGTTAGGAAACGGCATCGCAATGAGAGCGCTCTCGGGTCATGTGTCTTTTCGATGTTTTTGGGTTTTTCTGTATACTTAGCTAGGTCAAATCAATCTCGTGCAAGCGAAGTCCACCTTGGCCATGGCTCAGAGAGCAGCAATTGTGACGAACGCCCGATGTCCCAGCAAGATGAAATCGCCACAGGGCGCCAAGCCAGTGCATGTCAGCCAGTCACGGTTACTCCAAGCGTTTCTTCCTAATACCGTAACCCATAGTGCTCCGTACGCGCCCCGCTAAGACGCCTCCCATCGTTCCGTAGATCAATTTGAAAGACGACTGCGCCAAACAAGCAGCGAACCAGTATGCCTTGAAAAGATATATCCCAAGTAGAGCCAAGTGCTGACTCCGTAGCGCCGCGCTCAGGAATACAGCACCCTTAAAACAAAGGCTGGTGAATGCAGAAGTGCCGCAAGGGTAAATGAAAACGTCTCAATAGATGGTGCCGTAGGCTGCAGCTAGCGATAGTGGACTGGTTCACTGGCAATCTCGGTCAGTCTCTTCGGCTGGAGACAAACAACTTCGGCCTTGTCGTTGACCGTGATCCTCGCAGGGATGTTGGTATGCGTAGGATACCGAGCCTTCCGTTCGAGTTCGTCTAGTGGGGTTTGAGAACGAATGTACTTGACGCGGCCGTCGTCGATCGGATTCCAGTCCCAGCTCTCGAAGCGTCCTTGGGTCAAGGCGGACCAGACGAACCGACGCCGACGCTGACACGTGAGAACGTCGTCTGTGATCTTCTTAAAGTCCCATTTCTTGTTCGCTTCTTGCTCGAAGACCTTGAATACAGCCAGGACCTCGGGGTCTTCACTGCTGGCGAGATTCACCCGTTCAAGCGGATCCTTCTGTAGGTTGAACAACTGGGGGGGATCGACTGGGCATGTGATGTACTTCCACTCGCCCCGACGAATCATCATCAGAGGAGCCACGGTTCCCTCGCCCATATATTCGGCAAAGACGGTATCATGTCCGCCGTCTCCTCCGTAGAGGTGAGGCAACAGAGACAACCCGTCCATTGGCAGCCCAGGAACAAGCTTGGATCCGATCAACTCCACCAGCGTGGGCATCAGGTCTAGGGTAGATACATTCTGAGAGACGCGATGCGGCCGGAATTGCTTGGGGTGGCTGATGAGCATCGGTACGCGGACGGAATTCTCAAAGTAGGACATCTTGTACCAGAGACCTCTCTCGCCCAGCATATCCCCATGATCGCCAGAGAACATGACAACTGATACGTGTCAGTCAATGTATCAATGGAAGCGTGGAAAGGAGACTCACCGGTGTTGTCGTCCAGACCACATTTCTTCAGCACCTCGAGTAATTGCCCGATGCAGTCGTCCACGTAGCTGACCGCACCATAGTAGGCTCGGCGAGCACGCTTGATCTGCTCATCAGTGAAGTTATGGCCCTCGATTTCACAGACCTGCATGAGGCGTCTGCTGTGCGGATCCTGGTCTTCTTCGTTGATATGCAGGTTAGGCAAGTCGATATCAACGCCTTCGTACAGGTCCCAGTACTTGTCCTCAATTGCATAGGGGTCATGGGGATGCGTGAACGAGACGGTCAAGGCGAACGGCCGTTTCCCCGCTGGTCCTCGTGCATAGTCATAGAGATATTGCTTGGACTTATACAAGACTTCCTCGTCGTAGTCCAGTTGATTGGTCCTAACGCAGGGCCCGGCTTGCAAGATAGAGCTGCTGTTGTGGTACCACTCGAGTCGTCGACCGGGATCGTCCCAGTTCACCGCCCAGCCGAAATCTCCCGGGTAGATGTCCGCGGTCAGCCGGTTCTCATAGCCGTGCAGTTGATCTCCGATAAAGTGCATCTTGCCCGCCAGAGTGGTTTCGTAGCCAGCGGCACGCAGGTAGTGAGCGTATGTCGGCGTGTCAGAGGGAATGGAGCAAGCGTTGTCGTAAGATCCAATCTTCGAGGGAAGCTGGCCACTGATCAGACACATGCGGGATGGAGCGCACAGCGGTGAATTGCAATATGCCGAATCGAAAACGACTGAGCGTTCTGCCAATTGATCCAGGTTGGGCGTTTTGATTTGAGACTTGCGATTGTGCATCTTCAAAAGAGGAGCCGCCAGTTGGTCCGCCATGATGAACAAGATGTTGGGCTTTGGAGGGAACAGAGGGGTCGAGAACCCGTCGGCGCCTTGATATCCATTAGGAGGCGACACTGGGGGAGAATGTGGGAAGGGGTTGAAGGAGCCCATGACCGTGGCAATTGATTAGCTGAATTCTGTCTATGTTGTGTGCGTTTCCACTTTCTGAAGAGCTAAAGTCTGCCTGCCAAAGTCGTGGTCCGATCGAAGAAGAGAGGGAGGAGTCTGGAATCCGCGAGGTGGAAGGGGGTTACATATACAGTTAGGGGGCGCACGTGGTGGAGAGACTTTGCGGGCTCAGATGTGACGCTGCCTGGTTCGGAAAAGAATGCAGAGGTGGCAGAAAGAAAACAGTAAAGGACAAGTGAATCAAGGAGTGGGCAGGAAGTTGAGCCAGTGAAGGAAGACAGACCCGGGCTGGAGGCGAACGTTGCCGACGCTGCTTCTAGTTACGAGCGACTGGGTTCGCACCGCTTTCGGTGCTGCAGACCGTAAAGTTACTCATGTCATGGATGCTGGGCGGGCGATACAGTAGCGTATGTGGGGACGACGATGTTCATCACAATATACCAGGTTCGCAATTCCTGTCGTATCAGGCGCCAGATTAGCCAAGGCGGTGGGCAAGGCGGTCAGCCTGATCCTGCGCCTAATTTGATGCAGCTGAATCTCTCTCCTTTTCCTGGCGCAGCCAAGGAGGTCGATGACCTTTCGCAGGCAGATTAGCAATATGTCAGAGTAATCGCTGAGCACGCAAGAGCGGAGAAAATGAGGATGCGACGTCTACACAAAGCATATTATCGTGGGTAGGGAAATGGCAACATTTTCGTGTATGATCACGCCATTCATTGCCACAACCAGGCTAGTGTAGGCGGTGACAGAGCACGCAGACGCGTGAGAGGTGGGTGAAACGACCAAGTGAGCCCGGAGTGAATCTTCCACGATTCTCCGTCCGTCGGTTCCTGCAGCCTTGATTCGGGCCTGATCCCTGCCTGATATGCGCGGCTGACCAGGGCCCCCAATCAGCACATGAATCAGAGACACCGCCGACTTTTGTTGCGAGTCTATCCTCGCTTGTTCTGCCGATCCTTGGCTTCTATTGAACTCGTGCGTTGAGATCCGCCATTGGTCGCGGTGGTCGCATACCCCGGACTGGTTGAACCTCGCCGTGTCTGTGGGCGCATGGGAATCTGAAAACACGGGGTACCGGAGATTGGTCTCGCCCATTTGGGTGTCGTTGCAATCGCAACCACTTCCAGCTGGAGCGGCGGACGGAGCACAGGAGTCCGCAATTCCGAAACTGAGGCCTTTCCATCTCAGAAATACGAGTTGAGCTGCGGCGTGACTTATAAATCCCCTGTCTTGTCCCGTGCCAGTGCTGATGCTTGGTGCTGGCTTATCACCACCCAGATTTCACTGTTCGAAGCAGCCCTTGTTGATAAGTCGGCCTTGCTCAGACTGATGTATTATTAGCCACCCTTCGGGCCCTTTGCCCCCGTAATTTTCTCCCTATTCCCTTCAGAGGAAGTGTACGGAGTAGAGAGGTACAGTATTCCTTCTCTTCCGCCCCGCAAGCCTTGACCAGAATGGATGTGTGCGTAGAGCTCAGCTCAGCCTGGCGGCTGTCCGGGGCGCTGCCTTCGATGCTCATTTCGCACCCCTTCCACGGAAGAATTTCTTTCTTTGGGTGCGACAACGCTCGGTACAATTTCTGATGGTGACTTCCTATGAAACTAGCTTGCGCGAAAACAAAATGAGCGATTAAGCAGAGAAATGTGGGAGTCGTCGATGGGTACGGTATTGCATGGGAGCTTGCTCTTCTGACCTCGAAATGTGACCTGTGCGACGGGACTCGATGGTCCTCTCTTAAACCGGAACGTTGCCAGCCCTATGAGCATGCTTGTCATGGCACGTCAACGCCACTCTTGACACACCTGATGACTTAACACGTTGCTGGATCCTCAGGAACGTTCAGGCAGCTGAAGCGTTGGGGCAAAGAAGTCTGATCCATCTCCAATCCACAGTGACTCTTGTCCTCTTACTCCTCGTCCGCCGCATCCTCTTCTTCTTCCTCTTCGTCGTCGCCTTCGTCACAGCTTTCGCTCTCATCGTGCTCGAGCTCATCGCTGTCACCGAGTTGTTTTCTCAGGACTATTTCGGCGGTCCTGATCTTCGCTTCGAGCGAGGACCTGAGGGGGTGGTCATCGCTATCGGCATCTGGGAGATTTCTACAGTTTCTCAGGACGATTTTGGCTTCGCCAATCCACTCCATCTTCTGCCAACAATCGGGTGCGGGATCTACTATCGCGAGGGTCGTGTTGACAAGGATGCGCAGGGTGGGGGTCAGCTCCTGGATCTCCAGGTGGTACTGTCCAATGTCAGGACGTTCACAGAGGGTCAAGGAGTCCTCACTCACGAGGATGTCCAACGCGTCATGTTCAGCTCCAGTTTGGAGACTCTTGTTGACCTGAAAACGTCCATGTCAGCGTTGAGCTACTGTTGAACCAATGGATCGAAGCGCCCGCAAGCGCGAGACAGACGGTGTTGCTGACCTGGTTGAAGAGATTCCAGCACATTGTCTCGTGGCTGAGACGGGATTAGCCATCTTGTTGGTGTCTCATGACAATCAGCTAAGAAAGTTACCTGGAAAGGGTCGCCATGTTGATCGGAAGTTCACACTTGCAGTTTGAGACTTTGCAGATGACAGAAGTAGTAGCAGCTGGGGGGAATGGTTGGAAGAGAAAGAAGCCAAAAGTTGGTCGCCGTGACCAGCAGATGATGGCAACTGAGGCAGTGAGCAGCTTCGCAACAGGTGCGAAGAGGTGAATACCACTCTACTGTTTGCGATCTTACCTATCAAGATTTTGGAGGAAGAGTCGTGCTCGCTCATGTAACTTCCTGCACGCCGCCAGCGCTGGGCCTCTCGACGCAAAGATCGACCAGTGAATCAACATGGTAGGGAAGTCCAACTTCTCCATCTCGCGCGTACGTCGTTGTTTACCAAGCGAAAGCAGTTGGTTCACCCGTAACAACCAAACACAAATAAAACCCTCTTCCACTAAGTGGTATTAGCACGACGGACCATCAGTCATGACTTCAGTCCCCTTTAAAAGCGTCAAGTGCTCCTGTCGGGAGGGTAAGTAGGTAGTTAGCGTTATGAGAGACATGTAAGCGACGGACGACAGCGAGGCGTGGTAGGAGAACAAGCGAGGCGCGCCTCGTTGGTTACTGCAGTGACACGTGATGGGGTCGTACTAAGGTACCGAGCTGCTCTCCGCAGTGCCTCCTACGCAGCCTACGCAGCGTGAGCCTTCTGAATTATTTTGCGCCCATCTTCAAGTCACTCTCGTTCTTCTCTTAGTCTTTGCGCACACGTTCGTTTTCTATCTGTTATATCTGCGCATTTATGGGGCTGCTTGCTCAGCACGAAAATCTCTCTGAATCGCCATTGATGGCGACTACTTCGCTATACGAGAGCTAGCTGCGCCTGATTGAAAGCAACCATGGTGGACACGGAGGAGAACGTGCAGATTGGAGACTCGGCGGAAGCTGATGTTGACATGGGCACCGCCGAGGATGTGCAAGAGGCGGACGATGACAACCCGGAAGGCGAAGGCGGCGGCGACATCACTGCGAACCGGGACACTGCTCCAAACCCTCAAACCATTTTCCTCGAGTACCTCAAGTCGCCAATTGTCCAGATAATTGTTGGCTCCGATGACGATGCGACGGCCTTGACCGCGCACAAAGCCATCCTCCAGCAGTCGCCTTGGTTCGACGAAAGACTGTCTGAACTGCCTGACGACGATCTCAGGATTGAGATGCGTGACGAGACATTGGAAGCCGTAGGATGCTTCCTACAGTATCAGTACACTGGGGAATACTTCCCACGCCGTCTACCGAATGTACCAGACGGACTGGAGCCCGATCCATCAGTACCCGCTATTGACAACACTGGCGCGCAGCTTCTCAAGCATGCGCAGGTGTACACCCTTGCACAGAAACTCGGACTGCCCGAACTCAAGACGCTTGCGCACTCCAAGATCCACCGCATCAACTCAACAGCTGTTGGAGAGATCGCGTACGCCAGATTCGTCTACGGCAACACCCCTGCCGAGGATGTTACAATCCGCAAACCTGTTGCTGCATTCTGGGCCACTCGGTCACACGTCCTGCGTCATGAGGCCGAAGACGAGTTCCAGGCCATGTGTCTGGAGTACCCGCAGTTCGGTTTCGACGTTCTGAGCCTGGTGCTGGATCAGCGGGAGAAGCGAGCCAGGGAGCGAGAGGAGGAAAGCACCCCAGGCGGTGGGAAGGGGAGGAAAAGAATGCGCCCAAGCATCAACATTTAGCCGCCTCACTGCCACAGCTTACACGCTATTGTACCACTCCACCACACGGTTCCTGGGATTTCTATTTCGGGTTTAGATAGTGGTCGTCGGCGGCGGCCGGCCGCATCATTTTGTTCCAAGTTCAGCTGCAAGCTTAGGGCCATGGAGCAGGTTACCCAGTCGCAAGGGAGACAAAAAATGGCTGTAAAAGTAGTCTTCAGTCTCGCAGCACACCTCCTTATCGTAAGTAACTTTGTAGCAACAGCGCAATTCTGAAGAAATGTGAAGGCTCGCCGAAGAGCGGTCGACGACGTTATTTGATTGTGCCTCGCCCGCCACTTCTGGGGCTCTGCTCCTCCAGAAGGTCATGATGCAAGGAGCCGAGCTCCAGGGGCAGACCCCACCCCTACGCCTTCACTACTGCATCGCCGAAAATTGCGGGGTTCAACTGATCGACTTTCCAGCCTTTCGGGTCCGGGCAGGTGGGCGCGAGTGAGGCTTCCGAGGCTGTGCTCTCTGCTTGCTTCTGACTCCAAAAAACCTACACCATCCGGGTTGCGCGAGTGAGCTCTACAATTGATGTGTCTGCTGCGATCGGTGTATAGTAGTCTTAGGGCACGCGATGAACACAGGCGATTCGGGTTGCATGTAGCACTGCCCCTGGTTCCCTGACCTGATCCTCCAGGAGTTCGTTCGATTCACAACTTGCCCATCAATGTCAGATCTCGCAGATGCGTCTGGTAGTGCCGGCGATGGCATGATCAAGTCTTTGGAGAGCCGGAGTACTCTGTCGAGAGATTCAAACGGCACCACGTCCCCTATCCTGCCCCGACAGTCCAGCCAGGCTTCCCCGCCTACAGACCAGCCAAAGAAGAAGCGCAAGGTGAATCATGGTCAGTATCCGCACCGAAAGCGCTCTGTCTACTCAGGAACTGACAACTCCCAGCATGCGTCTATTGCCGACGTTCGGTAAGCCAGTGTGACCTTTGTGACCCCGGAGTACCGAAAAACGAGGGTTTGTCAAGAAAGATGATGGGCTGACTGCTGCTTCGGTGGGATACACAGCATATGACTTGCGATTCTGTACGACTCCCTGCTCCTCGATGCTGAGCGCACCGCCTCATCTTGCCCTGATGTTTGGCTAACGCAACCCTCTACGGAGGGACAATGTCTCAGGACCGACCTTGTAAACGCTGTATCAAGAGAAACATTGGGCATTTGTGCCATGATGAACCAAGAGAGGGACATGGCTATCACAAGAAGTCCAGAACCGAATCAGACACGGCTGGGCTCGACGAGCAATCTTCGCCAACGGATGACTTCGCGTCGGCTCCAAACCTGCCTGGCCCCGCCTTGACAGACGACTCTGCTCCCAACCTGCTGCAAGATGACCATATTGCACTGAGACCGCCCGCCAATGACACGATGGCAGTCTCCAATTCGAGTACATCCGCTCCAAGTGCTGCTAACAATGGAAATACTCAGGCTCGTAAGTCGCTCCCCAATGCTGGAGAGCTCCGGTCCCTGACGATGCACAGAATTCGGTTATAATGAGCAGTGGCCCGGTACCCAACATAGGTTTCATGACATGCAGGCGTTCCATCCAAACTTTATGTTCAATGCCAATGAGGTGACCGACGAGTTCAACCTGCTGAATGATTTCCTCAGCAACAGTCTGTTCGAAGAGACAGGGATGTATTCGACGGAAGAGTTCCAAGGCCCCTTTAATGACCCCTCCTTCATGAATTCCATGGCCGCATCTTCCTTCCCACACGCCGGCGTCGATACTTTGCTACCCCCGGACCAGGTCAACCACAATCTGTCCACACACCAGAGCAATGCAGCCCACGCAGCGATGATATCGAGGCCACCGAGTGCAAAGCCGGTATCTGACAAAGCGCGCGAGAAATACTACATGATGGCAGCAGATCCGACTGGGCAAGAACCACCAGAAGAGCGCATGCAGAAGCTACTGAAGGCGAAGTACGACGCAGGAATGCTGCGACCTTTCAATTACGTGAACGGCTATGCTCGACTCAATAAGTACATGGAGAAGCATATGAAACCGCATTCTCGTCACAAGATCCTGATGCAGCTTGACCAATTTCGCCCCAAGTTTCGAGAACGAATGCAGAGCCTGACCGATATCGAGCTGGTGCTGGTGGAGATGTGGTTCGAAAGGAGCTTGATGGAATACGACCGAATATTCGCCAGTATGGCAATACCTGCCTGTTGCTGGAGGAGAACGGGGGAGATCTTTAGAGGCAACAAGGAGATGGCAGAGTTGATTCAAGTACCTATCGAATCCCTGCGCGATGTGAGTGACAAGTCTCATGAGGCTCCGGCTTTGCGTTAACAACAGCAGGGCAAGCTTGCTATTCACGAGATCATCGTCGAGGATCAGCTCGTCAGTTACTGGGAGAAGTTCTGTGCTATCTGCTTCGATCAGCAGCAGAAAGCCATGCTCACGAGCTGTACGTTGCGAAGCCCCACAGCGGGCGCCGATGCCGAACCCATTCATTGCTGCTTCTCTTTCACTATCCGGCGAGATAACCACAACATGTAAGTGTTCCTATCCGATAGTCATTGTTGCTGACGCCCGCTTCAGACCCTCGTTGATCGTCGGTAACTTTCTGCCTATGAACCCTGCTCGGCGCTAAGCCGCGGGGCAGCCTTGTGTAGTGTACACTCAAACAAGACGATGAAAATATGAAAGTCATTCAACTTTGAAGCTAGCACCGTTGAACCCCAATCTATGGTTCTCGTTCGTGATCGCGTCTGACACCGTTCACTGGCATGTTGCTTGCTCAGCCCCGCGCATATGGTCTTCAGTTCAGCACAGTACCGACTTGGTGTTCCTTTGGTCATTCATCCTCACTTTGGTCAACATATTACCTGACAAATCAATGTTGCCAAAAGAACTGGCAGAGCGGGCGCAGTCCATTCTCGGTAGGTTCAATCTGAACTCACTTACGCGCACCATAAGCCTCACCCTCACCTGAGACCACTGACATGTAAGCAGAATTTGCAATTCACCTGAAGCACCTCCTCGACGAAGCAGATACTGACGCCCAACATCTTCGTGATTTCTCTTTCTACTTGACCGCCCTCCCTTTACGGCGTAAAGACCTGTCTCCCGACCACCGCATCGAGTTTGACCGCGGGGGTGTTGCGCTCTGGAACAAATGTTGCAGTTTGAACAGCAGCGACAAGAGTCAGTGGACGCGCGACGGTCTCGCGAAAGGTGGCGGTTGTGATTCAGCAACTCAGCATGCTTCTGACTCTTGCTGCAGTGAGAGCGTTTTCCTATTTCTTGCTGGAAAGTGCAGGAAGCATCAAGCGAAAGAGTACAGTGCGCCTTCCGTGATCCGGGAACCGTCCTCACTTATACCTCATAGACCATCTTCGACTGTTCAAGATCGCTATCAAGGCCAGTAAAAGTTGTCTTGGTACGACCTGCGTCTTCCGGATTGTTCTCGACTGACCTTTGCGCTTGAGATGCCGGGCTTCTGGATATCGCCTCGGCAATTATCGCACAGCTGGCCTCAAAGGAAGACCAGCTTGCAAAGAGTGTCGCCAATGATGAGGCCAGCGTTGGCAGTTTCTTCGAGAGCCTTCAAGCACAGTACCTCCTGTTGCGGATCACATTAGTGAGAGCCCTGATCTGTTCCACAATCTATACTAACATGCAACAGGTGTGGAGGCAGAACCGCCTTGACCTAGGAGAGCACTTCTATATCAATCAGCTGGAAGCCCTTCAGCCTAATCTGTCATCTGACCGAATTGAAGAACTCGCCGACTTATGCTACGAGATTGGCCTCGAGCAACTCAACCAGAAACAAGCCGGCTTAGCGACGAAGTGGCTCGGAAGAGGCTGTAAGGTGCTAACAGAACATGCAAACCAGATGGACCAAGTGGACATTGCTGAGCTCAGGCTCTCTCTTATGCACTCTTATGGTAAGGAATACATCGTCGGCACGTACAAAGTTGATACTCATGCCGTCCGCAGTCAGAGCACTGCTAGCAAGTGGCGATGATAAAGATCGAAATGAAGCGGTGGAGGCTCTCAAAGCACTCTGTCGAGTGGGCCACTCTTCTTGCATGCCGATTGAGCGGCTAGAGCTGATTGTCCCAGGAGTTTCCCCACAAACTTGCCGTAATCCTGCTTCAATTGGAGGAATACGCAAAGGAGCCAGCTGCAAACACAGTCGGATTCCAGTCCGGTACGCACGATCTTTTCGGGTGCCACGCCTGCGGATTACTCCTAACTAGCAAAGAGCTAATGAAGGTCGTCCGGTCGGTTCATTTGGTGCCCTCCAATCACAAGCTGTGAGTGCCATATTCTTCGAGGGAAAAGATCATGCCCTGATGTAGCAGGATCTTACATTACGTACACCAGTTGAAGAGACTGAGGTATGGCTGTCCAGAACAGGTTTGCCTTTGACGCTTCTACTGACAATAGTTAGTGTGGTCAGTGCCGTCAGCGTTTTGGACGTCTACATCGTGACAAGGCTGGCACCAGATTGTGAAAATGAATGGACAGAGGGCACCATTATTACGTTGGTTTGGCTCATGACTTCTGATGGGACAGATGACATTCAGCCGAAGCTGTCTGATTTCGAAGAATCGTTTGATATGATACTCCAAGCCTGGGGGACCGTGCTGAGTGCAGAAGCTACACGTGGTGTACTAGTGGTAGGTACTAGCCGCTTGCAACGGAGAGTTGCTTATCGCTTCCCAGCTGTTTTGGAAGCAGATTGAGCATACTTTTCACCACGACCAGAGAGAGCGTACGATTCAATGGTGTCGGCTCGCACTGCATCAGCTCTTCAGCAATGCGGGAGACCACAATATCGCCAAACTCGAAAGGTAGCAGTCTTGCACCCCCGAATCGATGGAACGCCAGCTCATCAGGGTCAGGAAGATAGTCAAGTGCTACATCGACCTTGGCAACCTCGATGCCGCCCAAGAAGCATTGGAGGCGACGTCTCCGGCTCGGAAACAGCATGCTCTGTCCCGTTATCTGCGATACACTCTAGCTCTTCGCCAGGGAAATGAAGACGAAGGTACAGCTTCGATCCACATTGGCATCCACCATCTGGTTAACACATACCAGTACGGTCAGCCCTGGCCTCTTTAGCTACACTGCATGACGGCTGGAATCGGTTGCTGTTCGCTGCCGCCTCCGAAGCCTTGAAGTACGGCGGCAAGATCCAGGGTGCCCAGTTACTGCAGCGAATTCTGGACAAATACAACGACAATCTACCGCCCGAGATCGATACATTCGCACTTCTTAGGTAAGCCTAGTCGGTGTTCCTCTCAGCTTGTCTGACTGCGCAGGTGTACGGCACGGCTCCTTATCTCGGCAGCCTCGGAACTGAGCACCGTCGATGAGGAGCTCCTGTCCCGTCTATGCGGCATCTTCAAGTCCGGTAATGTTCGAAACCGCTTCTGGAACCATCCGCTGATCTTCACCCAGCTGCATTGTCGACACAAAAGTACCACAACAATCAAGGACAAGGTTCGCAATGCCTGCTTCAGGAGTGTAAGTGGTTTGAGAAGACAGGTTACAACACAGCCGTGCAATATCTAAAAAGCTGGCCGGCGAGGTATCTGATCGACTCGTTGCACTACTCATGCAAGGTGCGTTCTAATATCGCTTTTACCCACATCCAGACTGACCATTCGGAAGATCCAGTACCCAGCAAACGCGCCCCAAGAAGCACACCGTGGAAAAGTAATCCACGAGATCAACTCAAAATATTGCCAGGCCATCCTATACACTGTCCAGGTAAGGTCTGCATCACCGTCAAGCACGGCAGAGGACCTGCCGAAAACGTCGTACTCCGGCAGGCCACCACCAAGTTCGCTCGCGGAGATCAGGCTCACGCTCTATCGGAATGTATTTGACATCTATACGCAAGTTCACAGCCTTGTCAGCACATTGCATGACTCCAGCGATTTTAGCCACGCAACCACGGAAGTTGTTGAGGGTATGGCGCAAAAGCAACTAGTCCTTGCTCCTCTGGCCTTCGAAGCCCTGTTTTTCATGCAGTGCTCAAGCATAACAGACGGGCCCGAACAAGGTCCGAGCATGGTCGACGAAACATCACTCAAGCAGATACTGGATCAAACCATGGCCCTCAATCCAACGCAGAAGACCTTTTCAATCTTCGCCGACATGATCCTCTCCGCCGGCACCGGGAAGCACAGTAACTCGGATCCAGGCATGTCTGGATCTGCTCCGCTGTCCGCCTCCACCACTGTCAATCTCCTCGCAAGGCTGATCACCGGACTACGGAGCAGTCCAAATTACGACGCCGCCCAAGCTGCTAAATGGATAAGGTGTATGATACAAGTGGTTCTGGACCAGCTGGAAATAAGAGCGGTCCCCCAAGAGAGGAAGAACCCGGCTTCCGATTCAGAAGATCTCCCGGCCACAGCCGATACTCGAACTCAATGCATGAAGAACCTGAGCACTCTAGCCAAGCTCATGGATCATGCACTGATTTTCGCGCGCTCAAATGAGACGTACCCAGCCGAGGAACTGCAATGGCTTGCCACGACGTTGTTTAACCTTGCCATCGACATTTATGTGACCTCTTCTTCTCCCTCCCCTTCTACTTCTACCTCCGCTTCCGCTCCAAAAATCCCATATGGCACGTCGAAGTCAGAGACAGGAGAGGACAAAGGGACAGAGGGCGACAATTTCATGGGACAAGAGACGGCGGAGAGCAAAGGGCCAGAAACCGACAGCGTCATACGCCCGGAGACGTGGGCCAAGAGGGCGGTCGAGTTCGCGGATATGCTCGGCCTGAAGCAGAATCCGAGTCAAAATCTGGAAGGCTCGGCGTCTGCCATAGCTAGGGGTAGGGGCGAAGGAGTGAACCTGCTCGCGAGGACCTTGAGGGAGAGATGTCAGAGGTTGAAGTGGGACGTTTGATCGGCCCTATCTATGAATTGAAGTATGTATATGGTTTGCTCCGACACGAGAAAATGACCACTAGTGGTCCGGAGAGAACAGAAGATCGACTGCGAGTACTCCATCAAGGTTGCACGATAGACATGGGCAAATGGAGGAAGGGGGCGTACCGCCCGAGACTGTGACGCCGACAGTGACCCCCGCATGTAGCTACAAGTAGTCTACGTATCTACTACCATGCTCTCTGCCCGTGCCGTCTTGTTACTACCGCTGCATGCCTTTCCAGTCTCATCGTCGACCATGGGACAGATGTGAGGGAACAGTACTGTAGTCTCCATTATTGACTTGTCAAAGTAGGAACGAGTTCGTTCTTTCGACGTTTTTGGCAGCACAAACAAATGCCGAGCTCGAGCTCAGGGCATGCATGCCTGTCGTTAGGTCTCCAAAGTTGGATTGTACTATCTACCTAGGTATGTACGTAATTATTCCAACCTGGGTGCATCGGAGTACGGGGGACCGTATGTGTATGTACAGCTGGGCATTAGCCGACTGAATATCTCCCGACTCCGTCCTGTAGGCGATCCAGTGGTGCAAGAAGTATGCGTGGCAGGTGTGGCTTTGCAGCCTCGGACTCTGTGTAGCCTCTGCCGAAAGCTTGCCGAATGCATCCGTCGAGCTTGAGACATCTCAACTCCCAATCTGCTCACGACCATCATATCGAGCTAGATCGCGGACCTGTGATATCGTCGTCTGGGGAAAAAAATGGTTCTCCCTCTCGATAAGTCCCTGCAACTAGTGACGCAAGTTGCCGCCGCTCTGCTGTACTGGTGTTTGTCAAGCGCCGTCGTTTCTCTTCCTTGCCAGGGGCAAATACTATCCAGGATTCTGCCCGCCTCTGAACTCGCGGCTAACCAAGCCGACTTGTTGTATCGCCACCATCATGAAACTCTCCAAGAGTATGGAGTGGGTATCTCTGAAAGAAAAATGCCATGAACGAATAATAATATGTCGTATGTTGCTGTATGTACTTGTACAATTGAGCAAAAGTCGTTAAGCTTGGGAGGATCTCCGGTCTGGTGGATGATCGTTGTGGGCGGACTTGATCCGATGGTAAGATCTCACATGCTGAAAGGTTTAATCGTACTGTTGTCCACGACCCGCTGGTAAAGGTAACGGTGAATTGATCTGGTCCACTTGTCACTGGCGCCACCCTGGTGCATCAGGGTACAAGCGCAAGCCTGCTCCTGCACCACCCGCGCCGCCGCCGCCAAGCGGGTTTCCAGTTATGGGATCCATTCCGAGCTTCGTTCGTAGCTCCTCGACTCTTTCTTTCGTACGCCGGACCTTGGCCACAACAACCTCAAGCTTTTTCATAGTACTCTGCTTGCCCAAATCTTCGAGTTCGGGGACAAGGTCGTAGAGTTCAGCATACGAGCGAGCTGTGGCGTCTCGACGCCTCTGCTCAGAGTTCGTATGGTTTGCTTTTTTCTGTTCCAGGCTGAGTGGAACTCTAGTAGACGTACTTTTCTGGCTGGCACTGGATTTCCGGGGCTTCGGTGTCGATCCGGCGCTCTTCTTCCGAGGTGGCTTTGGAGCGGGCGCCTTCGTGTTTCGGGGTGGGCGTGGTTTCGAGCTTGGCCACGGCGCTGGAGAAGGTGATCTTGTTTGTTCCATAGTGTCTTCATCTTCTTCTTCAGCTTCGGCATCTTCGTCTTGTTCCGGGGTGCCTTGAATATCAGGCGTTCCAGTTCCGTGCGGTGTTTGTGGTTTGCTGTTGGAAAGTGGGGTCGGTGGTTGTGAGAGCGGAGCCTTTGTCTCGGGCTTAACGACGGAACGTTTCCTACGAGGATTCGAATGAGGTGGGGAAGGTTGGGTTGACCCAGCATGTTGTGCAGGTACGACAAACCCATTACGAGGCTGCTGATCTCGGGTAAAGTCATCGAAATTTCTCTTCTTGGACCAGATAGGACTAGACGGTTGAGTGTTTGGCTGGGTATTGGGTTGGGTTGTGCTCGCACTGGTTGGTTCGAGCCAGTCTCCAAGGGGGTTGTTCATTTGTAAGCCCTGAGGCAGATCCGGGTCCATCGGGTTATGGGGAGCAGCATATCCACTCGATTGAAAGCGCGTATCGGTGCCAAAGCCCATTCCGAGGCGAGCCTGATTTGGGACATTCATCATGTTCTGTGTGTGAAAAGTTTGCTGCCATCCTTGAGTGAATGCTGGTTGTATTGAAGCCGCAGATTGAAGTTGGGCGATGAGTGGGTTTTGGAATGAGGGATCGGTGTATGCAGCGCCATGCATGCCACCGAGGACGTTCGGATGCGTGATAGTGTTCATACCCTGTCCCAGCATGGTATGACCGTATGGAAAATCACCCCCGGTCAAGTGATGGGGATCTAAGCGGGCGCCTTGGCCCAGCGCTGTGTCTGAACCCACAAACATGGGCGGCATATCGAAGAACTGATCATGCTCGGCTGGTAGGTTGAAATGAGGATGGCCGAGAGATTTATTGGCGACGGCAGTCTGGTCGAAGCCTTGAAGAAAGTTGTCAAGGTCCTGGTTCTCGTGAGCATTGAGGAGAGGTTGTCCTGGAGGAGGGCCCGGCGTCATGAACTCGGGTAGCCCAATGCCATGGAGGTTTTCAGGTTGATCTACATGGAGGCGTAAGCAAATGCATCATCACACAGGGCGAAGGGACAATAGAGGAATGTAATAGAGGCGGAGGACATACAGCCGAAAGGGAAGTTGTGTTGTCCGCCGTGGGACGACATCCTTTGGGTCGCCAACATTAATCGAGTCCCTCCTCCACCTCTTCTACCAGGCTGCGCCAGGGCAGCCTAGACTTCTAGAGTGCGACCAGTTGTCAGAACACGAAGTACAATGTGATGGTGAGTAAATATTGCCGCCTCGTTCGGTCGATAGGCGGGGTGAAGAAGAGTCGAGGCCGAGGCGAAATGACCTGCGCAGAGTAGACCGAGGGACGCAAGATAGGTGACGAAGGAAGGCAAAGCGAGCGTCAGACGATTGGGAGCATTGAGTTGATGCAAAGGACTCGAGCGAAGGTGAAGCCGGGTGTCAGTGGTGGTGCAGGTTCAGGACCCAGGTTCTGTTGGGAAGCGTTGACAAGAAGAGGAACGGGCCGAGGAGCTGTTGGAAGAGGGCAAAGGGGCGAGGAGACAGCGAGGGTGGTGCAGAGAGCCACGGGTGAGTCGAAAGATATGTGCTGCTCGTGGCCAGCAACGATACGAGGGTAATGCGAAGTTCAGGTCGAGGTGAGGAAGCAAAGCATTGGAATCTTCACATGCGATTTTCGAGCTTGAGGGCCCGTTCAGATCAGATTCAGGTGCAGGTGAAAAGCCGCAACAATGCTCACCATCCTGCATGAGCCCTGTCCAGCCAATCATGTCCTACCGAGGCGTGGCTTGTCCTGCCCACTCAACGCGGGACGTCCACGTGACCGCGCGTCCCCGTTCCGTTCCCCCACCGTGGACCCTCTAAGCGTCCTGCCCCGAGCGAGACCAAGACACATCTGCACCAGCTATCAAAAACTCCCATCGCAATGCCAAACCCAGGCCAATATATTCCCAAAGCACGAATAAACAGACAAGCGTCACGTCAGCTTCGTGTGAAACCCCATACTCCGTGTGCTCCATCGGCGCCCTTCCTCTCCCAACATCCCCTCAGGTTCGTCCCCGGAGTCATTTGCACGACGGCCTGGCCGTCGGTTGCTATCCAATGCATCGTCACCATCCCTGTAAGCTTATTCGATTGCCAAAACAGCATGAACCAGATATGCGCAAGAGTCTCACCCCATGTGAACACCCTGATTCTCCAGAGACTGTCATCTGCAGAGTCTTTCGCAATCCACGTACCCCAGCCGACTTTACCTAGCTCGATCGTTCTCGCAACGTTTTCCCATGCTTTGACGAACTCATCAGTCGTCCAAAGTGCGTGCTTTGGCGGTTTGTTGTCTGCCACGTTATGTTTCCGGCGCGCTGTGGATCCCAGCAGTTTCAGTGTAGGCTTTGGAAGTTTCTCCACTAGCCTGACCCAAAATTGCCAGTATCCTCGCTCCAGCACCTTGACGTCTCGCGCAACACATGCCGGCCGGAAATGGTGCATTTGAGGTGTAAACTTGTCCAGATCGTCCGTGATATGTGTCGTGAAGCTCGACTTGCTGCGCTGCGGCAAGAACTCTGGTAGAGGACGAACTTCGTCAGGCCGTTGCCTAACGCGATTTCCAAACGGTGGTATCGGCGTTATTGTCGACACAAGTGGATGGTGCGTGGGGTCTTCCACCTCGGTCGCCCTCGAGTAACATGCCGTCGGGATTTCCGTGCTCGTGGTCACGGGTGTAGGGGGTGACTGGAAAGGATCTTCCTGTACTGGGCTGGAAGTTGGCGTGGGATGAGAACAGGACGCCCGCCGTTCTGGGGTGGTCAAATCCACGACAGATGGATCCGGTGACTTATGAGGCTCGTCTCCTTGTTTTCGCGGGCCTCCCTGGCTCGGCTTATGCGATGGCGATACCGATTGAGTGGACTCGGCATCGCCTGTGGCAGAAACCACCCAACCAGACCGAGCAACCTCATGATGCTTTGAGGAGCAGGATGCATCTCGGTTGTGCTGCTTCTGGTTGCCCGAAACTACGCGATCCATACACTCGCTGTCAGTCCCCTTCGTCGGTAACTGCTTCCTTTTCCTGCCGAAGATGGCGGGAGATACAGCTCTCCCACTTCGACCTGGATCGGGTCGGAAGGTCGCGGCGAGAGGGGATGAATCCCTACACGAATTTCCTTCAACGCTTGTCTTGTCAGGAGCCAGGTAAGAGTTGCGTATGGAGATGGTTTCCGAGTGAGCACGTCCGTGCACTCTTCCAACAGTCGATGCGCTGACGGTATCGGCAGTTGAGCTCAATTCTGGAGCAGTTCGCGGGCGAGGCAGATTCGGTCGAGCCGGCCGCGACTCACTGTCCTTTAGTCAGTCACTCTGTTCGAGTCATCAGCGCAGGCATTTGCATAGTGGCAGGCATGTTCCTATCATTCATTACCCGAAAGGCAAAAGTAACATATAACTATCAATATGCGACAATTCACAGCCGGCTGGGCACCAACCTGATCATTGCAGACCCATCACTCTCTTGGATATTCACGTGCGAATATAAAATAGGCGCAGGAAGAGGCTCGCATTCAGATACTCGGGTGATAATCGCTGGTCGGAACTCCAGCACGGATCTCGCCATCGCGACGTACCGTTTGTCATCGAGTGCTGTACTCGAGGCCGTGATATGGACCAGGAGCTCGTGTTCGCCCGGCGCCATTGCAATGGTAGGCTTTCGGCGTGCTCATGTTTGGTGTATGGCAATGTGCTCCGTCTGAAAGGCACAAAGGCTGTGGCCTCCGCCGATACAAAGACTTGCCCTACGCAGGCTTAATTGGCTGCATCCGGTGATGAGCGATTTGCGTCACGCGATTGACAGCGCCTGCTCACGGTTTGCGGAGGGACATGTTGATGTAGCAACGACTTCGCATATTGTCCGGGAGCTCTGGATGGGAAGGTGACTCGGTGCTCCGGAGGGGTAAATGTTCGCAATTTCAAATCTCGCACGAACCAAAAAGAGCGCGTCACTTTTGGTCCGACGCGACTGACCAGCCGTCTCCACTTTTTCATTTTGACATGCAAGCGACCGAGCTGATTTGACACCTTCGCTGTGTCGACTAAGGGAGCTTCTCCCTGCAATTCGAGTTTATCAAAGGAGCACCTGCAAGAATCGCTACGACTGGGAAATCCTGTGAGCCGCCGAAACAGTATTTCGTCCGGGTAGACGTCATCAGGGTCGGCCATATGCAGCAAAACGATGTTCTACAGGGGAGTGCCAATCGAGGAACGTCCAAAGGTGAAGTGCGTGGCGAGATATATCCGCCTGTCATTCATTTGCTCCCACCACCTGACTTGTTTCCCAGCGTCTTGTCCAGGGCGTTGGCGTGCTCCCTGATCTTGTTGAATTGCCACGGCCAGTCAATGACATAGAGAAACGGTCTGAGATCATGGCGGTTATCGTCAGGGTTGTAGGCACTCATGTGCACAGCGGGTGTCAGAACCGTGCTCTTGTGTCGATTCATGGCGTAGAACCTGAAGAATCGCTGCACCTTCGTGGCGACCTGGAGGGGTCCGTAACCGAGATCCTGCCATTCGACCAGCAGTCTCAAATAACAGGACCATGGGCCGAGTTTTTCGACCTTCCGCAGTACTCCGAACGTACTCAGTTCGTTGTACGTAAGGCCCATTTCGTTTTCGGATTCGTCGTCTTGCACTCCTGCCGAGAGAGGGGTGAGTTCGGCGCTGGGGCGTGCGTCAATGAATTCCGAGATAAGTGGCATGTTCCACTTCTCACGAGCCCATGCCAAAAATGCTCTCGCATCGGATTTTGAGATGCTTCCCAACGGCGCGATATCACCAGACGAACAGTCGTACTTGGTCTGCAGTCCTCCCATGTCGTATCAGCAATGCGGTCTTCGAAAACAAAATGGAACCGAGACCCATGTCACAGATCTCAGGTGCCAATCGGGAAAGCGCTTACCAGGTAGCCTCTGAGGGCTTCGTCGACATTGGCGCTTGAGAGGACAAGCAGACTTGCTCCAGCTCTTGGCCTCTTCCGAGCTAATGTGCTCAATTGGGCCATCTCATACGCGATCACCATTCTGTTCCGCGCCTGAATATTTTGTTTTGCGAGATTTTCTGCAGCAGTGCCTCCTTCAACTTGGAACCTCGGCTTGAAGTCCAAGGCTTTCTGCACGATGCTCTCGTGCGCCGTCACGGTCTCGTCGATGTTGATATCCGAATGAAATGCACCTATGCTGCTGGCCAATCTCTTGGAGCGCGACCTCGTTTCGTCCCCGCTATGTTGGGTTCCCATAAAGGATGTATGAAGCAATCTCTGCACAATCTCCTGCGGTGTGCTAACTGTAAGGTCTTTCTCGCCTGTTATCCGACGGAGATCCGCTAGCGTATTGTCCTCTCCAGCGTTGATAGACTGCAATACGACATTAGCCATGGCAAACACAAAGAGAGCCACGGTAGCGCTATCGAGACCTCCAGAAAGCGCAAGAAAGTAGCCACCAGCGTTTGCCCGGGTGAGGTACTGCCACAAGAATACGGCTTCGGCCATGTAAATCTCTTCCATGGGTCCGAGAATCTTAAGAGGAACACCCCGTGACAGTTTCAAGGTTTGGGAAAAGAAGATCTCGTCGGCAGGACGTGAGAGACTTAGGTCACACTCGATACGTGGGTACTCCGGTTGAGCGGCAGCTTGAACATTTCGCGAAATGCTGCTCCTGTAGCTGCGAACCTCTTCGAGATCAATCGTCGCGGTGATGACCTCGACGGGCTTGAGAGAAAATTGCGTAGATTGTTGTAGAACACGACCATTGCACAAAATCATGGAAGAGCCGTCAAACATCATCCGCGCCTCGCCATCTATTATTGGTTAGAGTCATCGCAACTGCAGCGGATTTGGAATGCAAGATTAGCCCTTACCAACTCCAGTGGCATTAGCGTAGACATAGATGCCTCCCAATTTACGGGTGCAGTTCTGGATAAGACTGAGTCGGGTGTTGAGTTTTCTCAATTCGGCATGCGAAGCGCTCCTGTGGAACTCCCAAACGGCATATCAGCAGTGCTCTTGAGAATAGAGGAAGAATCCAGATCAATAAACCAGACATCAGGATACGACCCTGCAAGGGACATACGAGTTTACAATGACCTCGACCCCATTGAGACCCATGTTTGTGGACGGATTCGATGGCTACACAGATGTTAGCGGCTCCTTACTGTCTCTATCGAGCTGAAGCGACCTCGTCCTGGCATGAGGACCGAGGGCTGATCGGCTTTAAGCACGCCGGAGAGGGTGTGTGCGGAATTGTAATCTAAGGCTTCGAGGGGTCCTTACGGTAAAGAGCTCCTCGCACGTTTCGCACCTAGAATACCGAGTGTAAGCACTCGAAGAACAGGAAATCTAGGAGTCGAGGCTACTCAGAAATACTTTTCAACTTACCCGACCGACGTATCCAATGTGGAGAGCACGGCATCTCCGATGGGTACCGTCGCCTGCCCTGTAATGTCCTTGATGACTTTTTCAAGGTAATACGTCTCAGTCGTCCTCTCCTTGACCCAGGCCGTAAAGTGTCGAGCTTCACGGTACAGGCCATCGTTGGCAAGGCTCATTTTCGGTCGGATGAGGAAGATTTTCTTGTATGTGAGCAGGATGCGACAGTTGTATCGTACGTTCTGGCGCGGGTGTCAGCAGGGACCAGCGCATTCGTAACTGGTTGTCTACCCTATGCCTCACGCCCATGCCCACGTCTACCAGCATGTCCTTGCATATAGGGTCGTTCAGAATCTCTGCGACTACCTCCCAGCTGTGAAAGAAAGTGTCAGACTCAACTGAAAGTTGGGGTCAGCTGATCGTGTATTATGGCTGACGAGTAATCGACACACGCTCGACTTACGGTGGTGGTCGAGACATCCATAGCCAGGAATCTCCAGCTATTATAAGTCAGTTTGCGTTAGCAAGGAGCTATATCGATGCTCGTTGGGGACCACAGGGCTTCCGCGTTGTGCCGTTACATGTCATAGTTCACGACAAGCTGGTGATCGTACCTCGGGCCCGGTACGCAGTTTAGCTCCTTGGGATTTCGCTACCCGTATGCTTTCCAGAATTCTCTGGAGATTTCCTCGGAAGTCTAGGGGCACACTGGGCAGGGTGGCACTCGCGACCGTAATGAAAGGCATGCTGCGCGCTATGATCAGGTGTGACACTCGGCTGTAGATGTGAAAACTCTGCTGGATAGGGGTCGAGCCGAGCGGATGCTGGAGCGAGCACGGTAGAGATTGGAGGATTCGTTGTTGTAAAGAGCTTGGAAGTAAAGCAGGTAGCTAGGTAGAGGGATAACCAGTGATATGACGTGTAGTCCGTAGTTGCTGCGCTGAAGGATTGCGAGGTAAGTCGACAATTTCACCGAGGGGTCCTTGCCCTAGATTGATGGGGAAACACGGGTGAGTCACAATGGCAGCAAGACCAGAGGATTGATATTCGAGACCACGGACAGCAGCGGCTCGTGCCTCTCTCCGATAGAAGACAGTGCAGATGCTGGAAACTATTCCGATTCGGATGCCAAGACAGAATCTTAGTTGTCGTTGAGACTTCGTCGGATCGGCAACTTAGCCGAGAGAGGTTACGAGAGGGGCACGTGAGAAGCGACCCCGCCGACACTTGCGAGACTTCTACCTCGTACCAGACTGTCGGTCGGATGCCGCCAGAAGACTCGCAGCCAGGAATTCAGGCCAGGTACTGCAGGTTAGGAAGCAAAACGTTCACGTCCAGGCTGGTGAGGCTGCTGCGACTTACATATGCATTGTACTCGTGCGTTCCGCACGGACTTGGAGCATCAGCGAAGAGCCCTAAGTTGCATCATGCTGAGCGTAATCGCTGCGCTAGGCGAGCTAGGCGAGTGTTTTAGGCCCCAAGGCCGATTCGGGCTCTGTTTGGCGGTACTTCGGACGCAGTTGTAGGCGAGGGAGGCTCTGAGTCGCATTCATCGCAAGCTGCAGATGTCTGATCGTTTCTCCAGGCTCTAATTATTGACGTTCACGCAGTTGTGCGATTAGTTTCTATGTTTGGGGGAAGTCACTGAAGCTTCTGGCCGTGTCAGCGCCGCTCTCTATTGACTCGGCACGGGCGGTTCGTGTTCTTGCCTCGCTACTCTTTCTCCCCGATTATGCGAATCACTACGGAGTAGCGAGCCGTGCAAAGCTACGATTGTGGCTGTGCTCAATTATTTGAGAGATGCTCAACGAATCTGTTTGGCGGCGCACGACATCATACCTTGGGTACTGTTCTGATGGTGCTGACTTGCACAGCTCACCCCACAGCGACAGGGAATCGCCCCTTACTCCGTCCTCTGCCATATATTCGTTCCTTGTCGGTGCCCTCTAAGCTCAGCATATCTGTCATCCACGGAAGTACATGTTCATCTTCTACAGTTTGCGCGTCCGATCAGATTCACCTCGCGCAACCCGCCTCCGCCGTGCCCTGTTTCCCTAGCTGTGCGACGCTACACCGCTTCCCGGCACATCCTCTGACAACCAGCGCAATCCTCGCCAATCGACTATCACCCCTCTCTTTGAGAAACCTTGGGTCACTTACTTCCTTCCGTCGCAACCACAGGCGACTTGAAGAGCCGCCACCTGCGTGCCTTGTCTCTAGGTGGAATAGTGCAGCCGCCGCTTCAACGTCGCAGCATCTTGCATCGACCTTCGTATTACCTGAATAACTCTCTCTCTTCTTGGGCCAGCAGGCTTGAAGATTTGCTCGAAAGAGGCTGATCTTTGCGATATTGTGCATACGGTTTCGAATTGGACCCAGGCACGCAACCACGAAGAGAATCCCCGGATTTGTGAATAATCATCTTGGAGCCGGTTCCGCCTCCTCTCGTTCGTTCCGTGCTGTTTCAGTCCTAAAGGGATCTGTCCCGCACTCCCCACGAACACGTCGCTTTCACCAGCGTCCACCCCAGCAGCCGCCGGCCCGTAAAGTTGGCTGCCGTCGACCTGGCCGCGAGATCCGTAACGCCTAGGTCGTACAGAGTCTGACTTCCACGATCAGCAATCTTGTCCCGCCATAAAATCTTCCCCTACGCTTCCACCCTCTTGCTCTAGTCACAACTAACTCTTCGTGTCGACTTTATTTGAAGCTCAACCCCAGGCTTGTCTCATAATTCCTCCCGGACGGCATACAAATGGCCAATTGCTCACCTCGATTTCTCCGCCATAGTGTTTTGCCTTATTCTCCGGTCTAGGCGATTGCGTGGCTCATCTGGAAACAATAGCGGCGCTTTCCATTCTGGACCGACTCAGACCGGCTACCGCCATTTCCGAGCCTCAGTTGTGGAAAAGTCCCAATCGGAACAGGACTTCAAACTCGCTACCCCCCGGATCTGCCTTCGACAGATTGTGCATCAAGAAACAGTCGTCACCGTGGAGCACACTCGCATGAGGAAGCCTATTTGTTATTTTGACATCCCATCCAAACCACATGCACCCCGATATGCAACAATCTCCAGACATGGACCCCTCAGGTTGGACAGGTCAAGATTATGCGCAAGCCGCTGCCTACAGTGAGTCTTTTCTTCTCTGTCTTACACTCTGTTCAGTTGTGTGCACATGCGTGCATGTACCGGCCTAGGTGAAATCACCTATTTTGAAGTTCACCTGCAGACCGAGGTTTCAGCACCCATATCGTCAGCCGGATCATGGCACGGAGCGCACATGTTCTTGTCTCCTGGCAAGGCATCAACTGCTGCTGGACTGGTCAAGACCATAGCATTGCATCGGGTGGTCTTATTTGGGTCGCTAACGAAGTGCGAATCTTAGACAGTGGAATGCCCGGGGATGACGGCAGCCCAGCTGGCAACGTCAGCATGGGTTATTTGAAGGGTTTCGGTGGAATGCAGAAAAAGATCACTAGAGGTGCGAACTTCCATCCCTCCCACGTACGAATTCAGCGATAACCACTCGACAGACGGTCAACCTGCCAAGAGGAGAGGCCCCAAGCCTGACAGTAAGCCGGCACAAACTCGACGGCAAGAACTCAATCGACAAGCTCAAAGGTACGTAGCTAAATCGGGACCGGTTTGGTGATGCTTACCAGATCCACAGGACACACCGGGAACGGAAAGAAAATTACATCAAAGCCCTGGAGCTGGAGCTTGCACGACTTCGAGAAATATACCTTCTGGAACAAAATACTCGCGATGCGACCATTCAGCAGCAAAAATTAATCATCGGGACTCAGCAACGAGAAATACAGGGGTTGAGAGAAATCCTTGCATCTCGAGGAATCACTTTCGAGAACGAACTGGAGAACCGCAAAGCCATGATGGCCATGAAAACGAAACGAGAAGAGAACTCGATGACCCCAACGTCAATGAGCACTTTGAGTCCGCAGTCAGCTGGAAACAAATCAACCGGCTATGGAGCAGTGGGACGTCCACCTGGTTCGGCAGCAAGCGGGTACTCTCCTCAGGCATACTTGAGCAGCGCTCCCATGAGCTTGTCGGGCCACTCCCCTGGTGCGACACAATACGCAAGTTCGCCGCAAAGACCAGACATTCAGGAATTTTCCATCAAACAGGAAGACGACGCCACACCCGACATGCCTGGAATCTTTGAAAAAGAGCCGCAATTGGGCATTGATTTCATCCTGAAGTGAGTTTTGAGCCTGTGTCTTCCCGCTCGACGCTCTCCTGACTGGTGATTTCAAGGCTTGAACAGACTTGTCGAGATCACGAGGAGTATCTCGTGCGACGATCGATGGACTCGCCTAATACCGATGAAGAGGCACTCTTTTCCGGACATGCGTTGATGGCCAGCTGCCCACCCCCGAGCCATATCGAACGAGTGCCGGCGCAACAAGGGGGTCTGCAGCCAACATACGAACACAAAGTGCCCGATGCAGAGTCGGTGCAGATCCTCAACAACCTTCTCAACCTCAGCCAGACCTTGAAGGGTAGCGCAATTCCGAGTGGACAGGTCACCCCTATCATGGCTCTGCAATCGCTAAAGGGTCACAGAAACTATGCCACGTTGACTAGAGAGGATGTATTGGGCATGATTGAATCGATCAGAAGCAAGGTTCGATGTTATGGCTTCGGCGCTGTGATGGAGGATTTCGAGCTGCGTGATGCCTTGTCTAGCATATTCGCAACAAAGCCGGAGACATACGATCAACTGGGCACGGATTACACAGCTGAAATTGACGAGATGTACTCGTGAGAGCGCCTTGGATCTCAAACTTCTTGAGCGAAGACGTCTAAGCCTCAGTATTCCGGATCCCGCTCAATGGCTGGCCTGATGAATTGACTTTCACTCGAGATGGGCGGTCTTCGCCAGAAAATGCACGGCCAAGTATCTGGTCGCTAGGTTTTTGTCACGGGCCAACACTCTACACAAGCGGTAATGGATCAGCATGAGCACCAGCATTCGATAGGGCCAGCGAGCCACCTGTGTATACCCACAGGTTCGGTGTCCGAAAGTCGCCGACACTGAGTCGATCATTACTGTCGACCATTCTCAACCGGCAATTGTAATACTTTCTTGTCTTATCTACATCTCAGTCACAGCTGAAGTCGCAAAGTCGAGACAAGACCAGCTACCACAGCGACTCACACCAGCGCGCATCATGCCAGAGCTCATAGTCTTCACGTGTGCCTCGGGCCGTCAATGCGGCGCCATCATCCCTCACCTCTATCACAACTCACAATACACGCTCCGGCTGGTTGTCAACTCACCGTCTCGCGAACGTCTATCCAAGCAATGGCCAGATGCCGAAGTCATCCAAGCAGACCTACACGTCCCAGACGAGTGCACAAAGATTGTGGCTCGCGCCACCACCATCTTCTACATCGGACCCCTTCCACCCTCACGAAGTCACATTCGGGATGAACATGATCGACGCTGCCGTGCGCGAATCGAAAACCCAAGCGTCACCTTCCAGACACTTTATCTTCAGCTCGGCCCTCCATCCCGAGTTCACCAAGCTAGTGCACCACTCCCGGAAGGCCACGATCGAGGAATACCTCACCGAATCCGGACTGCCATACACCATCCTCCAGCCTAGCGCGTTTATGGACAGTTTCCTGGGCCAGCTCATTTACCGAGAGAAGACCTGGGCAGCAGCGCCTACGTTCAGAGCGCCTTTTAACCCAGACGTCCCTATGTCGTTCTCCTGCCTGGCCGACCACGCGGACGTGGCTGTTGAGATCGTTCGTGAAAGGAAGCCGCATCTCTACGCTTCGTATCAGCTCGTCAGCACTCTCCCATCACGCTGCGCGAATATGTCGCGTAGGTTAGCGAGGTGTTTGGCACGACGTGCGGGATCCATGAAGTACCATTCGAGCCGGCGGCCAAGATGTTTGTGGCTTTGACGTGGGGGCAAGGCCAGGGCGTAGGTCAGGAACTCAAGGACGGACCGGAGCATATGCTGTTGTACTATGAGAGTCGCGGGCCCTATGGGCACCCGGGCGTGCTGGAGTGGTTGTTGGGTAGGAGGGCGAATACGCCCGCGGACATGGCGAGGTTGAAATTGGAGGAGACCAAATGAGTCTTATGGGGGTGTCCAGAATCCGCTCTGTGCACCCGGTACCGTCTTCTGTAAATCAAGAGCTCGGTTCCAAGACGAAAGGACCTAATTTCGAGGAGGGCCGCGCAAGGTACCGATGCTGGAGAGGGAGTCGGCGCATCGGAATTGTCGTTCCGGGCCGGTCATGTTATGTCGTGTTAGGCCATATGCGCTATTTGGAAGCCAACTATTATCTCCTACATACAACACGTTGGGCATTTACCGCACGAGTATGACGGGTTTGTGGATTGATTGACCGACCGATGTACTCCCTGTTGATCGACTGAATGGTCGATTGTTTCCAGCCGCCCTCCCTACCAGGATGCAAGGAGCCATGCCACCAGACCCACTGAAGTCGCCGTGGACCACACAAGGCACCTGACGCCTTATGAGACTACAGCCGGGCAAGGTCTGTATGCTGGTGGCAATTGAATAGCTGCAAGAAGGGAGGGTTGGGTTCAGAGCGCATGGCGGAAGAAACGGCTGCGAAAGAAGGGGTCGTGGCAGTGCCTTATACTTCACCGTATTAGCGCTCGTTTCACTGTACTCCACTCGTTAACGCCAAGATTTCATTTGCCAATTTTTGGTGTATCGCATCGCAATCGATTATTGCTGGCCGCCACTGTTTGCTCGCTGCTTCCCAGGTCAGTGATTTGTGCTCTTGAGATCATCGCCAATATGCCGGGAATCAGTCTCGCCGAAACGATCAGCTCACTGAGCGTCAACGACGAATGGGGCCCCGAAGTCACGACGGCCACAACCCTGGATGGCGTCCCCTACGCCCCGTATTCAAAAAGTGATAAACTGGGCCGCATGGCCGACTGGACACAAGAAGGCAAAGAAGGTCGAGATCGAGGTGGAAGACAATATGGCAGAAACTTCAGAGGTGAAAGAAAACCATCATCTTCAAGAGCTGACCTGGTACTGACATGATTCTTCTAGACCAACAAGTCTACGGTGCGGGTACATCCTCGCTCTTCGCCGTACAGTCCGCGGAAGACGAAGCCACCTTCTCGGTCGTCGACAACACCAGAGCAACCACCAAGACGAGAGGTTTCGGACGAGGCGGAGTGACGGTCTTCCGTGGCCGAGGCCAGCGAGGGCAGGCTCAGCGTGGTGGCAGAGGAGGCTTTCAGAGAGTCGGACAAACCCAGAGGGCAGGCCAGCAACAAGGCCAGTACTTTGACAACAGAGGAGGCCGAGGCCGGGGAGGTCGTCGATTTGGCTGGAGGGATTACGACAAACCGCAGCGGAATCGTGACTCCTCGGTCAACATCCGGCCGGACTGGATCATGAAAGAGGAGATCGACTTCAACAGACTGGCCAAGCTGAATCTGGAGACCCCCGACGGCGAAGATGTCGACAGCTACGGGTTCCTCTACTACTATGACCGATCCTTCGACAAGCCTCCCGTGAAGAACACAGAGCGGAAACTCCTTTCCCTCGACCGCGCAGCCTACAACGTGACCACCTCGGCCGACCCAGTCATCCAAGAACTTGCAGAGAAAGACGAAGCCACCATTTTCGCCACCTCAGACATCCTCTCCATGCTCATGTGCGCTACCCGGTCCGTCTACAGCTGGGACATTGTCATCGTCAAACACGGCGACAAGATCTTCCTGGACAAGCGCCCGGACAGCTCAATCGACCTCGTCACCGTGAACGAGAATGCCGCGGACGCACCTCTAGAAGCCGACACCTCGTCCACGCCCTCGCAACAACAAACCGGCGTCAAGCCAGACAGCATCAACACCCCGTCCAACCTGGCCAACGAGGCAACCATGATCAACCACAACTTCGCGCTGCAAGTCGTGCTCGAGAACAACAACTCCAAAGTTGAATTCCCCCACCCGAACCCCTTTTACAGCGCGTCCGAAGAAACCGACCCCTTGGCCTCCAAGGCCTACAAGTACCGCCGCTTCGACATCAGTCTGAACAACGACGAAGAACCCATCAACCTGATCGTGCGCACAGAGATCGACGCCGCGACAAAGAACAACATCTCCGGCGAGGACCAATTCCTCGTGCTCAAGGCGCTCAACGAATTCGACCACAAAGCCCAAGGCAGCGGCGGTGCCCTGGACTGGCGCACAAAGCTGACCTCGCAGCGCGGCGCCGTCGTCGCCACCGAGATGAAGAACAACAGCTGCAAGCTCGCGCGCTGGACCACGCAGGCCATCCTCGCCCGAGCCGACCAGATGAAACTCGGCTTCGTGTCGCGCGCGAATCCCAAGAGCGCGGCCAACCACGTCATCTTGGGCGTCGTGGGCTACAAACCCCGCGAATTCGCCAGCCAGATGAACCTGGGATTCAGCAATGGGTGGGGCATCGTGCGTACGATTGTCGATCTGGTGCGCAATTTCGCGGATGCTGCCGACGAGGAGGACGGGGTCAAGGACCACAAGTACGTGCTTGTCAAGGATCCGAACAAGCCGGTCATTAGGCTGTATGAGGTGCCGCTGCATACTTTTGAGGATGAGGACGACGGGCTGGGCGGTACTGTGGGCGGCGATGATGGAGCCGGCGAGGACGGCCTGGACGAGTAAAGGCTAGACTTCAAGACCAGTGCCATGTCGTTGCCGTCCCTTGCAATGAGTGGCACGATAGGGCGGGCACGAACCCATCGAATACATGGGCACGCATGAGATATGTCTCGAAAAGCTATGAAAAGGCCCGGAGATAGTGGCACATGATAGAAGGCACGAATTGCGATGACCAGGAAAATCAAACGAGTGCAATGCAAGCTGTTGAAACGTTCATATCTAGAAAGCATATCCAAGATTGTTTTCTTTTCAAGATAGAATACTCAAATCCGCGGGCGCCGTGCTATGTTTCCCTATCTTACAATATACCTGTCCAGACATGACGCCTTCACGCCGCCATTCCCTTGGTCAGAGTAGGCATTTCCACACGCCAGCACTTTTCATGTTTGCGAGTATCTCTCCTACCGCACTCGCCCCATGGTCTTCCCGATCTGACTTTCCCAATTCGCCGCGCGTTCGAACCCGTTACTCGAGGTCTGGAAGTCCATCATAGCCTGGTAGACCGCCTCTTTACTCGTCGTCACAAACGGGCCATACTGCACGATATTCTGGTCCAACGGCTGGCCTGCGACCAGGATGAACCGAGCAGATTCGGAGGCCCCTTCCTCCACCGACGCAGTGACCTCATCTCCAGATTGTTCAAACACGACGTTATGATAAGGCGTCACGGTCTCGGCCTTTGCGGCGTCGGGCCCGTTCGAGAACGTAACCGCGCCTTCCAAGGTATATGCAAAGGCGTTCCAACCCCGAGGCAGCTCCTGTGTGATTTTACCGCCCGGTTGGACTTCAATGTCCAAAAGCCAGACGGGGGTGTAGGCAAGGTCCTTCAGCGACTCGACGCCCTCGGACTTGCCAGACATGACTTTGACCGTGACTTTGCCGTCGGCGGTCTTTGCGACGGGGATCTCGCCCGCGCGGAGGTCACGGTACCGGGGTTCGCAGGCCTTCAAGTGCTCGGGAAGGTCGACCCAGAGTTGCATCCCGACGTTGATGTCTTCGGTCTGCACGGGCATTTCGGCGTGCATGATGCCCTTGCCTGCGGTCATGAACTGCAGGTCCCCCGGCCCGATTGTGCCCTTGTTGCCGGCAAAGTCTTCGTGGTCGACGCCGCCCTTGAGGAGGTATGTGATGGTCTCTTGCCCGCGGTGGGGGTGGTCAGGAAACCCTGCGCCTGGGGGGATGCGGAAGTGGTCGAGCATGAGGAAGGGCGTGAAGTGGCGGAGCTTCGGCGTGCCGACTGAGCGGCGGACCACGGCGCCTGAGCCCTCGGATTGTTCGCGGGCGAGGAAGGAGAATTTGATTTCGCGAGGTGTGGTGGTGGACATGTTTGCTGTGGTTGAGAGAGGGCGGCGGTTGAAACCAAGAAACGGTGGGTTCGGTGTTGGTGCTTTGACCAGCCGTGTTCGGTGTAAATTGTTGCTTAGTAGTGATCTGCTTTGGTGCAGGAACGTCCTCGTCGAAGCCACGTTGCGGTAGTATGCAATGATGATTGCTGTTACGATGGTGATCAAGAATGACCAGACTTGGCTCATGAGAAGGAAAAGGACAGTACTTATACCTTGCGTCGAGGGGCGAATATGCTGGAAGATAAAGCACTATTCAAGAAGAAGGATCAGCATTGGATAATGCGCATCTTGGTAGCGCATGAAGGGTGTCCGGTCTTGTCCCTCCAGATCTTGTAGAACATGCGGCGAAGGAGATCGCTCAGCAGAACGTCAACCATTAACAAAGATCTTCGGCAATTGTTCCGCGGTCGATGGGTTGCGTAAGAATCTGTCAGCCAGCGGCACTGCTCAGCCTCGTCATGTGACTGCCAAGTGTTTGGCGGGGTTATTCTCGCCCGCGAGGCTGGAGTCTCCATTGTTAGCGACTCGCACTCACGAGGTAACCCTTGCAAGTCTTCATTAATATCTCAAGCAGTGCTGCGCACGAGACGAGAAACATGCACTCAAGTACCGCATGTCACGAGCCAGCGGATATGCACCCAGAACACTATTATCCCGAATGGGTAGCTCGCCTACTCCACAATGCTTCCCCGTCCCGCTGTCTGCTCTGCGGAGAGATCGATCTTCCACATGGATGTTTTCGAGTATGAGCACCGAGCATATGCCGACTCCAACTTTCAGGGTGCAGATCGGAGCCGCGCCTCAGCCAGCCTGTGCGGCAGAACATTCCCTATGACTATATACCTAGCTATATTATATTGGTATAATCCTCTCTATACATCGTCAATATACCGCGATAGTTCGATCCTTGACTTCATTACTTAGTTCTAAGACATTAGCAAAGAGTACACATATTACATACGTACCAGGGAGATCGGATCGAACACAGTGGGCACACGTACCAGTCCCACGAACCACGACGAACAATGTTTTACGAACCAGGCAAAACGGACCATAACCTCCCTCACGATCCATTCAAGGTCAGTCACCCAGTCACGCAGCAGTTGGCCACTCAATGCTTCCTCCATGTGCAGTTCCCTGTCATTATGTCTGTGTGACCGTCTATCCATCCCCTCCAAGCACTGTGCTGTACTGAGCAGAACAATGATGCGGGGCTGAGACAGTGAGACAATGGGAGGAGCAAGCAAGACATACATTGTGCTTTATCTATCACCCTTGAAAAGAATGTCGACCGACAACTCATAATTGATAACTGACACCTTCTCCTCTCATATCATCAGGCATGCGTGATCCCCCGCCCAATAGGCTGGATCAGCACGATCAACCCCGAAACTCAATCGCAATCACATACACAACCTACAAATGGCAATGGTCATGGCAATGGCGCCGACCAAGGCAACGACAACAACAACAGCATAGGGAAAGCAAATCTAGCACCCTTTTCGCAGTTCAATAACCTGACGTTTGATCCGCCTTGTGAGTGCACTGAGTGGTTCTTTCTCTATCCCTCCGGCCTTCTTTATCATATTCCATGCCCTACAGCACAGTGTAATCAGCCATGACCGACTGTTCACGTCTCACTCCCGCTTTCCCCCCTAACTCCCCAATCCCATCGCACAACTCACACTCACACTCACACTCACACTCACACCTGCCCCACCCACCCACCAATCTAATCTAAGCCAATCCCATCCTAACTGACATACCCACCCCCTCTTCCACGTAGACATCATGTTCTCCAGCAACCAGACCCCCTCGCGCCAACAAAAGGACACGGTCCGCAACGTCGAGGCCACGGGCGTCTTCTGCTGGCAACTCGCCACCTACGCGCTGCGCGAGGCGGTCAACATCACCGCCGAACAGGTGCCCTACGGCGTGGACGAGTTCGACCGAGCAGGGCTGGAGAAGGAGTATTCCACCGTGTTGGCCACGCCCGTGCCCATGGTCAAAGCCAGCCCCATCAAGTTCGAGTGTGAGTACTACACCACGCTGCGGTTGCCGGGGAATCCGCCCATGGGGAGCGCGGACGTGGTTGTTGGCAAAGTCGTCGGAATTCACATTGATGAGGGCGTGTTGACGGACGATGGCAAGATCGATGTGAGCAAGACGCAGCCCATCGCCAGGTGTGGGTACTACGACTATGCTGTGGTGAGGGAGACGTTTCAGATGATAGTGCCCGGTGGCACAAAGGATACGCTGTACGGAATGGAGGGAAGCGTCAGGAAGCACAAGGCAGCAAGGGAGGCCGGCAGGAGAATGGGTGTGTCTGCTGAAGACGAGCAGGGGCCGCCATAGACGGCCAGCTAAACATCATATCGAGCCACGTTGTCATGCAGCTTCATTGTCATTGACGCACTCTACCGATACTGCTACTGCTTGCTATCCTATTTGGTCGCCTTCCAAGTCAACGCATGCCAACACCTGCTCAGACGCACTCGTCGTCAAAGAATGGATTCGCCTGACGAGTAGGCTTTTCCATCCATTTCTCATCAATTCGTCGACTTCTCGTGGATGAATGCCTAGGGCAGATATTTTGTCCATATGATTCCTTTGGATCGGCATGGCATTGGTCGAGAACCGACGTATTGAAAGGGAGCTCTGTAAACTAGTCAGGTTATTTGCGTTGCATCACGGGGAGCACGTCGCAAAGGTTTGTCTCACCAGCTAGGCCTGGGAAAACGTCGTCTTTGTCACTTTCTGCAATCGAGTTGGAAGAAGTGATCGCCATCCCGGTGCCCACGGAAGTTGTTTCTGATGCGTCCTCAATCTTTTCGTTTCTGGCAAGAAAGTCGTCTTCCTTCGGATCTTCGAACGGATTTTCCAGTGGCTGACTTGCTGCCAGAGGAGAAGCGATTTCTGACAACGGACTTCCGAGAGGAGGAATGGCAAGAAGGTTATTCTCCATGTACTCTTGTGCCTCAGCCATAGCTTGCCGGAACTTCAGGTCAGAAATCAGCACGGCTGGGCTCCGAGGCCTCCCGCTTGGTATCATTTCTCGGTGATCTCTCACAAAGCATTGGAGGAGAGGAGTCGTCGCTAGCTGCATCGGAGGCAGGGCTGGTGTGGAGTTCGGAATGTCAATGGGGACAGCTCGGGGCTCATCTTCAATGATCGATTGTCCAGACTGAAATCTGACGGATTTCTTGGAGCTCAACGTCTTGGTTGGCGACGGGAGATTGACCTCGAAGTCGATCTCATCGCTAACCAAAGGGGCGCTGTCCTCGGAAGACTTGTTTCTCTTAGATTTGTAGAACAACGCCGCAGGTGCCCGGATTGCATTGGCCAGAGTCTCGAGCAATGTTCTCGGTGGCTCGGACTTGGTCAGTCTCGACTGTGAGGGGGTTAACGACGCCTTCGCAGGGTGCGGACTGGGTGTTCGGAACGGCTTCCACCCGGCTCTCGGCTGCACAGGATCAGACGGCAAGTACAATTCTTCCTCAAGGATGTCAGGCTTGCTGAACGAGCTGTTATAATCGTCAACTCTAGTCAAAATTCCCAGGCCATCAAACTTACGTCTTCTTCCGAGTGGAACCTAAGACGGACTGCAGACTCTTGCGTGGACTGAGGCCAGAAATGGTCGTGGAACGTGCTCGGTACGGTGATGGTGTTCTGTTCTCCTGCTGAGGCGGAAGAGGCTCGTCGACGGTACGGCGTCGGAGGCTGGGGAAAGGCATAGTTGCCAGGTAGGATGGTAATTATAGAGCATCCAAGAATCAAGGAAATGGCAGAGCGTGTAGCCCTTAAGCCCAAGAATCGATTTGATGAGTTGCCTGTATCATATTTTTGAGATGAGGAAAAAGCAGAAAACCGATGCGGCTGCGATGAAGGCCACTCGAAGCGTGTGAAGTTGTGGCAGGCGCCGGGAACGCCAAGGCAAGTTCCTCCCGGCGTTGGCATCATCGCCGTCGCCAGGTAAGAGCGACAGATGCATCTGGTGAACGGTTGACCGGCAAACAATCCCTCAAAGAGACCGTCACCACGGTCTGTTAACAACCCCAGTCGCAGCACTCGCAGACTGTGTCGTTGTGTTGTCATCAAAGATCAAGTTCCACCTCAGCACTCGCAGGACTTGAGCTGCATATAAGGACGCCGTTGTCTCCCTCCAGGATGCCATCAATCTCCCCTTTCAAGAGCTTCACCTCGCACGTACCGCAGGCGCCAGAGCGGCAGCCATAATCGGGCGTCAAGCCAGACTTTTCCGCCAGTTGGAGAAGCGTGAGTCGGTCTTTCGCCAACCACTTCACTGTCTTGTTTGACTTGCGGAAGACAATCGTGGCTTCTTCAATGTCTTGCATATTGTCCGTCGCTTGCCGTTGACTGGATGAGGACTACTCTCAACAACTGTTGCGATGCGATCTGTCCATGCCATTGAAAGTGGCGAAGCTGAGCCGAAGATGTCGTAGATATTCACCACCGGAAGAGATTAGCCGAAATACCCGGTATCCCGCCGCTCTACTCAGAATGTTTGCATCCATTACAACCTTTGACACTACCTCGCTGCCGCTTTAACATCGGCCTGTGCCATGGGTTTCAAGGCTACGATCGCTCTTCACCCTACTCCATATTCCACTCTTCGTTCACTGTATGAGTCGCTACTAGAAAATTCAATTCCAAGGTTATTGGTTCTAGTCGGGCGCTGCAAAAGCTTGAATTGATTTAGGTTCCCATAAATCGTGGAAGCCAGTCACCACTCTCAACCAATAATTAATAGTTCCCGGACGCTCTTGAACAATGGGTGTCTTCAGGTCGAGGACCTTGCGTCGTAAAAAGTCTTTCACGTTGAATCCCACGACAAGTTCTGAAGAGATAAAGCCATCGCCTCCATCCCAGTCACGGAGACGTTCACAGTCTAGCGATCATACTACCACTATTCACAACAGCAACTCCACTACAACGCCACCAACCCCGTAACAGCTGCACTTCCTCAATATGGGATCTGCAAGTCTACAAGAATGCACTTCTACCAAGTTCCGCCGCATAGGTCAAGGCTTCTGTGGAACAGTGTGGGCAGCCGAAGGAGGCACAATGGCGATGAAAAGAGAAGACGGTGGTCCAGGCCGGTCTCTTCTTAACGACTACCACATGCACAAACTTGTGCTGGACACCGCCTTCCAAGAGAAGAATTCTGTGTGCGTGCCACGTTGGCCGAGTCTCGTCAGAAACAACGACAGTTGGTGGGATGCGAATCTCTCCAGATTCCCACTTGGCTACACTACCTGCAATGTTCTCTGCGCCGAACGCATACCACCACTGCCGCAAGAGGTGAGGCATCGTCTCATCGACCGGTACTGCCCTCCCGCAGCAATTGCAACCATCAAGGCCAATGACGCCGACCACGACTGCTTGGTTCGACCATACCTGGGTCGACGAAAGATCCAAAACGAGGCTCGGAGAGGACGCAACTTCTTCTCCCTGCGCAACTATCCTTTACATCTCAACCAGGCAGAGGATCTCGACCTCCCGATTCTGAAGTACGCGCATGCAATGGCCGAGATGCTGGCCATGATGCACTGGACTGCGAAGATTGACGCTAATGACATCGAGTTTGTGCTGGCAGGCGTTCAACAGCAACCAGAAATTGCCCGCACAATATACACACACGACTTTCTGGGCACTCACTCTCTGTGGGTCCTGGACTTTGACTGCTGCAAGACTCTGACCATGGACGACGCAGGCATAGAGCAAGCCGCGCGCGCATTCCTAAGGAACGACCCATACTTCCCTCGCCCTGCAATCAACACACAATCCCCCGATGGCAATTTGTGGAATGAGTTTCGTACCCGCTATCTGGTGTGCAGTCAGAATCTCGTCACTGATCATGGCGTAGACTGTCTCGCTTTACCCGAGAAATTCGTTACACGTGTTGCGGAAATGCACGAACAAGGCAAAGATTAGTGGTCTCCTGCAGCTCTGAGCGATCCTAGCCCGCTTCCCACATTATCTAATCGACGGCAACTAGTATCTTCATACGCAGCCCGCGGCTCCTCCTTCGGTGCTCTGGCAACACAAAATCTTCGCCTAGAAGACCATCTGGTCAAAGAGGCAGCGAATGAAACAGCCGAGCAGACTTTGAAGCGGCTCCTGTCTACAAAATCGGCCATTTCCACCACTTCTTCGTTCGCAGAGCGTCAGCAAGCATCAGCTGGCCAGCAATCTGTGTTTCGTCAGATAGGCACTGGCTTCATTGGGACGGTCCTGGAGCATCCAGGAACAATTTGCGTATACAAGTTTTCTCTCCTAGACCAGAACAACAAGCTTTTGGAACAACTATCTCATGGGGCTGCGGATCCAAAGGAGCTTCTCACGCTGTAGCTCGATTTGCGGCGACGTCGCAACACCTCAATGCATGTAGTATGCAACCGCACAGTCGCAATTCTGGGCCAAGTACAAGCGGCTAATCCCGGCATCCCGGAATCCTGGAGACGTGCTCTGTATGGAACGCATCTTCCCATTGCCCGAGATCATACGCAATAAGATCATCGATGTTTTCTGCCCGCTTGAATCTCCCGCCCGTGAACAGGCGAAGAACATTATCAGCAACAAAGACTGCCTTGTCCGCCCTTACCTCGGCCGAGCCCGTCTGGGAGGCAGTCAAAGCCGACTAAAGGCGTTTTCGCTCCGAAACTACAAGCTTCATATTGACCAGATCCGACACCTAGGTCTCGACGGAGAAGAATTTGCCATATCGATGGCAAATGCAATGGCAGTCATGCACTGGGATATTGGAATCGACGCGGCTGATATTGAGTTTGTGCTTGGAAGCTCGCCAACAGTGGAGGGTACGATACCTGCCGCACCAGAAGACCTTGAGCGTTTGCCAATGACAGCTATAAGATGGATACATTTCGAGAGATCACTATATCGAACCCGAATTTCAAGCAACGACTGGTAGGTCTTTGGCTTCTGGACTTCGACGCTTGCGGAGATATCACCATGGATTCTACTGGCGTCCAGCAAGCAGTCAGAGCTTTCTTGGAGAACGAGCCTTACTGTCCAAGACCCTATAGTGGAACGGCCTACAGCGATCACCTGTGGAGGGTTTTCGGTACTCAGTACCTGGCTACAAGCGCCTCGATTCTTACGATGGCGGAGCCTGACGTCGCAGATTTGCCAAATACCTTCCTGACTGGGGTTGCCCAAGCTCTAGCCGGGTCACGAAACCAGCCCTCCAGTGCTGTTCACGGCAGCGGATCCGAGAGGGTTCAGCCATTGCAAGAAGCCGTGCCTACGGCCCGGGAGAGAGGACAACAGGAAAGAGGGCGGCGCGGTGGGAGAGGTCACTACCGTGAAAGATCTGAGCGTGGGAACGGGCAATCTCAGTCACACTCACCCGGTGCCCTGGCAATTCGTGGAGGGCGTGGCTGGCGGGGTCGAGACACGCGAATCTCCGGGAGAAGAGGAGTAAGCGGCACATGCAATAGTGCTATGCTTGCTATAGAGATTTTCAGCTCTTTGATATCTAATTAAATAGTGAGAGCTTGTTGCTGCTTCAGACAAGCGAACACGGCAAATGAAAGCAAACAAGCCAAGAGCTGGTTCGGTGCCTCTTCGGCGACTGAAGCGTCAATTCAAATCCCGGCTCTGGCCCTACAATCCATTCACCCATCACCTCGACTCAACTATCATAACGAATCGATCTAGCCTTTGATTGTAATACCCTGCAAGCGGGGGAAGAGTCGCGCTGCAACGTGCACGTGCGCGCGCTTATTAAAAAGGGCAGATGAAATTGTTATTCAGCTCCATCAACCTGGTCTCGTTCACATCTGGCAGTGGGCGACTGGCGAAGTTCAGAACTTCAGCATCAGATTGTGCCGACTTGAGCTCAGCATTTCTTTGCCTCGAGCAACAAAGGAGGGTCCTGCAAGTTCATCGAGACTTTCGTGGCTTTAGCCGCCGTTTTCATGCCTGGCAGGAGCTTCCTCATGGATGTCGAAACTCGGATTGTAGGCGACGACCAGACATCCATACATCGGCCAGAATAGGTCACTCTATTCATTCGAAACATGACTCCTCAGTTGTTACGTCAAATGCGACAGGCACCGCCACTACGACTGTATCAGAGCAAAATCAATCAAGCTCATCAAAGTATTCGGAAGAGGGTCAGGGGACCAAGTCGAATAATGGCGCCACCGCATCGAAGCATCAGGACAGCCCTGCGAACTATAAGCCAAGCGTAAATACAGAGTCGGATGGTCCACCAACTGCCGTAAGCCACCAAGGGTCTCCGCTGCATGCGGCACAGAAAACGGCGCCGTCCTTGAGCGACGGTGTCAGAGAGATAATGCGCCACGTACCGCATCCAGTCGCGGTTATCACTTCCACCGATATCGCTGTCAGTCCTGAAGGTGCACCAACCGCATGGCGCGGTGCTACGGTCTCTTCGTTCAATACAGTGACGCTACGTCCGACGCCTATCGTGTCATTCAACATTACAAAGCAATCCTCGACATATGACGCCATCAAAAGTTCCGGGCTTTTCAACGTCCACTTGCTAAGCTGTTCGTCAAGCAGCAGTAGCATAGCTGGCAGGTTCAGCAGAGGCAACGCCTCTTCACCGTTTCATGTCGAAGACGGATCCCTAGCAACGTGGGCTGGGGAACAACATATGAATGCACCTGCGCCATCACACCTCGGACCCCAAATCGGGCGCAAATCTCCAATCATCAAGTCCCCTCTTCAAGCTGTCCTTCGTTGTAAGCACATTGCACAGAAGACGGTGGAGATCGGAGACCATGTGGTGATATTTGGTGAAGTGGTCGAGAAGTATGATGAACTGCATCATCTCGAGGAGGCGAGCGTCTGGCTATACTATGTCAACGGCAAATACAGCCCGCTGATCTCGGCAAAACCATCGGGCAACGTATCTGTCGGTTCCGGTCTCCTTGCTCCTCAGGGTCAAGGAACAGCTGCTGGATAATGTGGGCTGATTTTCACCATGAGAGCCCCGACGTCGCCGACAAGGTGTCGACCGCATGATCGTCTGTACAATTAGTGTCTTTATAGCATGCGCCTTGGTCTGAACGACAGGGAATGGCGAGTCAAGAAGGTCCGCTAAATGCCTGCTGAAGGACTCGGATGAAGAAATCATTGCAAATAAGCGGACAGAGAGAGAAGCAAAGCAGTCCTACCACCAAGGATCCTTTCAACGGCCTCTCAAGACTCTCTTACTTCGGCTCCAAATCCCCTTTTCAGTCCCGACCAAAACTCATTTGCAATCTATCCTTCGGCTTCTGACTTCAGTCACTTCCTTTCACTTCCTTCTCCAGACCTCAGCTTGGATATTGCTGAACAAGAACAGAACGCGCTTCAAAGCACACGATCTTCTTCCTACATCGAAATCTCAACAACAGTATCAGCGCACTTCCACCATGTCGAATCAAATTGACGCCGATAAACTCGCCTAAGTGATGACCGTCCTCAAGAACACCGAGATGCCTAAGCCCAATTACCACGCTGCTGCTGTTGAGGCTGGTATTAACAATGCGAACAACGCGTAAGCTGCCACGCCCCACCATGCATATATCCATCCTGTATCGCTATGTCCTACTGACTGTGAACTTGCTCGCAGCCAAAAGAGGTTCCGCGCCATCGTCAAAGGGGTGGGCTTTGACTTGGTAGACGGCCAGATCGTCAGTGGTGGCGGCAGTGGACCAGCCCTCACCGCTACAGCAGCCACTTCGAAGAAGGGTCGTGGCAAGAAAGCGGATGGTGCGGTACCGAAGAAGGCACCAGCGAAGAAGGCGCCGAATGGCACTGCTAGTAAGAAACGCAAGCTAGATACGCCATCTGTGGATTCCGCCACTGAAGGGGAGAGGGAAGACGATAGCCCAGAAAAAGGAGATGCCATTACCAAGGAGGAGAACACCAGCGATGGAGCTGCTTAGCTGCTAGTGCAGACTGGAGCTTATTAAGAGTCAATGCGAGGAGGAGCCACATACGGTGCGGACGAGGTTAGCGCGAGAGGACATTTGCTAGCTGCCGGGGCAAGGAAGAAGACAAATTAGGAGATGAGCTGCTGACGATGAGGTTGTTACTGTGTCGAGGTGGACAGGGAATCGGCAGAGCAGTGGCTGGCAGTAGAAGTGGCAGAACAACCTCAGCAGAGACTCGCTAAAAAGCAGAAATACCTTATCACACTTTCAACTTGATCCTCGTATTCTCTTGTATTCCCTCTCATATCATCATCCCGTAAGAACTAGCCTTTGCTTCACTTTGCTCCAGGCGGTCAGGAGGTCGTCTGGCTTAGGGTGTCCATACATCTCAGGCTTCTTCCGACTCATTCTTCACCACCGCGACTTTCCTCTTTCCCTCGTTCTCTTTTCTATATCACCCCAGTTTTCTTCAATCCAAACAAGGTCAACTCAACTACTCTCAACATCCACTTCTTCAAACAGTAACAATCTTAACAATCCACAATGGCGAGCTCTTCTACAGACGACAAGATCGCCTTCATCCTGACAGTGTTTAAACACACCACCCTGCCAAAGCCGGACTATGCCGCTGTTGCAGTAGAAACTGGCATCAATACCGCTTCGAATGCGTAAGCCACTCATCGATGCCACCGCCCGTTTTTCGCACGTAGACACTAACCACCATCTCATCAAGTCAACGGAGACTCAGGGCTATCGTCAAAGCAGCTGGGTTCGAACTCGTCAATGACCAAATAGTCGGCCCAGGCGGAAGCACTGGAGATGGAACCGGCACTGCTGCGTCACCTCCCAAGAAGAGAAAGCCGAGAGCGAAGAAGGCTGCCGGTGAGGAATCGAACAAGAAGCAAAAAGTCAAGCAAGAGGATGATGCGGAAGTCCAGACGAATCAAGGCGTAGAGGCGAGTACGAACTGAAAGATGGAGGCGGTGCTGAGGCAGAATGATTACAGCGAAAAGAAGGCAAGCAGGACTACACGATACCTGGTCAGCTCTAGGTCGATATACCTGCGAGCTTGATTGCTGATGCGAATTGTATGAGAAGGACGGAACGGCGGAAGCAACTGGGCGGAGAAATTGGCGATAGAAAGACGTGTCATTTGAATTGCGACCGTCACAACAAACAATTTCACATCTTGTCAGGCGAGGTTCCATCACACGAAGCATCCTTTTCAAGCTGCCATGCTTCCGACAATTTGCATTGAACATAATCCACGGCTCATATCCTTACTAGCTAATTGAGAGCGTAACTTTTCGACATGCCTGCGAGGCTATCACCTCGCAGCAGCCGCTTTGTTTGCGTGCAATGCCGTCACGCCCTAACATCGACCCAGAGACGGCGATTCTTATCAACCAGCTCAACTCAACCCGAGATCTACGATCTCGTCACAGTAGGCGGCGGTCCCGCCGGCCTAGCTCTCCTCGCAGCCCTAAAATCATCACCCTTAACGTCCCATCTGAAAACCGCCTTGATCGAAACCCAAGACCTCAGCAAACTCCGTGCCTGGACTTCTCCGGACGACAAATACTCCAACCGCGCAAGTAGCTTGACGCCCTCGTCCGTCTCGTTCCTCGAGTCAACCGGGTCGTGGAACCACGTGGACCAATCCCGCGTGCAAGCCTACGATGAGATGCAAGTCTGGGATGCGGCCAACGACGCCACCCTCCAGTTCGACTGGGCCGCCGAGACGAAAAGGTACAACGCGCCGCCGCGGACCGTGGCGACCATGACCGAGAATGCAAACCTCACGAGAGGTCTTCTCGAGCGGATTGCCGAAATCGGCGCAGAGACGTCCCTCTTCTCGAATACCAGTGTATCTTCCATTATACAGGGCGTGGACGATCCAGAGGGCCTCGACCTGTCAACCTGGCCGGTGTTGAGTCTGCAAGCGAAGACACCGTCGGGCACTCCATCATCTATCGCCGCCCGCCTGCTCGTCGGCGCCGATGGCTTCAACTCCCCCGTGCGCACCTTCGCCGGCATATCCTCGCACGGGTGGGACTACGACCGGCATGGCGTCGTCGCGTCGCTAACGATCCAGCCCCCAGCAGAAGAGACCTCCTCGCAAGACTTCGACCTCTTCTCCGACGATCCCCTCCCCAACCGTGCGACCGCGTACCAACGCTTCCTCCCCGCGCTTGGCGGTCCCGTTGCGGTACTCCCACTGCCCAACAACCACGCCTCCCTCGTGTGGTCCACCACGCCCCAGCACGCAAGTTACCTGAAATCACTCCCGCCGGCGGCCCAAGTGGCCATGGTCAACGCAGCACTGCGCCTCGACCAGACAGACATCGCGTACATGTTCACTTTGGCCAGGTCGGCAGAGGCAGACCATCTCCATCAAGACGAACTCTCCTGGCGGTTACAACATACTCGCCCGCCGCGTACCGGTCGCCCACCACCGACAATAACGAGCATCCAAGAGGGAAGTCTAGCCTCGTTCCCGCTCCGCATGCGCCACGCCTCGAGCCTGACTGCCCACCGCACCGCATTGATAGGCGACGCCGCGCACACGATCCACCCACTAGCCGGGCAGGGGTTGAACTTGGGCCTCGCGGACGCGGCCGCGCTCGCCAGTACGATCGCCTACGCTGTCGACCACGGCATGGATATCGGCGACGGTTTCGCGCTCCAAAGATACAACGCCGAGAGGTTCGGCAGGGGGTTGCTCATGGCGGGCGGGGTCGACGCGTTGAACTGGATGTATCAGGTCGGAGGGTCCCACCAGGGCATGCTCAGTGCGGTGGTCGGAAGGGTGAGGGGGTTGGGTATGAAGATGGTGGGGAAGGTGCCGGGGCTGAGGGAGGGCATTATGAGGCAGGCGAGTTAGGTGGAGTGCACCCAGAGCGGTTCGCGTGCAGGGATAGTGGAGGAGAGGTGAGCATGCTGCTATACTATGCGTATGTACTGTACTGCGTTTTGTCAGTCGAATCATTGGGCTCTGCCAATTCGTGTTTCTAGAATTAAGAAGTGTTCTTCGCGTTGCGTGTCTCTGGATGGCTGGCTGACTGACTGGCAGAAACACATATCCCCGTCTACGTAGGACCTGTACGTGCTACATGCTTTATCTACTTGTAGAGAAGGAAAGCATATGGGTTGGTATCGCATGGCTGGTGTGATATGGCGAGGAACAGGCTATCGCCATGTATAGGGAAAGCGTATCACACGGAAGCGGGAATCGGATAGGGCAAGTTAGACAAACCCGGACAGGCTCGCGTTGGCGGTGGACATCACGGTAGGTAGGCGTCCAAGAATGGGTCGCGACAAGAGCGGCTCATGGTGTTCACTTCGCTGCCACATTACTGAAGGCCCTGATTGTGAGGAAGCAGAAACAGAAAGGGTGGCTGAAGTTGAAAAGCAACGTGAAAGCCGGAGAGACACATTCACAAGCGTACACGCACAAGTTGATCGACGCTGAAGCAGTTGTAACGACCAAAGTGGAGGCCTCGTTGAGAAGGGAGCTGCACTGCCATCAGCCATCTCCTCGTCCCCAAGCGCCCAATTCAACCCTCTCATCAGCATACATGTCGACCTTCAACACCTCTTCCCTGCCACGTATACCTACATTTCCTTGCTCTTCTCCCTCTTGGGGAGCAAGTCGTTCCAGGACAAGCCACAGACCTCCAGTTGCCGGCCCACACATGTCAGGTCGCAAGTCCACATCGTCCATTCTTATCACGGAGGACAAACTGCTGAACGACGAGTCATCGACTTCGCTGCTGGCAATGATGGACTTGTATGGTCCCTGGCCTTGTTCGAGAGTCGCTCTGAAAAGCGAGGACTGCGCTTTGTCCGCATGGTTAGAGCCCTGGGCGTCGTGTCGAGCGATGAGTGTTGCTCGGCTCATCCGTCGCGCCGTAAGAGGTGCAAGCAGCCGATTTGTGCCATTGCTGAAGATTGCCGGCGCCGACTGAATGTGTAACCGTCCGGCATGCTCTGCTGGTAACTGGAGGAGAGGTTGTGGTTTTGCAGAGAACGAGTAGTGTAGGTCCAGGCAGAACTCGGCGTACTGATTACTCTCAAAGGTTGAGCATATGACCGTGTACGTTCCCGGTCCTAACTCGGTCTCTATGATTGCGCTCCCTCTTCGATAATCACCTGAATGCGCTAGGACGTCACGGGGTCGCAGCCGGGTAATCCTTGAACCGTTGCTGAAGACCGTCAGTATCTTGACACTGATGTCAGCTGATGGACTGGCTGCAGCCATCGGGTCGCCCGCTGTCGCTGGCTGGGCAACGCGTAACACTAGCGCGACCTTCTGAGGGGCGTCCAAGGTGAGTTGATACTGCGGGTTGGAAAAATAGTTTGGCGAGTCCGAGTTTCCTCCGGCGTTCGTTCTTGTCCAGGCTGAAGGAAGCGCGTACTTTTGAGGATATTCATTTTGGGCCTCTGACAATGTGACGGGGCTCCCAGCGAGTGCCGAGATGGAGAAATTAAGCTTCCCCCGGGGTAGATCCTGAGACACCACAACTGCAGTGTAGATTGCTCCCGCACTGGCCTGGAGCCTCAAGAGCGTGTTGGGAGAGTCCACGAACGGTCCACGTATTTTGGCGCCCTCGCTCGAGAGGATTCTCTTGCCATCCCGGGTGTAGAGGTAGAGGCTAATGTAACCATTCTGGCCAACCGTTGCTTCAGAGTAGTCACCCGTGCGGAAGTGCCGATGGAGCAGCAACCAAATCTCGCCCGTCTTCGAAGCAGTAACCGCGAACTGGGGGTTATCGACGATCAGGTGGCTGACCGGAGGCGGGCTGTCCTGTGTCCACGAAAAGTGGAGGTCTTGTCTGTGTGAAAATAAACCCGGGCTCCAGTTGAGGTACATATTCTCAAAGTATTGGAAGACGCTGTTGAAATCCATCCAGAATGTGCCAGGCATCATGGCATTGTCTTCGTCTACCTCTTGTACTTCCGGTCCCCCGATCGCGTTTGGCCGCCGTCGAGCCGCGCCCTTCCAAACATCCCCATCAGCCCAAGGGTTCTTGATTAGCAGTTCCCTCGTACCGCCGTTGACAGTGATATCCAACACAGCGTAGTCATGCTCTGCCGCGAGGCCGAGTTGTCGCTGTTCGCGCCGAGGCAATTTGCCCGTTCCGATGGTCACCAACAAATTACCCTCGTTGAAATGCTTGACAACTTCGTCCCACAAGCAATCTGGCTCCACGTCGTGGTCATGCAGGAAGACTTGCTGTGGTATCCAGCCCGTGAGAACTGCTAGATCGGTGCCTGAATTGCTTCCTGGGAAGTCGTAACCACCCCGAACCTTCAAGTACGCCTTTTCCACCAAGGCTGGCCATAGTAGCCGCGGATGGCGTCGGTCAATGACATGTAGTACTCGGCTGGTTCTGGATGAAGGTAGATAGTCGTCGATCTCCACTCTTCGCCAGCAGCCATTGAAATATAGTCTGAAAATGTACTTTCCATTCGGTGAGATGATCAACTTATCCGTGGCATCGTCAGAGGGATGCATCAGTGTACGAAGAACCTGATTTGTATCAGTTGTGTAGTCCACCACAAATTGAGCGAGGCCTACCTTGGGGAAGCCACGTTCCGTTCGTGAAGTCAAGGCACAGAGACTTGCAACAACTGAACAGTCCGAAGTCATGTCCTGTACAAGGTCCATAGCCACCGGCAGGTGCATGACCGCGGCCTCCTCAGAAGCCTCCTGGTTGCCTTCATGGCTGTAGACAGATGGGAGGGCTTGATGTGGTCGCTTCCAACCATCAAATGACTCCAGCTGAGTGGCAGACAGAGGAAGAGTACATGAATCGGTGAAAAGCGCTTCACCCTCACGGTGGACGAATTCATCAGTGGCTGGTGGACCAGTCCATGGCTTGAACTTGCACCCGTTCAGTTTGCCGCCCTCCAGAAGGATGATGTTCTCCCTCGTGGTCAGCTTCCGTGTCGAGACGGGTTCTTGGAGATTCTGCTTGCGCGGTGTTTGGGTCACGGCAGGGCGCGCATCTTGACCTTGCTTAAGGCGCTCAGCCTGTACAAGAAGCCCATTGACTTTAGCGTCAAGTCTCTTCTTGTCTTTGGGATTGTCAGCAAGACGGAGAGCCTGGAAGTACAGCTCCGCGCTCTTGATCGTGGCTTCCAACGCAGCCTTGTCGTTGGCCTGGGAAAGCACCGCTTTCTCGGCTGTTGATGCCTGCGCTTCGAGCTTAGAAAGTCTGCTATCCATCCTGCGTGGGCTAGGATCAGGTTATGACGGCGATCCGCCCACCATGCCACCATGGGAAAATGTCGGAGACGGGCCGGGATTCGGTAAGGAGAGTCAGGCAGTCAATCCAATCCCTGTCGACATGGGGTGGCGGGTTGCCACAACCTCGGCTCACATCGACAGTGAGAGAGAGCTGCTCATGACCGAGCCACTCACAGCCAGTCCAAAGGATTTCCCACGGCATTCTAATGCGAGATCTGACCAGGATCTGTCGGGCAGATGAGGAACTGCCCATAATGCATATCTACCACTGACCGTATCCAGACAATAGTTACGCCATTACTCCTCCTTCCTGTACTCGTTGACGACACCTGATAGACCTCAGCTTCTTCTCCGCTTACCGTCCTCCGGCAACGTCTAATACTTTGTACTGGTATTTCTACCTACATCAGAGCTGTGGTTGAAATAGAAAAGATCTTGCAAGAGTAGACGGGAGAGCTTCAGGGCTTCCCGCAGGAAAGGCCATGACAAAACCCGGGGAACTGGCGCCATGGGAGAGCGCAGTTGCAGGCGCCACTGGTGCCGTTCTTGCGAATGCAATTGTCTACCCGCTCGATATGTATGTCTTCCACCTCCAGATAGATGTGGTGATGGGCTGCACACTGACCAAACTGCAGCGTCAAGACCCGATTACAGGTCCAGATCAAGAAGAAGGGCCAAGTACACCAGCACACCCCCGAGCACCACCACTACGAGTCGACGTTCGATGCGATCAAGAAGATTGTCGAACATGATGGCATCAGTGGCCTGTATTCGGGTATCAACGGTGCGCTGATCGGCGTCGCTTCCACGAACTTTGCCTACTTCTATTGGTACTCGGTCGTGCGGTCGCTATATACCAAGTACAGTCAAGCACATCCCAGTACAGCTGCAGAGCTGTCACTCGGCGCAGTTGCGGGTGCGGTTGCTCAAATATTTACCATACCCGTTGCCGTGATCACCACACGGCAACAGACACAGCCAAGAGGGCACAAAAAGGGTCTGTTCGCCACAGGCAAGGAGGTCATTGAGAGTGAAGACGGCTGGACCGGACTGTGGAGAGGACTGAAGGCTTCTCTCGTGCTGTGTGTCAACCCGGCAATCACATATGGCGCTTACCAGCGCCTGAAGGACATCATGTTCCCGGGAAAGACCAGACTGCGTCCCTGGGAAGCATTCCGTAAGCAGAAGCCACATACGCAATTCGTATTAGTGACTGACATGCTTGTACAGTTCTGGGAGCCATCTCCAAATCTATCGCGACGATATGCACACAACCATTGATTGTCGCCAAAGTCGGCTTACAATCCCGTCCTCCCCCAGCCCGGGAGGGTAAGCCCTTCAAGACCTTCGGCGAGGTCATGGAGTATATCGTCGAGCACGAAGGCCCTCTTGCCTTGTTCAAGGGCATCGGGCCTCAGCTCATGAAAGGTTTGCTCGTACAGGGTCTCCTCATGATGACCAAGGAGAGAGTAGAGCTTTTGTTCATTCTCATTTTCGCCTACCTCCGTACCGTGCGAGCCAAGAGGCTCAGAGAGGCGGCGCAGAAGCTGAAGGAAAATGCGACGCCGCTGGCGGAAGGACTGAAGAGCCGAGCTATGCCTGTCGCCGAGAGTGTGGTTGAGAAGGCCAAGGCCAGTGTCCCTGCGACCTTGAAGTAGGGGCGGCAATTGATAGCCCGAAATCAGCTTCCGCTCGAGCTGGTTCATCAGCTGTCACCTTTCGGAGGGTGGGTGGAATAATCTCGGGAGGAAAAAGGGTTGGAAAGAGCAAGACGAGCATGCTACGGCGGCGCAAGGTGTTCGGGTTGACTCAATGCACAACTGGGTCCTTTTGCACGACTTCTCCTCAGTACAGCTTTCGCCTGTATTGTACGGGCACTTCAGCTTCGACTTCAAGGATTTTTAGAGGCAACATAGGACGCACGGAGATGAGAGGCTAGTTTGAAATGTCCAATGTCGAGATATTGAACAAATACATGGCGTCGTCAGAAATGTTCACTGCTGCGCTGCTCATTACACTTTAGCTACTATGCAAGATGTCCTTAGCACTTTAACTGAATTGCCAGCATGCCCTCAGCACTTCGACTGTAGTGCAAGTACGGGTATAGCACTTCGGTTAATGTGCAACAAGCCATGAGCACTTTAACCAAAGCATACATGTGTTCGTAGCACTTCAATCGATGTGGATGAAGTCTTCAGCACTTCGACCAAGGCGTACACGTACCGTCGCACTTCAAGTAATGTGTATCAACTGCTCATCACTTTAACCAAAGCGTACATGTATCCGTAGCAGTTTGTTCAATTTGCAAGCATTCATGTTCGTGGCGATTCGACCAAAGTGCAACCTAGTCCCCTTGCCGCCCAATGTCTAATAAAGATGCGGAGGTCTCAATGTTCTCAATAGCCTTACATACCAACAAACCAAACACTAATTGACCCCGGGGATCGGATCCATGGGGCCCGTATCATCTATACATCACTGCCTCCACTCCAAAAGTCTTGTGTACACTCCTGTAGCTGGCTAACGATTGCGCTTCTTCGCCCTCCCCGTCTGACTTTGTCGCCATTCTGCCGCGGCTGCTGCCGACGCAGGTGAGATCTTTCTGAACAGCGCGATGAAGCCACCTCCAAAAGTGCGTTCGCCCACGAGAGGCCGGCAGATCATGACTGGCGTTTGACCTCCAAACGTGGGTAGAGGTAGAGGTGGAGGTGTGGGTAGGTTCTGGACTTCTCCTTCGGAAGCTGGCTCGCTTGGTGTTCCGGGTTCACTGGCATCGGTCCTTTCATGGTCTCTCGGTTCGCTTTCGGGGGGGTCCACCGCAATTGGTTCTGTCTCGCTGACTTCCCTTTCCTCTTCCCCATTGGTCAGCGTGGCAGAGCCATCTGTTTCCTCTCCAGCATTGACCACGGAGGCAGAGCCGATCTTTTCCTCTCCACCATTGACGACAGAGGCAGAGCCCTTTCTAGGCTTTACGATCCTTACGTCCCACTTTCTGCCGCTGCTGATGCCCTCTCCAAGTTCGAGCACCTTGCCCATCTCCAGGCCAAGCCCCTCCTCAGCAATGACACGCACACAGTCGCCGATCTGCGTTATGCTAGGGACAAACACAAGTAGTCTCCCGTTATCTTTCATCGCGGGGGCGACGTGTCTTAATTGCTCATGTACGCCCGGCATGTCCAGGCACACGTAGTCGAGATACTCCGCCTGGCCAGTGTCGCCGTGAGAGTGGTGGACAAGCCAGTCTTGGAGAGAGGAAGTGTAGAAATCGACATGGGGCCAGTATATACCTCTTCGAAAACCGCGCACGATCTTCTCAGCGTGGCTGCTGTACGAGGGGACCGCTTCGATGGTGTGGATTACTGCCCGGCGGGAAGATTTCCATTGCGACCAGGTTTGTGTGAGTGCGGATGTGGCTGTGGGCGTCTCGGCGGATTCAGGTTCCGCAGGGGCCGACGGCGTGACGGCCGTGGGATCGCTGTATTGACGGGACTTGGGCAGTTCGGCGGTAGGAGGAGGTGGGTTCGCAGCGGCGATTGCGCGAGCGAGGTGCAGCGTGAGACTGCCGTGGCCGGTACCTGCTTCTAGAATATCTATGCGCGGGAGACTCCCGTTTGTTGCGTGCTCCTCGGCAAATGGCCGGGGATGGATATCAAGCAAGGAAACAATGGTAGAGGCATAGCTCGCGTACACAGGCGTCACGAGCCTTGGTGTAAGTGTGACATAGTCCTCCAGTGAGGGAAGTTCGACTCTATGCAGGCTGCCTTTGGAGGAGCGGATATATGCCGACGTGACCGGCTTGCCTATAATGTCGTTGAGTTGGAGCTGGCCTTTCCCGAGATCGAATCTGGCGTTCCTTGCCAATGGGAAGGTGAGTTTCGATCCATCGATCAGCACTCGATCGCCCTCGGCGAAGCGCGTCACGTCGCGAGCAGCAGCGACGTTGTGAAAGAGCTTGGTGGCAGGAGTGCCACTACGGTGCCGAGGCCTGGAGAACTCAAGAAGTCTTGTCAAGGGACGCAATGGTCCGGACATGCCACGGGCTGCAGTATGGCTGTAAAATCGTAGAGCGTGCGTCGCGCCTGCGATGGAATTTCTGGAACAGGTAATTCAGTTTTCCCCAGATCTGACTAGGCTGTGTTCGGCAATTCGCGGTCGATCAATTTCGCTAGACAGTATTACGGAGGCTGCCATGCATTTATGCATCCATGCCATGCCTACGCACATGTGCCAACCAGCCATCTCCCGCCAGCCCGGCAGTCACCCATCATTTGTCTTGCTTGATGCCTTCTGGAAGAAATCGGTACTGACGCTTCACAAACCTCCTCCACCTCTTCATCTGTAGCGACGGGGCTCAGATTGGGCCGGGGCCTGTCCCCATGCCAGCATGACCAGAAGAATTGTATGGCCGCCGTTGTGTATCATCCTCTCCCGGCTATATGGCTAATGCTCCTTAGGTCCGCACCGGAATACAATTGAGCGTGTTCAGCGTCTTCCTTTTCATCATCATCGTCTTCCTCGATAACCGGTACCGCGTCCTCCCCAATGCCATCCACAGCCATCTGCCCGCCCATCACCCAGGCTTCGTGGTCACAGACCTTACCGTCGTGACCTGCTCCTCTCTAAACCCCTTCAGCAAATGCACCGTCGACGGGCCCGACTGGCACCGCATAAACAAAGACCTCTACTTGGGCAAAGGCTACGTCTCCTCCGCCTACCTGGTCGTCAAGCGCAAGCCAGAAGACGACCTGTCGGCCCACGAAGAAGTCGTCACGGACTTGAGAATTGGGCGACTGCAACCGTCCTCTGTCGACCCGACTGCCAAGGATGAGCGCTGGGAATCTCGGCCGGCGGGCATCTGGGTCAAATTGTCGACCAAGCGCCACGCAGCCGACATGGTCACAGGCGTGGACGTGCTCTTCGGCGCCGACGCCGTCGACCCGCGCTCGAACTGGCAAGTCCAGGACCTATCCCTGTTCCTCGACGCAGACCGCGACAGCGCGGAGCCACGGCTCACCGTGCGGCGAGGCCCCGCACTGAAAGTCGAGAAACCCGTGCCCCGAATCCGCAAGGACGGCAAGTTCAAAATCATGCAAGCCGCAGATCTACATCTCGCCACTGGACTGGGAAAATGCCGCCATGCTCTACCTGAAGGCCAGCCATGCGAGGCCGACCCGCGCACCCTAGATTTCATTGCCCGCATGATCGAAGAGGAGAAGCCAGATTTCGTCGTCCTCACGGGCGATCAAGTGAACGGGGACACCGCACCGGACGCCCAAACCGCCATCTTCAAATACAGCGAGATGTTTGCCCGGCATCGAATCCCCTACGCCGGGATCTTCGGCAACCACGACGACGAAGGCAATCTTAACCGTGCGGAGAGCATGGCCGTCATGGACGGCCTCCCGTTCTCCATGTCAACCGCCGGGCCCGAGGACGTTGAGGGCGTTGGAAACTATTACGTCGAGATCCTCGGGCGGGGCAGCACCTCACACTCAGCACTGACGCTCTACCTGCTCGACACGCACAGTTACTCGCCGGACGAGAACCACTACCACGGCTACGACTGGCTCAAGCCCTCACAGATCGACTGGTTCAGGACGACCGCGCAGTCCCTCCGCCGCAAACACAAGGAATACACCCACATCCACATGGACCTGGCTTTCATCCACATTCCTCTCCCCGAATACCGGAACCCAGACGGCCTCAGCCACGTGGGCAACTGGACCGAGCCGCCCACCGCGCCGGCGTACAATTCGAACTTCAAGGACGCGCTGCTCGACGAGAACGTCCTGCTCGTGAGCTGTGGCCACGATCACGTCAATGACTACTGTCTCCCTTCGCTGGGTCGGGACAAGAAACCGGCGCTGTGGATGTGCTACGGCGGGGGTGCTGGCTTTGGAGGCTACGGCGGCTACTACGGCTATCATCGACGGGTCCGCTTCTTCGAGATGGATATGAATGAGGCGAGGATCACGACGTGGAAGAGGCTGGAGTGGGCCGAGACCGAGGCCGCGCTAAAACAGAGGGTTGATGAGCAGATTGTGGTGGACGGTGGTAGGGTTGTCACGGGGATGTAGTGGATCACCGATGACCAGGCACGGAAACGAGAATGAGAATGAGAACAGAAACGTCAACATTGACGACGGGGTTAACTCCAATGCCACCGCTAACACGGTTATCGACGAGACCGATTCGAAAGGCATACCCGTCGCAGGCAGGATGACTGCCGGCATCGCGGACGAGCACGCACAGGAGGGCATTCTGGTGCCCGTAGTCAGAGCCTGTGCAGTGCTATGTTGGTGGCCATGACCACCTTCACAGCTCGATCTTGCGCGGATGGTGAGAAGCTGAGGGCCCCAATTCATAGGGTCGTGGATGAGTTTGAAGTCGAACTGACCAGACGACTGCTTGATTGTTACAGTACTCGCCACATCCCAATGATGCGGCACGGGGACAGACACGCCACGGGAGAGAAGGGTATAGCATATGGACATGACAGGGGAGCCGACGTCGCACTGGATCCGACGATACAATTCGGGCTGCTTCCCGCGTGCGAAACTTGGAGCGGTGCGGCGATCTGGAACCTCGACCACATTGTGATCGAGGCACGGGAAAAGCCCGACTTCATGGTGCTCGGACACTACCACAGTAGTTGGAGCAAGGGCGAAAGAGTGAGAGGAAGTGGGAGTTACCGCGCTACAAAAGGTACGAACTATAGAGTACAAACAACAGCAGTGAAAGATCCTGCAGGACATGACCGAAAATGAAAAGGAAAGAGGTCAAGGCAAACGAAAAGACAGCGCTCCTTGCCTGACTGAGTGAAATCTTATCAACAAGAGCGGGAAAAAACAAAAGATTCGGCCCACACCTCTGTGTGTATATTCTTACCTCTAGTCGTTCGAGTCCCCTAGGTCACAAAGGTGCAGTAAACCTTTTCACTTTTGAACCATCATCCACAATATCCTGCGGTGTTGGGATCGAAGAGTGAGTGAAACCCTTTTCTGCCCAGTCGGGGAGGAATAGTAGTGGTTTCCTCGCAATTTGTCGCAACAATCCCATCCTTTCAAAAGTGCCCATTAACTGTTAAATCCGAACACGTGGCGTGGCTAGCCAAGAGGCGGATGACTTTGTCCGGGGTTGTTGGGACAGGATTTGCGCGTTGAAATATCCATCCCTGCTTCAAAAAAATGAAGACGGAGGAATAATTTGGTTTGATTTGGGTCAGGCGGACGCTAAAGTGAAGAGTGTAATTAAGGCAGGAAGTTCGAACGAGGCTGGTCAATGTTGTGGCAACGCGAGGCTGAGGGTGAGAATGTTACGGATGGGCATGGACATTGTCACTGCTCTGTACTCCGTACGTATCAATTATCTTCCTCCCTTTTTGCTCTCTGTCACCACCACTTCTCGCAGAGGACTCTCTTCTCCTCCATCCCTCGCTGGTTCCGGAACCATGCGACGAACTCGTCCGTCATGGCTGGCAAGCCGCATACGTAGACGACAGCGGTGTCTCTGCGGCTTTCTGGGCCGAGAGCTTCCTCGAGATCATGCTCCTGGATGCGTCTATATTGCGTTGGTTGGACTCCAGGTCCAGGATTAATCTCGTTGTGCCGTGATCTGTCCGTAGTCACTTCGCGTGTAACTCCCGTGGTGAACTGCGTGTACCGGAAGTTCACCTCCTCGTGGGCTTTCCAGTGATTCGCAATGTCGGCGAGTCTGGTCGCGAACAGAATGTCCTCCTCTTGGTTGGTCTCTGCATTCTTTTCCCGTCGCGCGCTGTACAGGACGTTTACTTCTCTCGCCATCCCGCCCAGTCGGTTGGCCCCGGCTTCGTGCATGGCTGAGATCATGCTCATGATTGGGTTGATGCCGACTCCTCCGGCCACGAAGACCACTCTGTCAATTCTTTCGCATGCTTCGCGCTTGAGGGTTGGCGGTGGATAGACAAAGTTGCCTCCCACCCTGAAACTCACGGTCGAGTCGAGGAGGTCTGACACGGGCCGCCATAGGTATGCCGCCGGAGGGTTTGATGGCGAGTCTTGAATTGCCAATTCAATGTGCGGATCTTCCTGACTTTGGATAGACGCTTGGGGAGGAGAGGTGATGGTGAAACCCCCGACGACGTCAATATTCGGGATATACAGGTCTACATATTGACCTGGGAGATGGCGGAGAGGCGGCTACTAGATATCTCATGGGTAAGTGGAAATAGACCTATGAATTGACAGCAGCACAGTTATTTCCATGACAAGAGATTGGATAAGTGTAACCGTGGGCGTAAATGCTTCGCCTCGTTGGGCCTCACTCGTGGCTCGTCTGCACTTCAAAAGGCGCTTTTGGCTTGAGATTTGGAAGGTTGTGGGTGCTGCTTCTGCAAAGGCCACACGCATTCCTCTGTGACGTCGCGGTATCAAGCATGGCACAACGAGGAAGAGAGGCACTTACCCCATCCTTCGGTAAGCTCAGCCTCAATAACCGTATCTTCGAGTTGACCTGTTCAACCTTACTCAGTCGTGCCGACCATACACCTTGCTGGCGAGGCTCTTCAGCAGTCCTGATGATATGTGGTATTGAATCTTTGACAGTAGCCATTTTTCTTGCGTATAGACAGAGGGGAGAAAGAGAGCTCAGAGGATAGTGGGACGGTGGTCTGAGAACTGGTCTGGTGCTAGCACGGATTGTGCGATAGATGGTTCGATTGCTCAGATTCATTTCATGATCAACACGGGGCTTATTCTAGAAGGAGACATCTTCCACATCAGTCCGGAGATGCGTTGTTCTGGGAGTTATATTCCTGCAGCGATATCTGAAGGCCAGCGATGGGAAGCTGGTGATTTGAAGGAAGTGGATGACGCTTTCAACTGGCCCCACTTGCCTGCGACGAGCGGCGGGCAGAGGCAAGCATCAGATCTAACCTACGACTGACTATTTCGAAACGCGAGGGAGAAAGATAACAGCTCACCTTCGTCGATTCTATGCAGGTTGGATGACTTTTCATATCTACTTGCAGCTACAAGGCAGGCTCGAGGTGGCAAGATGACGCGGCAGGGAAGGAAGCAACACGCCTGCGCAGCTGCCGTGCATTGAGAGTACGAACTCTCAATTATCGCTACCACGACCTGCACCATCTTGCCCAAATCCATTGATCCTGCCGCCCGCACGTCTTTCATCCCTCACGGGCATCGTCATAGGTGGAAACAGCCCTTGATATCATGTGAGATTCATGCTCTTCATCGGCTCTGAGTAGCCTCGCAGACAGACCACCGTGGAGACATCCAATGCTTGGATGTCGATGAGATTGGGTGGAGGCGGCGGCATGAAGATATCGCCGCCCGTCACGATATGGCATAGCGAGACAGGGACACCTGCTGTGTATCGGTCGGAGCTGAGCGATCGAGCTGCGTGTCAGCTTGATATATACCTCGAAACCAGAATCATGGCAGTCGGAGGCAGAAGCTTTCAGGCGTATCGGGAGAGCTTCGCAAGCAAGAATTAAGAACAGAAGAATAGAAACAAGCATAGTTTGAGTTCCAGTGGGTGGTGGACATGGGCACTTGCTCGGGGATGCCGGGGTCTATATCAGTAGAGATAGCTACCATGTTCATCATCTCGAGAGCAGCCATTGCAGAGAAAGAATAACTTCCTATTGACAATGAAGTTGCGTCTCCTGTCCCATTGAAACGTGATGGCTCACAAGAGGTATATCGAGATCGTAGAATCTGCCTCAACAGGATCGAGGGCAAATTTTTTCACATGACAATGACAAGCATCAACGATGTTCATCAGATGAACATGTAGGCTTCAGCAGGAGTTGGTGTGCTCGATCATGTTTCGAGATGTCCCTTTGATGAAATTCTTTCCACATCAATGCCTTCGATAATATGTTGTGACCAGCGCAGGTGAAGCTGTAAGCATGTGAGGGGCTGGGCGTGCTGAGATGGGTGCACCCGAAGGGAAAAGGAAAGGTGTCGAACCATTGCAGCCAATCGTCTCGAGAAGACGGCGCACAACAGGTTCGAGGAGGACGGCCTGTGAAGTGATGAAGACATCTCACGTGTCCCCGTCATCTTGTTGATGAGCTGTGGAATAATATGTCGATGATAGAGAGCGTGGTGGAAGGGATGCAGTTGCATCAACCTTGGGTCAATCAGGGCTTGCCGAGATGGGCCCTTTTAGTGGGCGGCGACACAGCTGGGACTTTCTCTCAACCTCACCACTCCTGCCCACTCATCCCTCCGACGGCCACCAACCTGATAATGCACGCATACCTGCCCACACTCCTTTTCCGGACGACGAGGACGAACGTGTCGACGGAAGAGGCCGTTTTATAGACAGATATAGGACATTCCTTCAAGACCAACGTGGATGGTGGAGCATATCAAATGCGGAGGATGCACAATAGGTATCGAACGCCCAGAACAGTCTGCCCATCATGTTGTGTTCAACCACACTGACACTGCTCAGACCCTCAATCGCAAGACCATTTTCGATTATTACATTTACTTCCTGAACCATCTTACCGCATCTCGCATCTGCCGGTGGCCAATATCAAGTATTCGTTCATCAAACAGATGTCTACATTGCGGCCACAATAGCATTATCAAATACCACAGAAATCATGTCAACCACAATACTGGACGTCGAGATGACGGACGTGTCGAGGGCTGATCTTCCAAGGTATGCTGGCAGACGCTATGCCGCTTGCAACCCGTTGTGGTCAAATGGTGGGTTTTGATACTGATGAGTTTAGTCATGATCATGTCAGGGACACCCAGTCAGACGACGAGTCGGTCATCAAAATGGAAGACGAATCCGGCGACGACGCTTCTCCGGGCGGGTCGGCTTCTGTCCTTCGAAGTCTGCAGCTCGAGAGCGATGCCCGTGATTCTCCTAACAGTTCCATGACCTCGGTTTCGGTCGCCTCGTCCCTCCCAGAACAGAAGGTGAAGGCTACACCGAAAGCCGAGCACAAGCATGAGAGCCAGAACAACGTAAGCCCGTACATGTATATGAAGGCATCTACAACGGCTCGAGCCAAATCGTCCATTCCTCCGAGGCTTCCCTCTTCCGAATATGCCAGCCAATGTGTGGCTGCAGCCGAGGCCTCGAGGCTAGATCCCTTTGCCTTGCATGAAGATGAGCACAAATTGTTACAAGACAAGCTGTGTTACTCTCATGTCACGGTGTACCTCAATATTCGCAATGGCATTCTTAGACTGTGGACGCGCAACCCAAGCGTGAGTGTGAGCCTCGATGAAGCCATCGGCTGTGCAAGAGACGAACGCTGGACCCGTCTCGCATGTTTCGCCTACGAATGGCTTGTGAGAAGAGGTTACATCAATTTTGGTTGCGTCGAGTCCCCTTTCATAAGCCGAAGTATTGGTCGTGGGCGGAAGAAAGAGGCCTCTCGAGAGACGATCGTGGTCATCGGAGGTGGTATGGCTGGCCTCAGCACCGCAAGGCAGCTCACCAACCTCTTCAAACACTACCCAGATCGTGCTCCCCCACGAGTCATCGTGCTTGAAGGCCGTGAGAGAATAGGTGGGCGAATTTATTCACACCCTCTTACCAGCATGCGATCAACCAAGCTATCACCTGATCAGAGACCCACTGCAGAGATGGGCGCTCATATCATCGTCGGATTCGAACGCGGAAATCCTCTCGACGCCATTGTCCGTGGGCAACTTGCCCTCGACTACCACCTCCTGCGAGACCTCTCCACTCTCTACGATATCGATGGCACACCCGTCAATGGAGTCAACGATGCAATGATAGAAAGGCTGTACAATGACGTTCTCGATCGAACGGGTCATTACCGGCTCAAGCATCATGTTAAGAGAACTGCACATGGGGACAAAGAGTTAATTGAAGCAGGACGTGATCCGCCCGAAGAGGAGTCGATCACGATAAAACAGTTCGAAGAGGCTACTGCACTCGGCACAATCGATCAACTGCTGTCAAGCAGGAAGTCAAAGAGAAGAGGTGCAGGCCATCGAGCTGCAAAAGGTGATAAATCCAATGAAGAAGTCGACACGAGTATGGAGACCAAGACTCAGCTTCCTGCCGCGCAGGCAGCCAAAGAGTTTGGCTTCTTACTAAGAAAGACAACACAGATGCACGAGACGTTGGAGCTGGATGACCTTGCCTCCCAGCTCAACCAGTCTCTCGGTTCAGTCATGAATGCCGGCATTGACCAGTACCAGAAATTTCTCGACCTCAAACCCTATGCCCTGCGCCTTATCAACTGGCATTTTGCGAATCTCGAATACGCAAATGCAGCCAACGTGGACAAGTTGAGCTTAAGAGGTTGGGATCAGGACATCGGCAACGAGTTCGAAGGAGAGCACGCCCAAGTTGTCGGTGGCTACCAACAGGTCCCGCGCGCCATTTGGCGTCACCCAGAACCTCTCGATGTCCGGTTGCGCAAGCCGGTCAAGAGCATTAGCTACAGTGCGGCCGGCTCCCAAGGCAAGGCAACTGTCACTTGCGAGGACGGGCAATCGATCGAAGCAGATAAGATTGTCTTTGCGGCGCCCCTTGGGGTTCTCAAGGAACAGACGATCCAGTTCGACCCACCTTTGCCCCAGTGGAAGCGAGACGCCATCAGAAGAATGGGCTTTGGCTTACTCAACAAGGTTGTTCTTGTCTTCGAGAGACCATTTTGGGACGTTGATAGAGACATGTTCGGTCTCCTCCGCGCCCCACGCGACAACACCGGCTTCAGTCAGAGCGACTACAAAAAGGGTCGAGGTCAGTTCTATCTCTTCTGGAACTGTATCGACACAAGCGGGCTACCCGTCCTCATTGCTCTCATGGCAGGTGAGGCCGCGCACGAAGCCGAGAAGGTCAGCGACGAAATTCTAATAGGCGAGTGTCTGACCCAGCTGCGAAATGTATTCGGCGCGCCAAACGTGCCATTGCCCGTGGAGTCAATCGTCACCCGCTGGGGTTCTGATCGGTTTGCACGAGGCACGTACTCATACGTCGCGGCGGAAGCAAGACCTGGCGATTATGACCTCATTGCCGCTCCCATCCAGAATCTGTTCTTCGCAGGTGAAGCCACGATTGCGTCTCATCCAGCAACAGTGCACGGCGCCTACCTGTCAGGTCTCCGTGCAGCAAATGAGGTATTTGAATCGATGGTCGGCCCGATCACGATGCCATCCACACTGGTTCCTGCCCCGACTGCGAGAAAGTCATCTGCTCCAGTCGAAGTCAAGCAGATGGAAACGCACATGGTCCAAGGCGGGAAGAGAAAAGGCGATGAACTCCTGCCTGCCGGTACGTTCACGAGACCTATCAAAGAGAAGGACAATACACTACATGAAGCCTGGGATGCGGCTATGTGGGTCCGTATCTACGATGACCTCGGTCCGCCACCAGTGAAACCAGTAAAGTCAAACGTGAACTCTTTCCTGCTCTTCTCGGGTGAGCACTGGGATGAGGTCAAGGCTCGATTGGCAGAGGAGCGATCACGGACAGGCAAAAAGACCAAACAGTCCGAACGAGATCAGGTCCGCGTGGAGCTGGGCAAAATGTGGGCTGCTTTGTCTGAGGAAGGGAAGAAACCCTATACAGATCGGACGAGCAAGAACCGTGAAGAGAACGAGGCGGCTTTGAAAGAGTGGTCTGTCAAAGCTGCGGAATGGGACAGGCGGACTTGGGAGGTCAAGGACGTCTGGATCAAAGAAGGCAATAGCTTCGAAGAGTTTTGCAAGCGCAAAAGGGAAGACGAGGATGCCATGGATGTCGAGGCAGCCAAGCGTGCGAGGGTTTAGATGTCTACCAATTGGTTATGATTATCTTAGAGCTCATGGTGCTCCGCGCGGATCTGGTGACTCTGTTATTGGTAGCGGAACATTGCTTGTAGATGTATGATCTACTCCGGGGCAGTCATCAGACGGCCTGTCGGGTACGTATGATGAGTGTGGTGAATTGTTGAAGCACTCTTCACTACCGTGTACTGGCAATATGAACGCACGTATGATGGTTGCGGTGAACTCTTCGAGAACTTTCTCCTACCGACAAGATCCAAGTTTTGGGTTGCAGAATAGATTAGTAGACTGCGCAGGGCCGCGTATCAAGAGTGCTGATCCGATATCGGCTGTACCCCAGAGTCGATCGAAGCGGGGGAACGGGTGACTCAGATGGACCGACTTTCGTATTCGCATAGCATTACGGAGTAGACCTGTAGCATTGCAAAAGAGAGATTACCGATTTGTCGTCTCGTCAAAGTCGCGGCACCGACAGCGTGTATGGGCGTACACAGTGAATCAGAGTGACAAGGCCTGAGTACATCCTGATCCTTGATCGGGGTCTCCCAGCACGTCGTCCCTCAAACCGAATACAGAGTACTGTACTAGTCGATCAAGGTGTCGGTCGACTGATACCCTCAAGTAGGGAAGGAGAAGGGAACCAGAGAGACCATCGAATATCCATTCATCGATTTACCCATCCAGTCAATATAACTGCTACGCTCCGCAGAGTCACGTCGCAATGGGCCAATTCTACGAAACCTTCCCGCCCTCCCTGGTGCAATGGCTCCTCGAGCAAAAAGTCTTCTACATCGCCTCAGCCCCCCTATCGGGCGCCGGCCACGTCAACGTCTCTCCGAAGGGCGTGTCCGACAAAGGCGGACCCTTTTTCGGCGTGATCAAGGAATCAAAGTCGAAGTCGAAATCACAATCGCAAGCACAAGCACAAGGCCGCACGCGCAACCCTGACGAGGAGTCCCGCCGCACCGCTCCCGCAGACGACAAAGACATTCTCATTCGCCAGTTCTGGTACATGGATCTCACGGGCAGTGGGATCGAGACGACGAGCCACTTGCACGAGCCGGGCAACGGGCGGATCACGGTCATGTTTAACGCGTTCAACGGCCCGCCGCGGATTTTGCGGATCTTTGGGAAAGGTGCGTAATGCTGCGGAGCGTAGCGTAGCAGCTTTAAGCATTCCGTGCCAGGATTTATTCGCACACGGAGCATCCTATCCCATCTTGTTGTCCCGTTGTCCTGGATCGTGGCGCCCGCCCGCCCGCCCGCCCGCACACATCCCATACTGATTGTCATATCACGCACATGCGCATCCCGTACTGACTGTATACTGTGGGCCAGGAACACCCCTCGAATACGGCACGCCCGCGTTCGACGAGATCGTGCGGTCCCAAGGCGTGACGATCATCCCGGGCACGAGGAGCATTGTGTTAGTCGACATCCACCAAGTCGGCACGTCCTGCGGGTTCAGCATGCCGTGTTATGACTTTGTCAGCTTTCGGCCGACGTTGAATGATTTCTTCGAGAAGCGGCTCAAGAGCGAGAGGGAGGGGAAGCGCGAGGACGGGATTGAGAGGTTAGTGAGTTCTGTCTGTCTGCACTTTCCGTCTGTTACGTAGTGCGCTGTTCTGGCCCGCTCTGTTCTGCTTTCCCTCGCGCTGTCCTTTGCCGATATGGACTGCCGTTCTTCCGGCTTCTCTCACACCGCGATGCGTGATCATAAAGACGCTATGGCGATGGCTATGCTGGTGCGCACGATCCTTTGAGACCGATATGCCCTTACCTTTATCCATTTTCATGTTGATGTTGATGTTGATGTTGATGTTGATGTTGATGTTG